ATAATATTTTCATCAACTTTTCCCCAAATTGGCAAAATACCTTTCATATAATGTTTAAAAGTACAAACCAATATACCAAAATGGTACAAACAGGTTAGTTAAAGCAAATATGGTTAAAAAGCAAAAAAGATAGAGATGTATGATAAAAACAACAAAACATTTTGGTTCGATCGAAAAAAAAAAGATGAAGCCATTAGATAGGTTCAGTTTAGTCTTTTTCCTCCATGCCAGACTCGACAACAATCGCAGAAGAAACGAGTGTGTCAGTGTCAAGTTTGATCCTTTTCCTTGGTTGCTCATCAGCATCTTCAGTCACCACCGGAGTTTCTTCTACTTCCTCAGCGTCTTTGATCTCAGAGTTTCCATCTACACTTGAGCTTCCACCTTCTTCATCTGATGCACTTACAGGCACTGCCTCCTCTTCTTCTGTCTTCAGCGTCTCAATCACTGACATTAAATCTCTATTCACCTGTTTCCACACAATAGTTACCTTTCAGAATCCAATGGCAATTTCACAAGACTTATTGAGATTGTCACTTTTCATGAATGGACACATCAAAATGACTAAATGGATTCGTAAAAGAAGAGGTATTAACTCCATTAAGAGTGACCAATGCGAGAAAAAGAGATGATGATGAGGATGTTTTTACCTGAGGGTCCTTCTGGAGAAAATCAGAAATGTCGTTGGGGCAACAAGGGCATTTCATGATGTTCTTCCTTGCACGAAGCGTGCGTCCACCTTTGTTTCTATCAATCATTGCTGTTTGCCCAGCAAATCTGCTTTCTAAGCATGCCTTGCAAAAGTTGTGAGCGCATGGTGTTGTTACAGGAAGACTCATCAATTGCTTACAGATTTTGCAACTCAACTCTGCATTAAACACACACACAAAAACCCCAACAACGGTTTAGATACGACCAAACTGTATTCCATAAAGCATCCTACTTTTGAATATGATTATTGATGTAAAACATTCTGAATTAGGTTAACCCTTTTTGGCAAGAGAGTAGGAGACTCAAACCTTTCACAAGTCTTTTTCTCTTGGTATTCGATTGTGCTTTCTCACCACGTGCCTTTTTGCTGGCAGGTGGAGGCTTCATCCATTTCCAGCGACCATCACTTTCCTGATCAAGTAAACATACATGGAAAAGATTAAAGATAATGAACCAGGAAACAAAGACTTGATATGTGATCACACTCGGAAAGTTATCTTGAAACTTACATCAAAATCCCATGATGGAGTTTCCTTCCTCTCATACAAGTCTGTTGCCATCTCCAGCTCTGGAACATTAGGCAAAGGCCTTGGACGATCTCCATGCTCATCACTGCAGAGTATATATATAACACAGCGTAATTAAACTCTGAAATAGAAAAGATGTAAAAAAAAAGGCAGGTTCTCAAGAAGTTAGATCAGACCTGGTCCATGGAGCTGCCTCGTTATCACATCTAACAAAGAGGTAACGACAGACCTTATAAACACCCTATGGACAAAACAAAGGTTAGGAAAAGAATCAAGAACTGAATAAAAAAGAAGAGTGAAAAACATAATTGTGTGCGTACCTGTATTCCAACCTTGATCCAGCACTTCTCAACCCTATAAACCCCGTCATATCTGTATCCTGTCTCAGGCGCATATGAAGAAGGCTCTTTGAAAGACCTGTTTATTTATCAAGAAATTATTTTAATTTTTAGTATCAAACTTTCAGCCATAGTTTCATGTTCAAACTTTATTTGACTTGTGCTCATAAAACAGCTAACCTGATAACACGAACAGGATAACCCATTTGGCAACTCAGTCTTAAAGCTTCATTAGACCTTTCAAACTTCTGGTCAGACGTTTGCTCATCGCTAGTCCTTCTGTTGCCGCTGAGGTCTCTTCCTCCACTGTGTGACACATATTCAATACAAAAAGATAGAAAGTCTTATCACTAAACTGTATTACGTCTGCGTAAGATAAAAGAGTGATGAAAAAGAAAAAACCAAACCTTCCGGTGTATATGAACCATTCACCGTGGTCCTCGTCGTCATCATAACCTCCACAGAGAGCCACAGACTGAGATCCATACTTTGATTGACCAGCAATTCCAGCCATGTGTGGGTAGTGAATCCCCCACTGTCTACACCCATCTCTATAGCCCCAAGACTCTCCGACCAACACGCCCTGGTTTCTTTCAGGATCATATTCCGCTGTAACTGGACCGAAATGATCTGGTGGTGTTGTCACAAAGATTCTGCCGCCGGTAGCATTTGAGTAACCTGCATTCACTGCGCGCTCCGATGCGAACGCTCTATCAGGCAAGTCTTCGTTTCTTATGACGTGATGAACAGCAGCAGCTCGCTGAGGATCTTTGGCCAGACGAATGGCAGAGACAAGTGCATAGTTGATCTGAGGATTTGTGACCATTCCGGCAGGAAATGCAGTGCGGCATTTGGGACAAGTACGCTTGCCTTGACCAACAGCCCATTTCCCAAAACACTTGAGACAGAAATTGTGCCCACATGGTCCCTGCAAAATACACACACGAAATATATCAGTTCACAATCTCAAATACTCAGCAAAACAATTTCACAAGATATTTGTCAAATCTGCTTAATCGTCTTCAAATTTGTCAGAATACTTATACCACCTAAAGCTCACAATATCAATACTCAGCAACCAAAAACAAGCAAACAACAGTTTAACATTGACAAGAATGAATTGAAAAAACAGACCACTAACAGCAACCAAAAACCAATACAAAAGTGTACAGTTTTATACACACTCATTTGCAGAAATTAAGTTGCCTATTGACACGGTAAAGTAGCCATCATGATACTAACCGCAACCAAAAACGAGTACAAAGTTGATCAACCATAAACAAAGGTTGAAAATTGACTTCTTTGACACAAATTTTTTCTTTACTGGTAAGCACAATTAAGTCCATGAAGATTCCATAAGAAAAGCGAGATCTAAACTAGATTCGCGGTTTAACAAATTCATCAAACCAACAAAAGACCTCTAGATATTGAAAACCCTAGAATAGATTCGATCATTAACCAAACATCAACAAAACCCCTAAAAATTGAATTCGGCTTCAGAGATTCCATGAACAAGCAAAAGAGAGACGCAATTGGAGGGAAAGAGGGACAAACCGTGACGGGTCTCTCAGGCAATTGCATACAGAAAAGGCAGTTCAGGTTTTCTCCGAGCGCGGCAAAGACATCATTTTTCTCTTCTTCATCCACGCCGATTTTGCCGCCAATCAGCTCCTGCCTCTTCTTCGCCTTTTCCGCTTCGGTCAGAGTCGGGTCAGCCCCAATCGCGTGAATCGCAGCCATGAGATCCGAATTTTCGCTGGATTCGGCGACAACGCCGCCATGAGGATCGATCACGCCGGAGCAATCGGGACACTCCCACTGCAGAGTCGAAGCTAGGGTTTCCGGAGGGGAAGACAGGCAGGAAGCGTGCCAAGGCGCAGTGCACGTGCCGCAAAAGAGAGATTCCTCCGGCGGAGGAGCTGCTTTGCACCGCATACACATACCCTCGGGATCGATTGGAACCTGCGCCATTCCGATGATGAAATTAGAGAGAGGATTAGAGAGATGGAGAGAGAGATAAGTGCTGTTTGCGAGATTCGAGATAAGAGTGAGAAATGTGGGTTCCGGGATTTAAGGGTGGAGAGGGAGGAGAGGATTTAGGGTGAATTAAGAGGGAGACGAAAAGTGGAGTAGCGGGTCTTTTAGATTTTTTTGAATTTCAGTCAACAAAATGAAATGAATATAAAAAAAAAAAAAATACCTCTATTTCCATAAAATGGACGAAATTGCCAAAAAAGAAAATGGGAGGAAAAAAATAAAACCAAATCAACTCATTAGGAATAAAATATCTCCCAATTAGAAAAGAAATCTCTGCTAACTCCAACTGTGATTTGTTTTGATCATAGTATAAAAAAAATAAACATAGTTCATGAACCCAAAACTTAACAAAAGTGCCATCATAGTTCCAACTACATAAATGCAGTACGATAGTTTAGATCTTGAGAGATTTGGTTAAAAAGGACAGTCATCCTCATGTCCGGTGACTTCTTCATCCCATACACTCGTATACTCGGCCCTGAGGTGTAGATAAACAATTTCGCAAGTTTAACATATAAATCACTCAACTTTTAAAACAACATATTCACAATTATAATTTGTCTGAAACCTCACATTCTTTTAAACTCCTCAAATCCTTCATCATCAACATCCTCCAAAATATCAGAAACTCCTTCAACACTCGTCACTCTGACGTTTTCTATACAAATAAAGGTAATAGCTTTCAATATCAAATAATATTGGCAAAAATTATCGCATAGGCATATGGAGATTTATAAAATCACATCTTTTGTATATCAAACGATCAAAATTAGTTTTATGTAGCATGTTTACACAAAACACGATAACAATAGAAATTTGGACGATAATATTACCTTTAAAATCACCAACTCTCCATAATCTTAAGACACAAAACATCTTGTCAGATCGAAACATTTTCTGCTTATTCAGCTTTCTTCTCACTTGCTCAATATATCTCCCAGTCGCTTGGCAATGTATATCGTTACCACTTACAAAATACATGAAACAAACTTTATTATTCAATGAAGATAGGGTTTCAATTGTCTAATATTCTGACAAAATAAAACATATATCCTGAATTTTAACTTACAAGATGTCCCTTATCGTGAATTTCATGTACTTATTATCTTTGTAAGGCTCAATTCTTTCACCATTGTCATCTTTTAAGGTTTTTTCTAACCCAACTCTAACAACAACACCCATGAGATCAACTACAACACAATTTATGCAAAATTACATTCTGGAAATATTTAAATTCGCTACTATATATATATAAGAGTATATATAGTATATAACAGTAAGATATTAAATCAAAGAGTTATGCATACCTAATGGGTATTTTTTGATGAGTTCATCATCGAGCACCTCTGCGAAACTCCAGAAATTGTATAATGGATCATTTGTCACATCAGACACTTCTCATGACAGTATGAGTCGAGAAGAAGATGTGATACTTCTGATCAAATAGCGGTGGATTTTTCTCTACAGGTGACACGTTAAACTTTTCAATGACATAACTGTCACCTTCTTTGATTTCAACGTTCAATCTTTCAGCTAGTCCATTCGGAACAGAGGCCTGGATCATTGTACCCTAGTCAAAAAATATAAATCAAATTACAGGTAAGAAAAATATACAAACTACAAATTTATTGATAAGAGACAATATATAAATTATACCATCTCATCACGGAGAATGATCTCTAGAAAATGTCCAAACCATTCTGTTTCATTTGTCCATCTCCGAACAACCTTAGCACAGATACGAAAATCGGATTTCTTTGTGTGGAGCTCACTGAGAAGATTAAAAACTGCCATGTCTATTAGTAAGAAGGATTATTGGTAAGGAGCTTTAACCCTTTCTCCATCTCATTATAAACAAAATATCTCCTCTTCACATATCCCAGCTAGGAAAGAAATCTCAGCCAACTCCAGCTGTGATTTGTTTTTAATCAGCTTTTGGTAAAATAATCTGGCCTAATTTAATATTATCAACTGACGTCATTGTGTGTTGTTTTTTTTTTTTTTTTTTTTTTTTAGTTCTCCTCTCGCCTTTTACAAAAGAAATTCGTGTACATAGAAGCTAATATTACAACAACAAATCATCACCTATGCGTATACTTGCTAAATTGCTTTAGGTGTATCAATCAAAATTAGTTTAAGCAATGCCTATATAATGCACAAAGCAACTGAAAAATTTCAACTAAACGTTTAAAAGAGGAAATAGTTCCGGAAGAGTGGGTTAATAATTCTTTTTTTTGTGCAATGGGTTAATAATTTTGATTGATAGGCATTGCTTAAATATCTAGAAATTATTTGTGAGGAGTGTACGTATATAATCTGTTTTTCTAGTAACTCTTCCATGTTTCAAACTCTACGTACAGGTTTGATTGTATTATTTTCTATGTAGATATATATGAATTATGTGTTTTAGATAGCTTTATGATTCAACGTTTTAGTAAACTATTTTATAAAATTCTATGAGATTTTTAGCTTTTATCCTTTGATACAGGTTGCTATCATAAATGAAGATGGTAGTGCTTACTAAAAGTCTTAGGCAGCAAATGAAGAAAACAAAGAAGAAAGAGTGGTCTATCAGATTTCATCGGAGTTGCATGCAGAACTACGACTCCATCAAAAATATATTGAAATGACAAAGCTTTTAGCCTTTCACACTCGCCACTCATAATTTATCAAATGATAACTTTTATAAATAGATGCTCTAAATAAGAAAATAATTCACGGACTTGTTAAATGACACATCCTAAACAGGTGAACAATTCGATTCTGTTTGTTTGCCTTTTAGTTACTTCTACCGTTTAACTTTGAATGGTGAAGAGACCCAGCCACTCACCATTAACTTGTCTCATAAAAGTATCTAATACGGATTGGTGAAGAGAGCCATCCATCTTACTTACACAAAACATTATTCGATTGAATGAAATTTAGTTTGTTAAATTAAATACCGTTTCTTCGTTTTTATTAGAGACTTGGGAAATGGAGGAAAAGCCCCCGAGGAGAAGAGCAGTATTGGTTCCAGTAACATTACAAGACGTAGAAGTTGTGTTTCTACGAAGACGTAGACGTAGACGTAGGGAGATAAGTTTACTTAACTCCCTTCTACAACTCGCAAAATCGTTTACTTAAACAAGTTTGTTTGGTGTATCCTCAGATCTTCTATTTTCTTTTGTTTAATTTGTTCTTTGTTTATACAATGATGTTTCCTTCAAAGAGCTTTGAACTGCAATATCAAGACGAAGAAAAATTAAATGTATTCTTCTTTAATCTATCATTTTTTTTATGTTTCCAGAAGTGCTTATATTTAAGAACAGTTTCACACACACAAAAAAACTAGCATTATATTTTTGCTTCTTGTCTATAATTACAACTAAAATCATAAATTTTGAGAACCCTTTCTAAACTTAAAATTTATTTGGAATGACATTGTTTTGTGGTTTTCTAGTTTTTTTTTTTCAGTCTGTTTCTCATGCCACTTATATTTTGCTCAGGCAAATTTCAGGTGGGAAACTAATTTATAACTATATGGATCATGTGATACCAAATGTCTGAAATCTCAAGGTGAGTCTTCAACTAGATTCCAGACATTTGTTATCAGGATCTATACAGTTGAAAATTAGTTTCCCACCTGGACTTTGTCTGAGCAAAATATGGCAAATTGATCTAAAGTCTCTCACGCAATTGCATACAGAAAATGCAAGTCAGGTTTGCTCCTAGCGCGGCCACGACATCGTCATCTCCCGCATCCTTGTTCTCTTCTTCATCCACACCGATTTTGCCACCCATCAGCTCCTGCCTCTTCTTCGCCTTTTCAGCGTCCGTCAGAGTCGCAGCCATGAGATCCAAATTTTCGTTGGATTCAGCGACAACGCCGCCATGAGGATCGCCGGAGCAATCGGGACACTCCCACTGCCAAGCCAGGGATTCCGGAGGGGAAGACAGGCAGGAAGCGTGCCAAGCCGTAGTGCATGAGGAGTTGCGTTGCACCGCATGCACGTACCCTCGGAATCGCATGGAACCTGCGCCGTTTCGATGATGAACACGTGGCCGAATTAGAGAGAGTGAGAGATAAGAGTTGTTTGCGAGATTCGAGGTGAAAGTGAGAAATGTGGTTCCGGTATTTAAAGGGTGGAGAGAGGAGAAGATTTAGGTTGAATTGAGAGGGAGACGGAAAAGTGGAAATTCAGTCAACAAAATTTTATCTTTGATTTGGTCTGTTAGATTTTTTTGAAATTCAGTCAACAAAAATAAATAAAAACAAATAATACCTGTATTTCCATAAAATGGACGAAATTGCCAAAAACAAAATCGGAGAAAAAAAGATAAAACCAAATCAACTCATTTGGAATAAAATATCTCCAACTTAGGAAAGAAATCTCAGCAAACTCCACTGTGATTTGTTTGAATCTGGCCCAATTTAATATTATCAAATGACTCATGCGTATTATTTTTTCTTTTGTGGCTTGATATTAGTGTTATGCTAGTGAATAAGTGATTCATTTAGATCTTTTCAGTAAAAATTCATTAACTTTGTAAACTTTGCACAACAGCATAAAGGTGCTTTGCTTCTTCCCTAGTATCACAGAACTCAGTATTATATCGAGGAAACAATCTCTAAGATATCGTTTTTGAAACACATTCCTTAATGTATATACATAATTTACATTTTTCAGATTAATATAATATCGTATTTTCAGTATCACAATATTCAAATACTTAAAAAAGTACTCGTAGTTATCTTAATGTAATAAACAAACATAATCTCTCAACCCAAAACTTAACAAGAGTGTCATCATAGTTTCAACTATATAAATGCAATATGATAATTTAAATCTTGAAAGATTTAGTTACAAAAGAGATATCAAAAGGACAGTCGTCCTCGTGTCCACTGACTTCTTCATGCCAAACATCCGTACACTCCGCCCTGAGATGTAGTTAAACAATTTCGCAAGTTTAACATATAAATCACTAAACTTTTAAAACAACATATTCATAATTATAATTTGTCTGAAACCTCACATTCTTTAAACTCCTCAAATCCTTCATCATCCACATCCTCCAAAATATCAGAAACTCCTTCAACACTTGTCACTCTCATGACGTTTTCTATACAAATAAAGGCAATAGCTTTCAGTAAAATAATATTGGCAAAAATTATTGTATAAGCATATGGAGATTTATAAAAACACACCAAGTCCTAGACGTTTTACTAAAAAAACACATCTTTTGTATATCAAACGATCAATATTATTTTTATGTAGCATGTTTACATAAAACACGATAATAATATAAATTTGGACGATAATATTAGCTTTGAAATCACCAACTTTCCATAAGCTTAAGATACAAAAAGTCATGTCAAATCGAAACATTTTTTGCTTATTCAGCTTTCTTCTGACCTGCTTAATATATCTCCCAGTCGCTAGGAAATGTAAATCGTTACCACTTACAAAATACATGAAACAAAACTTTATTACTCAATGAAATAGGGTTTCAACTGTCTAATATTTTGACAAAATAAAACATAGATCCGGAATTTCAACTTACTTGATGTCCCTTATAGTGAAATTCATGTACTTATTATCTTCGTAAGGCTCAATTCTTTCACCATTCTCATCTTTTAAGGTTTTCCAACCCAACTCTAACAATAACACCCATGAGAGTATAGTATATAAGAATAACTGATGCACAATTTCATTCTAAAAAAAATAAATTCACTACTATATATAGTATATAAACAGTAAATGTTAAATCAAAGAGTTATGCATACCTAATGGGTATTTTTTATGAGTTCATCATCGAGCACATCTTTGAAACTCCAGAAATTGTAGAATGGATTTTCTGTCACATCAGACACTCTTCTGATGACATTTTTGAGTCGAGAAGAGAATGTGATACTTCTGATCAAATAGCGGTGGATTTTTCTCAGCATTTGACATGTTAAACTTTTCAATGACATAACAAAAATAAGCTTTAGATATAAAATACCAAAACAAAAGATAATAAAACTGTGCGTAGCTCCTGGGCCATAAAATGATTTTTCTTTATTTCATAGTAACTTTATATATGGTATGACACCTACCTGCAAATAATTTTTACTTGTTTTGTTTTGGTATTGATTAAACGGATTGTGCTTTATATAATTTTGATCGAACAGTTTATACTTTATATAATTTTATCTGAGAAAAAGTTTAGGGGATAAGATCACCCAATAACTACATCCAAGAACACTCAAATTCCTAGAGTAAAATCCCCACAAGCGAATCATGTCTTTGTCTCTGAAGAAGCTAATGAAGCCGTCACCGCAGCAATCAGACATGATATCATCACTTCCTCAATCAGGCATGTGATGATATCTTGTCTGATTGAGAAAGTGATGATATCATGTCTGATTGCTGCAGTGACGGCTTCTTCAGCTTCTTCAGAGACAAAGACATGATCAGCTTGTGGGGATTTTACTCTAGGAATTTGAGTGTTCTTGGATTTAGTTCTCAGGTGATATTTATCTAATGGTTATGGATAAAATTAAATAAAGTAGAAATCGTTCGATCAAAATTATAAAAAACCCAAACTGTTCATCAATACCAAACAAAACAAGTAAAAGATTATTTGCATGTAGGTATTATACCATATATACAGTTACTCTGAAGCAAAAAAGTACCTTTTATGAATATATCGGAAGCTACGCGCAGTTTTGTTATCTTTTGATTTCAACGTTCAATATTTCAACTCGTATATTCAGAATAGAGGCTTGGATCATTGTACCCTAGACAAAAGAAATATAGGTAACTAATAAGTCAAATTACAGATAAGAAAAATATCTTTTCTGTGGCTTAATCACGGTTCTGGTAGTGATCAAGTGCTTCGTTTAGATCTTTTCATTGAACTCCATTAACTGTATAAAGTATAAACGTTGCACAACAGCATAAATGTGCTTAATTCGTTTAAGATCCTCTTGTGACTTGTACTTGATTATCTTTCACTACATTTACTTTCCACTTTTTATTTGCTCAGAGAAGTTAATATTACAACAACAAATCATCACATATGCCATACTTGCTAAATTTCTTTACGTGTATCAAAATTTAGTTAAACAATGCCTATAATGCACAAAGCAATTGAGAAAAATTTCAACAAAAACGTTTAAAAGAGGAAATAGTTCCAGGAGAGAGGGACTGAATTGGCAGGCGCACAAGAAAGCACCTCACCGTTTGCTGTGACAACATATGTCTCCGGATCCACTGTGATGTTCGGAAGCGCATCGTTCAGTTTCATGTCGAGTTTTGTGAGCTGCCTCAGGTTTGATAAGTTTAACATGGTAACAAATATAAAATACGAAAACAAAAGATAACAAAACTGCGCATAGCTCGGGATATCCTCATAAAAGGAACTTTTTGTTTCAGAGTAACTTTATATATGGTATGACACCTACTCCAAATAATTTTTACTTATTTTGTTTGGGCACTGATCGAACGGTTTGTGCTTTATATAATTCTGATCAAAACTATATAAAGCATAAACCGTTCTATCAATACCAAAACAAAACAAGTAAAAAAAATTTGCAGATACATATCATACCATATATAAATATTTTAAAACAAAAAGTTTTTTATATGAATATATCCGTAGCTCCGCGCAGTTTTGTTATCTTTTGATTTCAACATTCAATTCGGAATAGAGGCTTGGATCATTGTACCCTAGTCAAAAAAATATAAGTTACCAATAAGTCAAATTACAGATAAAAAAGTAATATACAAACTACAAATTTATCAATAAGAGACAATATATATAAATTATACCATCTCATCACGGAGAATGATCTCTAGAAAATGTCCAAACCATTCTGTTTGATTTGTCCATCTTCGAACAACCTTAACGCAGATATGAAAATCGGATTTCATTTTTTGGAGCTCACTGAGAATATTAAAAATTGCCATGTCTATTAGTAAGAAGGATTATTGGTAAGAAGCTTTAACCCTTTCTCCGTCTCATTTATAAATAAAATATCTCATGTTTACATATCCCAGCTAGGAAAGAAATCTCAGCCAACTACAGCTGTGGTTTGTTTTTAATCAGCTTTTGGTATAATAATCTGGCCTAATTTAATACTGTCTTATCAACTGACATTTTGTTATGTCATGCGTATTGTTTTTTTTTTCTGTGGCTTGATCACTGTTCTGCTAGTGATTAAAGCTGGTGCACAAGAAAGCACTTCACCGTTTGCTGTGACAACATACGTCTCCGGATCCACAGTGATGTTCGGAAGCGCATCGTTCAGTTTCATGTCGAGTTTTGTGAGCTTCCTCACGTTTGATACCGCTACAACTCTTTTCTTGAGTCCATAAACTTCTTTTACACCGTTTCTCAAAGCAGCCTGAATTTAGGTAAGAATAAAGAAACTATACTCATGTTAACTGAATCAGTTGAAGAAAGAAAGGAAAGATATAGAGTGATGTGATAAAAGATGACATGCCTTGCTGACAAATGCAACAGAGTTTTCACTTCCGGCCTTTCCAAATGCTCCAAACATAGGTCTTGATATGACCTATAGCGTCGTCATAAGATAAAGGTAAAGAGTGTTATATTTTTTCATCCACATAATAGATAACATGTCAAGAGTGATGATTACCGGCTCAGGAGTTGGTATGCTAGCATTTGCATCGCCCATATTAGCCCAGGCTATATTGCCACCTTTTATTATCATTTCCGGTTTTGCTCCGAAGAAAGCCGGTTTCCACAAAACAAGATCAGCCAGCTTCTTCTCCTGCAGAATAGTGCTTTTCGAGGTTAAGTGGTTACATGACTTCCGTTATGCAGCCAAACTAGCATTTTGCATTATTCCTAATCTACAAAATCATAAATCCCTCTAAATCCATAAAGAATCTCATTAATGCAGGAGATAAGATATGAAAGCATGCAACAAGAAGAGAAATCTGTATATAGTAAGATATGAGACGTGTGTGTTTGAGGATAAGCGTACCTCAACTGAGCCAATTAAGTCAGCAAACCCATTGGCTATAGCTGGGTTTATAGTGTACTTTGCAATATATCTCTTTATCCTGGCGTTATCATCATCAGCTGTGTCAGGACCAATCACTCCCCTCTGAGCCTTCATCTTATCAGCAGTCTGCCAAGTTCTGCTTATTACCTGTAAAAACAAAATTGGAACGTATCAGCTGTGTCAGGACCAATCACTCCCCTCTGAGCCTTCATCTTATCAGCAGTCTGCCAAGTTCTGCTTATTACCTGTAAAAACAAAATTGGAACGTACAAGAGAAAATGCCACAAAAAAGTAAGCAATCTACGCAGATTCAAGTATTGATTTCAAAAAAAAAAATGTTTATGGTTTAGAGGGATGAACCTCTCCAATGCGACCCATTGCTTGCGAGTCTGAGGAGATGATGCTGATTGCTCCCATATCATGCAATATGTCCTCTGCTGCTATTGTTTCAGCTCTTATCCTTGATTCAGCAAAAGCTACATCTTCGGGGATGTTCTTGTCAAGGTGATGGCAAACCATCTGTTTGTGTTTCGCATATGAGGTTATTAACATGACAAAAGTATAGCAATTCACTACTAGTCGTATACTCTTGATAAAATATCATACCAGCATGTCAAGATGTTCATCTACGGTATTCTTCGTGTACGGCCGTGTTGGGTTGGTTGATGACGGGAGTACGTTTTTTACTCCACAAACTTTGATGATATCAGGCGCATGTCCACCACCAGCACCTTCGCTGTCCAGAAGAATTTTAAGAAACGAAAAAAGAAATTCAATATTTACTTCCAAAATAGGCAGTGACCCTTCTTTAGTATTGTTGTTAGCATCTAAGTGGTGAGATGCTAATGAACCTGTGGTATGTATGTATTGTTCTCCCTTGAAATGCATTGATTGTGTGCTCCACAAAACCCGATTCATTTAAGGTATCAGTGTGAATGTTCACCTGTCCAAATCCAAACAAGTGAGTACATTTTGGGGAACTGCCAGATTTTGTTTCTTAAAAGAGGATGTCAAGGAAAAGAGAAGACCTGGATATCATATTCTTCTGCAATTGCTAAACAATTGTCTATCGCAGCAGGAGTAGTTCCCCAGTCCTCATGCAGCTTCAATCCCATTGCTCCAGCCTCCAGTATGTGACGAAGCTCAACAGGTTTAGCTGTATTCCCCTAACAACGATACATTTTGCTAACCGTAAGAGTTCTAGTCAGCTATTGGTGTATATATCTGGAAAAGTGTGGACTTTCAAGAAAAAAGATAACAAGCATATCATTATCAAGAAGAAACATATCCCACCTTCCCTGTAAACCCAAAGTTTAGTGGCAAGCTATCCGTGGACTGCAGCATTAACTTCATATCAAACGGAGAAGGTGTGCAGGTAGTAGCACGTGTACCATAAGCAGGTCCTGTCCCTCCTCCAACCATAGTTGTAATGCCTGCAAATAACTATGACTTGAAGTCAAGTGATCTCAGACACTTGCAAACTTTATCTGATCTCAGACAGCACAAAAATATGCTCACCGCTTGACACTGCTTCATATACCAATTGAGGACATATGAAATGCACATGACAATCTATAGCTCCTGCAGTTACAATCATTCCTTCTCCAGCAATAACCTCAGTTTTACCCTAAAAAAATTAAACAAGAGGAGGTGAGTAGCACATAAAGATATTTACTGTGTATATATACAGTGAATTAAATTACCCCAATAAGCATATTGCTGTGCACGCCATGCATGGTATCCGGATTTCCTGCTTTCCCAAGACCAACAATATGACCGTTTCTAATGCCAATATCTGCCTTAAAGATTCCTGAATAATCAATTATCACACAATTGGTAATGACAGTATCCAAGGAAAGAGCCTCGGGTGTCTCTATTCCTTGACCCATGCCTTCTCTTAAAACTTTTCCACCTCCAAAAACACATTCATCGCCATAAACGGTATAATCTTTTTCGATTCTTGCATATAAGTTAGTATCTCCTAGCCGAAGCTTGTCGCCAGTGGTAGGACCATACATATTTGCATACTTTTCACGCGAAATTGTAGTTGTAAATCTAGGATCTTCCCCCACGATCCCCTCACTGCAAAGAATATTTAAAACGTCAATTTTTTTTAGTATACCAAGTAAGGTAACCATGTTAAAACCAAATCTTGGATCATAAATAAAGAGAAAATAATGAGGAGTTAACCTAGCATCGTCCTCTTCCAGGTGCTTAGAGCTGTTCCTCTCCATGGCTTCCATTACAACTGTCCAGTTGACATCATCAACCCGACCGTCAACAATTCCATTTCCTCCCCTTATCACTTTATGTCCACCAATATTCACAAGCACAACGCTTTTACTTTCTCCTGGCTACAAAAACCATAACAAAAGGTATCAAGTTAACAGAGTGTGTAATGGTAACAGCAAAGAATCCCTAAGGTTTTATATCTTAATCTTGGTTTTTTTTTCCGTATTCATTTCCAGGATAAGCACCGTCTGGATAGGTCACAGATGAGATATTAAAGATCTTTCTAATTGTGGCCAAATCAACAAGGTATATGAGAAATGAAACAAGAGAAAAGGAGATTCATAAACCAAACCTCAAATCGCACAGCCGTTCCAGCTGGTATGTTTAGACGCATACCAAGAGCTTTACGTCTGTCAAACACCAACAGTGGATTCACTTCAATAAAATGGTAGTGACTTCCAACCTGAAAATAGAAATCTTAAAAGTTAAATACAATCGTGAATCTATCTTTACAGTAAAAGTGAAACACGGAAGAAGCAATAAATGACAAAAATCAACACACCTGTACTGGTCTGTCTCCAGTGTTCACGACTTTCAGGACTACTGCTTTCCTTCCATGATTTATTATTATACTCCCATCTCCATATTTTATTTCGCCGGGAGCTACTTCATCATGAGCTTCTGGAAACTTATCCAGTGAAGGGACTGCGAAACAAGCCATTGCCATAACCATATCATAACCTCTCCACATAAATAACATTCCTACTTGGACTAACTTCTATCTGGCAATGAATATTATCATTCAAGTTGGTTTCTCCAAAAGCATAGATAGTAAATAAATTTTTCATTTAATGAGCTGAAAAGGATTCACTCTAAGCAAATTATTCCAAAACATTAGAAGCTAACTGTAGAAATGAAAGATTGAATCGAACCTGGAAGGAAAGATCCATGCAAAGCTAATTCAAGATTCCCGTTTTCACTGCAAATCGGTTCATGAACTGTGACTAGCTTTGTACCGTCATGAAATGTCCCTTCGACCTACAACACTATAACTAGTTACGATAACTTGACATTTCGTGAGCAAAAGGAACATAAAAAATCAATTGACCAATCGTGAAAACTCAATAGATGAAACCACCTGAACCGTATACAGAAGATGAACAACAGCAGGAAGAACCTGTCTCCTATTGGATCAAACAAGAAAAATGCAGCATTAGTCAAGTTATCAAACTATATAACACAATTGGATCAAAACTATATACAGTTTATCATCCTATCACCTTCCTAATAGTTGTCTCCCAATATCCATTAGCTCGGCCACGCTTTTCTCACCATCACGAATAAACTCAAGAATCTACACAATCATCATCAGAACCATAACTTTTAGAAACCAGTTTTGGGTATACAAGACACAAACTTGAGAACTTTACTTCGATAAAAGCATATTCGAAAATCAAAATCATTCAGTCTACAGAAGTCAGAACAACGGCCATGTACAGAAATGCGTATCTAATACTCAAAAGAAAATGCAAACAGAAACAGCTCAAATCATGAAGCAGCAGGATACGAGTAACCATATCGACTAATCTCTGTTGAAACTAGGCTCTTTCGGGAAATATATCTACGGAGACGACGATTGGAAACTCGAATCAGAAGCAATAGTGTTCGTTAAACTAAAATCGAAGAAGAGAGTACCTGAGTGGCAATGAGAGCTACAGCTTCGGTGTAGTTGAGCCTAATACCACGAGCAAGACGCTTCTGGGCAAGGAAACCAGCTTGATGAAGCCCTAACTTCTCCATCTCTCGAGGTAGCAACATCATTTCTCCCGATTTCCAATCGAATCGAATCCAATCCAATCAAGTTAACGGAAAATGCCGACAGCGAAGAGTCGACGAACGAAGACGGCGTCGGGAAACAGATCAACAAACGGTGGGAAGATTCCGTTGCCACGAATGCTTACGGCTACTGGTTACAGATTCAATTTGAGTAGGAGGAGAAGAAGAGTTGACTTGATCTCCGATTCGTCGTATTTATTTTTTCTTTTTCAAATATTCATTTTGTCAGTCAACTCGATAGGGTTTGATAATTTAATGAAAAAAATTCTGATACCGGTTGCCAAAATGCCATAACTTAAAATTAATTTCTTTTCCATTTTCTTTTAAATCAAAAGACAAGTAAAAGACATTAAAACCGGATGAAAGTTAAAGTATTTACGAATCCAACCAGGGTATTACCCGAAAACCATAAACCCGACCCAGTTTAATGGATTTTAACCCCAAATCCCTAAATTAACTGTATCGCCGTTTTGCAAGTAAAAAATTTAAATCACAATTCGAAATCACACAATTCGAAATCGACTGAAGAATCTCGTAACGGAGAAGTAAGTGAAGAACTATCGTGAATCTTGCAATGGTGTTGTTGAAAGCAACAAAGTGACGATGGAACCGCCGAAGTCGACAGAAGCGGAACCAACGAACCCGGAGGCGGAACCGTCGAACTCGACAGAAGGATCTGTTCCTTTCGTTCCGGAACCGATGAAGTCAACAGAACGTGACGGAACCGCGCCGAAGTCGACAGAAGCGGCGGAACCAACGAACCCGGCGGCGGAACCGTCGACTCGACAGAAGGCGTTCCTTTCGTTCGGAACCGACGAAGTCGACAGAACCGGCGACGGAACCGTCGAACTCGACAGAAGAGGCGGTTCGACAAAAGAACATGAATCTGCCGATAGAAGACGGATGGTGACAGGAGAGGCGGAAACCGGAGAAGCAATGCCCAAAGAAAAAGAAGCCCAAACTGAGGAGAAGATGAGCTCAGAAGGAGTTGAATCGGAAAAAGAAGATGAATCGGAAAAGAAGAAGAGCACGAAGAAGAGAAAGATGAAGAGGACGAGGAATTGTCTGGTGACGAAGAGAACAAGGTATTATCTTGTTTATTATGATTAATTGGATTAAGAGTTTGATAATGGAGATGATTGATTATAGTATCTATGGGAGTTTGACTAAGTTCAACTAAGTTCAACTATGTAGTTCTAAGTTCAACTAAGTTCAACTATGTAGTATCTTGTGATTAATGTTATTGCGAAGTAAAATCACATTGGTTTGTTTTAAATTTTTTTGAACCATGCAGGATGAGGAGATGAGAGTATAATGATGACAATGATGGCGAGGAAAATCGACAATCTCCACAACAGCAGGAAGAAATTCCTCAACCGGATCAAACCCCACCGGAAGAACCACTTCAACCGGAACAAACAGAAGACGCTGAAGCAATGCCTTCAGATGCACATGTCTCTTCTTTTGCACCGGTCATGGTAATGTATTTTTAGAAATTCAATTCCGCAATGCAAGTTCGAGTAAGTTCGAGTAGGTTCGGGTAAAAGTATAATTAGTAACACTACATTGTTTGACTTGGCGGCAGGTTGATGATGAATATATACCACTGCCACCAGAGAAGTTTTACTTTCGTCCAGATCAGTATAGAAAGAGTTGTAGGATATCATCGAGGTGTTATGTGAATGATACGGTCAAGGACATCAAGAAATTCCTCAGGCGTTGGAATGGTTTTCTAGTCATCCTCAGTTTAAGCATATCTTTCATATGCCTCTGGTGGAAAACCGTAAATCAAAAGGATTTTGGATGCTTCTTCTGCACCTAGCTTGTACTGATAGTGACAGAGAATTATGGTTTGTGGTTAATGGAGTACCTATTAGGTACTCCATTAAGGAGCATGCGCTGCTGAGTGGATTGGATTGTCATGACTACCCTAGCAACTATGGGGAGCTGAAGGACAAGGATGCCGGCGATTTCAAGTTTGTTGAAAAGTGGTTCAAGAGAAGGACCAATATTACCATAGCAGATGTGAAGAAGAAGCTACGGGAAAGTGAAGAGCGCTGTTAACAAGAAGAAGATGGCTGCGCTATATTTCTTAACCAATGTCTTGAAAGCGAAGTCCAAATATAAAGGAAACATAGAGCCATTCTTTCTCAAAGTCGTGGATGATTTGGACTTGTGCGAAAAATTCCCTTGGGGCCGTTTGACCTTTGATGATTTGGTAGATGAAGTTAAGAAAGTAGCGAAGAAGTTCAAGGGAGGCGTCGTCAACGAGAAGGATTCATGGACCTTTTCTGGATACATTCTTCCTATTGAGGTAATTCTTTTAATTATTTTCCTTAAATTTACGTGGATAGGGTCGTGATATTGTAGTACTCTCTATGTACAGGCTTTTGCGTATGAGTGCATTCCTGCGCTTGCTCGAACCTTTCGAGAACCTGTTCATGCAGAGAGCGACTGTCCAAGGTTGTGCAAGCACAATTTCAAAGCGACTTACATGAAAGGTTATCCACTGTCCGAGATAAACGAAGCAATTGGGAGCAATAGGGTGAGTATTTGTCATCATATAGTGTACTTTATTTTATCTTAATTGAGCAAGCTTATCATGAGTGTATTTAATGTGTTCATAATCGCAGGATATCATAAGCATCTTGGAACCAACCTCAGAGGAGGAAACCCTTATGGAGCGCATCATAGACCCTGGTTGTGATGATGGGATTGGCTACGTGGATCATTTAGTCGACCTTTGGAGAACCATCTAATCGTCCAAAAGAAGAAGATATGGTGGGAGTCTCTGTACAAGATTGACTTGGCCGGCAGAGGTATCACCGAGTTTGCAAATGAAGTACCAATGCAGGCACCTGACAACGGTGGATCAGTTCAGGGAATGATGGAAACGATGAAAGCTTTGATCGAGGAAGCAACAAAGAAGTTGGAGGATAAGATGGATGATGTTACCTCAGAGATTAAGGCAATGGTTGGGGACTTAGATGAGAGACTTGATATGGTTGAATGTTATGTCAATGAGCAACGAACCAAGAAGGCTCATGATAGAAGCGGAGCAAGTAGTTTTCCTCTAGGTTCTGCTTTTCGGACTCCGGCCGAGAAGTGGTAGCAGGGGATATAAGTGAAGAGAGGAGGAGGCGGAGGAGGAGGCGGAGGAGGAGGCGAGGAGGCGGAGGAGGGGAGGAGGGGAGGAGGAGGAGGAGGAGCAAGTAGTAGAACCGCCAAAGAAGAGAAGAAAAGAAACTCCAGCAGAGAAAGAGAAGAGGACAATCAGACCTTCAGCTATTCTCTCATCTCCATATGTGGCTGGTCAGGCAAATAGAAAAAGAAAAGCAAGACAAGTGGAAAAGGGAAAGGAGGTGCAAAGAGCCGTACAACACACGTAGGAAACAAGGCTGAGATGGCTTGTGTTTAGGAAGTTATGTATTGTGTACCATCTCTATGTTTTATGACTTTGGATTGTGTACTATTTCTGTTTTTGAGTTTGGTACAACTGTGTTTGCATAGGTTCGACTGTGTTTTTGGATGGTTCAAGTGTGGAACAATTTGTTTGGTACAACTGTGTTTGCATAGGTTCGACTGTGTTTTTGGATGGTTCAAGTGTGTTTGCATAGGTACAACTACGTGTGATGGTAAAGATGATATAAGTTTTAACTTGACTTCTTGTTTGACTTGTAATGATTTGTTTTTTGTTGACATGAGTTGCAAAGACATAATGAAAGGACATAATTAGAAAACACATAGTTAAAAATAACTAAAAGACATAATTAAAACATAATTAAAAGACATAGTTTGCAAACAAAGTTTACACAAATCTTAAACACAACTTAAGAAGACCTCTTAAGTAGTTTGAAAAACAGAGGTCTTCATCCGCAGCAACTAAATTGAAAAGAAGGTTGTTGTTACTTGAACCAAACTAAGAACCAAGCAAGGAGAAGTAAAACTGCAGCAATCGCAAACGTGCTCTCCACAGCTTTGTACTTCTTGTTGAAATCACCAATCACCAACTCCAACCTTGTAATCTCCGCTTTGCTCTGTTCATGTTCTTCCTTCAGGTCAGGAAATACGTTTCTCCGCAATACGCATGTCCATGATGATGAATGTTAGCTCGCCGTCCTTCAGCTCCGAGATTAACTCCTCCATTCCGGCACGGTGGTGAGTTTGAAGACTCTCAATTTCCCCAGAAACCCGCTTGATTCAGAGTGAAGTATTTCTAACTCCTCTTCAATCACACGATCCCACCACTTCCGAATATGATAACCGGGTTTCTACAATCAAAAATAACAAAGTTCACCATGAATCTAACAACCCTAAACCCTAGAAAGAACTACATTAAAAGAACCCAAACAACTAACCGCTCGGAATTCGCAGGAGAAGTATAGTTTTCCAGGGTCTTGTTCGGTGCGAGACGTTTCCCTAATGACCCTTCCACCGCAGTAACAGTAGCTCGGCATACCGTACTCACCATCTCTGATGGTATTTTCGTCGAGTGAGTATGAAGATGAAGACGAGGTTGCAACCCAACTGTGAGGTCCCATCTCAGAAAATGAGAGAGAGAGAGAGGAATCGAAGAGAGGAATTGAAGAGACAAAGGGAAAACCTAAGCGAGAGAGAGAGAGAGGAGAGAGAGTGAGATCGAGAATAAGAACCCTAGAAATCAATTTGGGGAAACTCCTTTGTTTTTCCTTTTTCTTCTCGTTCTTTTAAAGTATTACCAAATAATGAAAATTGCGGCGGAAATATAAAATAAAACAATTTAAAAAATAATAAGATTCCCGCTTACTTTTCCCGCCGGCGGAAAAGTTAAAAATTTGCAAAATTCGGGGAAAAATGGTCATAGTTGTACTCATGCCATTCGTCGAACCAAAATTAGACATAGTTGAACATCTGCGAGTTTTGGGTTTTTGTAGTAGAACCACATTTCAATGTGTAATGGTCAAGTTGAACCAATGATAGTTCATCTTATTTTATCATTACAAACATTATCATGTCAAAATTTTAGACAAAACTCGTTTTCTTCTTAATTTGAATCACATCATTGACACATTACCTACATATTCATATATTGTATAGGTGCTTGATGACTAACATGCTTATCCAGTAGGATAATTTTTTTTTTATCAATTTTTGTTCTTTCTATCAAATAAGTAGACATAAATATGTTTTTTTCTTAATTAACTCCTCTATATTGCATATCATAAATATATCACTAAACATTTGCCGTTCGTATATAATTCGAGCCGCATAGTCGAACCTATGGGAGCTAGTTGTACCAAATGTACTTGAAACCAAAACACGTCCACATTCACAGACGCAATGAACATTCTCTATACATGCGGGAACCTGGCAGAACCATATCAGAACCTAGTTCTGAACAAGTCGATTATCAGCTAATTCCATAACCTTTAGCATAATTCAGTAATTCCATAACCTTTACCATATTAGAATACAAACCCACATTATTTACATACTTGAACCTACTTGAACCTTGTAGAACCTTGTTCCGAAATTTTGATAATAAAAACACTGAATATTAGTACATACTTGAACCTGTTAGAACCCATCAGTACAACTTCAAGTAACACACTGCAGACAACATGACTGCAACATTGTTCACACAAACTTCATACAACATAATTAAAAACAAATTCAAGCGGTTAAAGCAAGCCAATTCAAATCCAAACAACATAAATACCAAATCCAAACAACAGAATTGCAATTGTTACTCGTTTGGAGGTTTAAAAAAAACACCCAAATCCTGATGAGGCTTACACTTGTTACTCGTTTTCTTCTTCTTCTTTTTACGACTTTCTCCTTCTGATGGATGTCGTTCTTCTTGGTTTCTTCCTCTTTTTGCTGTGTAATCAGGAGGATAAGCGAACAATTTCAGAACATCCTCCGGGATTGCCCAAGTTGAGATATGGGGCACTGTATAGATCGTTTTCACATATGCTCGTGCCCATGTCTCAACCAAATAGTATCTGGAGCACAAATCATATACAGAAAGAGTCGACATTCTTCCATCCTTCTTTATCTTTGCCATGAGTGCGGCAATTGCATGGACACACGGGTACTTGTCAATGTCAAACATTCTACACACGCAAGTTTTGCTCGCCAAATCCACAAGACATACCACACCATCTGAACCAAATACGTCGAACAGAAATTCCTGACCATTTACCTCCCTGACCGTTAAACGCTTAGCTATTGGACATCTTTCGTGAAGAACATTCTCCACAAAAGGCACAACGACCTTTGTACTTGGCATTGAAGCGCATTCGTTCCTATACTTGTTGGACCAAAAAGCGAATTTCTCTATTATCTTATCAAGCATTGGTAAGAGAGACAACTTTCTGTCTTTCCTAAACACACTGTTCATAGATTCGCAAGAATTGCTGGTGTCTAAGTTATACTTTTCTCCTTCAAAAATGCACCTTGCCCACCTTTCCACATCTATCTTGTCAACCAAAAACTTAGCACACGCAGGATACAGCTTCCTGAACTCATCAAACTCCTTTTTTAAACTCAGACCCAGTATAAGCATGAGCGCATATGATGAACTTATCAACAACATCGTCTTTCTTAACACCTTGCTGAGCATGCCCTTTTACGTTCTGAGCCAGATGCCAAATACAGTGTACATGGCGAGCCAATGGATAGACCTTCGAGACTCCATATATGATGCTTTTATGTCTGTCACTAACAAAAACGAGTTCAGGATCATCTGGTACAACAGCTTTCAGGTTTTCCAGAAACCATGGCCAACTACTATGATTTTCGCTATCAATTATCCCAAAGGCAATAGGGTAATGGTGATGATTAGGATCTTGAGCAGTGGCAAACACAAGCTGTCCACCATATACAGTCTTCAGAAACGTTGCATCCACAACTATCACTTTCCTCATCCACTGAAACCCTTCAATGCTCGCTCCCAAAGCAACAAACAGATACTCAAAATTGTGCAAAGCATCTAGTTGCACATTCGTTTTGCTTCCAGGATTTTCCTGCTCCAGCATGTACAGATAAGAAAATAACATCTTGTAGCCTTCTTCAGGAGTGCCTCGAACATCACTAACGTGTAGTTTTTTTCCTCTCAAGGCCGTTGAGTATGACACATTCACACCAAGTCTATGGTGAACAACATCGACAATTGTTTTTGGAACTGGTGTGTCAAACTGACCTGGATAGTCTTCATGCAAAACCGATGCCACTAATCGTGGGTTGCCTCTCCTTCGAGAGCTGTTACTACTTTCAACAGCCCGTGAGAAGTTGTGTTTGTTCCAGTATTTTCGGACACTGAAAAAATCTGATCCACCTTTCCTCGCAGCATATATATACCAATTACAGCATCCGCTCTTCTGAGTGCACCTTAGGATAAGTCGGCCAGTGTCAGACTTGTAAGTGCGGACACCAAAACAATGCTTGTGTGAAGCTCTGTCAACCAAATCTTGCAATGCCTCCTTTGATGGAAATTCTTGTTTTATTTCAAGACCAATATCATCTTCCCATTCTTCAGCCAACTTAATTTCTTCTACAGGACGTGAAAGCTCAAAATCCTCATCAAAGAAGTTTAACCCATCTTCCTTACTACATTAAAACCTCTATAAAGTAATAACGTTGGGACCACAATATTTTATTACTTTAGCGAGATTATTAATTTATCGAGGGATAATTAAACCAAAAACTGAATTCGGGACTTGAAAATTCTATTCATTTATCGAGGTATTACTTTATCGAGTATTACTTTATAGAGGTTCTACTGTATCTGGTTCTGGACGCTTCTCGTTGCCATCCTCTTCTTTACCATCAGACTCAACCTCTTCGATATGTGGCTCTTCAATATGTGGCTCTGGCTCCTCAACATGTTGCTCTCTGAATATGGTAACGACACCATCACCTCTGTCATTTGGAACTGATTCCTCCTCGTAATTCAAACCAAATGAACTTTCTGCATCCGTTCTAGACAGGTGGTCGCTCCTATGATTTGTTCTGTTCGTGTTCTTGGTTACCTCCACATGCAAAATCCTCCTAAATCCCAGATTATCAATTGTCGTTAGATAAGCAAATAGGTCTTCATCATCAAAAATGTACATCTCTCTCGCAGATTATTTGACATTGGAATGTAACTCAATTTCAGCAGCGGCTTAGCTCCATCTCTTGCAATCTTCCTGCATATCTTATCCACAATCGCTGAGTACGTAATCTCCTCCAAAGATGAGATCTTGAATGTTATAGCGCAAGTGGGATTCTTTGAAACCCATTTCAGTTCCTCTTCTGCATAATGACCTCCGTGGTCGAAAAATATGTTTGTGATGATCATGCTCATTGTAACCCTGCAAATATAATGAAAATAATCAATTCTCAATTACAAAACATCTCACAGTTGTACTATGTGTACCAGTTGAACTTTTACTACCATTACTTTTTAAAATGCAGTTGTACCTATATGAACCAGTTGAACCACTTAATCAACTAAGTCTCATTTGTACCACTCGTACCAGTTGTACCATCTCTGCAGGTTCCGATCTAGTTCAAATACAGTCCACTCGCTGCGATTCACAAGCTACATTTCTCAAAAAGCTTAATCTACCGCCTATTCTATCAATGCATCTATACCACTGGAATGCCTATATCCAATGAACCAATTTACGGATCCATGCACCAAACAAATTAGAAACTCACTTTCAATGGACTTGAAGCTTCAGCAGTGGTCAAACAAACGAATAGGGAACATCCACTGTCTACGGAGGTGAAAGAGGAGGCGGAATAGGTATAGATGAGCTCAGGTCGAAGAAGATTTCGAGTTCAGTGAATATTTTGAGTGAGAGAAGCGAGCTGAGCTCGAGAATTTCCGACCACTATTTCCGATTTCCGAAATCCAATCAATTCGATTGTTTTATTTTATTTTCTTTTTCAATTCTTTTCGATTTTTATTTATTTATTTTAAGTTATTGTTTTCATTAGATTTTAGAAAGGTGAAAAGGAAGAATGAGAGAGAAAAGAGTAATTGCACATCATCTTGAGGCATTAGATCATTCTTTGGCACACGAGATTAACTTTCGCCAAATTGTGGCAAATCAGCCGCGAGCTCTAATTTAATTGATATGATAAATTTAACCGGAAAATCAAATAAACCGGCCGGTTTATTACTACTACATTTCAAATAGAAAAAATGAACCAAAAATTCCACGCAGCCTCCATGACTCCATGTGATTCTCTTCTCTAGCATTCTCCACAGCTTAAGCAAGTTAGATTTTACCAAGAGGCTTCTACACCAAAATTGTTAGGTTTGTCACTTAGTAAGCTGATATCAACAAGAACATGTAGTATTAGTCGGCTCGCAGACTCAGTATCTCTTTTGCTGTTCTTAACCTGAAGTATGCCATGTCCTTCTGCAAAAGATGGAAAAAAAAAATAAATAAACATGTTTTATAGCAGTCTTAAGTCTTAACACAATGTTTCACCACTCACGATTTGATTGTTTGTATTGATATGGATTCAGAAGCCAACGCAAACCTTTAATCAATTTACCTGGCTAAAACTTAGCTTCAGTCCTCTACTGTAAAAATCTATGTATTTAAGCATAAACATCCCACAGTCGTACCTGCGAAATCGCAATTATAAAAGCTATTAAAGAGCGGTTGCATTTGGTTGCTGCGTTCGATCATAATTTACAAGGAGCAAAGCAAGCTTGTAACCGATTTTAACGATTCTACTTAAAGGCAAAAGTGGAATTACGTACCCATTTTGTTGTAGAGGAAGGTCTTTAACACGTTCCGTTGCCCATAAACTAACGTCTATATTCTTTTGACTCTTGTCCTTCACTTCATCCACTAAGTACTTAGCCTGAAACAAATAACGATTGGCATTAGTTATTAACATCTCCAAAATGAAAATGGTACAAAATTTGTGATCAAGAAGCTATACCAGAGACTTAAATATCGTAGGATCAAATCCTTGTAGTGAATCAAGGTACTGGAACTTGCTTTCTCTGATGTTAATCACTGCCAGGGTCCAATGTAAACGTCCGTGGATCGGAACAAATATCTACACAGGTTCATCGTCAAAACTTGTTTTGTAAACTTTACAAAAGAAACTCAAAACTTCTTTAGGTTCTGGGAGAAAAACTCACAATATCACAATCCGTAAGATTATATCCCAGCTTTCTCTGTGTAGTCCATCTCTTGACCGCTGCGTAATTGTAACCGGAACGGCCTGCTGCTAGCTGAACAAATGTGAACATAAGCATGTGAACATAGACCTGTATTTGTTGAAGCATGAGAGCTAAAACTGGAAGCAAACAAACCTTTTTGTAAAAAAAGGTACTGCAGAAATGACACTTTAAGTACTTATGAGGTTCTCTAGTCTCTCTCTCTTTCAGCAAAGCGAGATAGAGATTGATGACCTATAAAAACAGAACCAATTGTAACATTGATACATCAATTCAAAACTGGAAGATGCAACAGAATGATAATGAAAGAAAGAAGTACCTCATCGTTAAGCCAAGCACCCGGTTTGAGGCACTGTAAAGTTTCTCCAGTAATATCAATGTTGGAGTTTTCATGCGAAGCCAAGACCTTCGTTCTGAGATTGCAATACCAATTGATTAAAATTTGTAAACCAGTCAATCACATGAGGTTATGAAGCTTCTCAAGTACCTATCTCTCCCAGAGAGTGTACGTCTGACTTTAGCTTCTTCATCCTTGGTAAGCGGTAGAAAAGTTTCATTTGAAACCTTCAATAACAAAACAACCTCCATAACTTATAGAACTATAAGCCTAACTATAACTCATGATTGCAGCTAATGGACGCAACAAGGAAGCTATTGAACTTGTGGAATGTACAAAAGGCCAATATATGAATCAACCAGATCACTCTATGATTAAAAAAACCAATTATAAGCATGGATTTTAAAGAACAAGTAAGTAGATTGGAGCAAGAAGAGTATATAAATCACCTCAACATGCTTTTTCGCCAAACGGCGAGACCGACGACGCAAGACTAGTCTCGAGTTGATCCCATTTTTATCATTTCGAAGACCCCAACTTGTAGATTCTTGCTTAACCAAATTTTCACCCACTCGAGGCTTTTGCTTTTTCACCTTACGGGGAGATCGATCAAGCAATGATAGTCTCGAGTTGATCCCATTTTCATCATTCCTAAGACCCCAAGTAGTACAACATACCTCAACCTTATTTTCACCCACTTTAACTTCTTTAAAGCTTGAATCTTTCGTAATGGAATCTCCCTCTTCATCACTCAACTGCACAACTTCCTTCTCCTTCGATGTGGGTTTCTCTGCGTCAAACTCCAGACCACGAAAACTGACTTCTCCACCGCTAATCTCGGCATTTCCAGAGCAATCTCTAAGTTTCGCCTTCTTTTTCTTTTTCAAGACTGAAACACGAACAAGTGAACTGAATCTAAGAGCTCCTCTGCCACAGGAGTGAAATTTTCGTCCAAAGGAAGAGACTTTCGTGGCTGGTTTCTTTGACAATCTTGAAACTGTAGCATTGAGAGACGAAACTGAATCAGCCATTAGAGATCGAATTCGAAAAGATAGCAATACGTTTTTCCGTTGCCAAAGCGACTAGGAAATAGGATTATGAATCGCCAACGGCACGGCAAACGAGACATTTTTCGATTTTCAAAGTGTCGTTTCACAAAAAGTACTTTTAGTCACCCACGCGAGCGATTAATACAGTCATAAGTGTCTTTTTAAAACCGGCGTTTAGGGTTCTTACTTCTCATAAATACTAAATACGACCCCAAACTCTTATTGATTACATATTATGTTTAACTAGAAATTTGATAATGGAAAATCTCGGCATGAGCTGAAAAGGATTCACTCTATGCAAAGTCTTGCAAGAAAATTAGAAGCAAAACTGTAGAGTGAAAGATTGAATCCAACCTGGAAGGAAAGATGATCCATGTAAAGCTAATTCAAGATTCCCGTTTTCGCTACAAATCGGTTTATCAACTGTGAGTAACTTTGGACCGTCATGAAACGTCCCTTCGACCTACAACACCTTAACTAGTTATGATTACTTGACACTTGGTGAGCAAAAAGGTACATAAAAAAAGCAATTGAGAACTTTACTTAGATAAAAGCATATTCAAAAACATTTATGTGCAGAAATGTGAATCTATCCTCAAAAAGAAAATGCAAAGTGTTATAGAAAGTCGATGAAGACAAACAGAAACAGCTCAAATATAGAAAGTCGAGCAACCATAGTGACTAATCTCTGCGAAACTAGGCTCTGATATCTCTGGAAACGACGATTGGAGACGCGAATCAAAAGTCACAGGAATGAAATCGGAGAAGAGAGTACCTGAGTGGCAATGAGAGCTACAGCTTCGGTGTAATTGAGCCTAATACCACGAGCAAGACGCTTCTGGGCAAGGAACCCAGCTTGATGAAGCCCTAACTTCTCCATCTCCCGCGGTAGCAACATCATTTCTCCCGATTTCCAATCGAATCGATTCCAATCAAGTTAACGGAAAATGCCGAAAGAAAGGAGTCGACGGACAAAGACGGCGTCGGGAAATAGAGCAACAAACGGGAAGATTCCGTTGCCACGAAGGCTTACGGCTACTGGTAACAGATTCAATTTGAGTAGGAGAGGAGACGAAGAGTCGGTTTGAGTAGGAGGAGAAGAAGAGTCGGATTTCTTTTTTCTTTTTCAAATATTCATTTTGTGAGTCTACTCCAATACTCGATAGGGTTTAATAATTGATGGGAGAATTGGCAATTTACCCCAAATTGAAACTTCTTTTGTCCCACTACACCTTCCCGTTTCCTCTTTGTCCCAATACCTTTTTTTTTGACATTTTTCTCAGTTTTGCCCTTCATTTTAGTTTTGTTTCCATTTTCGTTTTTTAAATTAAAATATATTAAATAAAAATAAAATTAACAAAACTAAACTAATTAAAAAATAAACCGAAAAAAAACAAAACTTATTCTCTCCTTCTCTCCTTCTCTCGCGACGGCGCCGAGGCGATCGATAACCTAATCTCAATCGATTTCGTCATGATGAGAGGAAGGAAGAACGTGATGTTTTGGATAGTTGGAGGAAAAAAAGGAAAGAAAGATTTGAAAAATATTCAGTTGCAATATTTTCTCGATCTTCGCAGAAGATGAATTCTACAAAACCGTAGACGACACTAGTTTTGCTAGATTGTGTACTAGAAACACGAGTACTACGGATCGTAGAAAACATGGTTTTAGTAGAACACTACTTCTGCGGGATGTAGAGTAGACAAAAACACGTAGAATACGAAAACTATTTCTTGTAGATAGCAGTGTTTCGCGTAGAACGTAAAATCTACGAGTAGTAGAAGATACTTGATTGAGTAGAATACATTTGGTGCGAATTCTACAAAATGGTAGAGCCTATAAGAGTAGGTAGATATCAACTTCTACATCCGGAAGAGGTATGAATAAGTTGTAGATATTATGTTCTACGGAGGTTAGACCTCTGAATATCTTGCAGAAAACGAATTCTACTTTGTTATTTTAGTTTTGTAGAATGAAACTTGAAATATTTTTTTAAATATCATAAGCATTTTCAAAAATGTTCAAAAATTTTACACAGTGCTAAAATGATTTTTAGGAATTATGGCATTTTTTTTCACTCCAAAATACATTTAGTATGAGTTTATAAATAAATTGAAGGGCAAACTTGACCAAAAAAGACCAAAGTCAAAAAAGGTGTAGTGGGACAAAAAAGTTTCAATTTGGGGTAAATTGCCAATTCTCCCATTGATGATCCTACTTGATAGCCTTGCTGGTTCTTAAATTTAATCCAGAAAAGGGAATGAAAGTATATCAAATTTTTGTGAAAAAAGTCCACTTAAAGATCTCTTAAGCAATCTTCTGAATTATATGTACATTTAAGCTTGTCAATCATATGGTTTTTTTTTTTTCATATGGTTATTCAGTTAATCTAGAAACTATAATCATATGACTTAAAGCGGATTTGATTGGATTGTGCTTAGATTATAATCCAATCTAATCTATAAACTAGTAAAAATTAGTAAAATGCAATAAGATAATAGGATAATAAGAACTTCTCACAAAACTCATATGCAAATATATGGTTTCAGTCATAACACAAGTTAGTATAATTATATAAACTTATGCATATATAATTTACTTAAATATTAATAGTCTTGTGTGTTTTCTTCTTAAAGTTTATAAACTTATGCAATGTGTTTTGATCTAATAAAGAAAATTCTATTAATAAACAATGCAATGTGTTAGGAGTATATTTCTGAGTTAAATATAGAATTTTCTTTATTAGATCCAAACGCATGATTGATGTCGAGGCCACCATAGAAGGAAAAAAAGTGTTCATCTCATTTATCTATGGTGATCTGGTCATTGATGGCCGAGAAAGTTTTTGGGATCGTTTGAACCAGATTAGCCTTACCCGACATGGACCATGGTTAATGATTGGGGACTTTAATGAATTAACTGGTAATCATGGGAAGAGAGGAGGCAGAAGGAGATCAGAATCTTCATTCTTACCTTTTAAACGTATGCTTGATAGCTGTGGTATGCTAAACTTCCCCTACAAAGGAAATTCTATGTCCTGGGTTGGCTACAGAAGATCTGGAAAAGTTCAATGCCGCTTAGATAGAGCGGTTGGAAATGAAGATTGGTTTCAAGAGTTTTCCCACACCACTGTGGAGTATTTAAAATTATGGGGTTCAGACCATAGGCCTGTACTAGCAAGAATCTCATCAAAGTTTATTAACGTGAAACGAAACTTTAAGTTTGACAAAAGATGGCTAGGGAAGACAGGCTTGAAAGCATCCATAATAGAGGGATGGGATCCTCTGCATACCTCGGAACAGGGAGACGTGTATTCCAAGATATCTTCATGCAGACAAGCCATCTTGAGATGGAAAAAAACGAATAAGTCAAACACAGTCAAGAAGATAGAAGAGATAAAAGCTCAACTAGAACAGAACCAAACAGATGGTAATGGGACAAGTGAGGAAGCCCTAAAACTGAAATGGGATCTCTGCTCAGCTTTTAGAGACGAAGAGCTATACTGGCGACAGAAAAGCCGAGTAACTTGGTTAAGAGAAGGAGATAGAAATACCAAACTTTTTCACGCTACAACCAAGCAAAGGCGGGCACGAAATCGCATCATAAAACTAAAAAAAGAAGATGGGTCATGGGCTGAAACGGACAAGGGCATAGAAAAAGTGGCTACAGAATACTTTTCACCTCTTCAAATCCCAACAACTTTGATGAATCTCACCGATACGTGACCGAGAAAGTCACTCCCACTATAAACCAATCTCTTACAAGAGCTCCATCAAATGATGAGATCAAACAAGCTATAAACGAGATCAATCCACACAAGGCACCGGGTCCTGACGGTATGACAAGTCTATTTTACCAAAAGTTTTGGGATGTCATTGCAAAGGATATCATACATATGGTTAGGAACTTCTTCTCCACGGGCACTATTGATGTCCGCCTAAACCAAACCAATATCTGTCTCATTTCCCAAGACAGATCAACCAAAAGAAATGGCAGAGTTCCGGCCTATAAGCTTATGCAATGTATGTTATAAAATCATCTCAAAAATTCTTTGCAAAAGACTTAAGAGATATCTCCTGAAGCTCATCTCGGAGACACAATCAGCCTTTGTGGCTAGACGTCTTATCACAGTCAATATTCTTATTGCTCAAGAAGCTTTCCATGCTTTACGCACAAACCCCATATGCAAATCCAAATTTATAGCCATTAAGACAGACATGAGCAAGGCATATGATCGGGTGGAATGGAACTTCTTGGAAGCTTTAATGTTAAAAATGGGTTTTTCAGCAAAATGGGTTTCTTGGATGAAGGCTTGTATCTCATCAGTTTCATACCAAGTACTTATCAATGGAGAAGCCAAAGGACATATCAACCCATCAAGAGGCTTAAGACAGGCGATCCCTTGTCACCATTTTTGTTTATCATCTTGACGGAAGCCCTAGTAGCTCAACTGCGAGGAGCTGAAGATGAGGGACGCATCACGGGGTTGAAAATAGCACGTAACTGTCCTTCCATATCTCATCTCCTTTTCGCTGATGACTCCCTCTTTTTCTGCAAAGCAGATGTCCAGCAATGTGCTGAGTTGCTTAGAATCATACAAACTTATGGCCAAGCCTCGGGACAACAATTAAACACTTCAAAATCTTCGATTTTCTTTGGACATAAAGTTCCTCCACACATTCGATCGGAGCTCAAACGCACTTTGGGGATCACAAAAGAGGGAGGAATGGGGATGTACCTAGGCTTACCAGAAAAAATTTGTGGATCAAAGAAACAGGCCTTTGCCTTCATTCAAGATAGACTGAGCAAGAAAATCAACTCATGGTCCGCAAAACTCCTGTCGAAAGGTGGAAAAGAAGTCCTCATCAAATCAGTATCTCAAGCATTACCCACATATGTGATGTCTTGCTTCTTGTTACCCCAAGACATCATTAAAAAACTTCAGAGTGCTATAGCAAATTTCTGGTGGAGTACCAAGCAAGAAAGTAGAGGTCTGCATTGGGTGGCATGGGAAAAACTATGTTTGTCACATGAGAAAGGGGGTCTAGGCTTCCGTGATCTTAAGAATTTTAATCTGGCGCTTTTGGCAAAGCAACTGTGGCATCTTCATCGCTACCCAAGCTCTCTATTGGCCAGAGTCCTAAAAGGAAGATATTTCTGGAAGTCAAATCCCCTAGATGTAACAAAAGCAAACTCTCCCTCTTATGGATGGAATAGTATGATGGCGGCTAGAGATTTGTTGAAAAAAGGTTTAAGGAGATCAATAGGTTCGGGAGCAAATACAGTAGTCTGGCGAGATCAATGGCTGCCAATGTGTCCGCCACGGACACCAGTTGGAAAGGACGTATACAAGGATCCGTATCTACTGGTTTACCATCTGATCGATCACCATCGGAAAGAGTGGAAACTGGAGGTCCTAAGACGATTGTTTACTGAAGAAGAGGTCAAATCCATCTTGGGGATTAAGCCTAGTCGCCTTATGCAAGCAGATGACCTAGTTTGGGCGTATACTAAGTCTGGAAACTATACTGTTAAATCAGGCTACGACCTAGCTGCTCAGCAAAAGGAACAAATAGGAGCCCCACAAGTCCTTGAACCAAGCACTAATGCTTTTTAAAGTTTGGGGTTTGAAGACTACGAAGAAGATTAAACATTTTCTATGGCAAGCTCTCTCTGGATGTGTCGCGGTGCGAGACCGGTTAGCTGATAGACACTGCGGCACGGACCGTTCTTGTCCACGATGTATTACAGAACCAGAGACAATTAACCATCTACTTTTTGAATGTCCGACTACAATTCAAATCTGGCGCGAAACAGATTTCCCTGTGACTCCGGACTCCTTCCCGAGTAAAGCGATCTTCACCAACTTTGATTATCTACTATGGCGCGCAAAAGAAATGAAAGTGTCTGACCAAGCCCTGGAACTCTTTCCATGGATCATATGGCAAATCTGGAAAGCCCGGAACACAAAAGTCTTTGACGACAAGGACATCGATCCCATAGATACATATCAACTTGCATATGCCGAAACACAGGCTTGGCTTGCGGCGCAAACTTTGGAAGAGATGACAGAAGAACATACATACACGGAGCTAGGACTAAGTCAAGAGGAATCTCTACCTGTTTACCCACGATGTCAAACTGATGCCTCTTGGGGTGTCGATAGTCCATTCATGGGTACAGGTTTCATTATCGAAAAGGAAGAAGGAGACTGCATTTATGGAGCTTCCTCAATGCATCAGGTCATGTCACCTCTACATGCTGAATTTGCAGCGCTCCTATGGGCTATGAAGGTTTCCTTGGAATTGGGACACACCTCACTCCATTTCGAGACAGATTGCCTACAGCTGGTATCAATCATCGAGGAAGAAGAAGATTGGCCGTCATTGGCTTCGGAATTAGACGAGTTTTTCTTCATTCGTGCCTCTTATACTTGCTTTACTTTGTCTTTTATCCCACGTTTGTTAAACGTCCGTGCCGATTGCCTATCCAAAGGGGCACGAGCACGAGACTCCATTTGTACTCATGTAGACACTTCGATTCCAAACTGGGTAGCTCACCAACCTCTCCTCTTTGGTTAATTCAATAATACATGAGTTTTGACGTCAAAAAAAATAATAGCTACAATTTTTTTCAAAATTTTGAACTTATGATCTGTATTGTTTATATACATAGATAATCCAGTGGGCTAATAACACATTTAATGTGACATCTAAGATTTTTAATCACAACCTCGGGTTCATGTATGTTAATTTAATTTTTTTAAATTATCTATATTTTTTTAATATAACATCTTTTGAAGAACAATTTTCGGTAATTCTGGACTAAAAAAGTCATCTACATCTCTATAAAATTAGGTTGTTTATTAAGTTTAAAGCTGATTTTTCTTATCTTGATACTATTTATGATTTAGGACAAATACACGAAAAACGGACGAATTAACTGTGTTTGTTAAATCAAAGACACAGCTAAAGCTGCTCAGGGCTAGTGATTTGATTGAGTTTATTCTTGTTGCATCTTGTTTTGCTTCTAATAGTAATAAACTTTTTTGTGTTTAGGTTCTATAGTATTTGTGTTGAGAACAAAGTCATCAGGAATAAGCATGCAACTCTTTCTTATTCTTTTTTTTCTAAACTTTTAAACTTTGAAACTCTTTTCTCACTATAAACAGCAAAACAAAAAACCTAAGTTGATCTCACTATAGTTTGATCTTTGAAAATTACTTTATCGGATACTAATTGTTGATTAGTCTAAGCTGAACAAGTTGGAAATCTTATTTCGATTCTAACAGGTCAGAAATATTTTTTCGTTTATAGATTATAGTCTAAATACTAATCCAATCCAATCAATAAAATTAAGAATTCATATTTCATCAAAATTTAACTTGATGAAGTATAAATTCTTAATAGTCTAGCATTGTCTTATTACCCAAATTCACCAAACATTTGCTCACGGTTTTGATGTCTCCCACCTTCTTCCATGATCCCATACCAGAACGAACTTTGCGGCTAGGTTTGTTGGACGCTGCATTCAGTCGCTCCATGATCACAAAGTATCAATAATGTCTTTGAGTGATTTGATCGAGTTTATTCTTGTTGCATCTTGTTTTGCTTCTAATAGTAATAAACTTTTTGTGTTTAGTTTTTATAGGGTTCGTGTGGAGAACAAAGTCATCAAGAATAAGCATGCAACTCTTTCTTATTCTTTATTATATTTCTAAACTTTTAAACTTTTTTCTCACTAAACAGCAAAACAAAAAAAAAAACTAAGGGCTTTCGACATTTGAGTCTTTCTCAAACGCATTAATAGTTTGATCTAGGCCCGGGCATTTTTATCCGGACCCGAAATACCGAACCGAACCCGACCCGAAATAAGTGGAACCGAACCGAACCGGAACCGACACAAATACCCGAATGGGTCCAAAATTTCTATACCCGAAAGAACCGGACCCGAACCGGAACCGAACCGAAAACCTGTGGATACCCGCAATATTCAAAATATAACTATATATCCAAAAATATTAGTTATATTTAGACTTAAAATAACCAAAATATATAAAATTATAATTATAAATCTAATATAATAGTTATATTTAGAAAACAATAACCAAAATATTCAAAGAAATCCGAAAATCTTTATTTATGGTTGTTAATATTCAATATTTTTTTCCGAAATTTTGTTAAATTTCGTATAAGTTAAACAGTTTTTATTTTTATTTTATATTTTTTTAACAAAAGTTTGAATATCCGGAACCGATCCGAACCCGGGCGGAACCGAACCGGACCCGACCCGAAAATAAAAAATACCCGAATGGTTCTAAATTTTCTAGAACCGAAAAACCCGAAACCCGAAAGGAACCGACCCGAACCCGACCCGAATAACCGAACGCCCAGGCCTAGTTTGATCTTTGAAAATTCCTTTATCGGATACTAATTGTTGATTAGTCTAAGTTAAATAAGTTAGAAATCTTATTTCGATCCCAACAGGTCGGAAATATTTTTTCGTTTATAGATTATAGTCTGAATACTAAATCCAATCCAATCAATAAAATTAAGAATTCATACTCCATCACCGGATCTCTTGAAAAACTTGGTTGGAAATTAAGAATTCAAACTCCATTAAAGGTAAGTAAACTGTTGTTTTCTAAAATGAATATGCATAAAAAATTATAGTTTTCCTGTAAAAATTTATAAATAATTTTTTAAAAAGACGTGTAAATTTATTTTACTTTTCAGCGTATCAATTAAACAAAAAAAGCCTAACCGCTCAATAAAAAACAAAACTAAGCTGAAATCCAGATTAACCGCTCGCTTTCCCCTAACGGTAAAGCTACAACGTATAAAATCCTCAAACCAATCTAAAATTTTCTCAAACTTTCCCATCTTTTCCCGGAAAAAATTTCACAGGCGGAAAAAAAAACAAAATCTTCTCCTCTCAAATCTCAATTTCCAAGCTCTGGATCACCTGCATTCCTCAAAAATGGTTTGTAATTATACTCTGCTCCTACTCTCGTTATCTCAAATATCCTCATCATGCTGGTTAATTTTGACAGGAGCAACCGGCGAGAAAGAGGCCAGGACACAGACCTCTAGAGACTTGCGGCGGCGCGATGCTCGCGACGGTCCGCGTCGTATACACGAGAACCCAGACTCCGAAGAATCCGGCCTCTTACTTTCTCCAGAAACTCTACAAATCTCTCATCTTCCTCGTTTCCCTCACAAGTCCCATCCACCGCCACTTGCTAGCGATTCTCTCTATCGCAGACGATCACATCCTCGCGTTCCAAGACACGATCGAAACCTACTTCCCTTCCTCCACCTCCGCCTTCCTCAAAATCTCCGATCTGCTCACCATCGCGGAGAGATTCCCCAACAAACTCGACGGATTCCTCAAGAAACTTCCCGGATTGATGAGCAGAGCCGCGTGGATCGACTGGATGCTGATTCACGCCATCTACTGGCTTGGCTCTCTAGTTAACCTGTTAGGTCGTTGGAGAGATAAGAACAAGGGGACGAGTGAGAAAGAGATCACGGTGGATAAAAGCTTTAGCAGATCAGGATCGTCTATCTCTGAGGAAGAAGAAGAGAAGAATAGATTGGAGAAGAAAGCAACGTATAAAGAGGCTTTACAAAGAGGAAGCAGCGGAGAAGACGGCGGAGGAAGCACCGGCCGCAGCAGTCGTGGCGATCCGATATTGGAGCTGTTTGAGAATGGTTGGATCCAGAATCCTATCAAAAGAAGTAGTAAAAGCGCCGATTCTCTCACCTTCTCGCGTTCTGATTCATACGAGACTTCGACCTGAGGTTTTTATCTATAGAACGGTTCAGAACTCCAAACCAGAGTTCTTGAGCACTTTGTGCTAGCTGGTCTGTGTCTTAGTTCGACATTTATAAATTTGTATTCATTTTTTTTGTAAATATCATATTTGTAACCTGAATGTTCTTTTGGATAAAAATCATAGAAACATAACAAGCCAACTAAGTGATTTCAAGAGAATTGTGTTACTTGTTAAAATTGGTCTTCATGTCTTAGTCCATCTTAATAACATTTTTGTATACAGTACTTTGTAAATGTCATGTTCTAAGTAACCTAACCTGTCTTTATGGATAAAACTTCATAAAAACACAAGAAAGCCAAGTTAAGTGAATTCAAGAGGCTTATGTTATGTTAAAATTGGGGTTTTTTGTTTTGTTTTATTATATTAACCTGATATACATTTTTCTTTTTTGGCTAACCAAAAAAAAAAAACAGCAAAAATCGAGTGTAGTGATCACAATGTGGCTCTGTACATATTTTCTTCTCTATGAGACTTTGTAAGAGGGAAAGTAAAAAAAGAAACACAAAGCTTTTACATACAAAGGTTGTACATTGTGACATTTCTTCTTCTCTCCTCACTTGTGAACGGAGTAGCTTTTCTTCCAGAAGAAACTAAACGGCCTAGTCAACGACTTCCTTCTCGACATCGATTTAGACAAGACTCTCGGTTCATACTCCGCCGCCGAAGCTGAAGCAGGAGCCGCCATCGGTGCTGATAAAGATTTCCTCGGAGCTTCCTTTTGCAACGGTTGTTGTTGTTGTTCATCTCTCTTAGGAGACGGATGGTCCCGTTGCTGCCTCTGTTCTCTAAACAGCATCAAAAGCCTCTGAGACTTCTCTCTCCCTCTCGGAGTCCCGTTCACCGAGATCGACACTAAAGACGGAATCACACCTTCTTGCAGCACCATCTGGATACAAGACTCTCTTCCATTGCAAAGAATCAAAAGGCAAGAAACAGCTTGCTCTTGCTCCAACGTATCTCCCATGTCCAGCACTGTTGCTAAGCTACTAATCATCCCCTGTGACGACACCGCCTCGTCTTTCCCTTGCTGGCTCGAAGCAAGATTCAGCAACACGGCTAGTGACTTCTCTGTCCACAGATGTTGTTCACCTGTTGATGATAGAAGACCTTGAAGGCTTTTGATGATGTTAGATGAAAGAAGAGCAGAGATGTTTGGTGGATGTGTTGAAAGGTTGTAAAGTGCGTGAAGAGCATCAAGCTTGCATTCTGTTTCGGCTTCTTCTCCTTGAAGGAGATGGACAAGGAAAGGCACTGCTTGGCTTGAACCTATCACTGACTTGGCTTCCTCGAGACATGAGAGGTTAAGATAAAGCGCCGTTGCTGAAGCTTGAGACTCAAAAGAAGAGATCATTCTCTCCAGCAGTGGAACCACACCTGACGTTAACATCATCTCTTTGTTCCTGCAAAACCATTCAAAACAAGAAAGTTCACAAATCTGTTATTAACATTACTAACATCAACAAAAGATACACCAACCTGTTGTTGTTGACTGCTAGATTGAACAGAGCCATAGCTCCACTATCCTGCGCTGCTACATTGTTTTCATCAACAGCTGATTCCAAGAACCGCAACAAGGCTTCCACAAAACCGTTAGCTCCCATGAAGATCCTTGCTTCTTCATCATCCTTAAGCAACAGCCTGATCTTCTCCACAACCTTTCCCTTTTTATCCATGTCATCATCTTCGTTTAAGATAGCCAACAAATCTTGATTCCTCTCAAGCACATCATCATCAGACACACAACTCTCTTCTGTGTTAACATTAGTAACACCATTCTCCTCCAAAGGAACAATCTTTACACAAGAGCCTATACTGTTGACAGACTTTGAGTTTGTGGACTCTGAGTCAGAGAGAGCTAGTCTCCAGTACTCAGCGTCTAGTGATTCCGGCGGTCCACTAGGGATTTGAGCTCCGTTCTGTTCACACCAGCTGGCAATAAGACCTTTCACACAGTTATTAGGAGTCAAGGAGAGATGAGGGAGCTGCTGTTGAGTCTTAGGGCAAGTGTTGTGACCATCACCAAACCATTTCTCTATACAAACACGCTCATAAGTCTGCCCTGAAGCTATAATCACAGGATCACACATAAGCTGCAACGATATCGGACACCTCAGCTCTTCAGGCGGCACTGGCATCTGTCCTGACCTCGGACTGTTGTTCATCGGTTTATAGTTCATAGAGCCAAACCTAGACAACTGACGACCAAACCCGTTAACACTCGTTCGGTCTTCATTATCAGTGGGAGAGTTTGGTGTTGAGTCGTTCTCATCTGAGATCTCGCTTCTGAACAGCTTTGAGCATTTTCTCATAAGGTGCAAGAGATAAGCAACGATTGACTCTTTACGCTTGTCTTCCTCTGCTCTTGCTCTGTCGATGAGTTTCTTCAGCGCTCGTCGTTCCGCTAGAGCCACTCTAGAGGAAGTGATGCTGAGTCTTGTGGCTGCTCGGTGGAATGTTTCGAGCTCAGTGTTGTCGTTGTTGCAGCTGCTGTCGAATTTTTTGCCTTGTTGGAGCAGTGCGATGATCTGGTCGCCGACTTCTTTCTCTGATGGGTCAAGCAAGAACCTTGTGTTCTCTAGCTCACCAACAATCTCCAAAATCTGAAAAAAGACACCCAAAGAATCAGACTTGATGTTGATGATGACAAGAATATGCAGTGAGCTGAATGAGAATTTGTACCTGTGATCCAATTGAGCTAGGAACAATGTCTTCTACGCGTTTAAGACTGTCGATGAGAGATGTTTTCGCCTTCTCGAATTTCAAAAGAACAGCATCCCCTGTAATGGCCTGTTAAGATAAGAGAAAATGTGAGAGTCATCCAAAGAAAAGAGATAGAGAGAAGGAGAGGAATAAAGAAGGAAGCTTCACCAAGTAAAGTTTGCTACACTCAGAGCAGTGCTGAAGAATATTCTTTGCCTTCTCAAGTGCAATATGTAAAGAGCATAGAGCTTGAATCCCTGATTTACTACGAGGTCTTGCTCCTTCCAACGAAGGGAAGATCGAGAGCACTTTGCAGAGAACTCCAGATAGTTCCTTACACATATCTCCATGTAACTGCGTTTCCATATCATATCATCAATGAACAAGAACCATAAAATCTCCACAAGAAAATACTCTTTAGCATATTGAACCAAATTTACAAGCTTTTTGTATAAAATCAGAGATACAAGATTAGCCCTAAACATCAGATTCCAAAAAAAAAATCAATTTGAGATTCAAACATTTTTGCAATTGTAAACGAACCTTGGCATCGCTGGCGGCGAATAGATTCTCTTCGAGCTCGGTTACATCCATTATCAAAACTCACTGAGCTACAAATATTTCCCAGAAACATGAATCAGTATCGAGAAACACACACATCAAAAATCTCTTGACTATTTTTCTATGAATACGGAATTAAAAGGAACAATGAATCATGATTGGGGTAAAACAAACAAAGTACAAAATTGGTGAAACGGAAATTACCTTGATCTTTAACCCAGAAAAGAAATTAACAAATCAGAAAAAAAAAAAAAAAAAAAAAAAAAAAAAAATCATTCGAACATGGATCCTGCAAAAATTGCAATAACGGAAGAGGAACGGAAAAAAAGTGGTTATTTTTTATCCACAAAAAACCGGGAAAAATCTACGATTAATAGAAACGCGAACAAAACACGATTTTTCCATATAAAAAGAAAGACCACTAAAAATAAAGCTGCGAAGAACACGTGTGGAACCAGCAACAACCAGAAATGAAACCGAACAACAGAAACAGAAACAGAACATACCGGAGAAATTGAGACCGGCCACGGAGGCTTCATAAAATACGGAACGAATCAAGAGGAATCAAAGTGGGGAATTAGGGTTTTTGTTCTTGACATCGATCCATGGATTGAAATGAATTGAATATGAAATAGAGAGACAAAGAGAGAGAGAGAGAGAGAGAGATCAGGGGATATTCGAGTGGTAGTAACTTAAAACCCTGTGTAAATTTAAAAAGATTAAGAACGGCATTACCGTGATCTTAATAATATTTTAAATTGACTAATGAACGGTTCTTTCTATAAATATTATTAACTCTTTATTTTTTAATATATAGTTTTCGGAAGTTTTCCAAGACATACTGTAACCACTTATATAAAGCTGTGTTTAGTAAAAAAATAAAAGTTTAGACTTTGTAATTTTTTGCATAAAAGCTTGTTTCGGTTATTCTGTTAGTGGGGAATGTTTTGAAGAGTTTTGAGTTTATGGTTAACCTTTTTTTTTTTTTAAGAGTTTAGTGTTTTATATTGCTAATGGGACGTCTCTGGCGTTTTTCATCAAAAACTTAGTGGAGAAATTAGTAAAAAAATTGTCAATTTAAATTACGTTATCCCATTTGAGCATTTTTAGCATTTTTGTTTCCTAACATTTTCCACCAAATCGTCAAATGGTGTTTTTTTTTCAAGTTGTAAATAGATTACAAAAATCCACTCTCAAAAGTTTGCTTCTTATGAATAGATGCGGTTTGTGTTTCTTAAAAGACATATTCATTTTTGTTTCCCAAGTTGTAAATCATCTTAAACAGTTTAGAACTCAGAATGCTATTTATCTATGACGAACAATATTGGTCTTGTACTCTTGTATATGACAAGTGTGACAATGATAAAGAAAATAAGATATTACAAATAAATTAAACATCAAATGATCCAAATACCATCCTTGGTACAGCTCAACTTATAAAAAGATGTTCATGTTTTGAAAAATTTTAGTCGGTCTGATTTGGTAACTACATACCCTTCACATTTCTTGCTAGCCATAGCAATCAAAAGAGCAGAAAAAGTTTCCACTAGATGTTTCTAGAACTCAGAATGCTATTTATCTATGACGAACAATATTGGTCTTGTACTCTTGTATATGACAAGTGTGACAATGATAAAGAAAATAAGATATTACAAATAAATTAAACATCAAATGATCCAAATACCATCCTTGGTACAGCTCAACTTATAAAAAGATGTTCATGTTTTGAAAAATTTTAGTCGGTCTGATTTGGTAACTACATACCCTTCACATTTCTTGCTAGCCATAGCAATCAAAAGAGCAGAAAAAGTTTCCACTAGATGTTTCTATCTTTATTTGTAAAGACAATCCTCTTGGTAAGTTTTGCAAATAGGCCAGAGTTGAATAAGTGTTGGGAACCAAAATGGACTCCACACACAAAGGACCGTCGCTCAACGGATAAAAGTTACTCTAGGGATAATAGGTTGATTTTCCCCAAAAGCTCACATCGACGGGAAAGTTTGGCACCTCGATATCAGCTCTTCGCCACCTGGGGCTATAGTATGTTCCAAGAGTTGGGCTGTTCGCCCATTAAAGCGGTACGTGAGCTGGGTTCAGAACATCGTGAGAAAAAAATGTCATGTGAGAGTCATTTGTTATTTTGTTTAGTTGTAGTAAAAAAATGTTTTTCACAAAAAAAAATAGTTAATTTTGGTTATAAAAAAACTCATGAGTTCATTTTAGAAATATAAACTTTTGTATTCCATTTCTGGATTATTCCTCTAATAAAATTTCATAAAGAAACACAATAATAATAAAATATAAATTTGTTTTGTCCAATCGATCAAAGAAAGCTTGAACCATGATGAACCACAAATCGAACCGGTTTAGTCTCTGGTTCGATTCTGATTACATTTTCAATTTCATCGATAACAAAAGCGAGCAAAGGTTTGATAAAATCCTAAAACCCTAATACCCTTTCAGTCAAACTTTAAACTTTGAAGCTGAGAGAGAGAAAGAAATCGAAAGAGAAGAACAATGAGCATAATCGCAGGCTCTTACGAGAGATTCATATGGGGTTTCAAGCTTAAACCAATCAAGCACGATGACGACAACCAAACCCTAACCCTCTTCCCTCTCTTCTCCTACCCTTCCCACATCTCCCCAATCACCACCGTCGCTTGCTCCGGTCCCGCCGCTGCTTCCGGCGGCTCCGACGATACAATCCACCTCTACGACCTCCCTTCCGCCTCATCCCTCGGCTCTCTCCTCGACCACAATCACACCGCTTCCATCACCGCCCTCGCCTTCTACACTCCTCCCTCCCTCTCCTTCCCTCGCAATCTCATCTCCGCTGCCGCCGATGGCTCCGTCGCAATCTTCGACACAGAGCCTTTCGTCCTCCTCAAATCGTTCCGTCCCCATAAGAAAGCGGTCAACGATCTCGCGATTCACCCGTCTGGGAAGCTCGCGTTGGCCGTTTACCGCGACGAGTGCTTCGCGATGTTGAATCTCGTGAGAGGGAAGAGGAGCTTCTGCTGCAGGTTAGGGCACGAAGCGAGCCTTGTGAAATTCGATTCGGATGGGGACAAGTTTTTCATGGTGGTCAATAATAGTAAGGTCAATAGTAAAATCGGTGTTCATCAATCGGAGGATGCTAAGCTTCTTCTCGAGCTCGACAGTAATAGCCCCAAGAGCATTCTATGTGCTTCTCCTGGAGAGGTTACTCTCTCTTACTTATTCTCTTTTCATTGTTCCCAGCTTCAGTATTTGTTCTCTATGAGTAACTTTGTTGGCGTTAAAGCTCTGTTTTTTTTCTGTTCTTGCTTCTTTGAATGCCTACTCCTATGTTGCCAGAGTGTAAATTGCAGATAAATTCACCTTCTTGTAGCCATGAAAAGAGTCTAATTTAAGTCATAGGCTCATGTTTGCTTCTTTTGCTCAGTCTGCTTTACAGTAGAAATCTTGTTTAGTTAGAGCTTTATGTTGCTGTGATTTAAGCTATAGGAAGAGTCCACCTTCATGAAGCTTCCGAAAAACGAGTTATTTGGCTAAACAGACTTGTTCTATGTTCCTTATTGATATTGTGTTGACGTTTTGATTCCTGGAAATGGTGATGGTTTTGATTTCTTGGATCAAATGTTTGCTTAATTTGGAGAAGAATTCACCTTCTTGAAGCCATGGAAAGAGTCTAAATGAATACTATCTTATTGAAAAGAGTCCTAGACTCTGATGTTTGCTTCTTTTGCTCAATCTGCTTCAGAGTATAGATCTTGTTGTTGCTGTGTTTAAAGATTTGGGAAGAGTCCACCTTTCTAAAGAGTGACTTGGCTCCTTACTGATATTGGCTCTAACTGGTAACGTTTTGATTCATGGAATGGTGATGGTTTTTTCTGTTCTTGTTTCTTTGAATGCTTACTCCTATGTTGGCCAAAGTATAAATTGCAGAAGAATCCACCTTCTTGTAGCCATGAAAAGAGTCTAATTTAAGACTGGCATTCATAGTATTCAGTCCTAGACTCTGATGTTTGCTTCTTTTGCTCAATCTGCTTCAGAGTAAAAATCTTGTTTTATTATAGCTTTTTATGTTAAATAGTGTTTCTTGGTTCCTTGTTGATATTGTGTTAACGTTTTGATTCATGGAAGTGGTGATGGTTTTGATTTCATTGGCTAAAATGTTTGCTTGATTTGTTGTAACAGAGTGGGACTCTGTATACAGCTGGTGAGGATAGGGCAATAACAGCTTGGGACACAAATAGTGGGAAGGTTGCTTATTCCATTACAGATGCTCATCCAGCTCGCATCAAAGGTATGGTCGTGCTTACCAAGAACGATAATGAAGGTGCATTAGAAGATCCGTACTTGGTTGCTTCTGCATCTTCTGATGGGATCATAAGAGTTTGGGACATGCGAATGGCGGCTAAGGAGAACGCTAAACCGTTAGCCGAGGCAAATACTAAATCAAGACTTACATGCCTCGCCGGTTCAGCTCTTAAATGTGAGTTTTAAAGGGTTTTTTTCTTTCGATAAAACATATGAGAAATGAAGAACTTGTACAAGTTTTGTGACTTATATAATTCTTCATCTTTTCTCTGTTTTATTCAGCTATGAAACGTCCACAGATTGGAAAGCAAGCTCAGAAGGTAGAAGAAGAAGCTCAGAACTCAGAATAAGAGCTGTTTATTGACTATTAAAAAGTTTTTATGCTGATAAATTTTTTGATGCAAGTTTTGGTAGAATCTTATAATGTTATCCAGTAAGTTCTTGTCGAATTACAATTTGTGAAAGATAAACCACTCGACTATTATGATTTACATGAGTTTTGACTTATGCATAATGTTGATCTTTTACTCCTAACCGGCTTGTTTGGTATTCAGTAATCACTACATTTGTTCAAACTTCATTGATGACAGTCATTACATAGTAAAGCTTGATTCAATGTTTAAGGTTTTCAAGAAATGAAAAAGAGCAATCACACAACCAAAATGTAGTTTATGAAAGTGTGACAATTTAAGAGTGTTGTTGTGCTCTCTTTTAAGGATGAAGCAAAAAAGCCTCAATACTGAGTAGTGTTGTTTGGGATTTTGCCTTGTTTCAACTGGGAAAGAGCATATTCACCGGTATTGATGAGATCGGCGACGTTGTGTTTCGAGATTTCCTCGGAGCCGAACAAGAAGATGGTCTTAACCTCAGCTTTCTTTGCGAGTCTTGAAGCGTAACTAAGCTGCAGTTTTGGCGAGTTTATGGTCTAATTCGATATATATAAATCCAATCCACCGGCGACAAACACAAGAAAAAACAAAAGAGGACTCTGACTAACCTTAAGCTGCGGGAGATTTTCACCGGATGGCGAGGATCCGGCGAGAGAGCAGGGGAGCCAAGAGAGGTAAATATGTCTCAAAAACAATTATACGTACTAACTCTAAAGAAAAAAACTTTAAAATTGATCTGAAATAAACATTTGGTCAGCGAATTGATTTTTCAAGTTTAACAGAGTATTTGTTTTTTCTTTTTTTTCTAAATCCAGATTAGACATTTTCATAAACACGAAAACAAAAATATGTATTCATTTTTTTATATATTATTTTAGTGGAATTTGTTTTTGGCATAGATCATTTGTGTTCGTTAAGTTTGGTCTCTATTTCTTCGTTTAAAAGATAATATAGTAGAACCTCTATAAAACAATACTCGATAAAACAATAAACACTATAAGATAATAATTTTCTCCGGTCCCAACTCGGGCCAATGTAAAAAATAGCATAATGCGATAAGATGATAAGACAATAATATTTTTGAAACTCCTATGTAAAAATATAGTCCCAACAATAAGCTAAGATAATAATTATAAAACTAAGATATATATATCTAAGACAATTTAGTAAAATATGACTCCAATGTAGTTTGTCTTTTCTGAAAGTTAGATTCCCGTTGGAGCTCATCTCGAAATTTTCTTATTGCATCAACATGCAGCCAAAAGTTGTGAAGAGTTCTCGAAGCCACAATTGCTTAACTACTTGCACATGCCCTTCCTCATCATCTTCAACTTCATCTTCACCATTAAGAACAGTAGACATAATTTTCTAGATTTTAAACTTCTGAGCATGAAATATGTAAATAACAAAGTATAAGGAAAATTTGAAAATAAAAACTGAAAAAATATATATTTCTATAAATGTTTCTTGTTTTGATAGAATATTTCTATAAAATAATAATTATTGTTTTATCGATAAAATAATAACTCTATAAGTTAATAAAATTTCAAAGTCCCAACATTATCTTTTTATAGAAGTTTTACTGTAGTTTTTTTTATAGTTATGTTATCAAAGTATTAAATGTTGACAAATCCAAAAGAAAGCCAAATTGTAAACCCAATTATTTATAAACTAGGTTTGAAGCCCCGCGCAAGCGCGGGGTTGTTTGCGATAGTTTTTCTGTTTAATTTTATTTATACTCGTTGATTTGAATTATGATGGTTTTGTGTTAACTTTCATGTTTTTGTTATGTTTTGAGTTAACTCAACCACTAACACTAAAAAATATGAATAATTTGTTTTTTTTTTAATTTATTAGGATATTAACACTTGCTTTATCTCAATTTTCTATTTCTAAAATTTTATCATGTTATAAATATTATGTTTGTTTACTTTTTTTTACTTCTATTAGACTGTAAACATGTATATGTATTTGATTGAAGGTTAAAATTTATAAATATGTATATGCATTTGACATTTGACTGAAGGTTAAAATTTGTAAACATATTCTTGTTTTTCACTACAATTAAATTTACATATAAAACTCCATTTCTATTTGTTTAGAAAAACAAACTCTAACTCTAATTTTCATTAGCTTTCTATTATCTTAATTAATTTATATTCAACTTTTTAACTTGTAAACACATTATAACATTTTTAAATAGGATAAATCCTTTGAATAAAAAGTAAATATATACTATTTGAAGTTAAATATTTCTTTACTCCATCTCTATTTTATATTCCAACTTTTTGATAACTTTTAACATCAAATTATCACATACTTTCTATTAATTAATTAATTTATTTGTATATTTTTATTAAATATGAATAAATGTAAAGAAATATGAATAGTCATATATTTAATAAATATTTTAAATACAATTTAATGTTTTTGTCTGATGTGGACACTCTAGATGGAGAGAGCAACTCCCTAATTATATATAAGATTAAAATTATCAATTTATATTAAAAAAAATTAGTTCCCTAGCATATTGTTATTTTAAAATGATAGTAGCTTTTTGTCATCAAATTAATATTAAATGCAAAATTTATTAAAATAAAAATTAATTCGTTAGATAGAAAATATATTCCTTGTATTGAAAAATGATAATCAAAATGACATTTTATGCAAAGATTTTTTTAAGGAAGAGTTTGGAGGGAGATCATTTATTTTACACGAATGAAATTTGAAGAAATGAACCTCTCAAAATTTGCCAAAACATAAAATGTTAAACGAATTTACATCCTATTTTTTTTTAGTTATATATTATTCTTAAGAACTTGTACGACTACGATTCTACAACAGACCATCTTATGAAGTTTCATGACCGAGAGTTCCAAATTTTATCCAAAAAAGTCTTTAACTCTTCATTAATCCGCAGAAATAACTATAAATTGCATTTTGTAAAACTCGAATCCTTGATCTCACATGTAGTATAAAACGTTAATTATTTTTCGATTAACCATTAGATGTTGATTGGTTCACCCATAAACGTTGCATTTACGGATGGTAGCGGTTAATTGTTAGGGGCTAATTGGTTCTTCCGCTGCCATCCGCAAATGCAGCTTTTACGGGTAGTAGTAGTTGTTGGCGTTTGACAACATTCACGAGAAACGCTTTCTACCACTTTAAAACGTTTTAAATCGCTCCATATTCTTTAAAAGCAAAAACTCCTTACCTGCAGCTTTGGCGGCTGTTGGAGGTTGCGGATGAATTTTTTTTTTAAAAATGAAAGAAAAATGAATAGAAATATATTTAAAATCAGATATATAATTAAATATATTAAAATTTGGATATTATATTTACAGTTTAAAAAAATAAATCTGGCATTTTCAGTAAATATTCATTAAAAAATATATATATATATATATAATTATAAATCAAAATTCTTTTAATAAGTGATCTCTTCAATATATTGTAATATATATTGGTTTCACATTAATATCTTTTAAATAAAAATCACATCTTTCATCCAAGTTATAGAAACTAAAAGATAAATGTAAATATTATATACATATTATTAATTTTTAAGTTTTAAATATTAATTATATTTAACAATAATTTTATAATCTTTCAATATAATATAATATTAATGTTTCTATAATTATATAATGTGTTTATATTGTTAGTTTATACGCTGCGATTGTGTTTGCGGTTGCGGGAGTTTGCTGAAGCGGACGGTTGCAGTTAAGAGCGTTATTAAGGGCCTGATTGGTTCTCCCGCTACCACCCGCAAACGCAGCGTTTGCGGTTCGTAGCGGTTTTCGGCGGTTTATAACAATCACGACAACCGCTTTGAATCGCTCTATACCACGACAACCGCTTTGAATCGTTTCGTAGAGGTTTATACGATTGGTGTAGCGGTTGAAACCGGATGTGTTTGCGGGATAGTTATCACTGGTTAACTTGCGGATAGAATAGCGGTTAAACAATATATTTACAAGATAAACAAATTATATAACTATAAAAACATCAAAATTATATTATATTGAGCAATTATAAAATCATTGTTCAATATAATTAATACTAAAATTTTACAAAATAATAATATGTGTATAATACTTATATCTTTTCATTTATATAATTTGGATGAAATATGTGATTTTCATTAAAAATATTAATGTGAAAACTAATTTTATATTATAACTTTATTTGTTATATATATATATATATATATTAGTTTGAAGAGAACATTTATTAAGAAATTTTGATTTATAATTTTGTATGTATAAAAAATTATGATATGTTTTTAATTAATATTTACTAGAAATGCAAAATTTATATTTATATTATAAATATAAGATCGAAATTTTAAAAAAATTAATCATATATCTCTGATTTTAAATTTTTTTTTTTTTTTAATTCAACTTGCAACCGCCAGCAACCGCAAACGCTGCTGGAAGGGAGCTTTTGATTACGAGGGATCAAGAGCAATTTTGAGCGTTTTGAAGCGGTAGAAAGCATTTTTCGTGATTGTTATCAAACGCTAATAGCTGCTGCCATCCGCAAAAGCTGCGTTTGCGGATAGGAGCGGTGAACCAATCAGTAATGTTACTGCATTCGCAAGTCAACTAATCACAAGTATCCCGCATACGCATTCGTTTTCAACCGCTTTGCCAGTCTTACAAATCGCTTAATCGCTTAACTGTAATCGCTCGCTTCAGCAAACTCTTGCAACCGCAAACACAACTATAGTGTATGAGAACAATCATGAAAAACGCTAACTACTGTTTTGTATTGCTCCTAACCTCTCAAATTCAGCTGGTTTCTGCAAAAGTTTGCGGTCGCTTGCAGTTGCCGATGGATAAATTTATTTTTTTAACAATTATGAAAAAATTATTTTAATAATAAGACTTTCATATTATAATGATAAAATATATGAATAAATTAAAAATGTATATGTATTATATACTTAATCGTCAAAGCAAAATTATCTAGATGAAATTATTTTATATGCATCACTAATATCACAAATAAAAAATTTAACAAACTAACAAAATTTATAACTAACATTAAACTTCACAAAAAGTAAACTTTCCATTGAAATTACAACTTTATCGAAATTAGAGAAAATAGAAAAATAAATAAATATATCTATATATATATTTATACAAATAATTTTTTTGAACTAGGTATTTTTAAATGATTAAAATTGTATAGTTTTGATGTCTTATAATTATAAAATATTTATATTGTTTAGCCACTATTGTACTCGCATGTTAATCGGTTATCATTATTCGCAAACGCACCAGTTTTCAACCGCTTTATTGGTAGACCGCTTAATAACACTATATATTAACCACAACTGCCCTCTTCCGCAAACTGCCAGACCCGTAACCACAACCGTAACGGTTAAACCAGTCAGGCCCTGAATCAGTTAAACTTTCACGGAAACATAATTGTACTTATCTAGGAAAATAATGGAAAAAATTATACAAAGAGAAATAAATTAGAAGAAAAAAAGATAATATCTCGTCAATAAGAATGTAAAATTTTCATACAATTTTTTTTTGTATATATATCATTATAAGCACTTTTCCTTTTTTCATTGAAAAAATATCTGACTTGACTTATACCTATCTAAGATAATAATAGAAAAATCTATACCATATAAATTGAAGAAAAAATAGAAATTTTCATCAGCAGATAAGAATATAATTTTTCCATACAAAATTAAAATAAATAATTTTGTTATTTTCATAACACGCCTTTCGATTTTATCTCTTCCATTTGCAAAACTGAACTACAAAAACATTAATTCACAGATAACTCATATGGCTTCTTACGCTATGGTTGCGAATTTGAGTTCATGGCTTACGAACATGATCATAAGAATCATGGTCCTAAAGAAATGGAAGAAAGTTGGTGTTAGGGATGGCGAAGGCTTAGATGTTATTGTCGTCGATGAAGCGGTAAGTTATCTGAGTAATTGGCAAATGTTAGATTTCATTTTTGCTGCCATTATTTATACACGATGATTTATATTTTTTTCTATGTCTTTTTATTATTTCTCATTTAGGGAACCAAGATACAAGCGTCTGTAACAAAGAATGACTATGTTGGAATGTTTGATTACGAGCTTCAGGAAGGAGAATGGTATAGCCTCTCCAAATTCGGTGTTGTTAATGCTCCGGTTGCAAACCGATCAACAAAAAATAAATGGTGCATCATCATGGATTCTAACACTGAGATCCAGAAAATTGCAAGGAGGTCATCGAGTCACGTAATCAAACACTGTTGTTTCGACTTCGTGGTTTATAGGAGTGTCGATTTTTCATTTCCTATTGGTAATAGTTTGTATTTTCTCTTATTTATGTAGAATAGATATATCCTGTTTCTGAAAATTGCTTAATAAACTAACAAGATACTATATGTACTATAGATTTGTTAGGTGTAATCTCTCATGTTGGAGCTCTTCACACCGTTAAAGATGACAAGTATGAAGGAAGGAACAAAAGAATATGCAAGATTCATTTCAAAATACGTGATTTTCAGTAAGTGTACTAAGCATAAACTTTTCATTTTTATTTATCACATATGTTGGTGGAAGTTTTGATGATATAACATAATACACAGGAACCGTGAAATAGAATGTGCAGCACGTGAAGCACTAGCTAATGAATTTAGTGAGATGTGGGGGAAAATCGAAATGCTGTCGTAGTCTGCGAATTAACGGATTGGAGAGTTTTGTCGAGCAAAGGTGTGATCAATATAACATTTTCTATATCAAATGCTCATCTATTTATTGTTTTTCGTATTCTGTTAATTTAATTTTATTTGATTATTAGGATGGAATCATGTTGTTGATGGAGGTGGGATATTTCGATTTGAGTTTGATCCACAATTTCCCGAGGCTCAGGAATTGAAGCACAAGTAAGTATTTTTGATTTCGAAAAAGTTAAATATAGTAATCGTTGAATTTCTAAACAATATTTGTTTATGATTCCAACAGGTTTTTGATCACTTATCAACATACCAAAATGTCATCTAACTATCGCTTCTATGGGGCAAGGTGTAGCTGATACTGCTGAAGCACACTTCTTCAGCCATCATCTCATTACCTGAATTCAAAGAGGTGTACTAGACAAAAGACTAAAGACTCGTATTACTCTATGTCTCATGTTCATTTTCTACCTCATTTGTATTTACTGTTTTAAAATTCAAGACTTCTTTTTTTACATTAGGAAGATTGTATTGGTTTAAACTTTGTTTCGATAATTCAAGTGTTTTTTTTTTTACTTTATAAAACCCATTATAACCATCTTTGTCACAAAGTAATATGGCAAACATTTTTACTACGTAAACACAAAATTTAAGCATGCTGTTCTTAAAAATGCGAATTATCTTTATATTAATAATTGAGAAGTACATGAAAATTTATAACCAAAAAACCAATCTAATTATGAAGAGAAAGTGTTTGGCAACAGATTTAATTATGGTCAATTTAGTACATTGTAATGTTTGGATACAAGAATAAGAGAAAAAAACTATTTGGATAGAAGAATAAATGGAAAAAAGTTGTTTACATTTCAGGTTTTCGGGTTTAGATATATTAAAAAAGTTTGAATATTTTAAAATTTTGATCAGGGTATTTGGATCGGGTTCCATGTGAAAAAGTTTTCAGATTTTTTTTGTTCAGTTCAGGGTTTTCGTGATTTTTTTTATTTCGGATTTTTGGGTTTAGACATTAAAAAAGTTTGGGTTTTTAAATTTTTTGATTAGGATTTTTTGGTCGGATTTGAATTTAGGGTTTAAATTTTCTACACAAAACCACAATATCACACCGTACAAACGTGCGAGTACTCTAGTAATGTGTATTAAACCATAAACCTTCAGAACTCTAGACACAAATTGCAATAATGCGTTTATTCTAAAAAAAACTTTACCCCGCACATTGTGCGGATTAAATTCTAATTTTTAATTAAAATATCTTTCATTTAAAAAAAAAGGAATACAGTATACAGTAAATGGTAACATCTATCTAACTAAGATACACATCTTCTAATTTTTAAGGGAAAATAAAGCAAAACGAGAAGAAAACAGAAAAGGAAAACATATTTTCTATTAAAGTTGAATGCATCTTTCATACAGAAACAAATCAAGAACTAAAGGAAAATAAAATCAGGAAGATAATAACAATTACGATGTACGATAAAGGAATATCCTATATATTTCTCTATCCAAAATTAGAAAAAGAATATTGTATATCTATATTTACACTGTGTGGGTGTGTAAAGTTCTTCTTTGTCATAAACTTGAGATTCATATCATTTCTTGAAGCTCTCTAGCTTGCTGTTAAAAGATGGATCAGCGGCCACCGAATGATGATTACTCGAGAGTAAATTCCACTCGCAAGAACATTCGAAGGAGCATTTTCCACCCGCTAAACGGTAACGCAAACGCCATACTCCACCCGCCGCCGCAACCGCAAGTGTACATCGTAGACAAGGACGACTTCAAAAGCTTTGTCCAACAACTAACGGGTAATCATCATCATCATCAACCATGTGAGCGTTTACCTCAAAACATTCCAAAGCGTCAGAAGATTGTACCAGAGCCAATAAACCAGACATCATCGGTTCCTACCAATGCCACACCGGTTCAAGATGATCCACACGTCTCGTTGTATATGCGTTATCTTCAAAACTTGATTGAAGACTCGTCATCAGAATCTTCCAATGGTAATCAATTCCAACAACCATTTGATGAGTGTGAATCTCAACCTCAAGTTCCTATGCCATATTCCAATGGTCTTGAACCGGTCATGACCACTACTACTACGACCTCTCCCTGGTTCGACGATGGCTCGCCTCAACAAATGAACGGTTATGATTACTCGTTTCAATCAAAAAGAGTTGAGTATCCTCAACCTTCGACTCCAAACTTCACATTTTCGTCTATGAATCAACATGGAGTCTTTGATTCGGACCTAGAACGTTTTTAGCTCTTCCTAAATTCCATGTTTTTAGTTTTTCTTCCTCTATCTTCATATGTTTCATATCCATTAAAACAAGAATAAGAGAGGATTCTAGAGATTTTGTAAGCTTTGGTTTGGACACTACTGTCTTGTACTATGAAGTTTTGTTTAATTTCGTTTATCACTAAAATAATAAAACTCTTAAGTATCTCCTCCAAGTAATTTTTTTACACAGTGATTAATAACACTAGAAAATCTGAACAATGACTCATAACTAGTATATGATCCCTCTTTCTTCATATTGGTAACAAAACCCGGTAAACAAATCGGCTTACAAGTGGTTAACCAAGACACTGGTTTGGTGAAATTGTTTCTCATTTGCTAAGATCTGCATACAAACTTGTGGGAAAATACCAAATTTGTTATATTTTTATCTAAAAACAGAAACAATAGACTGAAGAAACAGATAGAGTGTAAGAGAATCTATTAGCATACCGAAAGGAGAGTGTCTGTCCACTTGTCCAAGACCAAGTGAATGTAAGGAGATGTGATGAAAACTATCAGAAATGTTCTTTAGGGTTTGTAAAACATAGAAACAGAGATTGATCAATGATCATAATATATGTGAAGCCAAAAAGGGTCTATGAAGTACCGGGGGAGAGGAGAAGCTTTCTGGAAAGGGCGGTCCGGTTTTCGAATTTGGAAATGAAAGTGAGTGTATGCAGATCTTAGCAAGTTATTGGCGTTCACAGCTGCAACATTGACAAAATTCTATTATGGAATTGGTGTACAGTAAGAAGAAGAAGAGAGAGACAATGATATGATAGAAAAATTAAAACTTTTACATAGAACAAGTGACACCAACATTCCAAGACCTATGAAAAAGAGCTAAATTTTTTTGTTATTATTATCATTTACTTAATTATTTTTATCCAATTGCTGTTTATCTAATTTTTGGTCATTTTTTTAGCAAAACTAGTTCTTAAGCGGCAACTGAGCTAAGAAAAAGTGCAAATTTAGTACGCCAAAAAAATTGAAATCTAAAAGAACCTTGAACCCTAAGCACCAACGGAGCAAAGAAAAGAGGCTATGAGGGTTTAGCTTTCTGAGAGGCAAAATTCTTCAGTTTCGTAAATAAATAAAAAATAAAAAAAATCTATAATCTCATTTATTGAAAAAGGCGGGAGAAATTACATTTTAGTTTAAAGTTAATATTTCCATTCAAACTAAAAAACTGAATCGAATGCTAAGTACTCCTTCTGAATATATACATACATTCACCATTTAAATCTAGAGTGAGAATCTGGAGAATTATCTCCGATCTGGAGAGAATGAGGAGGATTAGGCAACCATGTTAGTTAAGAGGCGCGGCTGAGAAGAGCAGAAGAAATCGAAACCAGAGAATCTGTTGGATTAGGCGGCGAGGAAGGAGGCGGCGCACCTCGACCTCCGATCTGGAGAGGAGGATGATTAGTCTAGGTTTGCAATTATCATAGTTAAGAGGCGCCAGGAGGATTTAGTGATCAGGAGGATTTAGTGAAAACAATTAGCGGAGAAAGAGCAGCGAGAACCTCAAGAGTCGGGAGAATCAGCTCTAGGCGCCGAAATGTCATGTGGAGCTCCGAAACGAACCCCTGGACGCCGAGGGGAATTATAAGCACAAGGTGCACGAACTAGACGCGGCGGGGGCGGTGCCGGAGTACCATGTGGAGGAGGTGCGATGACTGCAATCTGATGTGTGGTTGGAGGAGCATAAGAAAAAACGAAGAAAAATCTGAAAGCGGAGCTGAGCAGGAAAAGGAGAGGAACCTGAGATTCCGAGTCGGAGGAGGTCGGAGGAGGAGCACTGCGACTCGGCGTCGAACTAGTCATGGTGAGTGAAATTCCTTCCGGTAACTCCGCCGTGACAATTAGTGGGTAAAGGGGGCTTCAAATACCCATATTTGCTAGTATACCACTTGATAGATCACAGGACAAAGACATGGAAAGCAAATGTTCTGGAACAACGTACGTTGCTTACGTTGTCAGAGACGGTGGAGTTGTTCTTCGATTTTAAAGGCATTGAAGAGAAATTTGAATCTAAATTAGGGGTTACAAAGAAATTAAAGATTGAGAGAAACGGAGGAGGAGAAGGCGGATAGATGTATTGGCGGCGCTCGAGCTTTGTCGATTATTGGACGATTTAGACACTGCCATGTGGCATTCTCTCCAGTGCTGACGTGTCAGTCAGCTGGAGAGAGTTGGCCAACTTTTATAGTATAGGATAATTTCCTGACAAAAATAAATTATTCAAATTAATGATTGAAATAAATAAGTAGCATCATCTAACATTATCAACATCATGCCATAGACATATATATCAACATGAAACTATCATCATCAGCTTTTCTCTTTGTTTTGGAGGGATTTCTTGTATGTCCTAATGAAATTCTTCCCAAATATATTTCTGTATACTACTTTTCTAGTCGGATATGTGTTGCCTTTGTTAACCATGAATTGTGGGATGATCGAATGACATTGCTTTTGTTGTTGTTAACCAAAGAATCTCGCACTTTTATATATGATGAAAATGTATATCATGTTATCATTATCATATAACCATAATTACACCATGAATTCAAGTCATCATCATCATTATACTTTCAACATCATCATGCCTATCAGCTTCATCAATTGTAACCGATCCACGTAGTCTATATATATGAAACAAGTTATATATACACACTAGTATGTTATTGATTTATTTATGTAAAACTCTACACACGCCCTCCTAAGTTTAGCTACTGATAGAATAGGGTCTACTTGGGTGCAAAAGATGATATGGGAACAAAAATATATAATACAAAACAGACCTAACGATAAAGTATAATATGACTTGGGTGCAAAGCAAAAGGATTACGGTTCCTTGAGAGAAACTCATCCAAATGGTGGAATCAATGAGTGCATCATCTTCGTCCAATATGCTGATCTCATCATTAATAATTAATCTTGGTGTACAAAATATTATACATAAAATCCAAATCATCATTATACGGTTATATACCTAGAAATCCATATCATCGATCGTTATTCTTTATGATCTATATGATTTTTCGGATGCTCACGCCTTACCGAGACAATATATGTATGGTAGCACGTGAGGGTAGTTTGTTGGTCCATATAAATTGAACAACTACAAGACAGAAACATGTATGATGTTCATGTACAGATGTACTATACATATTACATACATAATACAATACGTATTAAAATAGTATATATTATACTGAATTGATGCATCTGAATGTTATTTTTATTAAAAGTATCTAATAATTCAATTTTAAAATGAATCAAATGATTCAATCTAAATTTCTAAGTTGTATTTCATGATTAACTTAAAATAAGATAATCTCAAAGATTTCATGCTTTCATTTGCTTCTAAGCATGTTTTAATGATTGTAAGGGGTGGCATTACAAATTTACAACGCAGCCCAAATAATATAATTTAGACTACCGGAAAATCGGTTGGATAAAAACGCATTTAGTTAGTTGCAAAGTTGAAATAATAAGAAACAAATTTCTATTAATACACCTTTATCATAAGGAAAAAAGTTCATATATTACTCAAGTATTAAAAGAAAAATGTCCTATGATATTTCATATTTGAGACGTTGATGAGAGAGTCAGAGACTACAAGCACGTGTCGAAGGCACGTAATTTTGGTTTGGCGGCTAAGTGAGGGTCTGAGGGACTGTAACAGTTCCCAAGGAGATGTACTAATAATACGATTATGTTTCCGTACCTCCTTCATTTCTTAATCCCTCTGTTTATTACCCTAATCTACTCTTTAGGATCCTTACCAAGTATAGTAATTCTTGTTTGTGACTTGTGAGGACCACTTTCAAAGTTTTATAATATAATCAGGAAAATTAGTGGCAATTAACTCTACATATCACACTATTTTCAGAGTCTAATTAAAGTCACAATGCTAATAGTCAGTAGAAAATGATGAAATCGTTCATATATTGGGTTTGGTTAGTAACCATAATGATAAGAAATTTACCGATTTGATAAATAATAAATTAATAATCATGAAAATGGCAACAATAAAAGATTACAAAGCAGAAACAAGTAGTAGTATGTAAGTTTTCGTCTTGAAAAATATTTGTTTTAAGAAAGAACTCAACTGTATTCCCTTAAATAATTGATATGAAATTGATACAATGTTGTTGAAATTGCGAATTAAATTAATTACAATATGATAAAAAAAGTTATAACTAACATAAATAAATACCCTTTCGACGACCTACCATTCTCTCTCATTCTCTCGTCGTCACCTTCCTTCAACCATCCGTCTTAACTCTGCGAGAGAGTAACAACAAAAACAAACAGCCAGAAAATTCCAAAAATACGCAGAGAAATGATCCTCCTCTCTCTTCTTCTTCACCTTCTTCTTCATCTCATAAATTCTTCTCCTTCTCTCGCTCTCTCTCCCGATGGTCTCGCCTTACTCTCTCTCAAATCCGCCGTCGAGCAATCCTCCACCGCCTCTTCCTCCTCCGCTTTCTCCGACTGGAACGAGAACGATTCCGATCCTTGCCGCTGGTCCGGCGTCTCTTGTATGAACACCTCCGACTCCTCCACTCCCCGCGTCGTCGGAATCTCACTCGCCGTAAAGCAACTCCGCGGTTACATCCCGTCGGAGCTAGGCTCGCTCGTCTACCTCCGCCGTCTCAACCTCCACGACAACGAGCTCTCAGGTTCGATCCCGACTCAGCTCTTCAACGCGACGTCGCTTCACAGTCTCTACCTATACCGAAACAATCTCTCCGGCACTCTGCCGCCGTCGATCTGTACCCTCCCGAGGCTCCAGAACCTCGATTTGTCCGGAAATTCGCTCTCCGGAGCTCTCTCTCCGGATCTCAACAACTGTAAACAGCTCCAGCGACTGATCCTCGCCGCTAACAAATTCTCCGGCGAGATTCCGGGAGAAATCTGGCCGGAGCTGGAGAATCTAGCTCAGCTCGATCTCTCTTCAAACGAATTCACCGGCTCGATCCCTAGAGATCTCGGCGAGCTCAAATCCCTCTCCGGTACTCTCAATCTCTCCTTCAACCACTTAACCGGCGAAATCCCTAAATCCCTCGGAAATTTACCGGTCACCGTCTCTCTCGATCTCAGAAACAACAATCTAACCGGGGAAATCCCTCAAACCGGGTCCTTCTCGAACCAGGGACCAACCGCATTCCTCAACAACCCGAAACTCTGCGGATTCCCTCTCCAGAAATCCTGCAAAGACGCCGACCAAAACTCGCCGGAAAATAAAAAACCGCCGGGGAAACGCATGGATTCCGCTAAAGGGCTAAGCACGGGGCTAATCGTGCTGATCTCCGTCGCGGACGCCGCGAGTGTAGCCCTAATCGGGCTCGTGATAGTTTACTTGTACTGGAAGAAAAAAGACGCAGACGGAGGATGTAGCTGCACGGGGAACGAGAAACTCGGTGGTGGTGGTGGTTCGGAGAAAGGCAAATCCTGCTGCTGCGTTTCTGGATTCCCGAAAGAAGACGACTCGGAAGGTGAAGATGGTAACGGGAGAGGAGAGGGGAAAGGAGAAGGAGAGCTTGTAGCGATCGATAAAGGCTTCTCGTTCGAGCTAGACGAGCTTCTGAGAGCTTCTGCCTATGTTTTGGGGAAGAGTGGGTTGGGGATAGTTTACAAAGTCGTGCTCGGAAATGGAGTTCCGGTGGCTGTACGGCGACTTGGGGAAGGAGGAGAACAGAGGTATAAGGAGTTTGTGGCTGAGGTTCAAGCGATGGGGAAGGTGAAACATCCTAATGTGGTGAAGCTAAGAGCTTATTATTGGGCTCCTGATGAGAAGCTGTTGATCAGTGACTTCGTCAATAATGGTAGCTTAGCTGATGCTCTCCGAGGTAAAAAAAAACTTTACTTACATCGAATTTAATTTACATAAAATTGACCATATAAAAGTTAAAAATTTAGGTTGACTTTGTCAACGCCTCTGTATGTTGACGTCAGGTTGAGGTTAGATGTGACATAGAGTTAGTTGGGTCAAAATCAGTGGTGAAGATCACATCTACTTTAAGCTTAGTAACACACTCTAATATTTTTTTCTTTTTTTGGTACAGACACTGCAATATTTTCTATTGAGACAAATATCAACTAGCTGTCTTTTTAGATCTGTCTCACTTTTAGGCATCTTTAGTTAAAGTAGTTTAGATGAGTAACAATTTAAAGATTAACCAAAAAGATTATGACTTTTAGAGTTTTAGTGTGGTGGAGTCGTGGAGTAGAAGTAATTAGTAAAAAGAAAAGAGAGTGACATACAATGATGAGAGATATGTATTGGAGTAGGAGAAAGATGACTTACAGGCTACGTAGTAATGATTCTACATATACACAACCTCTGTGGATACTCTAGTTGACCTGTCTTTTTCTCATTATTATTATTTTTTTTAATTTTATTAATTAATTAATAGGAAGGAATGGTCAACCATCACCGAGCCTAACATGGTCAACGAGATTAAAGATCGCAAAAGGAGCGGCACGTGGACTAGCGTATCTACACGAGTGTAGTCCAAGAAAGTTAGTACACGGCGATGTGAAACCATCCAACATCCTTGTCGACTCTTCCTTCACTCCTTACATCTCCGACTTCGGTCTCACACGTCTCATCACCATCACCGCGGCTTCCTCCTCTTCCAACGAACCATCCTCCTCCTCTGTTGCCGGAGGCGGTTTCTTAGGCGGGGTTCTCCCTTACGCTTCCGTTAAACCCTCCGATAGATCTAGCGGATACAAAGCTCCCGAGGCTCGTCTCCCTGGAAGCAGACCCACTCAGAAATGGGACGTGTACTCGTTTGGTGTCGTGCTCATGGAGCTTCTTACCGGGAAATCGCCGGATTCGTCTCCGATTAGCTCGTCCTCGTCGTCAACGGTGGTTGTTGAGGTGCCGGATTTGGTGAGGTGGGTGAGGAAAGGGTTTGAGGAAGAGACTCCGTTGTCGGACATGGTTGATCCGATGTTGCTTCAAGAAGTTCAGGCTAAGCAACAAGTCTTGTCTGTTTTTCATCTCGCTCTTGCTTGTACTGAAGGTGACCCTGAAGTTCGTCCACGTATGAAGAATGTCTCCGAGAACATTGACAAAATCTGATTCAATTATTACCATATTCTTTTTTCTTTTTTTGTATTCCATTTTTTTTTTTATATATCTCTTCGATTAGTTCTTACACGAGATGCCCATAAGTCGCTCCAGAGTCTAGGGATCAGTTGTCGACCTGTTTTTTGTTGAATAATTAATTATTTGTAATGAAAATTCAGTTAAATGATTTTTACACTTTTACTTATATATAGAAATGTCGCAAAGTTAATTAGTAAATAGAACTATAGAAGTGTCTGCAAAATGACACTCATAGTCATATTTTACATGATAGAAGAAAAAAAACATTCTACATATGTATAGGCTTGGATTTAGAAGATGATTGGCACCTAACGGCCAATCAATGCCGTTCATGGAAACATTGCAATTTGAATCACAAGTATGATTAAAAATGTCTAATCACATATGAATGAGTAAGTTATCAAAAATCCTCTATGTATTAAAAAGAGGCTAGGTAGCGGATCAAGAAATTTAATTAGTCTTGACACAATTTTTTCATTTGCTAACTAATAAAAAGCAAACGATGAGAACAATCTATTGAAATCAAATATGTAAAAAATTAGTAATGATAATACATGATCAAAGTAACTGAAAACTTGATTGTTCTCACAAAGATCACGTAAATTAGAAAACTATAGACACAGTTAGGTAATATAAATATAATATATATTTTTAACAAAAAAAGTTAGGTAATATATACTACCATTAGGAAAATAAACTCGAGTTTTTATGAAAGTTGGTGGATTAATAAAATTTTGGTCCACACTATCTTTTGTTTTCGATTAGGCTGAAGATTTAGTTTGATCTAAATTACTTAAAGACAAAAAAGTTGTTCTTCAGCCCAACGATTAATTCTCTTGTAAATGAAAAGGTCATGTGGCACAACGATTCAATGTGGCAGGATCTTATAACGTACGTCCGCCACTGATCACTAGTACTAATAATTTTCAAGCTACAAAACATTAATAAGATATTTTTTAAAATAAACCCTATAAATTTAGTAATTAGGGTACATAACACATATGCCAAGCAAATTGAATAATGTTTATATTTTTTCTTATATTTACTTATGTTTTGCTTATGTTTTCCTTATATTTTCCTGTTATGGTGCATTTTCCATCGAACAAAAAACTCATATACCAGAACTGGAATTGATTAAATTAAAAAGAGAAGTATATAGATGATGTTTGGTTTAACGTCTTTGATATCTTGGAAAGTCGTATGAGGTTGGTATTTAATTCAATTGGGATCTAAAATTGGAATTCCATTCAGGAAGTTGCTTAATTGATTTATCATACGTATGAACCATATAGTTCATTTAACTACAAGTGAGCTTACAGTTTATACTACAAGTTTACGTTGCTTTAATTTACTTTCTTTTACCATATAGACCTATATGAAGAATGTGAGCTTTTGGAAGATATAACCAACGTCTGAATTTAACTACAAGTTTATTTACATACACAGGATTCACGATTGTGTAGAATTATAAGACAAAGCCAAAAAAAAAGAGTAACCTAGTTTACAAAAAAAAAATACACAAATATTCACGTATAAAGTTTTGTCAACATACTCCATTTATAAAACAAAGTTTAGTCGGTAAAATAATTATTCAGAAGGAGTTGTCTTACACGGGATAATAAATATCATCGAGCTCGTGGAGTGTAAAGTTCTCTTTCACTGGAAGAAAGATTTGTGGACTCCTCGGAAACCGCCTGTGTCAAAGGAAATTACCGATCGGCGATCGCCGGTAAACCGTAAATGACATCGGAGAAAACTCAAGAAGCTGCTCCACAACAAGTCATCGTCCATTAAATTACTCTTTGGGCTCCTATATAACTTGGACCGACCCACTAATGTATCCGGCCCAATAATTAAAGAGAACGGGAAAAAATAAACCGAATTAAAAAACCGTTTGGTTTAAAGATTTTCAAAACTGAATTTGTCAGTTTGATTTTCCGGTTTCCGGATTTTGTCCAGCCCTCCAGAGCAAATCCACCGGCGGGAATCATAATTTCGGGGTTCCGGTCAAACTCATAGAGGCAATAGCCATGGCTGATTCTCAGTCGGGTTCCGATGCTTTCAGCTTGCGGATTGTTTCGATCGACTATTACATGGCTTCTCCGATCCCTGGATATGATATTTGCTACAGTACCTTCCAAGGTAAAAAAGCTTCCTCTTGTTGAATCCAACTGTTCACTAGATACTATACTTCTTTGATTGCTTGATTTGAGAAATTTTTGACTGAATTTTATAGAAATGAAAGCATAGTGCTCCATTTTCGTTCAGATTAGTCTTCTACTAGATAAAGGGCTAATTTTGTTAACTTGATTTTTGTTGGTTGCATGTTAAGGTGGAGAGGTAAAAGAAGTGCCTGTTATAAGGATATATGGCTCCACACCTGCTGGTCAGAAGACTTGCTTGCACATTCATCGTGTAAGATTTGTTACGTTTACTTTCTTTGTTTAGGAACAAATTGTTTGGACTGATACTTATTTTTGTGGACTATATGTTTCTCTTGCAGGCTTTACCATATCTCTATATTCCATGCTCGGATATTCCACTTGATCATCATAACGGAGGTATGAAGCTGCTCTTAGCGAGAAATGTACAGCGGTTTCAAGCACCAATTTTCATTTTTTTTTTCCATGTTTTCTTTGTTTGATTTTTGACTCAGTTGATGGAAATATAGCTGCTTTGTCCCTTGAGTTGGAGAAGGCTCTAAAGGTATGAGCTGCGTTTATGTATCTGTGTTTGTTCACATAGATGTGTCTCAATCAATATTCGTCACTGATGATACTTGATATGGACTTGTAGCATAAGGGAAACGCTGCTTCGAAAAGGCAACATGTCCATGATTGTGAGATTGTTAGAGCAAAGAAGTTTTATGGGTACCACTCAACGGAGGAGGCATTTGTGAAGATTTATCTGTATCCTTTTCTTTTACTGCAGTACTACCTTTTCTTAGGTAGTTTATTACTTGTTCACCTTGACAGTAAAATAGCTACCATCCACACGATGTGGCTCGTGCTGCCAGTCTTCTTCTGGTATGATAAGATCTTTATGATTCTAGTCTTTTGTTATTCTTTACTTTATGTATGATGCATAGACTGCGGTGAAAATAGTATACTGATGACCATTTGCAGATGCCTTTTGTAATGAGCGTTTTTTGTTTCTCTCCCTGTCTCTAGGAAGGTGCTGTTCTTGGTAAAAGTTTGCAGCCTTACGAGTCTCATATTCCTTTTCTCCTCCAGTTTCTGGTAATTTTTCTTTGTTATGCAAGAAATCGTTTAGCGGCTAGGTATTCTGTCTAGTTTAGCAATTTTCACATATGAACGTAACTTCGAGATTGATAATACAATAGGTACTTTCGAGAGCTTAGAACTGGTGCGTGAAGTCCACTATTGAAGTTTCTTTGATTCTCTTCGATAGGTGGACTATAATTTGTATGGAATGGGTCATGTCCATATATCAAAGATGAAGTTCCGTAGCCCTGTGCCTCGCCATTTCCGTCCAAGGAGATTTGATATGGATGATTGTGTGGGAAAAGGGATTGACGAAGTGGCTAGCACAAAGGTAGATATTCTGATACTTGAAGCTTGGCAACATATTGTTTGATAGTTTCTATCTTTCGCAATACTGAATCAATGTAGCAGGCAGATTCAAGTGCTTCTGCAAGCGTCAGTTTCCCTGTTTGGACCTTGTCAACAATCCCAGGTCAATGGATGTGGAATCTCTCTGAAGAATCTGATACAACGTTGAGCCAGAGCCAGCATAACAACCATTACAGACGTCAGAGTCTCTGTGAACTTGAGGGAGATGCAACTATTAACGGTAATTTTTCTGAAACGAAATACAATTGTTTTTTGTTACATATATGAACGGATCTTTGAACTAGCTTCTTCTCTTGTAGATATTCTCAATCAACAGTTAAAAATGTACAACTCTCTCTCACAAGCCAAATCTGATACTAAAATGGTCCAGTCGCTTGTGGCAATTTGGGAGGTTCATCCTAACTTTCTTACCTTTATAATTTGATGTTATTTAGTTGGTCTTCCCTAATTCCTTAGCTAAACTCGTCAATGTTGTGTCAGGAGGAGTATGAAAGGACTGGCGTAAATGACGCACCGATACCTCCTGATCCTGGCAAACCCTCTGCAGCGGATGTGCTGAAGACAATGTCAGATTATGTTGGGCTTGGGAGTTTGCTAAAAGAAATGCATCACGAAGTTGGATTGTCTCCGTCTGAGATAAAGCCAACTGCAGTATCTTCAGCTGGTTCAGATATGTGTGCCAAACCTGAAACTACGGATCTGCAGGTTTTGAATGATATGGTTGGTACACGCAGTGAGGTCCCTGCATCAGCAGAGCTTTCTCCACTTGATGAGAGAAGTGGAGAAGCATCAATGGAAAATGATACACCTGCTGAAATACAGGATGCTGAAGCATTGGGTCTCTTTAAGTGGTTTGCCTCATCCCAGGCTGCAGAGGATATAAACTCTGATGATGAAATTCTCCGGGAAACAATCCTTAGTCCTCTGTTGCCTAAAGCGTCCGTTAACAAGGTTCTTGAAATGGCTAATACAGATTATGTGAGCCAATCCCAAAAGGAATGTCAAGACATTCTCGATTCTCAGGAGGATCTACCAGACTTTGGAAGTTCGACAAAAAGAGCAGTAGATACTAATCTTGAGAGCCAGAACCCGATAACTTCATCAGACAAACCATCTCTTGACACAGAAGTCTCTGATGATGTTCCAAATATCTCAACTTCAAATGCCTCAAGCGAAAATTCATTCCAGAGATACAGAAGGAGTGAAGTAGTGGAGAATAAGAATAGGAGCTTCTCTAGGAGCAACAAGCGTAGCAAATCTGTATGGGGAGCTTTGCCTTTTCCGTCGACAAAAAACCTTCAAAAGGACTTTGACAGTGCAAATGCTAGTGGTAAACTTGGTTTGGCAAAGATTAGTTCTGACCCTATGAACGAGATGAAAGATTCTTTTAATGTTCCAGTCACAAAACATCAAGCAGATGTTTGTAACACGAAGGACAAAAATGTTTTGGCTGGATGTTCGCTGCGGGACTTGATGAGAAAGAAACGGATCTGCCATGGAGAATCGCCTGTTTCACAACATACGAAGATTAGGAAAGTTCTACCACAGATTAGAGACTCTCTGCACGGGAAGAACAAGGAGTGTGCGGCTTCCTTGAGATCTGAGGCCAAGAAACAAGGTCCTGCTCTTTCTGCAGAATTCAGTGAATGTTACTCTGGCAATGCTCCTCAAACTTTATCTCCTATAGATGCTGGAAATTCTCAACCTCATAGATGTTTGGCTAAAGAGACAGAAGATCAAACAAGTGATGAAGTTTCGAGGAATCTTGATGCAGTTCCACTTAGCAAGGAATCAACAACTATGGAATCAGGATTACTGGTGTGTAGCAATAAACTTGTTGGGATTGATAGATTTAATGTCCAAAAGTCTGGGGATGAGCAAGAGCCAACTGCGAATGTAATTGTTGAGACAGAAAGATTACTATGCCTAACACTAAGCAAGAAGCCTCCTTCTCTCGATTTCCTTCGTGATGGACTGCAAGATTCTTCACATTCTCGATTTCACAATGCCCGGGACAAACAGCATGATGGATGTGGTACCTTTTTACTCATCTTGTTCTGGTTCTAGTTTCGGCTACTTCTACAATCAATGCAAATGAGATTGAAATATAAATTTATTAACTTGAAGTTAGGTCACCTTAAGTTTTTGCAGAACTTCTCCTTGGCATTGCTTCCCTCTATTTATTTTACGTATGTGTTAATGACTTGAGAGTACTTCTGACATTCTGTTGTTTGTTCTCTTGGAAGAGGGGATTTCCAAGGAGATTCCTTTTTTCTCCTTGGAGGACACCGAAGCCAACGAGGAGGAGAAGAACAACGTCTTCCAAGGAGCTTCCCTTGGTATTCCCTTGCATCATCTCAACGACGGCTCCAAGCTTTACCTACTGACCCCTGCCCTTTCACCCCCTAACGTGGATTCTGTTTCACAATGGATATCGACTGACAAAGGTATTGTGTAAAGTTAGCCGAAAGGCACTGGACTGCCTTATCAATCAATTTTACATCTTCTCAAAGGTTTAATATACATTGCATAAAGCCTTTTCAGTAAAAAGATGGTACTGTGCCTGATGTATATTCATCAAAGTGTTAGATTCTGTAAAAGCAAGGGGAGTTGATGATTTTTGTTTTAAACTTTTGAATTTTTCCAGGCCCAGGAGACTTTGAGATTGAATCAGAAGATCATATTGATTGTGATATTGCTTCCGCATCTAATGTAGTGTCTGTTTCCGAGCACGTGGAGCAGCAACAGAATGTTTTTGTGAATTCAGATACGGCATCTAAGATAGATCTGAAAAGGAAAGGAAAGTTTGTTAACCTTAATTTGCAGACCAGTGTTTCACAAGAGATGTCTCAGCTTTCAGGTCCTGATGGGAAATCAAGGCCCACTCCCTTAAGTCAAACTGGATTTCGAGATCCTGCGAGCATGGGGGCTGGGCAACAGCTTACTGTGCTGAGTATAGAGGTGCTTTAACTTAAACCCCCTTTTTGTGAAGCTACACATATAATTAGTATAAAAAATCCCTGCAAAATGGCCCGAGCCTCTTAGCGAGCAATGGAATGTCTCTTCATGATTGTGATAACTTGCAATTAGTTGAGTAATCATTTGCTCAATGCTTGATAATACTTGGACTTAAAGAGTTTAGCTTCTAAAGCTTGTCTTAGTATACAAATTATTGATGTTGCACAATTTTTTTAGAGTCGAGTGAAAATGACTATTATATCTTGTTAATGCTGTTACTAAAATGCCGTCTGTTGTAAAAATGAATCCTTAGTCTGAGATGATGAATTCTGGCAAAAGGTTCGTTGATACATGTCAATATCTATAAACTTACAGGTTCATGCAGAGTCTAGAGGGGAGCTGCGACCTGATCCACGATTTGATTCTGTCAATGTCATAGCTCTCGTCGTGCAGAACGACGACAGTTTTGCAGCTGAAGTATTTGTGCTTTTATTTAGTCCAGATAGCACGCACCAGAGGTAAAATACCAGACTCCCTTATTTTGGTTTCTTATTAACTTTGCAGCTGATGTATGCGTTCTTTTATTATATCTGTAATGCTACCATGAACTTCGATCATTTTCTCACTCTCATATGCTTTTTCGATCTTGTTATTGTTGTCTCACTACAGAAATGTTGATTGCCTATCTGGATGCAAGTTGTCTATCTTCGTTGAAGAGAAGCAACTGCTTAGTCATTTTATTGAGACTTTATGTAGATGGGATCCAGATATTCTTGTGGGCTGGGATATACAGGGTGGATCCCTTGGTTTTCTAGCAGAAAGGGCTGCACAGCTTGGTATAAGATTTCTCGATAATATATCACGGACGCCATCTCCGACCAAGACAAATGATTCAGAAAATAAGAGAAATCTTGGTAATAGTCTGCTGCAAGATCCGTTGGTAGCTGATCCTGTTGCTCAAGTACAAGAAGTGGTTATTGAAGATGAGTGGGGCCGCACACATGCTAGTGGTGTTCATGTTGGAGGTAGAATAGTTCTCAACGCGTGGCGTTTGATTCGTGGGGAAGTAAAACTCAACATGTACACAATGGAAGCTGTCGCAGAGGCTGTCTTGAGGCAAAAGATTCCATCAATCCCCTATAAAGTATTGACACAGTGGTTTTCAAGTGGTCCTGCTGGTGCAAGATATCGATGCATAGAATATGTGATTCGTCGAGCAAATTTGAACCTTGAGATAATGAGCCAACTTGACTTGGTATGTAACATTTCCAACCTGATTTATATAGTGAATTGTGAGGCAAGTTTTTTATCCTACTGATAAATTCTTTGCAGATTAATCGTACATCAGAACTTGCTCGTGTTTTTGGCATCGACTTTTTCTCTGTTCTCTCCCGAGGTTCCCAATACAGAGTGGAGTCCATGCTTCTGAGATTAGCACATACAAAAAATTATCTTGCTATTTCTCCAGGAAACCAACAGGTTCGTTTATACTCTAGTTCCAAGTGACTTACCTTTAACGTTTCTTGGATTTATCAACGAGTCATCTGGCCTCGTTTTAAAAGAATTATCGCCATAGATTTTTTGTCCTCATCATAGCTTACATAACATATTCCTTTGCAGTTAATCTTCATCATCTTTTCACATTCTTCTAACTCATTAGCATTCCCCTGACTAAATCTTCTGATCGTTTAGGTTGCTTCTCAGCCAGCTATGGAATGTGTACCTCTTGTAATGGAACCAGAATCTGCCTTCTATGACGATCCTGTTATTGTGTTGGATTTTCAGTCTCTTTACCCTTCAATGATTATAGCATATAATCTGTGCTTTTGTACATGTGTCGGAAAACTTGCACATTTGAAGATGAACACCCTTGGGGTCAGCTCATACTCTCTAGACCCTAATGTTCTTCAGGATTTAAATCAGATCCTGCAGACCCCAAACAGTGTGATGTACATGCCACCAGAGGTAATGTGCATTGCTTTTCTTGAGCAAATTATAATCTTGAATCTAAAGCCATCATAATGATCTTTTTCCCAATAGCATCATTCTTTTCTGCGTAGATGGATCCTATTCTTGATTAGCTTAAGCATAACAGTCACCTCCTCTAAATACATATAGGTGCGCAGAGGAATATTACCAAGGCTACTAGAGGAAATTCTATCTACAAGAATAATGGTGAAAAAAGCAATGAAAAAGTTGACTCCTTCAGAAGCAGTTCTTCATCGGGTATGATTATCTTGATCAGAGTCCTTACCTAGTATTTTGACTAAGAGAGAGTGGCCCAAGTTTTTGGTTCCAATATTTTTGGGGTCTGGTATCATCTTTGAACGTTTTCTGCAGTTTTCTAAATTAAACTTTGTAATCGTGATGGTATTCGGTGTATTCTTTCAGATATTTAATGCGAGGCAGCTTGCTCTAAAGCTGATAGCAAATGTGACTTATGGATATACTGCTGCGGGCTTCAGTGGTCGAATGCCTTGTGCAGAGCTGGCAGATAGTATTGTCCAGTGTGGTCGTAGCACACTTGAGAAGGCTATTTCGTTCGTCAAAGCAAATGATAAATGGGATGCTAGAGTTGTATATGGCGACACTGATAGGTAATTTCCATATCTCATCTGGATGAAGTGATGTTAGGTTTCATGTATGCTTGCATATCACAGTTTCTTCATTTAATTCTTCCGTTTGGCCTCATGCATTTTATTTACTTGTGCAGTATGTTTGTCCTCCTCAAAGGACGAACTGTAAAAGAAGCTTTTGTAATCGGACAAGAGATTGCATCTGCAATAACTGAAATGAATCCACATCCAGTCACTCTAAAGATGGAGAAAGTCTATCACCCTTGTTTCCTTCTTACGAAGAAGCGGTATGTTGGGTACAGTTATGAGAGTCCTGATCAGACCGAGCCTACATTTGATGCAAAAGGTATCGAAACTGTTCGAAGAGACACTTGCACAGCTGTTTCAAAAACGATGGAGCAGTCGTTGAGACTCTTCTTCGAAACGAAGAACATCTCTAAGGTACAAATTTGATTTTCTTGCTCCCTTTCAAATTATAACCTCAAATTGCAGTGGCTTACATCTGCTTTTCTCTTTTCATTGTGCAGGTTAAGTCATACTTGTATAGGCAGTGGAAACGGATACTACAAGGGAGAGTGTCTCTACAAGATTTTATCTTTGCAAAAGAAGTTCGATTGGGGACTTATAGCACAAGAGACTCTTCACCCCTTCCTCCAGCAGCTATTGTGGCAACCAAATCAATGAGAGCAGACCCTCGGACAGAGCCACGTTATGCTGAAAGAGTGCCTTATGTTGTGATCCATGGGGAGCCAGGAGCCCGACTCGTTGATATGGTGGTGGACCCACTGGTTCTTCTGGACATTGATTCACCCTACCGGTTGAATGACTTATACTACATCAGCAAACAAATTATCCCAGCTTTGCAAAGAGTTTTTGGACTCGTGGGTGCAGACTTAAACCAGTGGTTTTTGGAGATGCCCCGTCCCACCAGAAGCTCCCTTGGCCAACGTCCCTTAAACTTTAAAAACTCACACAAAGCTAGAATTGATTCTTTTTATCTCTCGAAACATTGTTTCTTGTGTGGAGAAGTTGTTCAGGGATCTGCTCAGCTTTGCAACCGGTGCCTGAAAAATGAAAGTGCTGCTACTGCAACCATTGTTTGGAAGACTTCGAAATTGGAGAGAGAGATGCAACACCTAGCCGCGGTAAGTACTCCAAAATCTAACATTTATATAAACTGATTACAGATAGTGGTATCGTTAACAGTCTTTACCTTTCACGCTTCATTAAAACCTTTACACTTTCTGACGTGAGCATTTGCATTAAATCTTGCTCACACTTTGAGTTTGAACAGACAGTTTCATCTCATGGTAGTTGCAGAATATATTTTGCTGAACTGTGGAGACTAGTTTCAGATTATTATGGTGTGTGCTTAAATTTGAGAGCTTAGTGAATCTTGTTTGCAGATATGCAGACACTGTGGTGGGGGAGACTGGGTGGTGCAATGCGGAGTGAAATGCACTTCTCTTGCGTGCTCAGTCTTTTACGAGAGACGGAAAGTTCAGAAAGAGCTTCGTGGCCTCTCCTCCATTGCTGCTGAGAGTGAGCTTTACCCTAAATGCATGGCTGAGTGGTTCTGACCTTGAGGTATTAAGGTCGATCATTAGCTCCCAAGTTGAATTTTTTAGGTTGTGATCAAAGAGTAGTTTCGTTAAGGACGTGTGAATATGTGTGTACTAGTGTATAGATAGATGGTAACACTTATGTGTACGATACAACTACTGACCAGCATCTTGTTCGATGACTATGAGCATGTACATCTCTGTGTGTTGTGTTGTGTAAAGTCTTGTATATAAGCAAACTTTGAAATGCCAATTATATTTCAAGTCCACTGCAACAAGAAGAAAAATGTTGTCTAGAGTTTAGATAACACAGTTGATGGAGAGTCTAATGCCCACAAGTATCTTATAACCGGACGCATGGAAAGCTTCTTTAAGGATGTAATGTGCACCCAAAAAAAAAGTTATTGGTACATTTGAAATGTGGTATGTGAGGGCGTATAAATTTGCTGAGAAAATTGAGGGACCATCTCGAAATTTCGAAAATATTTTTTCTGTTCTTGTTGAAAAGTCTCTTATTCATGTAGAAGGTTCTACTCAGCTTAATCTTAATTACTCGGTTTGCATAAACCGGCTACAATACTCTAACGAAGACCAAAGACGATTGGTCAAAGTCAACCCTCCCTACCTTCTTCACACTTCACTGCTTCAGCCTTTGAGTGATCACAGCAATCGGAAGAGCGTTCCGGATTGCATTTTCTCCGATTGATTACCGTCTTCTGAAACTCCGACCATGAACGGACCAAGCCGCCGGAGCGCGCGTGGTCGGATTAAATCATCATCTACCGGCACCGACGAAAGGGGCGATTCGCTTCGTCATTCTCCGATCATCCGTCCAGGCAAACGCAAGGAGCTTGCGTCGATCGGTGCTTTCAAGAGGAATCTTAAGATTTTGGTTGGGTTAATGCTTTTGGGGATCTTCGTCATCTACTTCGTTATCAATCGGATGATTAGCCAGGGGTTGTTTGATGAATCGCAGAATCCTCGGGTTATCACTCCTTTTCCTGCTCCGAAACTCATGGATTTGTCTATGGTACACGAATCTTATTATCGAATCGAATGCTTCTTCTCTTTTCTCTTTCGTTGTTGTTCTTGTGAGAAATTGAATTGGAAGATTCGTTTTGTTTATGTACTTAGTTCCAAGGCGAGCACAAGGAGAGCTTGTACTGGGGAACTTATCGTCCTCATGTTTACTTTGGTGTTCGCGCGAGGTATGTGTTCCCACTGTGAATGAAGAAGAATCTCTACTTCGGGCAATTAAAATTTCTCTTTGTTGCTCAAGTCTCTTTCATTTGATCTGGGAATGTTTAACAATTATCGTATTATGTGTACAAGCAAATAAGTTTGTACAATGATCATGCAGAACTCCACAGTCCCTGGTAGCTGGCTTGATGTGGCTTGGTGTCAAAGACGGGATGTATGCAATGCGGCATTTCTGTGAAAACTCTGATGATCTGAGCTCATTTGGCTGGAGAGAACACAACGGGCGGGATTTTGGGCGGCAAGAGCTGGTTGAAAACGATATGATATTGGAGACGAGTTTTGTCAAGTCGAACGGGGATGGCCACGGTTATGGAGGGGATTGGGCTGTTCGGATTGATGTAAAAGGCAAAGGGTACTATATTCTTTGTTCATGGCTCTGCTTTTGTTGATTTGGATATTGATATTCATGTTGCACAGTAGAATGACTAAGTTTCTTTTTTTCTTTGACCATGCTGGGACTAATATATAGGTCAAATGGTGATGCAAAGAGAACCGCTCATCTCTTCTTTTATTTAGCGGATGAAGGTGGCAATGTTCTAAATTTAGGCCAAGATGCTTTAGATTTTCAAGGGAACTCTCTCCTGGTTTCGGGTTCACATGAAGATGTAGGAGACTGGCAGATACACTTGAAATCAGAGGTACTGTGTGATTTGAAGTGATCTTTAGAGATCTTAGGGTTTTTGTAGCTGTCTCTACTGGAAGTGGATATGTAGATGATTTGGCGTTCTCTGTCGTGTTTCGTAAGTAATCCACTGATTCTCTTCTGGATGTAACCGCTTTAATGTTCTTCAATTGCAGAATCAGCTTGAGACACATTATTCCGGTTTCAAGACGCCTCACATATATAATCTGTCTGATCTGGTTCAGAGAAATCTCGATCTGCAGGTCTGCTAATTTTCGAGCTCATAACTCATTTTTGAAAGGGCCCAACGTATTTTTTTGTTTTGTATAAAGACCACAATGCTTACATGTCTCTTGGCTTGTATATTTTCAGGCTAGGAAGTTTGGACGACTTCAGCTCTCTGACACATCAGAGGATTCTTCCAACATTTACGTCTTTCAAGTAATCAGTCTTTATGAAGATATATGTGTGTATATTGTTGTATATGTATAACAAATGTTCTTAACTTATATGGCTATGACCAATATGTTCACCGTGTCCAGTGTCAACATATCTTTTGTCATGCAGATTTCTGGGAGGCTTCCATTTACAATAGATATTCCCTTCGTCTCTGGGATCAAAGGAGAAAGTTCAAACGTGGAAAAGCGTTTAACAAGTCTCACAGGTTTCTTACCTCTCCTGTTATACCAAGCATCATTAGTGATGAGTTTGAATTTTTTGCATCTTAGTTTCTGTATGTAACTTGTAATATTTGCCTTTTGAGTTTCATAGCTCCTCGGATGAAGAACGCTAATCTGAAATTAATGCCTAGTTTCTGTGTGTGTTTTTTGTGTTTCTTATTAAGTGTCCCTCCAACCCTAGGAAAAGCAGAAGGATGTTATACTGTAGTTTCGTTAGAGATTACTAATTATATGTTAGTGATGTGGGCCAATTCAGTAGCGCTTCGATTATAAAAATTGTTTTCTTTGACAGCATAGGCTCATTCGATCACTAATATTGTTGATGCTGTCTACTGAAATTGTACTTTCGCTAAGTTTCATATATATTCCATGTAGGTTTGCCACTCTCTGATCTACTTAAGAAGAAACATAGAGAATTTGATGCAAAGTTTACGGAATGCTTCAACCTTTCTGAAAAGGTATGCTGCTATTTTTTTCTTAAAGAAAATGTACAGACTTCAGTTGCCCATGTTAATGGATAATCTTGATGTAGTTGTAAATTAGTATCCACTAACAACCATTCCCTGGATGTAGTCAAGAACAGATATTCTGAACACTTGCAGTATTGACTTAAGCAATTTCATTCTTTACCTTTCAGAATCTCCATCCATTAAGATTAGTTATTTTCTCTCTGCTTATGTACAGTTCTGTTTCTTCTCAATGGTGAGCATGTGTTGTCGGCTCCTAGTTGTCATAAGTCATAACATACATAATGTTGATAATTTTGCGTCTAGCTGTTCATAAAAGAGATGAGAATCTCAATCACAGTTTCATGTGGTTCCAGCATGATTCAGAAACATTGGGGGTTGGCAAGACCGCAATTGCAAACATGCTTGGTGGCATTGGTTACTTCTATGGTCAATCCAAAATTTATGTTCCTAAAAGCGCTCAGGCAAGTATTTCCATCCTGCTTATTGTATATCAATTTTTTTGCCTCTTTTATTTTCTTCACATCTGTAAACTAGATTGGACGTCTTACAGAAACACACAATTAATACCTTCTGTTGCAGTCTGGAAGTCAGGATAATTTCTTGCTATATTGGCCAGCCGAGCTGTACACCGCTGTTCCAAGCCGGCCTTTTTTTCCTAGGGGCTTTTTGTGGGACGAAGGGTTCCATCAATTGTTGATCTGGTTTGTTCTTATTGATAATTCTTATGTTGAAGGTTTCTTTGATATGATGCTATTGTGATTGTTTCTTAAAAGGATTTTCTGAAAAGCCATGTACTTTTGAGAAAATATAATTTTACAGAGTTAAATCCTATAGAATCATCCCGCTGGTTGATCATTCTTTGGAGTGTGTTGTGTGTGCTTTGAGCAGGCGCTGGGATTTTCGTATAACCTTGGATATCGTTGGACACTGGTTAGACCTATTGAACAAAGATGGATGGATTCCACGTGAGCAAATTTTGGGTGCTGAAGCTCTGAGGTATTTTTCACGTCTCACTAACCGTGGTAGTCATGGTTATTGACTTCTTTCTGTAATTGTTTTTAAGGGTTTCTTTTATTTCAGTAAGGTTCCAAAGGAGTTTGTAGTTCAGTACCCGAGTAATGGCAATCCACCAACACTATTTTTGGTGATACGTGGTAAGAATTTGTTGTACTTTTACCTGTTTTACTAATATTTATGGTCTTACAGTTAAATGTTTAGAACTTTGTCCCCAAGATCATACGAGTGCTTTCACCTTGCTACTCAGTTTCTGGATTGTGAAATGTAACCTATAAATGTAAAGTTAGAAAAACAATTCAAAATCAATATATTTCCGTTTAGTGACAATTTTTTTTCTGCAGATCTAATCGATGGTATAAGGATGGAAAAGTTTATCGCATCAGAAAGGGATGAAATCTTGACATTCCTTGAGCGGGCTTCTGTACGCCTAGATGCATGGTTTCAGTGGTTTAATACTTCCCAGACAGGTAACAACAATGGTTATCCTCTTGTTTTCTGGTGTAAATCCAGTTCTACATTTACATGGTCTGTGTTTTAGAGTTTGTAGTATCTTAAGTTATTATTGTTAACCAATCACAGTTGGATCACAAGTTGTAAATCTTGATCACTAGATGTGACAAGTTTTTTGTCTTTAATTGGTATCACAGTCTTAATAGGTATAAAATGGTCTAGTTCATATATTATGTATCTAAGCACTTGATTAAACAGGCAAGGAGAGCGGAAGCTACTTTTGGCATGGCAGAGACAACACAACAACTCGAGAGCTTAACCCTAAGGTACTATTTTTGGTTTTTCATGAAAATGCTATTTCTTGTTAGCGACAAGATGTCTCAGAATGACGATGATTTTTTAGTAGGATTGCTACTTTGTTCAGTTGCTTATCTTCGGATTTGGCAGTTGAACTGAAAGAATTTCAGAGATAAATATAATGTCTTATATCTCCTGCAGACGCTTTCTTCCGGGCTGGATGATTATCCCCGAGCTTCGCACCCAAGTGAAGATGAGCGACACGTTGATCTCAGATGCTGGATGTACCTCGCTGCAGATTGCATGCATTCCATCACAGAGCTTTTAGGAAAAGAAGATAAATTTTCAAAGGTTAGCACAAGTGTAAAGTAAAGGGGGCTTCTTCCTTATATTTTTCTTCACATGTTACTGACTTGGATCCTGCAGGAGGATTATAATGCAACTGCCAAGCTGCTTTCAAATTTCGATCTTCTTAATCAGGTATATTCTCTATCAGAGGTCAGCATTTTTCTCGCTTCCATTAATTATGATGCTGTAGTTTATAGATATTTATTATACAACTTGATTATAAAACACATGAAACAAGTATCGCATTGATTTTTCTTCTTACCATCCTTTCTTCTCATTCACGGTTAATTTTTGAGCAGATGCATTATGATGAGGACCATGGGGCTTACTTCGACTTTGGTAATCATACAGAGAAAGTAAGAGAAACTTCATAAATTAATAAGCTTGAGTGTCATTTTTGTCATTTTCGTTAAACCACATGTTGTGTCGATTGATCCACAGGTTAAGTTGATATGGAAAGAGGTAATTGAAGAAAATGGTCAACTATCTCGACAGCTTGTACGGAAGACTTTTGGAAAGCCGAAGCTAACATTGGTTCCTCAAGTCGGTTACGTCAGCTTCTTTCCCTTCATGTCTAGAATCATCCCACCTGTGAGTTTTTTTGTGCTAGTCAAACCCTTATGGACCAGTGACTTATTGATCTAAATCGTCACATGTTTTTGGTCGATAAAGGAATCTCCAATCCTTGAGAAACAGCTTGATCTCATTTCAAACAGGAGCATCTTGTGGAGTGACTATGGACTAGTTTCGCTTGCCAAAACCAGGTGAGCCCACAAGAACAAACTTACTCTGAAATGCTTCTAGTTCTTCCACGATAAGAAAGAACATTGTTTGGATGCAGTTCTATGTATATGAAACGTAACACTGAGCATGATGCGCCATACTGGAGAGGTCCTATCTGGATGAACACGAACTACATGATTCTTTCTTCTCTGCACCATTACTCTAAAGGTACTTTTCTAAACCTCCACATGGTAAAAGAAGAGAAACATCATATGCTACAAGACACTTCATATACTTTCGGTTTACATTGGATCAAATTTCCTGCAGTGGATGGACCATACAGCGAGAAGGCAAGAGCAATTTACATAGAACTAAGAACCAATTTGATAAGGTAAACATTTTTATATGGTATCCACAATAAAGGTCTTGTGTGATACACTAACCTGAAACATGTCATAAAATTACAGGAACGTGGTTAGAAACTATTATCAGACAGGATACATCTGGGAACAATATGATCAAGAAAAGGGAACAGGCAAAGGCACACGTCTCTTCACCGGCTGGTCTGCACTTACCGTGTTGATCATGTCCGAAGAGTATCCTATTTTTTGAAAAAGCCCTTCTTAAAACACATGTTAGTTAGAGCCAGTTTTGGTGGTTAGTTATAGAGAAAATGCTGTCACAAATCTAACTTTTGGTCGACATGTGTATCAGAATCGTGTACGTTATGCCTAAAATTACGATCAACTGTTGCTAAAGATGCTTCCATGGCTGAATCCAAGTAGAATACGATGCAGTGTTTAAGCTCAAACATCGTTTAAAAGTTAAAACAAATTCAACGCAATCAATCAATCATATGTTACAAAGGAATAAAGGAGAATCAAAGCAGTTTTCAAACAAAACAGTCTCCACTTTATTCAAACTGTATTGGAAATCAATGTCATAACTTAAAAAGAGAGACAAACTCTCTCTTTGGTTTGGAGTAATGGAGAAATGCAACAACAATGGTAACATCACTAAGATCATCATCAATCAGGCAGTGATTGTGACGCTGCAAACACACGAACCAGACAGTTTTATCTCAGATGTTACCCACTGCCTGCCTGGTGCAGCTTCAGGATCATACAGTAAAGTGCCGTGACCACTTTCTTCCTGAGAAGAAAACAGCAGAAGCTTCCCATTCAGCTTACCAAACTGAAACCCAGCCCTCGAGCTTCCCGACAGCGGAAGCGCCACCACTTCCCAGGTCTCCTTATCCGCATCGAACACCGACATCTTCCTCTGGTTCTTCCATTCGATACAGAACAGCTTCTTCCCTACTTCAACATGAGCCGTGACCATCTACACACATCCATATCAATAATCACACACAAATTAACTCCAAAACCGAGCTAAAGAAAACATTACTTATCTAACAAGAAACCAACAACATTTATACTTACAGTTAAACCGTTTTTGCTGCCACACCAGGAGCCGCATTGAGTGTTGTACACGTCAACAAGTTTTGAGTTTCCAATTGTGAAGTTAGATCTTCCTCCCATCACATAGAGCTTCCCATTGAAGCTGCTAGCGAAACATCCCCACCTCGGACGCCTCAGAGACTCTATGAAACTCCATGTTCCCATCTCTGGATCATACACCTCCGCACTCGCCAGAGACTCACCGTCTTCCCCGTGACCTCCCACCACATAAACAAGCCCATTCACTTCCGCACAAGCAAAGTCGAATCGCGCTACCTTCAAGTCAGCTAATCTGCTCCAACTGATTTTCCATTTCAAGAATCAAACAAGATGTTCAGAATTAGAAACTTAACTTGGATCAAAGTTTGCAAAAGATGGTGACGAACCTGTTGAGGCAAGTGTCAAACTGATAAACATCAGAAGATGCAACATGAGAACCGTTGATCATAGAGCAACCAGCAATCACAAGAAGTTTCCCATCAACGACAACAACCTTAAACCCTGTCTTCGCAGGACCAGGCATCGGTGGGAGAGATGATAGCTTATGTCCCAAACAGTCCATGACTTCCCAATGGCTCTCTTTCCCTCCACCACCACTCATCGTCAAGACGTAAAGCCACTCCTCAAGCATACCGGCGAGTCTTCTCACCGTGATAAACTCTTTGCTCTGGACAACAAACCTCCATTTCTTGCAGACTCTTCCCATGGAAGGGAAGCTCGCACGCGGAACAAGAGCCAAGCACAGCTTCGCCACGTCATCGGACAGTCCCGGAATCAAAGGGTCTTCTCGGAAATCCTCAGAGAACAACCGTGAACCACCGAGATCAAGATTTCCTTTTGAGAAACACATGCCGTGATGATTTGCTACAACCCTTTTCTTCCCACTTACGAAAGCTTGCATCTTTCGAATGTCTAACTAAAAAGTAAAGATTTTTCTGTGTGTGTGTGTTTGTATGAAAACGTTGTTAAAGAATCTCGTGAAACCCGTCACGTATAGTGATTTTCAGAGATAAAGGAATAAACAATGTAGCTGAGAAGAAGACTATTGAAGTAGATGAATGATGATGATGATGTCCAGCCCAATCTAATTCATATTCCATACCAATGGCTTCGCTTTTACAAATGTTGGAATCTATGGTTGTTGTTAGATTAATGTTGTTTCTTCTCAGACACATCTCCGTAGCTACCAAAACAAGATTTGTCAACAACAGATTCCAAAAAACAAGAAAAAGAGAGGTACAAGATTGCAGGAACAAGACATACCATTAAAGGTCATGCTAGAGAAGAAGATTTAGCCACCCGCTACATCCATCTTTACAATTTGCAAAATTTCTGCAATTTTTTTTTTTCAGATTAAGTCAACTCTTTAAGAACCAATAAGATCGCAATCAAGAGAATCATCAAAGAGATAGGAATAAACAAAACAGGGGAAAAAACAAAAATTTGAATGGTTATAAAAAGTGTTCATTTCCTGAAAAAAGGGAATATAACGATCACAAAAAAAAATTGACATTTTTCTTTATAAAAATATCGAAAATCCTCCAACGACCAAACTAAATTCCCAGAATTGGCGAAGATCTCAAGAAATCGGTGCTTCCACATATGAACAGAACAGAACATCAAAATCCAAAATTGCAGAGAATTTACAAATAAAGTAAGCTAGTAGGAATCAATGGGATGGTGACAGAACCTGAAGCGGGTGATTTTAAATCCAAAGAGTAAACTTTAAAGCGTTGAAATCGAAATCCAAAATGGGCTTAAGACATTTATACAGTGTAGGGAGAAAATGGCGGAAATAAATAGCAGAAAGAGATAAAGATGAGATACCAAGAGAATAGGGGAGAGCTTTTGTCGGTTTTTAGTCTTTGGGTTTCGTTATGCGTTGAAGTTAGTGCGAAGAAGATAACATTGACAGAGAGAGAGAGAGAGAGAGAGAGAGAGAGATGTAAATGTAATAACAATGGTGTAGGAATTAAAGGGACGCGTGAGATTAGGGATTTTTATAGCAAAAATCACAAAGCATACATACGGTGGATCTCTCTGTAGATAATAATGCCAACTAGTCACCACGTCACCATCACTATTATTTTTATCGTATAATTACAGAAGACATGTTTTGATTCAGACAACCAAGAAAAAGCAAGACATGTTTTTTATTATAAATAAATAAATAGAAACAAATTTAAGGGTCCAAGAATGTAGAGTAATTTTTCAATCACCAAAAAAATAACTCTTAAAATGATAAAGTGTTGAATAATTTTTAACCGTTGCTAAAAAATAATCGTACTGGTATGTGTTATAAACTAATGTAGTAACAATTGTATTACCTTTTTTTTTTATAAAAGACAATTGTATTACTTACGAAATGTCGAACTTGTAGAATAAATTCAACCAAGGACAAAGAAAAGAAAAATAAGAGAAGGACCAATAATAATGATAAAGATGATGTGTATATCTATTGTATTGGTAAAATTTACAAAAACAATTGGAAGATTCGTATTTACAGGGAAGAAAACAGAAACAAATATCGACAATTTACTATGGGTTCTGTTTTTTTTTCAACCACACAAAAAAAAAACAATCAATGCACATGTCTTTTATTACTATAATTTAAAGATTATCTGACTAATATATTGTATTGTACTACCTCTAAGATTATTGGAGGTAGTTTACTTTGATAAGCCAATTAGTTTTCAAATTCTTGAAAAAAAAAGAATTGATGATCAGACGGTGGAGATATTTTTTGTGTCCGAATGAACATGCAATCGTATCGTATCCCTTCCCCTCTGTTTCTGCCTGTGGGCCTCAGCCGTTGGGTCCTACTGACCATGAAGCCCCGTCAAAGCCGCATGCCAATTTTCACTTTCAGTTTTATGCAGATCGGAACAAAGAAATGTTAATTACTTATTAATATTAGTCTTTTAGAAATTAGAATATTAATTCAGTCATAACTTTTCTTCTTTACATTATTTTCTCATTAAGGGATATATAGTTTATATACGTGAGACTGTGAGATGGTAGATATTTTGTTTCTTATATAAAGTAGAGATTGAGTGTGGACTTTACTTTAGCTTCTTTTTAAAACACCTTGGTTCCAACTACAATGATTTCACTCTAAAATACTAAACCATATGAGTTCTTCAAACCAGTATCGAGCACAACTAAACACCATATATGCCATCATTCGGATATATGAAGCTCGACTTAAAGTCTTAAAACCTGGTCGACCATTTTATTGAATTTTTTTTGTGTGAGATAATGTTTTTTTTTTCTAAAGTTCTGATATATATTAAAACACCTTGGTTCCAACTACAATGATTTCACTCTAAAATACTAAACCATATGAGTTCTTCAAACCAGTATCGAGCACAACTAAACACCATATATGCCATCATTCGGATATATGAAGCTCGACTTAAAGTCTTAAAACCTGGTCGACCATTTTATTGAATTTTTTTTGTGTGAGATAATGTTTTTTTTTTCTAAAGTTCTGATATATATTAAAACACCTTGGTTCCAACTAGCTGAGTTTATTGGGAAAAGTAAATAAATAGCGGTGCGAACACGTCAAACCCACGTCAGGTGGTAAGGCAAGAATTAATAAAGATACTGCTATCCAAAATGATCTTATCTCGTGAACCTTTTATTCTTAATTATCTTGGAGCATATCTTATGTACATACATATATGATACATGTAGATCATCCATCTTTGCCTATTGCCAACCTGTTACACATAAGACGTGCGAATTGTTCCATTATAACGTTCTTCGATGTAATGCATATTTGTTCATATAGTATTTTATTCCCTATAATGCATGACAGCAACTAGCAACAACATTTCTTTGTTTTGCATCGCGATCAGCGACTAAATCTTTTATGTTTCGTATGATGATATATTTCAGCCATTAATAGCTGTTACCAATCTAACACTAAAATTGCAGATATCGTTGTCCCCTGTTGCGAAATGGAACGGAGCTTTTCACCACGGGTCTAATATACAACTGGCTCGATACGCCAGTGGAAGTGATATAAAATGCGCTGGAAAAACAATAACTTCTTGAGTCTTGACCTTAAGTATTGGTCCCATACTCTAAAGTAGGCTCTTTGGGCATGCTCTCCAATTCATTGACTAAAAACGTCTAAGTTTGAATGCATTTATCATTTACCAACTAAACAAAACAATCAAGAAAATAATGTAGAAACCTTTGAAAACGACATTAACCAATTTATATTGATTGTGTTAGTGTTGCAAGTTTCAACAGCTTCTTGATAAATTGTTCCTCAATGAGTAACCTCGCGAAGGCCCATCTCCGTTGGTCGACCACGAAGAAACCGTTTTTCTCCGTAAACATTGGTTTTGTTTAGTCTTTCCCTAGAGGTTGAAACGCTTTTTGGTGAGTTTATGCAAACTACCAATCTGAAATTCTCCACACAAAAATATATACGAAAAACACACTTTTCAATATATGTTAAATTGTTAATCTAGGAAAGATAAAGTCGTGTTGGGTCCATTTTACAATGAAAAGTAACACAAAAAGTAAACAATTCGTGAGGTTTGAGTTTAGCTTAAACAGCCCACCATGATGAGAAACAAGGATTGTTTAATTTGATATATTTTTGGATCTAAAAAGCGGCGACCCGAAAGCGATTGGTACATATCTTTTTCCATGTGATGTTGACAATCTATAACCATTTTCAACGGTTCATATTGTTTTGTGACTAGCTTTAATATTTAAAACCCATTTGTTGATTAGAATAATTCCATATGTTACATGGCCGTGAGTCACCTCAAGAATTAGATAAAATTCATTATTTTTTTCTTTTGGATTTCTTGAAAATCTTAAACGAAAAATATACAACTATTTTATAGAATAAACAAATACTATATAAAAGTTGAGGCTATAAGCCTCTAAGAGCGTCCACATAGGATTTAAAACGCGATATGATTGGTCCACATAAGTATTTCCTAGATTAAGAAAGTTTCCGAATTTTAAACAACCAATAGTATCAGTCCACATCATCACATAAAATTAGCTATTTGTTCAATTAGTTAAATTCCTTTTTATATTTTTATATTTTAAGAAAGTTTCATAATTCAAAGGTAAGCAATAGGAAAGTTTCCAGAATTTATAAGTGTAATATTAGTAGAGATATGTAATAAATAAGAAAATTATACCAACAATATCATTATATATCAACATCTAAAATTATTTATATTTGAATTTTTTTTCATTAATTTACTTTTTATTTTTATCAGCAGAATTGTAAAAAAGGAGATTTTCCTTTAAGAAAAAAGAAAACAAATAATAATACTATTGGAAATTAAATAAGGAAACAAATAAGGAAATTTTCCTTTAGCTAATAAAAATTAAAAACCCTAACACACTTTTGCCATCTATTTCTTATATATACCAAGAGTCATCTCCTCCCTTTTTAACACCTACAAAAGCTACAATTGTATTAACTGGATTTTGATCAAATGTAGCTTACATGAATAAACATATGTTCACGTCAGAGCTTGATATAAGATCAAACAAATCCAACATCGAGAAACCACCTGGAAACAAGATGGAGGGATATATATTGAAGACAAGATACTTTGACATCACATATTGAAAGTTCACATAGATCGATCAATTCTTCTAAAGGATATGTAGTGGATTAATGAAAAATCATGAAGCAAAGGAATGATTGAAACAAAGACAATGGGCATCACACTGAAGGTATACATGTCCTTCTGTGAAATAAATAAATTCGCTTGCTTTATTTCGAATATTATCTGGTCTATGGTGTTCAATTGATTTTCTTTGTATTTTGATAATGGAAGCACATCCAATTAATTAATAAATAAGTTACATTACCACAAAAAATTCAAAGGACTATGAAGAGAACAAGGAATCGAAATTACCAAAGTGTAGATTAAATCAAAAGTGAATTGTTGCTCCTAAATTAGTAAGCTTTCGATGGGGAAAATAATATTGATTATGAAGAAAGAAAAAAAATCAGAATAGTGATTACATGACACAAATTGAAAGGAAAAGGCAAACACAATAGAAGGCTGTATTTTGTTCCTTTTCTATTTTTCTATTTTTTTTTTCAATGTTTTGTAATATTTACATATTCATGTGTTTATAAGTAGTACTTTTAAAAGATGCCACTTGAAAGAGAAGGAATATAAACAAAAGTAAATTTATGAAAAACAGAATAAGATAAATTTCTTCTCATTTTAGTATTTACATATGACATTCAAAGGGCCTGTTTTGAATATATTTTGTTCAATAAGTCATTCTAGCTTGATTTTATTTTCAGTTTTTCAGGTAACGAAATTGTGTTTTATTTAATTATAATTTATTCTAAATTTAAGAGGAATAGAGCCATGCAGAATTTTAAGGGTCGAGAATAACCTACAGAAATAAGAGAAAAAAAAATGAAGAAAAAAGTAGACACAAAGAAGAAGAGTACCAAGATAAAACCGAAGAATAGCGAAAACAAAGATATTGAATTGCGAATACAAAATAGAGACCAAAGAAGACAAAGATGAATAAGGAAAAACCATATTAAAAACTTGTGAAGAACAATTTGAAGAGGAATTCGAACAAGAACGAAGGAGAAGAAACTTAACAACAACAACAAAAAAACTTGCGAAGACCAATCTAAAGAGGAAATAAAATAAGAACAAAGGAGAAGAAACCAAATCAAAACAAAACAAAAAAGAGAAAAAAAAAGAAGAGCGAAGACGAAGAAGAGCAAACGCGAAGATGAGTGAAAATGAAGAAGAAATCAAATAAGACCAAAGACAAAGAAGAAAACAAAACATAAGATACTGAAAAAGAATGAATCAAAGAAAATTAAAAAAAACTTTAAAACAACAGAAGAAGAAAATGAAGAACAATTATGTGTGTCGACTAGCTTCTCTTCATTTAGGTTTTAGGTTTTATAACCATTGAAAACTTACCAAAATATTAGTTTATCATCTAGCTTAAATTTATTACATACAAATATTGTTATTTATAGCATTTTAAGTTCTAACATAACCAACTGAAGTTATTTTAAATAAACATCATGTTACATACAAATATTGTTGACATCTAATTTTAAGAATTTCACTAAACATATTTAAAAATATATTTCTGTTTAGAAAATGACTAACACGTCACAATAGTTCATAAATTAACATTACATTTTACAAGTAAGTTTAGTGATAAAGTAAGTTTGTCCTATTATAATGATTTGAATATCTTCAAGTAAGTTTTGGTCATTAGACATACACAAACATTTTTGTTACCGGGATATGATCTAAACAATATTTTTGTATGTCAAGATTTGATCTCAATACGATATTGATATATCTAAAAACTTTTGTTTTCCAGAGAGTTTTGGTATTGAAATATTGATAAATTTTAATTGTTGATTTTTGCAATTTAAAAAAAAAAATTAAAATATATTTTAAACTGATTTAAGATACAGACCCGCGCGTGCGCGGGTGAAAGTCTTAGTAATAATGTAATGACCCGTTCACTATTCAAACTCTTTTCGCAAGATTTTTCGTTTTATCCTACTTTCATCGTTAAAAATTTATACTTCAATTGGATTATACTTTTTTATAATGATATTGAAAAAAAATATACTCTTTAATAGACCACAAATAATCCTCCATTTTGGATTAAACAAAATTTTAACTGCAAAGTTATCTTAGAATGAAAGAAAATTCTAGTAGGTGATCTTAATGACATAGATAACCAAACTAATATGCATCAGTGCATCACCATATATTTGATTGAAGAATTTGGATAGTACAGACACGTAAGACTAACATCACACATGATTCACATATGAAGAGCATTTATCCAAATAACTTACAATGCTCCAACCACCTCTCTTGTGAGACTCTCCATTCTTGTTTGGCGGTAGGTTGGCTATTTTGAAAAGGTATAAAAAGTTTGACCATACATATTTTCACGAGTTTTTCTTTCCTCTGCTCTTTATTTAGTCAAATGTGTACAGAGAGAATTATTTTATAATATCATGTAATCTAACAATTTCATACGTTAAGACTTGTTTCATTGTGGACTAATGTTCAAAAGTTAGAAATAAAATATATATCATCCCAATTTAATGGGTCAGTAAGGAAATATCTCAGTGATCCAAAGAACAAGCCCACTGATATTCAAGATGATCATTGATCACCTTGTGGAATCAAAACCATTCGAAGCTCAAGAGGGTCCAAAGCCAAAACGGTTCAATCTAAAACCCCACTAATACTATTAATGACCGATCCGAAGTATAGATAGACCGCCGAAATATGCATAACTTCACTAAACCAAGTTTGTACATATCTAGATCAATAAAGAAAGAGGATATCTACTTTCCTAAATTACCAAATTTGAAATAATATATTTAGCAAATTATAGTTTAACGTGAAACACACGTTTCTTTCACTGTCCTCGTTAATAGAGGCAAAGCAAGTCTTGGATTCTTCTGGATTTTTCATATATATGCATGACATTTTCTACTTCCATCATCCGCCACTTTTCTTCCGCCGCTCTCGCCTCCTTCCTCCGACGCACGTCAATCTCTCACGGCGGATGCGGATTTGGAGGTGGAGTTGGAACACGCCGCAGCTTTTGTTTTCTCTCAGCGGAACGAGAGAATTCTAATGTCTCTAGAGCCTTTCGTGCGCCGGTTCTCTCGTCGGACAAAAAAAATCCCCTCTTCAAATCTGAGGCAATCGGTACCGTGGTCATCACTCAAGCGAACTATATGCGAGTCATTGTCCAGCCTGAAGCTGTCAACGGAGATGAACGTTCGTCGTCCAAGACCGGCTTTGAGATACTTTGCCAGGTGAGAACGATTCTAAGGAAGTTAGGGAAGAGAGTTATGGTTGGGGACAGGGTTCTCGTGGAAGATATCGATTGGGTGGACCAGAGAGGAATGATCGTGACTCTGTTCGACCATCGCTCGGAGAATGTGGATCCACCGGTGGCGAATGTGGATCATCTACTTGTTTTTTTCTCTTTCGATAAACCGAAACTGAAACCAGACACACTCAGCAGGTTCTTGGTGCAGGCTGAATCCTCTGGACTTCCTCTCACACTTGCCCTAAACAAATGCGAACTAGTCACTCAAGAGGTAAGCAAGAATATGGATTGATGAATGTTAAGTTGTTCACGTTTTGGAAACGTGATTCCGCTATTTTTTTTATCACTCCTACTATATTTCAAATGTTTCTGTTTTTTGAAAATTGATCTTGCTATATACAACTAACGTGTTAAAAATATAACTAGGAAACATAAAATGTGATTTAATATATAGAAAATGTTTTTTAATTCCTCACATAAGTTTACAATTTAAATATTTGGGTTTAGGTTTAGAATTTAGGGTTTAGGGTTTAGTTTTGAAAGTTTGGGGTTAGTTTTGATGGTTTAAAGTTACTTTTGTGAATGGAAAAATGGTATGTGATGGAAAAAAAAATAGTGATGCTATGAGGAATTAAAAAACATTTTGATGGTAGATGTACATTTCAGCTTTTTATAATTATTCTACCAAAATTTTATTCAGTTCAGTTAATTATTCAGTTATAAAGTTTAAGTCCTTAAATATACTCCGTTTTACAGGAAATGGAATCTTGGAAGATAAGATTGCGTGGATGGAACTATGAACCATTGTTTTGCAGTGTAGTAACTGAAGTCGGACTTGATGAAATTGAACTCAACCTGCGAAACAAGACTACTGTGATAATCGGGCCTAGTGGTGTTGGAAAGTCAAGCTTAATCAACATATTGAGAAGCAGCAACTATTGTGGTGCTATGGAGTACGAAAATTGGTTTGAGCCTGTAAGGTTTATGTGTAATTTTTATTCTACTGCTTAACTTTTGAACTATATCCTCATGACTTTTGACATATGTGTATTCAGAGATTAGGTAAGACGTGGTTTGAAGATCAACGAGTAAATGGAGTTTCAAGTAGATGCGGTAGAGGTACACATACAACACGAAATGTAACGCTACTGCGACTCTCTGAAGGTGGTTTCGTCGCTGATACTCCTGGCTTTAACCAGCCTAAATTTCTGAAAGTAACAAAGCAATCACTTGCCCTGTGTTTTCCTGAGGTTTGTACCCTTTTGGCTTCTGTGTGCCCATTTCAAAATCATTTCCAAATGTTATGGAAGAGTTCAAATTTCACATATCCACTGATTGCGACCGTTTATTTACTCTTGCCTTAGATACAAAGAATGTTTGAGGAGGGAAAATGTGGATTCAAAGATTGCTTACATATTGGGGAACCAGGATGTGTTGTGAAAGGTGATTGGGAAAGGTATCCTTACTACTTGCAACTTCTTGATGAGATCAGAGTCAGAGAGGAGTTTCAACTTGGGACTTTTGGAAGAAAAACGGAAAACGTTGTTAGGTATTTGTTGGAAACAAATGGCTTTTATTTTGAGATTAGTCACACAGCTTTGATATGGACTAATATCATGGAAGCATTGACACAGGTACAAGGTGGGAAGAATGGGTGTGAAACAAGCTGAGCCACGACTAGAGCCTAAGAAGCATAGAAGACAGTCAAGGAAGAAGATGAAACAGACGATGATCTCTGAACTAGACGACTTCGGAGATGAAGAAGACAGCGACTTGGACTTAGAGGAATGACCCAATTGATCAAGCAATTGAGAAGGAGAAGAGATGATGAGAGATTGCACGAAACACTACTATAGTCATGTTTGTACATAAATACACACACAAGACATGTTTCATTCAATCAAAGTTTTCAGTAAATAAATAAATCAAGAGGGTTCACAATGAAGATATCAACCTTAGACTGTTAAACCATATACTACACAACATGGTTGGTATCATAGAAATTGCAAAAGGAGCATTTTCTGTCTACGTAAAACCCTAGCTATAAGAGGAGAAGGAGGATCGACCAAAGGAGCATTTTCTTTCTACTATTAAAAATCTAAATTCTACTAATATACGGAAAAACGGATCCAACGAAAAACAATGACGGGAAATATAGTCTGTTTCATGTATCAGTGAGTAAACAAAGAATTTGATGGCATAAAGACATGTGCTATAATGCAAAAATTTATATTTGAAAGTACTTGCTAATTATACAAGTTGGAATTAAAATGCCGGTGTTATTTGGGTAAGATTTTATAATATTAAACACAAATTATAGTTGTTTTCCAATTTTTTTTTTAAAAGTTATAACAATAAAAAACCCGCGCGTACGCGCGGGTATTAGTCTAGTATGGTTTGATGAATGGTATGTAACAGACTAGTTGTTGGAAACGTGATTCCGCTATTTTTCAAACTTTTCCGTTCCTTCATATTAATTGTTTCTATATTAAGTCATTTTCAATATAAACAAATTTAAACAAGGAATAAATTATTTTTGGGAAAATTCAAAATTGGGAAAAATGACTTTTTTTTTGGATAACTCCGGGTAAATCTCACGTGGAGGGGCCAGACTAATTCTTGGGGGAGGTGCAGCCCACGGATAGACCCTTTCTCCGGGTATTAAAATGAACCTAAAGCAAGGACCCATATCCATGTGGCCAAATGGGATAAATCTAGCAATTTCGCTTTGACTACTAAAACTTTTTTTCCCAAACTTTGGTGACATATGATTTTTGTTATCCCCTATTTTAGTTTTTATTTTATTTCCTTTTCTGAATATTCATCATTGTTTTTTCCTCTTATGATTATTCATCCTATTTTATTTTATTTTATTTTAACAAACAAACTAGAATTTGTATAAGCATAACTATTAATTCAACAATTTATATGAAACTAGATAAGGCCCTGCATATACACAGAAATTACTTTAAGATTTTCAAATAATATACGATAAAATATCAAACAGCTATGAGTACTCTAAAGAATATATATATATATATATATATATATATATTTATTTATAAATTTTAGTGTAAATCTATACACAAAATATAAATATAATATACATAAAAAATAATACATTGCTAACTTTTTCATCAAGTAATAGAAACTCAACTTCCATAAGGATATTATTTTCTGTAAGATTTATAGATTCCAACTTTTAAATAACATGTACGACGATAATTTCGATTTCAGTCTAGTTGATTTAGAGTCAAATAATCTCCATTACTTTCTTAAACTTTGCAAGACATACTTTTTTATTCGAGAGTGATTTTTTATTCGAGAGTGAGTAATAAAATTAAAAAGGATGGAAGTACACAATAAGAGAGAATGAGAAAAGAGATGGAAGCATCCAATTAAATTTGGAATGCTATATCTTATTATATAGGGGTTGGTAAGACATAGAAGATTGTTTTTTTTTTTCCTTTTTCCCTTTTCCGTTAGAATAAGATATACTTTTATCTTAGAATATGAGGTATGCAAATTTTTTTTTCCCTTTTTCAGTTAGAATATTGAACCATTTTATCTTATAATATACTCTTTCTGTCCCATATTATAAGCAGTTGGGCACAATGTATCTAAAAAATAGTGGATGTATCTATATGGAATATGGGACAGAGGGAGTATGAGGCATGCAAAAACATTGTTTTCCTTTTCCCATTAGAATATGGTAATTTTTTTTTCTAACACCTTTTTAATAATTTTTTTTCCACTTTTTTCCTTCTTCTGTTGCAATATGAAATATTTTTCGTTAGAATATGGAAAATAAACTATTTCCCTTTTTAATACCTTTTTAATTTGTTTTTTTTTCAAGAAATATGTCAAAATTTCAATATGAGCAAAATTAAAAATAACACATGTCGCGATCTTATAAGTTATAAAAATTATACGTGTCGCAACCACGTGGCGCGTATCCAGCTTTACATAATAAGAAGATACGATCAATTTCACACAACCAATAATCAAAAATACAACTTTAAGGTGAAGAAATAAAATTCTATCAATTCTAACAACCTAAAAAGGAAGAAAATTGACATGAATATAATAACAAAACAGAGAGAGTAAGCAAATATTTATAAATATTAACCAGAAATCTTTGGAAACAATTCCGGGTTGGGTTTTCAGGTGTCAATTGTTGAAGTTCGCATATGTATGAAAAAGGAAAAATATAGATGAAATCATAAACAAAAAACGTTTTAGATAGGTTTCTTTTCCAATTGTGAATGTTGAATTTTGTAGAAGGCATGATTTACACATTAGAACGTAGAGTACGTGTTCTACAGAAGCATAGAACATTAAGAAATTTGCGAATATATATTCTACATTAGCGTAGAAAATTTAAAGTTTGCAGATTATATATATTTTACATTATCGTATGATATGGAGAAATCGTAGATTATGTATTCTACAATCTGTGGAATACATGATTTGGTAGAAAAAGTATTCTACAATTTGTAGAACATATCAAAAAGTATTTAGTAAATATTTATTTCTAACGTTTTCGAATGAAATTAAATATTTATTTCCTTAAATATCTATTTTTTCTTTTTTAATAGTGGAATATGTATTCAAAAATAATTATTTAGCCAATACTCCATTTGTTCAAATTATAAGCAGTTTTGGGTGTGGACACACACACATATTAAGATTTTCTTACTTTATTGTGCTTTCTAATTTTTACTTTTTGGAGTACTTTGCATAAATTTTTTGGAAACAGATTATATTGTGAAACAAAAATAAATCTCTAAACCTGCTGGTAATTTGAGATAGATAGAATATTAGACATTCAAAAAAATGATATAATGGTAGTTTAGTCAAAAATGATATCTACAAAAAGGGTATAGATGTACAAAGTATTAATCAAGTTGTCATTTTTTTCCAATTCTCCATTTTTTGTCAAAAATTGTGTAATTACATTTTAGATGATATATCTTCCAATATGAAAATATTTTAGATTCTATAATAGCAAATGAAAAAAAAAATATTAAACAATCATTTTAGAATAAAGAACATTGATCTCTCAATAAAAATAATGGAATCCAAGAGATCGTCTTCCTCTCCTTTACTCTTGATCACCATCATGATCATGTTCATAATTCCTGGTTAGTTTTCTCATCTACTTTGTAATTCACTTTCTTGCAGTGTTTTAAACTTTAATGAGACCGGTCGCATCAGGTTTAACGGTGAACTTGAAAAAGTATTTCCGGGTTGAGTTATTATTAAACTTATAGATACTTAAACTTAAACTGGTTAAAAACTCGGGTCCAGCAAAAGAAAAACTAAAAATCAGTGAGCTAATCCTATTGAATCGGATAATAAAAATAATTGTTAGTTTTTCTTGTTGTTATTTTTAATTATTTCAAATGATATAATTTTGAAATGATTTATTTGATATTTAGAAATTATCAATATATTTTAATATCATTCAAAATTATTTATTAAAAAATATATTAAAAAATTATATATATTATTTTTAAAATATCATAGACTTTGATCGAATTATCTTGATCTATAATCCAAACGCATTTCTGGTTTGGTCACCGGATTTATTTTAAAAGCATTGCTTTCTTGTTGATTAAAGACATGTTATTATAAGGGACTTATAAACATGAAAATCTTCTAATTAACTCATGTGTGATGTGTTTTTGCAGGACCAAAATCAGCTGATGCAACTTGTAAACATCCTGTTGGACCGTATACGGATTCATGCTTTAATGATTGCATATCTGGAAAATACGGATTTAAATATGAATCCGCTTTTTGTAGAAGAGACGGGCAAGGAACTTGTAAGATATGTTGCTGCGAGAAAATAAACGAATAAACAAGTGTATGGTGTATTCAAAAACTCGCGTTAATTGGGTGGTCAGTTCGATTTAGCAGAAAAAAAATAGAATTAAATCAAAGATTAGTCGGAAAGATTTTTTACTATATTTTTATATTTTACCAAAAAAATTTTATATATAGAAAAGTGCTGATGATGTTTGTAACGCCGATTTTCTTAATTATGCGCATAGAGTCTGATTGGTTCTCCCGCTACCACCCGCAAACACAACGTTTGCAATTCGTAGCGGTTTTTTGCGATTTATAACAATCACAACAAAACAGTGCCACCAATTTTTGAAAATCCCCAGGGTCATATATATATATATATATATATATATATATATTTCAAGAAAGAGGATATCTACTTTCCTAAACGACCAAATTTGAAATGATATTTAGGAAGCAATTACAACTTAACGTGAGACACACGTTTCTTTCCCTGTCCTCTCTCTCTTCTCAGTGTTCTCATTAATAGAGGCGCATCAAGTCTTGGATTCCTCTGGATTTTTTTCATATGCAGACATCTTCTACTTCCATCATCCGCCGCTTTTCTTCCGCCGCTCTCGCCTCCTTCCTCCGACGCACGTCGATCTCTCACGACGGAAGCGGATTTGGAGTTGGAGTTGGAATCCGCCGCAGCTTTTATTTTCTCTCACCGAGACGAGAGAACCCTAATGTCTCTCGAAAGAATATCCTCAGAGCCTTTTGTGCGCCTGTTCAGGAACCTCCGCTCTTCAAATCTAAGGCCATTGGTACCGTGGTCACCGCTCAAGCGAGCTACATGCGCGTCATTGTCCAGCGTGTAGCCATCGACGGAGATGATGGAGATGAACGTTCGTCTAAGACCGGCTTTGAGATACTCTGCGAGGTGAGAACGATGCTAAGGAAGTTAGGGAAGATAGTTCTTGTTGGGGATAAGGTTCTCGTGGAAGATATCGATTGGATTGATCGGAGAGGAGTGATCGTGAGTCTGTTCGACCGTCGCTCGGAGAATGTGGATCCACCGGTGGCGAATGTGGATCATCTACTGGTTTTTTTCTCTGTGGATGAGCCGAAACTGAAACCAGACACACTCACCAGGTTCTTGGTTCAGGCTGAATCCTCTGGAATTCCTCTCACACTTGCCCTGAACAAATGTGAACTCATCACTCAAGAGGTAAGCAAGAATCTTGTTTCTTTTAACATTCATACTATTTTTTCTAGTCTTCACTTTTTATAAATTGATCCACGTATATACAACTAGCTTATAAACGAAAATGTGAAAATCTACTAAATAGTGTCATTTTTACAAATGATACTATAATTCTTGTATAATTAAAAAAATGATACTAATTTTTTTTTTTAAATGACACTAAAGATTAAGTTTCTTGTAGTGTTATAACCTAGTTTGAGACCACTTTGCTTGTTTGTTTTACTAGGAGTTTGTTTAGAGAAATGATCTTTGTTTTACAGGAAGTGGAATCTTGGAGAACAAGATTGCGTGGATGGAACTATGAACCATTGTTTTGCAGTGTGGAAACTAAAGTCGGACTTGATGAAATTGAAATCAACTTGCGAAACAAGACTTCTGTGATTATTGGGCCTAGTGGTGTTGGAAAGTCAAGCTTAATCAACGTACTAAGAAGTAGCTCTAGTGGTGTGGTGGAAGACGAAAATTGGTTTAACCCGGTAAGGTTCATTCTACAGCTAAACTTTTGTGTTTCTTTTTTTTTTAAATATAACATAACCTCGTGACTTCTTGATCTTTTTGTCATATTCAGATATTAGGGTTAATGTATGATGGCCAAAAGAAAAAGAAGAAGAAAAAGTGGTTTGAAGATCAACGTGTAGATGAAGTTTCGAAAGGAAATAGTAAAGGTACACATACAACACGAAATGTAACGCTGATGCACCTTCCTGGAGGTGGTTACATTGCTGATACTCCTGGCTCTAACACGCACAAGTTGCTTAAAGTAACAAAGCAATCACTTCCTCTATGTTTTCCTGAGGTTTGTTTTTGTACCCTTTTATTTTTTTTTCTTGTGCCCATTTTCACATATTGTGACTATACGTTTCCTAACTATTTTCTTAGATTCGGAAAATGATCGAAGACGGAGAATGCGAATACAGCGCTTGCTCGCATATAGGAGAAGTACCAGGATGTGCTGTTTTGGAAGGTGGTTGGGAAAGGTATACTTATTTCTTGAAACTTCTTGATGAGATTAGAACAGAGGAAGAGTTTCAACTTAAGAAGTATGGAACCAAGAAAAGCGAAGGTCATGTTAGGTAAATTGTTTTTATTCTTTATATATTGATAATTGTTTGTCACAGCCTCCAAATATGGATTAATCAGAGAAGCCTTTACTCAGGTACAAGGTGGGAGGAAAGTACGTGAAACAAGCTAAACCACTGCATAAGAGTGAGAAGAAGAGACGTTGACAGATTCACCAAGAACAATTTTTCAACTAATGTTTTCACAAACACAAGTCATATCATTTTTGACTAATATAAACCTAAATGTCAGATGCTTAATTTAGCAGATTATTAAATACTAACCATGATCAATGATTTCATAACAGCAACATTTGAACGTACAACCCAAGAAACAAAAAATCTCTTTCAAGAACACAAACAAAAAAACTACTATAGCCTTCCACCAGCGAGCAAATTGGGCTTTAAGCCCATAACAATTATCAACATTGGGCTTTGGGCCCATAAAGGGTAAGCTAACTAAACTCTGCGTCTTCTTCTTCTCATTGAATAAATAAATACAGTGCAGCCATTTTCTTCACTGCTCTCTCTCTCTCTCTCTCTCTGCTCACTGTCTTGGAATCTTCTGGAATTTTTCAAATGCAGACATCTTCTCTTTCCATCATCCGCCACTCTATTCCCTTCCTCCGTCTCACGGCGATTTATCACGGCGGTTGCGGAGTTCGAGCTGGAATTGGAGTCCGTAGCGGCTTCTATCTTCTCTCAGCGAGACGAGATAACCCCAATGTCTCTAGAAAACCCGAGCCGAGCAAAAACATGCTCAGAGCGAAGCATATCGGCAAGGATTACTCCTCCTTAGCGCCGGTTCTCTCGCTAGACCACAAACCTCCTCTCTCGGAGTCTCAGGCCATCGGCACCGTCGCCACCGCTCAAGCCAACTTTATGCGCGTCACAGTCGACGACGGCGACGAGGGAGACGATCGTTCGTCTAGTAAGACCGGCGTTGAGCTGCTCTGCGTGGTGAAAGCGGTATTGAAGAAGATACGGAGGAGAGTGCTGGTTGGGGATAAGGTACTCGTCGGATCTATCGATTGGGTGGATCGGAGAGGAATGATTGAGAACGTGTTTCACCGCCGCTCGGAGATTCACGATCCTCCGGTGGCGAATGTGGATCACTTGCTGGTTCTCTTCTCTCTCGATCAGCCGAAACTGGAGCCGTTCACGCTCACTAGGTTCTTAGTGGAAGCTGAATCCACCGGAATTCCACTCACACTTGCCTTGAACAAATCCGAACTCATCACTGAAGAGGTAAAGAGGAAGAAATTGCATTACTAGTTTAAGATCACTCCGTTTTTAGGGATTTGATTAGAGAGATATGATCGTTTTGTTTCCAGGAATTGGAATCTTGGAAGATAAGACTGCGTGGGTGGAGCTATGATCCGTTGTTTTGCAGTGTGGGAACTAAAGATGGACTTGATGAGATTGCATACATTCTGAGAAATCAGACTTCTGTGATTGTTGGACCTAGTGGTGTGGGGAAGTCGAGCTTAATCAACATGTTGAGGACTAACTCTGGTGGTTCCGTGGAAGACGAGAATTGGTTTGAGCCTGTAAGGGGATTTCATTCTACAGCTTATCTTTTGAACCATATATATCCTCATGACGTTTTGAGTCCCTTTTGTGTATTGCAGATATTAGGTAATAGTAAGTGGTTTGAAGATCAACGAGTAGGGGAAGTTTCAAGTAGAAGTGGTAGAGGTAAACATACGACGAGAAATGTGTCGCTGCTTCCACTCTCTGAAGGTGGTTTCCTCGCTGATACTCCTGGTTTTAACCAGCCTAGTCTGTTGAAAGTAACGAAGCAATCACTTGCTCTCTGTTTCCCTGAGGTTTGTTTCCTTTTGCTTTGTGCTTATTTCACAATCGTTTTGCATATATTTGGAGAGAGAGAGATCAAGCTTGTGCCCATTTCTTTTCTGTAGATACGGAAGTTGATTGAGGAGGAGAAATGTGGATTCAAGGATTGCTTACATATTGGGGAGCCAGGATGTGTTGTGAAAGGTGATTGGGAAAGGTATCCTTACTACTTGCAGCTGCTTGATGAGATCAGAGTCAGAGAGGAGTTTCAACTTAGGACTTTTGGAACGAAAAGGGAAAGTGATGTTAGGTATTTGTTTGATTCTTCTCCCGAAACGAAAGCTTTATGTTAGGTATGGACTAATCATGGAAAGCATTGACACAGGTACAAGGTGGGAGGAATGGGTGTGAAACAAACTGAGCCAAGACTACAGCCTAAGAAGCATAGGAGAGAGTCGAGGAAGAAGGTGAAACAGACGATGATCTCTGAGCTGGACGAGTTTGAAGATGAAGACAGCGACTTGGACTACGAGGACGACCCAATTGTGAAGGCAATTGAGAATGAGAAGAGCTGATCGAATTCAAAAGCCAAATAACGACTGCTAAAGACATGTATAAAACTTAGGAAATACCACTAAATGAGACTCTTCTGTTGGAAACAAAGGCTAAATCTGATGTTTGGGAAACAAGCGCTTTTGTTAGTAGCTTTTGCTTTTGCAAATGATTCTAAAACATTGATTTTGCATATGATTTCACCACCAACCAAGAATGTAACATGTCTAAATAACAGTAATATTTTAAAACGGAACGAATACTACTAACCATATCCAATGATTTGATAACAGTAACATAGAACAAAACTCAATGAAAATCTATTCATAGTCTGCAAAACGATTCGAACAAAGAAAGGGAGCAAAATCTCTTTCAAGAACACAAAAATAAAACTGAAAAAAACAAAGCTTAAGCGGTTGCTTTCTTTGACTTGGCTGCCAACTGCGTCTCCGGCTACAAACAAAAACAAAACAACACGATAATCAGAATTACTGTTTACAAACGCAACACGGAAAATAAGAAACAATCGAGAGATCAAATTAGTTACCTCTTTCTTGACGGACTCTTCCTTCTCTGACAAAATCAGCTCAATGTGGCATGGGTTGGACATGTAAGCTAACAAAAAAAAACAGAACCAATGAGTCGCACAAGATAAAAAAATGTACAACAGATCATGCAAGTCAATTTCGAAATCTCAAAAACTTACGGTTGATTCTTCCGTGAGCACGGTAAGTCCTTCTCCTTTGTTTAGCAGCCTGGTTCACTTGGATGTGCGAAATGAAGAGGGCATCAACATCCAAACCTTTCACCTGAAATACCAAAGTAAAATTGTGTTTTCAGTAAAATCTTGAAAGTCCGTAACATTTTACATACATGAATCAGGAAAAGAGGAACAAATGTATCACCTCAGCATTGCTCTCAGCATTCTTGAGCAGATCAAGAACGAACTGAGCAGATTTGGCTGGCCAACGTCCCTGACCATTGGAGTGCCTGTTCTTGGCTTGAGCAGTCCTTCCAACACCTCTGCAGAAACGGGTGAAGGGGATTGCTTGCTTGTGAGCTATCACATCCTCAAGATACCTCTTCGCCTTGAGCAATGGCAGCTTCCTGATGGCGTGCGCTGTCTCTCTAGTGTTCTGTTCCAAGTAACCAAACGAAATCAGAATCAACCAATCAACAATAAGATTTGGATTCATAGACAAAAATGTGGCATCATTCATAACAATACAACCAAAACGTCTCAATTTAGCCTAAAAAGTAAAAGGGTAAACTATATAATCAATGTACCATCATGTACTGAATCTTTAGGTTATTAGAAAATTAACATAGATTCACCCAATCACGATGACCAATTCAATTTCCCTGACATATACGAGAGCTTTATTCACAAAAGAAGGCAATAAAGCCCTGCTTTTTGTAATCAGGTTTACATATCAACCTAACTATTTCAAAACAAAAAAGACCTAAATTGGACTCAAATGTCAAAATGATAGACCTATAATCAATGTACCATCATGTACTGAACCTTTGAGATATAGAAATAAACTTAGATTCACCCAATCACGATGACCAATTTGATTTCCCTGAAGTATACGTGAGATCTGTAAATTGCTACAGAACTCTGCTTTTTCTCAATCAGGTTTTTCACTATACTACCATTTCCACTATCATAAATCGATCTAAGTGCATCGAAATTCAGAAACGCAAAGAGAAAATGGATTTACGAGCTATATACCTTGAAGTGACATCTAAGATCGGATCCTCTAGCCTTGCAAGCTGCAAAAAAAAAAATCAAACGCAGATTCACCAGAGAGATCAGCGAATTGCACGAAATCGAATGCAAAAGAGTACAAATGGTACTGAAAAAGTGTTTCGCGGAGCTTACACTTGGTTTGGTTGTCGGGTTCTTGCGAATACTTCACCTGCGAAAATAGGATAAAGGAAGCATATGAAAATCAGAATAGGATGATTTTAGGTCAAATCTGCGAGAAGAGAGAGAGACGATGTGGGGAGAAGCTTAAGCAAATTACCATGGCGGCTAAACTGAAGAAATCGGCTGCTGAAGCGATTGGAGAAGAGTTGTGAAGAGACTTTATATAGAGTGAAACGGCATAAACCCTTAAAAAGAGCGAAAACCTAGTTCTTCTTTCTAAGTGGGCCTAATAATTACGGTATGGGCTTTATATAAGAGGCCCACAAGACTTTACTGGGCTATTCTTCTTCCCTCTCTTTTCTTTGCAACTCTTTTTGACTCTTTTTTTTTTAAGACATGACAAGTCAATTGATTTCTTACAAATGTCAAATGATTTACTCCTCTATTGTAGTAATTTTCCATCGTTTTTTAGGGTGAAAAAGAAAAGAAAAAAAAACACAACGATGCATCAACTTAACAATTCATAAACCCAAGACCAAAGAAAAATTGATCAAACTATGCACCACATAGATTTTGGTGAAACTTGGAAACATAGTTAAGATATGCATATCTGGTAAAATCAGGTGGTTGCATTACCAGATTGCAAACAACTTTGATTGCATTATTATTCAACTTTAATTGAACTCTATTAATTTTTGATATAAATATAGTTTTTAAAATTTTAATTATATTTTGAATGTTTCTAATTAGAGTATTCATTATTCCTACAATATATATTACTTTTGATAACATCGAGCTTTAGTCAATCAGTAAATTCATGCGTTCATATAATTATTTTCTATAGCAACTTTTATTTAGGATGTCACAAATTTATGCGTTCTTCACTTGTTCTTCACTGTACAACATTGCTCTTTTGTGTTCATTCAGTATAATAGAATCTTCACTAAAAATTTGTTTATTTCTTGAAAAAAGTGTTTGATATTGTTAGACAGATTTAGATTCTCGCTATGTCTGAAACGATAAATTAGGCTGATTCATCGTACACGTTTTAATATGATGCTGCCTCTAATATCAAATAGAATACTATCAGTTTTTTTTGTTATAATATAAAAACATTGCCAATCTTTTACCACTATTTTATGTATATCAATCAACCATGACCTAATGAATATGATTATGATTATTCTACAACTCAATGGGTTAAATTGTAGCTGCTGCGCCCGCCCCTCTTCTTAGTCAAAATTTTTAAAATAAAAGAGGATAATCAAGTGGCCGCCAGTAGACAACAATAGGTGAGGTGTCCGGTACGTTTATTGTTGGACTTAGACAAGCTTCGAGGTAATTCATTACCTCGGTTCGCTCCAAAAGTAAAATATATGAACTCAAAATTTGGTTTGCTTCAATTGTAAACTGATCAAATCTTAACTGGAAGTGTGCAAGATCCTCCGACACTTTACAGAAATGTAGAGTGGAACGAATATAAATTGACTAAATCCTCAAACTGTTTGTTGAAGAACCACGATAATCAAAGAAAAAAACACAAAAATCAAGTAAATTTATCATCACTATATGTTCCGTATCAAGAACGGCGGCTTATTCTCTAATGTTTTAAAGAAACAAAAAAAGCAAGCAAAAGAAGAGAATGAATATAAAAAATTTAGTCCTTTGATCAGAAGAAGTAAGTAGAAAGAAAGCTAGTGTAGGAAATGACGTCGGACCATCCAGGGAAAAGACTTTTCAAATGTTTAGTTTCTTCTTCAAGCCGCTGATCAAGAACTGCTACATCTACTCTCACTTCCTCTTCGCTACTTGCCTAAACCACCACAATAACAACTTGGAATCAGTAAAGTCGAAAACAAAACTTTTAGAAACAAACAAAGAAATCTTGGTTTGATTTACCTCTAACCAGAAGTTCCATTTCTCACTGCTGTTGCCACTCAGTCTCAGTATGTAAGACGGAGGACCACCGGCTGGAAGCTCAGGGGCTGCAACAATAAGCCATTTTTGGTTAAATGGACAAAATGTCTCAAAGATAAGTAAAAAGAAAATGGTTATTTGTGTGACCAGGTGGTTTGCCGTCTGCGAAGGACCATCCTGACAATGGTCCGGTTATGTTCAAAACCGTGACCCAAATCTCCTCCAACGAGCTGCAAAAAAATGCAAAATAGTTAATAACAAGCCAAATAGAAGTTTCATTCTTGTTTTGGAGTCTTTCTAGTGAATCTTTATTCCAACTAACCCAAGAGAGAGTTCTAAATGAACTCTACGAGTCCCGTTTTCAAACTTTGTTTGCGGTTTATGAGTTTTCAAGTGTGGGAACTGGCTATATCGTTCTGTGATCTTGTTGGCTTTAGCAGGGAACCTCCCGTTCGTTGTCACTACACAAGAAATAGGAAAAAGTGCCTGCAGAAACCAAAAAACAACTCTTTTACTATTCTCCTCAAATAGCATTGTAAGGAGGAGAGGATTAAAACTTAACATACCAACCAAGCACTTTGAGGAGACGCTTCAGCGTTTCGCAATGAGAACGAGGAGCCAACGTTTAGTTCCTCTGCAAGCTCTGGAGCATGTTTGAAAACGAACTCTATAGAATTTGCATCAATGACAGCTAAATCATAACTTGACCCTGTGATTTCATTTCCACCTGCACATTTTAAAACATTTGACTTCATTTCAGCCAAAAGCGATAACAGAGTCCATATTGAATGAGCAAAAAACGCTTACCTGCAGAGAAGAATGTGTGTTGGAGTACGACTCTCTTTGGTGCATCTTTGCTATAAGGAAAGAATTGTGATGATACAGCCAACATAACCACACTGAAGTGCAGCAAGAATTTCAAGATGGAAGATTTGGCTAGCCAGCGATCACAGATTGGTATTATTGGGCCCATACACAAGCCTGTGGTGAGTCCAATGATTGCAGCTACTGCTACATCTGCAAGATAGAATCCTGCAAAGTAAAATCTTGTACAATTAACATCTTGGAATCACAACATGCATTTTAATGTTTTAATTCGAGTAGCTTAAGCAGAGATGCTTTTTGGAAAGAATCTAGTTTAGTAAAACTAACCATAAGGTGGTGGAATTCCTCCCATCATTCCTGTCTTCTCAATCAAAAGCAGTGCAAGAATACCACCAAAATAGATAGAATACACAATGCATGGAACCAGAGGTATCACATAAAACATGGGAGACCTGGATAAGATGAACATTTATCATAATCATCTAAATCAAATTTATGAACATGGATCTTATTGGTTAGAAGATTTGTCCTATGCACATACAGAATTTCAAGTTAAATGGATCCTTAACATCACAAAAGTTGATTACAATATTAATAGTTCAATGAAAAGATTACAATATTAATAGTTCAATGAAAAGACTAGAAAACTTACTTGATCGAATAGCCATAGGATTTGACAGATAAACAGAAAGAAATCCACCCCAATAGCATAGAAATGCAGACGACAAATGTCAAGAATCCTCCATTTAGTCCAGCGAAAAAATATGCCTGATAATGTTTTCTCCAGTTAGTCATAGATAATCAAACAAATAACAAAATTTTGAGGTTACTTTAAAGAAAAAGCGCATACCGAAGTTACAAAAGCATAGAACCCAAATGCTCCCCAAAACCTTCCTTCATCATATGTTTCCTACAAAATCATATAGTTAAGAGACTTTTTTCTAGTAATAGACAGGCATGGAGGCAAAACTGCTGCAAGAGGAAGAATAAGGACTTTACAACTTTCATAATCTTCTTAGATGAAACACCTTGACAATGTGAGACACGACTGGAGATAGCTCTTGGAAATAAAAGACCCAAAAACGAGCAGGGGATGAACATCAAGAAAGCTAAGTATGAGTGAGAAAACCTGCATTTCCACAAGAACTATATAGTGAGTCTAGTTTCCACCAATAAATGAAAAGTGGAACGAAGTAACAAGATATATATAACACCAACCAGCTCATGGGATCAGCAAAGAACAATCTGATGACTGAAAAGAGAACAGGGAATATGGCACCAAGTAAAATCCCAGCAAAATGGTGCATAAACCCTAATCAAGCAACGTTTCACAATGTTAAAATCTTCAAAACATACAGGAAAACAAATATGAGTAAGAAAACTAAAGATTGCATATTTTTTTACCTTTCAAGAAAGCCCAGAAGATTGGTAACAAAAGGTGCATCCCAGAGTCCCTCATATACAAATAGAAAGGAACCAAAAAGAACAAAGCTGCTGGAATGTTGTGAAGTACCATGGCTACTCTTCTTGGATAGTACACCTGATAGATTTTTCACCTTGTCAAGAGAGTGTATACAAACTATGAAGAAAAAGATGATGATGAACGGAGACTCAAAAGCACCCACCATGAACAGTGTCATGTAATCGAAGAAAACAGATCTTTCAACCATGTCTTTGTTAGTATCCGACTTTCTTTCACTAGAAACCTTCAGCAAAGAAGAACTCGTGAAGCCTTTAAGCACGCTGATCAAGTTCTCTCCACGTGCTTGCATGCTCCCAGGTCTGGTTTAAAGATTTATTCTGTGAAACGAGGTTTGTACTGAATAGTAAAGAATAGCAAGGAAAAGTTTCTACCATAAGATATACCAAAAAATGATGCATACACTATTCTGTCAACTGTGTCAAAGGAAGTATGGTAGTAGTAACCGCCCAGGAGAAAGATAATGTCTAGCCCTGGAATGTCGCCGTAATCTTCTGCAAACATCCTGTAATCTGTGTCTCCAGGAATCACAGGGAAAACATCCTGGGGGGATATCACAGGACAACTTAAAAGTCAGTGACACAGATAAACTAGAAACAATATGTTTGAATACAGTTTATACAGAGAGGACAGTGTGTGTGAGTGTTTATGTCTGTCATAGAGTGAGAGAGAGAGAGAGAGAGAGAGACCTGTGCAGAACTCTGTGCCATTGGATGCACTGCAGCTTGAGAGTAGACATAGGAGGGCCACGAGCCAGGCCCTGATTGGCAGACTAGATCTGCCAGCCATTAAAATCAAGACAGAAGTAAGAGCAATTAGCACACACAATAGAATCTTAAAAATAGATACTCATTGACAAGCAAGCACTTAAGACTGTCAAGGATAAGCCTAACACACATTCGTTCTAGTGTCTAAAGAAAAATGTATGTGGATGCATTAAATTTCTATAGACAGGAAGTTGCAAGAGAAGTTCTTCTATACGACTAAAGGCAATGGTCTAATCAGATGTGTAAACATAAGCTTTTTTGTTTCAATCATCAGAAAAGATAAGACAAGGTCCAAGATCAAACTTAAGAACATAATTTTCATCTAAGCGAACAGGTTTTATTCATTACTACTCTCACACCAGCTAGACGTTTTTTAGGGAATTCAAGAATAAAACATAGGTCAAGCTCTTACCAACACCCCCTGTACCAGAAGCTTCCACGTTTATAAAAGCTCCAATGGTGTCTTTCAACTTATGCTGCGTCATGAAGCCGTGTGAGCCCTAAAACACACGACAAAAAACCACACCACCAAGTAGAGTAAGAGCTTATTATAACTCCTGCTATTTCATGAAACTACATATCCATACACAAGAGTACTAAGCCACCATAACTGACTTACCAGCATAAAAAGCTCTTCAGCACCATTGAAAAGAAAAATTATAGGTCGAGGCGGGGTCCAGCCAGAATCCACTACCAGTCTTGCTACTTCAAGAAGTGATGCTGCAAATGGAGATACATAAAGCAATGATTTTTTTAGTGGTTTAGATGTTAAATCTAAGGAGATGTAACCAAACGCACCTACACAGGACCCACAGTCACCAGCTCCAGGGGAGTTGACTGGGCTATCATAATGTGCATTCACCAATACAGATGGATCACTGTCATGAGAATGCACTGACGATATGCTGCAAGAAACACACACACAAAAATGATGAAATGTCTGGAATTAATAAGTAGGGACACAAAAATCAGTCAATGTTGCAGACAATAAATGACTGAATAAAATAACACAATTTCAAAGTGAAATGATAAATGATAAATACAAACTGCAAAGTCTCCTGAATAACAAATATAAACCAGTGACCAAAAGAACAAACTTTACAAGATACTTTGACATTTTAAATTGTAAAGGAGAAGACTTTGGGGTTAACAAAACAATACCGCATAAGTATATTTGTGTGGTTTCTGTATCCAAGAGATATGCTATGGCCAAGAAACATCATGCTAAAGGAACCATCCACCTGAGTCTCCTCCACATCAACTCTACACAACAACAAGCATTAAATTTTTCAGCTCAGGAGAGAGACAAAAGAACATTCTTTCTGAAAGCTGGGAATCAATTAGTAGTTTATTTATTGAGTGCATAGATGTAGTTGGAGTGATGAAGACTCTTGGCATTTATTAAAAACAAAACAACTCGTGGTACCACTTTTGCTCTGATTCGGTCAAAAAGTTGTATAACTCAAAAAGTCCAAATCAAAATCGAAAAACAGAAGAAGAAGAAATAAAAATGAAACCTTAGATTAGGCCCAGCTCTCTCCTTCACCACCTCCAACTGTTTCTTTATGTATGTTGCAGCTTCTTTAAGCCCAGGCCGTCCTTCCTACAGAACCCATGGAACAGAATCAGTGAAAAAAGAGTTATTGAAAGGAGAGATATAGAGATGAAACGACGCCGGATAATCAATCACCTGACGACCGTCGATCTCCTCCGCCAAGACTCGGATGTGTTGGACGGCTCTGGCTTCAGAGAACCGATCGATAGGAGCGTCAAAGGGGAGAGGAGAGATGTGTTTCATGTGGAGGACACAGTAAGCAATCGCTGACATTAGAGCGTAGATGAAGACGATTGAGAAGAGGAATTTGAACGATGTGGCATCTCCAGAGCTCAGCCTCCAAAACGCCATTGTTGATTGTTTGCCTTGCCCCACTCCAGATTATGGATTTCAAAATCGATAAATCTCGTAGTTTAAAAAGAGACAACGATGGATCAAGTTTTGTCTTTTTATTTGTATACTTCAGAAAGAAAAAAATTAGCGAAAACGGAACGGGACGGAATGTGAAGGCCGTCGCTGTGTCAGAACGAGAGAGTGTGTGTGTGTTTTGGTGAAAGTGGGTCCAAATAGTTTACTTTAAAGTCCTTTAGCTTTGGATCATTTTCAAAAAATTTACGTTTAATTATTTATTCCGTTTTTGTTCAGATGTCAGTATTTAAAAGTGTGATTCGATTTGATTTCGAAGAGATTGGTATAACTGATTAATCAATTTGACATCATTTGAGTTTAAAATGATATCTTTAGACTATTACAAAGATGAGATCAGAAGTTGTAGGAACTTGCACATGTAATATCTACATGTGTCAATACGATGCAGCAAAAGTAGATTGTACTGTATCATCTTTAGCTACTTCCTTCATGTTCTTGTATTTCCGCTTGATTAGAGTAAAAATTATACAAGGGTTAATTGGTTCATTAGAAAGTATTTGAGTTATATAATTAGGAAAATGACACGTTGTTCTGAAAATAACAAAACGAAATGAAAAAAGCTGACAAAAATGCTTTTTCTGTTTCTGTTATGTTAGTCTAACACGCATGAAGTAACGTATATGCTTTGTGTTAATGCATATTATACGTTTTAATTTCATTACAAGACGACTAAGCATATTGCTTTTTGTTTTGTCGGCTCATATTGCATTGCTTCAAATAAATGGAATGTCTCCCTATTAAATTAGACAGTTGTCAATCAAAGGAAACTCGAAGAGGTTGCCGATGATGGCCTTGACCTTGATTTCGAAATGATGATGAGCAAGTAATGAATGAGTCAATCTCAACAAATATCGATTCTTAGATTTCGAATGGTGACAGCGAAATAAGTAGTGCGGGATAAAAAATATTGTGGTGCGGTGTGGTTTATACAAAAGAAAAGTGTATGTGGAATAAGTTCAGTTTCTGAAAAATAAGCGGTACACGATAATGTTTGAATGGTGACTATCACAAATACAGTATAAATATAATAAGTATAAGAATTTAATATTATCTAAAATAATTTATTTTCTAGATAAGTTTTTACCAGCTGATGAAATAAATATGTATGGAATTTTTAAAAATAAAAATAAAATAAAAACATAAATAAACAAATAAAAACGCACTTGACAAATAGCTAAACACACCAATTGGGGTGCGTTACAAAATGAATAGCGGAACACAATTTTTCAGTTGTTTATGGACCGCAATGTGGACCCCTTATATTTTGTAATATTTTTGTTAGTGATTTGATATATATCATGAATGGTAACACAAAAGGCGTATCACAGAAAACGCCTTATAAACGCCCCGCATTATCGTCTCCATTCATAGCCTTAGGTAGTGAATGGAAACAAGTGCGGTGCGGAATCAAGTGTGGTTTTACCAAAACCGCTTTTAAAACACGAATCACAATTTTCTTACAACAATTTGCGGTTTTCAAAAAAAAAATGGAATCCGCGAACGGATTTCGAAGCAGCAAAAATAGCCTAACAGATAACAAACCGCACTTTAGAATCTAACCGTGGAAAAGACCAGCGGTCCACAAAAAACGCACTGGATAAATATTTTTCTCCAAAAATATTTATTTTTTAAACAATAAAAAGATATTATAAATAGATATATCTTTAGCAAATAATTCACCATTTTAACACGTGGATTCCAAGACCTAAAGTTGACAACAAAACCATTTAAATATTATTATATCCTTACTAAGATACATGTATCATGTACGTAAATATATATGTATATAAAATACATATTTGTATTATACAAGTATAATAGTGAACATGTAGATCATATTTAGCAGACATTTTATTAAAGAAAGTTGTTGAAAAATTATTACAAAATATTTATAGATTCAATTCTTAAAACTATTCAGTTAATTTTGAAAAAACCTAAAATCTGTCATATAAAAATGTTTCTTCATTATTAATAAAAATATAATTTTAGTTTACATATGTATTAATTTTTTAAATAAAATTATTACTTAATTATTTACTTACAATTAATATTCCGCCCCGCTTTTACTTTATTCACCAATCAAACATTATTTTGTACCGCTTATTTTATATTAACCGCATTTGTTCCGCAGTCAAGTTTTATCCGCATTTATCAAAACTAAACCGTACCGCACTCTAAATTTACTTAACCGCACAACACAATACGCTGTTACCATTCGGAGCCTTAAGCAAACTTTGAGGTCAGATTTGTACTAAACTATTTTTTTCAACTTTTTATATGTTGTCTTTTTTTTGTTTCGGTAATTGTTTTGTATTCGGTAACTTTGTTTTGCATTCAGTAAGAGTCAAAAAGCACATACTTTGTCCACACAAAAAAAAACATCAATGGTTTGCTTTTCACATAGAATATCAGATGGATTGATATATATATATTCAAAAAACATGTGTTAACTTAGTCATAATTTATTTACACAAAAGAGCTAAAAGAGATATAACCAATTTAGTCAGAATTTATATCAAAACAAAATCAACATCTTTAGGTACTCTGACCATTTTGGCATTCGGAGATAATACTCAAAATACGAATGAGCATATTAGAATGTCAAAATGGGAAGAACATATTGATATCTCAATTTTCAAAATTAATAAACTATATGTAAATTCATCTCGAAAATAAAACTCTAGTAGATTTGGGATGGTTTACGCAGTATTTGCACAATTCAAATATACATAATGCTAATCATTAATCAGTGCTAATCTATGTACATATAGTCATCAAACACATCAAACAACAATATGACAATACTAGAAGTATGTCAAAGTTGTTATCGGAACTCGAAACTAGTTGAATATTCAGTTTCCTACCATTTTTATTATTTTATTTTATTTTTTTCTTATTCCAAGTTCAAGCTTAGCGAATAAAAACTGTTTTGCTTTTTGAATTGAAAAAATAATTGTTATTCACACATTTGAGTTTTCGATTTTAAATGTACTTGTGATATCAATTTCCTCCATTTCCCAATTATAATAAACTTTTTAGCAATGAATCGAGGTTTTATTTTGGACAATTCTCACATTTACCATTAAAATGTTTTTAATTTCTTTCATAGCATCAATAGTTTTTTTTCCAATTCATACTATTTTCATAAGGGTTTATAAATAGAAAATTAACTTTAAACCATCAAAACTAAACTCTAAACTTTCAAAACTAAATTCTAAAACCCTAAATACTAAACCATAAACCCTAAATTATAAACTCAAACCCAAATATTTAAATTATAAACTTTTTTTAGGATAATACTTAACCCTAAATTCTAAATATTTATCCTAACCATGAATACTAAACCCAATTCAAATATTTGAAGTTAAAAAAAATTAAAATTTTAAACTCTTATGAAAATGGTAGGAGTTGGAAAAATAACTAGTGATGCTATGAGAATAATTATAAATTTAGATGGGAAATTTCAAAACTATACATTTCTATGTGTCAATTTTTAAAATTACACCTCTATGACGTCTATTTCCAAAATTACACCTTTTTCAATCTGTAAAAGAACTCTAAACCCTAAAATCTAACATTGAACCCTTAAATCTAAATCCTAAACCCCAAAATCTAAACTCTAATCAAGGATTAGTGAACCCAAACATATATATTAAAATTAGGAAAAAAGTGTATTTTTGAAAATTGTCATAGTAGAGGTGTAGTTTTGAAAATTTACACCTTCTAAGTTGTATTTCTTAAAATTTCTCAAACTAGATAGTAAATATTTTAAAACTATTTTTTTCATTCCTAACATCTAAACTTAGAAAAAATATGATTTTGAAAATTAACAACTAGAAATGTAGTTTTGAAAATGTAGAAGTTGTATTTCTTAAAATTAAAATTTCTAGATATGATATGATGGATTTTCTCTTTTATTTTAATTTTATCTTTGTTTAATACCAATGTCTATGAGACTATGACTAATCAGGTTTCGTCAAAACTCGTTGCAAATAAAGCAACAACAACAAAAACAGAAAGAGAGAGAGAGAGAGACCGTTGGATCCAATCATCTAAATCTCATCATTTTCTCTCTGCTTTGCACAGACGAAGAAGAAGAAGAAATAATGTACGGCAAAACCATATGCATCATCGTCTTCTTCGTCTTCCTCATTGCTTCCTACTCAATCTACATGGGAACCGTCGATCCACGACCTTACTTCTCTCAGCTCCAGTCTCAGCCCGGTAAAGCCTCTCCCTGCAGCTCCACCGGACGGCCTCTCCGCGTCTTCATGTACGATCTCCCTCGAAAGTTCAATGTGGCGATGATGGATCCTCACAGCTCAGACGTCGAGCCTCTCACCGGAAACAATCTCCCTTCCTGGCCTCAGACTTCCGGGATCAAACGACAGCACAGCGTTGAGTATTGGCTCATGGCTTCCTTCCTCCACGGCGGCATCAGCGGCGGCGACGGCGAGGATGAGAAAGAGAAAGAGGCGGTTAGGGTTTTTGATCCGGAATTGGCGGATGCCTTCTACGTCCCTTTCTTCTCTTCGCTTAGCTTCAATACCCACGGGAAGAACATGACGGATCCCGATACGGAAGTCGATCGGCAATTACAGGTAAAATTTGATCGGAGATTTTGAAATTCGGAATCATCTACGACGATTTATGGATGTTCTGATTTGGTGACGATGATTTGGGGAAGTCAATTTCGTTGCCAATTTGCCAATTTCAGTGATTGGGAATCGAATTAGCAACTCAAAAACCACAATTCATTGTAGCGATTCCTCAAAAGTCAATCTTCTTCATAGTTCTTAGCTCTGAATGTAGCTAGAGAGATTAGGGATTTGCATTCGACTGGTCAAGAATTGGATTTTGATTTTGTTCTCTTCTCAGGTTGAGTTAATGGAATATCTTGAGAACTCCAAGTATTATCAACGATCAGGAGGAAGAGACCATGTGATTCCGATAACACATCCAAACGCATTCAGATTCCTCAGGCAGCAAGTGAACGCATCGATCCTCATCGTTGTTGACTTTGGGCGTTACCCTATAGAGATGGCACGTCTCGGCAAAGACGTGGTTTCTCCATACGTACACGTCGTTGAGTCCTTCGTAGAGGACGGTGTTGATGATTCTCATGATCCGTTCGAGTCTCGCACTACGCTTCTTTACTTCCGTGGGAACACAGTGAGGAAAGCCGAAGGTAAAATCCGTCTCCGGCTGGAGAAGTTACTTTCCGGTAACTCTGATGTTCACTATGAGAAGAGTGTAGCCACAACACATAACATCGAAGTGGTAAAAAAAAGCTCTTCTCTTTACTCAAACCATCATCACTCTCATATCAAAATGTTACACTAAGCTATGATTTCATTTACAGTCTACGGAAGGGATGAGAACGTCGAAATTCTGTCTGCATCCAGCAGGAGACACTCCGTCTTCATGCAGGCTATTCGATGCAATCGTCAGTCACTGCATCCCCGTCATCGTAAGCGACAAGATCGAGCTTCCTTTCGAAGATGAGATAGACTACACAGAGTTCTCGCTCTTCTACTCTGTGAAAGACGCGCTTGAGCCGGGTTACATTCTTGATAACCTCCGGCAGTTTCCGAAGGAGAAATGGATGGAAATGTGGGAGAAGCTGAAGAACGTGTCGCATCACTTTGAGTTTCAGTATCCTCCCAAGAGAGAAGACGCGGTGAATATGTTGTGGAGACAGGTGAAACATAAGATCCCTAATGTGAAGCTCGCTGTACATAGAAACAGGAGGTTAAAAATCCCTGATTGGTGGTGATGAAGAAAGATTGAATTTTTTTTCTCCTCAAAGGTTAAAGTCTTTTTCATTCTTTCTTCACTCCGATAGTGTATATTTGTTGATTCTTTTTTGTTACATTTTGCGTTCCATTTATAGGCATGTATACTCAAAAACATCACTTTTTATATGAACTCTGAGATTAGTCACATAAACTTTGCCTTGATGTTAAGAAATAATTGTATCCAATGTGTTATTATCTCTACGGGTTAAAGTTTTACATGTTTGAATGATATTTTGGGGAACAAAAGAGAGAATGTGAAGTAATTCAAGATGAAGGGGCATATGCGTCATTTAGCTAATTGCTAAACGAAAAACTCTATAAAATAACTGGCAGAAGCTGACGACGACCAAGAGAGTAAACAGAGACGTTCTCTCTCCGGCCAAGAAACAGTCGGAATATCTCAGAAGAGATGCGAGTTGTCAGAATTTCATGCGTCGGGACACGTCGTCTCTCACCTCCCTCCTCCTCCTCCGCCGGAAGTTGCGCCGCTCACTCCGACGTCTCTGCATCTTCCTCCGCCGGTACGTTTTCTCTTTTGCTGTCTTCCTCTGTTTAAATTCTGCTAATGATAGCGATACATTTCTACTTCTATAATTTAGTAACGTCGAATCCACCGGAATCGTAAATCATTGGAATTTGTTATTTCGATTTTGCTTTCTTTATGTTGCTCTCATAAATTCCATCTAATGCAAGATTTCTTATCATTTTCAAGTAACCAAAAAAAAAAACAAATTAAAGTTTGTCCAAACTATTCTCATTTATCAATAGTCATTATTAATTCCCTTTCTTCTCATTTTCCAAGTTAAATTAGTTTTGGATGCCTAACTGTTTGCACACTGCCTCAAATTTGTGTGTTTTTTTTTCTTTTGTAAGAGAAGATGTGTATACTGTTGATTAAGTGTCATTTTCAGTAATGTTTTATTCATTCAAAACTGGTAAACTGTAGCAGAAGTAAGGCTATATACAGTATGTTTGACCAACAACCTCACTATTCACTAACGTGTGTGATTTGAGTTGATAACCAAAGATAACCTATCTACAAGGAAATTATTATTTTATTCGTATATAAAATTCTAAATAGTATAACCATAATAAAAATGAAAATTAAATTATGTATATGGTGTTTTGGGACTATTCTTGGCACAATTATTAGGTGTCCGGGTTTGAAGGAGCATCGGCTTCATTTCGTGTCTGAATTCTGATCATAATCTAAGATTGGGGCCCATTTGGTGGGTCCCTGAGTGAATAATTCGTATCGGTTGTTCATAGGATTGCACCGGTTTTAGTTTAAAATCGGACGGATTTTGGGAGATCCGTGAATGATTCATTCGGTCTGCCACGTGAGTCAACTTCAAGTAGATCTATACTCGGAGATAAATGTATTACACAATCTTGAATTAATTCTAGAGGTTTTTTTTTTTTTTTTTTTTTTTTATATAAAACGATCGATTTATATATTAGGTGATTTATATATTAGGTGTTTTGGTTTGGTCCCATATACATATCTAAATCAGCCTCAAGAGCAAATGTTGACAAGTTTGTATGATCTGGGGGTACATGCAAGTGGTACTCACTTTCAAAGGGTAATCACAATGATTATATCTGGCGATGGGTTTAGAGTTATACACTTATACACACCTATTACCATAACGACACATCTATAAATCGGTAAATCCTGATTAATTAAACCAATCTAAACCGAACAGTGAAAAGAGTTTATTCAAATACCGAACCGGAATCAAATTAAACCGAACAAACCGATGACATCCTTACTTTTGTTGAAAATCTTTTATATAATTTCGCAAAAGTAAATCCAAATCGAAAGCGAACCAAATGGTATAGGTTACTACTTGGTTTTTTTATATTCATAAACCGAAAAAAGTTGAATTGAAAACCAAACAAAAAATAAACCGGTTTGGGCCATGAAGTATATTTGACTAGCAGCCAAGTTACATGTTTTGACTTGAGTTACCAAGCGTGTTTTGAAGCTTCAATTCCAATGGAAGCTACTTAATATTAGATGCTTTCATGTAAATCTTGAACCTAGTTTGTCTAAGAAAGCTTAATTACGAACAACATTGATCAATTAATGGAACCTTCCTTTTGGTGCTGATGACTTCGTTTTCTTCTTGAGTTTTTTTTTTCTTGAGTTTGAAATCATGATCAGAACCTTAGGTTTGTTCCTTTTTGTTTATATTGGGCTGTTTAATGCAAATGCAGATGATGCAAGTTGTGGTGGTACACCTAATTGGAGAATCAAGAAGAGACTAACATGTGTGTGCTTCAACCGCAAGAGTGCTTATGAACGCATCTGCTCTAACTTGACACCATTGCAGGTAAACACAAGTTTGAAACAATAAACAGCTTTGATTTTAATGAAAGCATTTTTTTCTAATTTATTTTGGTTTTTCAGGAAGAAAGACTAACGAGGTTGAGGAAGAGAATGAAGAATTACTTTGATGCGTCGCGGCTTGACCATCAAGATGCATTGAGAGCACTATGGTCAGCAACGTACCCCGGTGAAAATCTTCAAGATTTGATCTCAGACCAGTGGAAAGAAATGGGATGGCAAGGAAAAGATCCATCCACTGATTTCAGGTTAAGCCTATCTCTCTCTCTCTCTCGAGTAATAGAACATCCAAAAATACAGTGCTTAATTTGGTTCTTGTGACTGATGTTATTCAGAGGAGCTGGATTCATATCACTTGAGAATCTTCTCTTCTTTGCCAAGACATTCTCGGTAAAATTCAAGTTTCATCACTTTCTACTTTCAAACATTTCACAAACCTTGTTTATGTAATTTATTGGTTCCATTGGTGTAGACTTCGTTTCAGCGTCTGTTGAAGAAACAAGGAGGCAAAAGAGCGGCTTGGGAATATCCATTTGCTGTGGCTGGCGTCAACATTACCTTCATGATCATGCAAATGCTTGACCTAGAAGCATGTGAGTGTCTACTCACTCGCTTACTATCCACTAATGTCTTGCCTTAGCTTGTGAAGCAAGACTTGTTTTGATTCTTTGCTACATGTGCAGCAAAGCCAAGGACTTTTGTACGGTCGGTTTTCTTACAAATGCTGTCAGGTAAAAACATGGAAACGTTTCTCTCTATCTGCTTATAATAATCGATCATTGGCTCTCTAGTTACTTGATTTTTTAACTATGTTTTTGGAAAATCTAGAAAACGAATGGGCCTTTGATTTGCTTTACTGTGTGGCCTTTGCCGTAATGGACAAGCAATGGCTAGACAAGAACGCAACCTACATGCAATTCAACGTGAGTCGATATTGTGTTTACATTGTATATATATATGCTTGTTATGTTGATGGTCATGATAGATGATGATTGATGATGATGGATGAATGTTGTAGGATGTGCTAAGATGTACGAGGGGGCAGCTGGAGAGAGAGCTGATGATGGATGATGTTTTTAGGATTGAGGATATGCCTTCCTTCTCTCTTCTCTCTTAGTCTTAACCAATCAATTCTTCTTGTCACTTAAAATTTTAGACAAAGAAGGAAATACACAAATAGGTCAAACGTTTTTTTTAGGAAAATCCGACCTGCGAGAGATGAGTGAACAAGTTTGATATAAGCCATCGTGAGAAAATGGTAGTTAAGCTGATATGTAATCTGAATATACTTTTTCACGTAAAGCATTCAAAATTAGTTAACTATCTTTTTAGTGGATTGCAGTGCAACTAGTGACATATTTTACTACTTACGACATACTCCCTCGGTTTCTTATACTTTGGTGTTTAAACTTTTTTGGTTCGATCTAATAGTTTGATGTTTTAGATTTAGTTTAATGTATATTTCACTTTACAAAACAATTAATATCATTAGAAAGTGGACTTTTGGGTGAGAAAATTTAAAATTCAAACTTCCTACCCAATATAAAATTTCTCTGAGCAATTAATAATGTTAACATAATTAAAGAGTATAAACTTAAATTTAAAAACAAACAAAATTAACTAATCTATACTATTATTTGCAAAGTAATTTTGGGAAACAGAACTCTCTCATTCACTCTCACAAATAAAAAAACCCATTAATATCCTTAATGAAATAGCTGGATTAATCTACCTTGCCATCATTAATAAAATTAAAATAATATTCATTAGTTAAAAAAGGAGCTCTCTCATTCACTATCATAATTAAAAAACCATTAATCTATACTATATAAAAGTTGAGACTATAAGCCATTGAGGACGTCCACATAGGATTATAAAACACAATTTTATTGGTCCACATAAGCATCTTCAAGATTAAGAAAGTTTCCAAATTTTAAACTATCAATAGTATCATTCCACATAATCATATAAAATTAAGAAATTTTCAAAATTTTAAACAACCAATAGTATTAATCTATATCATCATATAAAATTAGCTATATTTGTTAAATTAGTTATTTTTTTTATTATGTTTCAAGATTATTAATTAGTATAATCTCTTTAAATTAGAAACTCCCAAGTCTAAAGTGATTAATTTTTTTTTTAATAAATATGTTTTTAATATAAAATTTGAGGCTAAATGCATAGAGTATTCACCAATGGCGAATACAGAGGCGAATACAAAATTACTTTTAACCGGGTTCAAAAAACGAGCAAGGGGTCAAGGCTGGGAGTCGAACCTAGAATATAGGGGGTAATTAAGCATATTTTACCATTTTAGCTACTGAAATTTATGTAATTTTAGCTGTAATTTCTGTTTTTATAAGATTTATATGGTGTCAGTTGATACCATATTGCTTTTAGTAGATTCGCCACTGGTGTCCACATAAGATTATAAAACCGCATCTTATTGGTCCACATAAACATTTACATAATTTATTTTTTTCCCCAATTTTAAACATCTTATTAATCTATATCATCATCTCATTTTTTTCAAATTTTAAACAGCCAATAATATTGATCTATATCGTCATCTAAAATTAGCTATATTTTTAAAATTAGTTAACTTCTTTTATGTTTCAAGAAAATTAATTAATATAACCGGTTTAAATTAGAAATTCCACAAGTCCAACGTAATTAATTAAGGTTTTTAAAATATATTGTTAGAAAATATAATTTACTAAATTTTTAAAATTATATAAAAACATTTTATAACTAAAATATTAGTTATAAAGAATTAATTAAATAAACCTTAAGGTTAACTGTATTTGACCAAACTTAAGTTTTTACAAATAAAGAGTAGGTTACAAGATAATAACTAAAGATTTGTTCTAAGCAAACAAAGCCAACATTGCAAAAGAGTTGATCTCAACATTACATAATCTATGAATAAAAAAATGGAGATAGAAACAAAAATGTGTAATGTCGTATAGAAGACATATGAGTTCATTTGCAGTTTTTTTAGGTGATGAGAGAGATCAAGCTTTGGGAGCTAAAACAAAAATCAAGAAAACAATAGCATACTATATAATATTTAGTTCATCGTAGCTTCAAAAAAATGGTCGAAAAAGTAAATAGTTTGTTTGGATTACTATGGAGCAGAAGAATTCAAAGGAGATTTAATAGTGCAACCCATACAACAAATTTTCGAGAAAGCATTTCACCCTACATCAACAAAATAAGAGTTCGTATTCGGGAGGATAATGGAGGTCATATGGAGAGGGAAAGAAAAGGTTGATGTCTGGCATCCTTCACATCCTTTAAGAAGATTTCATCTCCATGTAAATAACGATTTTCAAATAAGAGAAAATTAACCTTCAAAAATGGCAAAATATATAAGGATAAAGAGATATAGGCAATAAACCTATTAGGGGTAGAATAATCAGTTTTTCTACATCTTCAAAGAGTTTCTGAAAAACGTGTGAGTTTGCCATAAGTTTATTGAGAAGGAGAGCTTGATCCAAGACTCATACTGTAGAAAGACATATGAAGAAGATATGGAGACTTTTTCCTAAAATTACAATATGCCATAATAGATCGTATGGGCTTCTTAATCAATTTTCCACTAATATAAAAGACACTTTCTAATATCATTGCTTATTAGTTAATCCATATAAAAATTACAATTATTAAAATTTAGGGCCTGATTGGTTGTGTCTGTAGCTTCGGAATTTTTGCTGTAGAATTTAGGATGTAGATTTTTTTGCTGTGGTTGTAGATTTTAGTGCTGTAGAATTTTTATTATAAATAAATTTTTTATAAAATATCATAAGTGTAGCATTAAAAATAAATAAAAGAGATATAGGAAAGAAACATTAAAAAAGGAAAATATAGAGAATGAGAATAAGGAATGAGAAGAGAGAGAATTCTCAGAGTCCTTAAATTTGTGCTCTGAAAAATCTGCTCTGCAGAGCCAAAATATTTTCATATTTAAAATTATGACTTTGAACTTAAAAAATGAAATCAAAGCTTGATTGGTTCAACAGTAGTGCTCTAGAAAAAATAATTGCTCCACAGAGCACTTACCAATCACGCCCCTAATTAATAGTAAAATATTTGTAAAATATAAAATTTTCTAAAATTAATATGTTAAAGTAATAATACTGATGTGGAATAAAAGAAAATATATGGAAATTTACTAATATGAATAAAAATGAAATTAAGAAATTAATTATTCAATAAAAAAAATAATGACATGGACCAATTACGGTTAAGAAGTTTTTGCCTCTCGATCTTCGTCCCAAGAAGACCAGAGCCATCAGGAGGAGACTCACCAAGCATCAGGTAATTACATATTTGTCTTCTCCCGAATTGTGTTTTGTAGAATCAAACTGATACTGAGAAATGAACAAATGCTGTTTATATTACTGATCGAATACTTGATGTGTGATTGAAACAGGCATCGCTCAAGACAGAAAGGGAGAAGAAGAAGGAAATGTACTTTCCCTTAAGAAAGTATGCCATCAAGGTTTAAGCGTATCTTATAATCACATCAATATCTGTGTTTTGAATTTTAGCTCTTGCATGAGTTTGCGTTTTTGTTTGCCTGTTGAAGATTTTAATTTTTTTCTTAATGAAAGATTTGGTTATATTATCGTTTCACATTCATTTTTAGTATTCTCTGTCATAGAAACCTGAGGGTCTAAATGGTTTGGTTTGAATTAAATTCATGTAACTTGTTTTACACAGTCAATGGAACCAGAATAACTTGAAGACATAACGTAACGTGTGTGTGAAAACAATTGGCTGAACTGATTCTGTCAAAGTCAACCCCTGCGTATAAGACAAGAGAATACATTTTTATCAATAAACAAAATTGGAGATTGATGATTTCATTATACAAACACGTTTGCGTAACAAAGACGCTAAGAAAACGATCAAAACCATAGCACTCAGCTCCATCGACATTTTATAAGCCAATCATTTTCCTAGCACTTCGGTAGACGGTTAGTATGAGTCTGGATATGAATTCTTCAAACTATTAAATGTGTTGTTATTATTTCTCATTAAAAGATCAATGAGTGTACAGTACAACTATATATAGTAAATGAGATACAAGCTAAAGGAAACTTCTAATCTCACTTATACAAATTAACCGGACTATACCGGACTATACGCTCAATATACCCCCCTCAAGCCGTAGTTTCAGAACCTCGTTGTGAAGAGAAAAGGCTTGAAACTGACATGCGACTGAGTAGGGAAAAGAAAGGACCCGGATGAAGTGGCTTCGTGAGAATATCTGCATGTTGATTCTCGCTTGCAAGTGAGTGGAGGATTGCCACATACTATATATATTAGTTAAGAAAGGCTCCCACTTTCGATGTGGAACTTTCTCACTTTAATACAAACCTTGTCAGCATGTCATTGTAAAGATCAATTATCAATATGTACATCAGTACATGCAAATACATTAATCAGAGAGAGAGTGTGCGTTTCTTTGGTCTGTTGGTCAAACAATATGTTATTAGTCTTATACGTGATTGCATAAACAATTCTCTGAAACTGATAATTATGTATCATCTTGGTTTCAATGTTTCATCAATATTTCGAGTAGAATATACAAGGTGTAGTTTCGTGTTCATACTAGGCTTCATCAATCGTCCTTATCCTACGGATTCATAGCACAAATAAAAGTAATATGATAACAATATGTTTTTAGTTCCATAAATTTACATAATCAACTCATGAATGTAGTTACAAAAAGGTACGATCCTTAACTAATTTGAAAAAACTATAAACGTAGAACTGAACTCTTGTGAACATGATAACATTGTGAGATCTTGAAAAGTCTCCTTGTTATAAACCTCTAAATTAGAGTGGACTTTGTCACCAAATCCCTGTAATTTAACAAGATATTAACCGTCAATCAATCAAACATCATATCCTATCAAATATATCGAACATTTTGCCAAGTCAAAAAGACAAAAGAAAACTGAATTTTACTAACTAATACTCTTCTCTCTAAGACTTTATATGAAACAAATGATTAAGAAACATGAAACAACAAACTAATGTCTTTGGTGAATTTACTTGTATGAGTTAGGTTTTACCTCGAGAATCATTCATTATCAAACTAATGGGAAACTACATGAAACATTACTTATATTGAATATTAAAAAAAAAAAATAGAGAAAGCCAGTCCAATGTTTGTATTGGTCATTGGTTTCACTCAAACATTGAGAAACCATCTCTCTCTTCTCTATATAATATGATAAATGGACTTTGCAGAGACAATATAGAGATTAGAAGCTAAGCGACTTCATTAAACATAATCTTTTCTAAAATGGCGAAAAAGGCAAAGTCCTTGCTATTCTCTTGCTCTTCTCCAAAATCACTCCTATCTTCATTTCCTTCATTCACTTCTCTCCCGGCTTCTCCTCTCAACCAGACTTTTTCTCAGTCGATGATGGAAGAAACCGTGGAGGCCACGGAATCAATCATCAAGAAATGGGATCCAAACTCACCCTCCTACACAAAGATCACCTCTCTCTTCAGCCACAGCAGAAAAGAGGCCAAAGAATTCATCAGATGCGTCCGTGACTTACGCAGAGCCATGCACTCTCTCGTCTCTCAACAACAACACTCTCAATCTTCTAAGCTTGTTCTTGCACAGAACCTGATGCAGATCGCTATGTCAAGGCTCGAGAAGGAGTTCTTGCAGATTCTTTCTTCTAATAGAGACCAGCTTGATCCTGAATCTGTCTCTGCTCCTTCCTCAATCTCCAGCAATTCAGAATTCGAAGATGTTATGCAATCTTCTTCTGATGATTGTTGGGTGAAATAAATTCACTAACCTCCTCCCTCTATTATGCTATAAGCTGGAAATGTCGTCGACTGACGGCCATGACGACCGGTCGATCTACTTCTTAGTCTAAAAGGCATTACATCGACATGACAGGCAGCGACCAACGATGTTAACTAATGGTTTAGCAGTGACCAATGGTTTATACAATTTCCTAAATCTATTGGAATTGTAGAGGACCGACGCACTTCAATTAAAAGGAAATTAGGAATGACGACCGACGTAGGAAATAGAAAGTTACGATCACGTCAACCCAACTCGATAAGGACTATATAAATAAGAGGTCCTAGAACCAAGAGACATTCAGAAAAACACACAAAAACCCTAATAGCTACTTGTTCTTCGCCTCTCGACGAGCAAGCGACGAACAACCTAGATACGACGAACTACGATCTACGACGAGCGACAGACGAGATTCTCTTAGTTTAATCTTTGATATTGACTTGTTGTAGCTCGATATTCAATTGATTAATAAGATATCTTCTCCTGCGTCATTCCGTTTATTGTACTTGCGAACCGGTTAAATTTTGCCCAAACAGTTTGGCGCTAGAAGGAGGGGCAATTTTAACTGCGTGAGACATGGCGGCGGGAGATGATACCGCACCGACCGAAACACCGACCGTCACCGTTGCTCAGCTGGAGGCTCTCACAGCTCAGATGAAGCAGAACGAAGAACGACTTGCGCAAATCCAGGCGGAGAACGCAACCCTACGAGCAGAAAACGCGTCATTGGTTCAGGCTCGCAATAGATATCGAGCACCGGTTCCTCCTATGCAATCGTTCGACACTCCACCACTTACGGGTGCAACAGGAGCAGCCCTAGGAGCAGGAGCTACCGACGCTGCGCAAGGTAACCAAACATTGGTTCCACCCCTTGCACCAACGATGGAACATCAATCTGAAGACTGCATACTATGTTCTCAAAGCGATTGGAGGCTATGGAGCTCTTGCTCGCGCGACTTCCAGGAGTAGCTCCTCCAATCACCAAAAGTGCTCCTAATTGCTATGCAGACACTCCCTTCACGGATGCCATCGCTTGGTTGAGATGCCAAAGAAGTTCATCGTCCCTTCAATGAAGATGTACGACGGGACGACCGACCCTGATAATCATATAGCCCAGTACAAGCAACGCATGTTCACAACGGCAATAGCAAAAGAATATCGCGAAGCTAGTATGTGTAAAGGATTTGGATCTAGCCTCACGGGACCAGCTCTTCAGTGGTTTACGAACCTACCGAACGCGTCAATCGACTCGTTCGCGTCATTGACGACCGCTTTGTTGAGCAATTCGCGAGCAGCAGGAACATAGAAAGGACAGCCGACGATCTCTATGAGGTGATACAGAAGAGAGGAGAACCGTTGCGCGATTACGTAGGTCGCTTCAACAAAGAGAAAGTATCCATTCCGGCATGTGTCACGTCCACTGCTATCTCTGCATTCAAAAGAGGATTGCTCCCAGACAGTGATTTGTACAAGGAACTGACGAAGTACCAGTGCAGAACGATGGAAGATGTGCTATCTAGAGCATGGGCTCAAATAAGGTGGGAGGAAGATCCTGCATATCGACACCTACTTTCCCCACGATCTGATTCGCGCGTTGTTAGGAACGAGCGTCCCTCTCGAGATGACAGACCGTACCAGAGACCACGCAGTGAAAGCACTAGCAAGAGAAGCGACAGCAGAGCGACCATCGACCACTCAACCAAATTGAGAGCGACCAACGCTCATCATCCACATGGCCAGACATGAGTAACCTCGCAATATCTCCTGCAGAACTAGTCAATGTTCTTAATCATATATCTGGAGTAAGATGGCCTCAAAAGATGAAAGCACCAGGGGAACGAAGAGACACATCAAAGTGGTGCGACTTTCACTCTGACCATGGTCATCGAACAGAAGATTGCATCACGTTGAGAATGGAAGTAAACGAGCTACTAAAAAAAGGTCACTTGAGAGAATACTTGTCCGACAGGGCTAGAGTCGCATCGACGACAGAAGCAATGACGAGGTGCAAAGAAAACCATCCCCTGCTCAATCTCCGAAGCATGATCGAATCATCAACGTGATATCGGGAGGATCAGAGGTTAGTGGAATTACTCATTCTGCTGCTAAAAAGAGTACTAGAATAGCTAGAACTCATCATGGAGATGTCAAAGCTATATGCGAGCGACTGTCGAAGTGCATTAGCTTTGCTTCAGATGAAGATAAGTGTGTCCTAGCTCCACATCATGATGCATTAGTCATATCTTTGACAATCGCTAATAGTCTGATGAAAAGGACACTCGTTGATAATGGGAGTTCGACCAACATTCTCTTCATGGATGCTTACAAAGGATTAGGGCTGGATGAGAATGCACTGACGCGAAAATCCACACCATTGGTAGGATTTAGCGGTGAAGTAAAGCAGACCATAGGAGAAGTGACGCTGCCTGTGTATGCAGGAGGAATTAACCGACAGACAAAGTTTCTGATACTAGATTGTGCTACTGCGTACAACGCAATTATGGGACGTCCCTGGATTCATGACATGGGGGCAGTGCCATCGACACTCCATCAAACCATAAAATTTCCTACTCCATGGGGAGTCAAAGAGATCAAGGGAGAACAAGAGCATGCACGTTCATGCTACCAAACTACCTAAAAGGGAAAGGTCATGAGCTATATCAACTAGAGATCCAATCGTCGATTCCACATACCAAAGAAGCAGAGGTGGAACAACTCTGTGAGATCCACTGACGGAAAAAGATCTTGATGAAACGAACCTCGAAACCTACCTCTTCTAGGTTAGTTTGGCTTTCAGTGTTTTGGTTTTATTTATTTCGTTATTGTCATAGTCATAGACGATCCACGAGATGTCTCTGCTTTCAATTGTTTTTCTTTACTTCGCGCATGTCTACGGACGAACTTCTTAATAAAAGGTTTTTCTACATATGAGTATTTAAGAATTCTCAGATTATGTTCGTCACTCGCTTTAATATCGACGTTGTATTCACAACTAGTGACGAGCGACAGTCATTGCACTGCTTATGACAAACGATACAAAAAAAAAAGGCATTGCCTCCTCATGATAGAGCAACAACGACGATCGACGTTTCTTCAAAAAAAATAAGGGCAATGCCTCATGAGCAAATTGACCATGGTCACTAGAAAGATAAGAGTCATGTACTCAATATATAGCAGCAGCGATGACAGTCGCTAATGATTGATTTAGAGGTACGACCTCCACATGCTATGACAACAAGTCATAAGCAAATAGATAGAAGGCATGTCCTCAATATACAGTGACGACATTCGCTACTAAATAAATTAAGAGGTACAACCTCACCATGATAAGTCATGATATGATAAATAAAGAGGTACGTACTCAATAGATAGCGACGACAGTCGCTAAGAAATAAGTTAGAGGTACGACCTCCATAGACTATGATGCCATGTCGCTCTTTGATTAACAAAGGGGCACGACCTCCAAATGTTATGATCATAAATCATTGGCTAACAAATGAAGAGGTACGTCCTTAATCTGTGACAACATTACTAAATCAAGAGGTACGTCCTCATAAAATATGACAATAAATTAAGGGATAAAACCCTCACAGTCAAGTAATTGCTTATCCACTGAGAAAGCAAGTTCTAAAATCGTCGATGCTCAACAATAGATGAGCCACATGCAAAAATTCATTGTGGTCAAATCCAAAAGGGGGCAACATTCTTGTCGTTAGTCTCATAAGACCAATGGAAAGAAAATAATAAGCTTTCTTTCATGCTACTTGTTCGACTTTTCAGTTCTATGTGTTTGTACTTGTGCACCTCGCATAAGACTTATGTTATCAATCCAAGTGATCAACCAAAGACGAACATATAAAATGTGTCTGTTCTTGCTAGATTTTATTAGGTCTTGCGTGACCAAGACCAACTAAAAGAAAAGGAGCAATAACTCCAAATAAAAGAAAGGGAACGACATAAGGAGTCAAAGGATCGACATACAAAAAATAGCATCTACATTAGGGAGAGATCAAGGTCCCATGCCACATTGTTGTCCAGCGACTAACGAATTGAAGCTCGACTACTAAAAAAAAAAAAAGGAAGGAAGCACAAGCAAATTGTTGGTCATCTTTCACATGAACGATCAACACAGCTACGTTCCTCAATTTTAGTTAAGTCACCTGAATGGTTAAGTACACCTTCCTTGGGACCTACATGGAAAAAGAGGAAGGACGACATGGTTCAAGATCAACTTTTTTGTCATTGACCATTGGAGAAATATACTTGTCCGTCTCTCTTTAACCAGTCCTACGTTAATATTAAAAGATGTATGTCGTTGCTCCTTCATTTGGTCAGTCCATAACAGACAAGAGAAGTCAAAGAGGAAAGGAGGTACATACGATATCATAAAAGTATGTGGACCCTCCTTATAGAGAAAGATCACGTGAGCAGCATAAGAAAATGGGGGAGATGGTTGTCGGTCGATGTCCTTTAAAGGTGTATGTCTTTGTATTTGTTTTGGACATGTCCACGTGATTAAAATAACAGGTGCATATTACACATTTAAGAATCAACGAGCGACAGACGAAGAAAAGGTATATCTTTCTATTTATTATTTATTTAAATTATATCTTTTAAGTCTATGGGCATGTCCATACTGGTGAATAATTCAAAAGTAATCATGCCACTAGATGGTATATATCTTTTAATGGGTTGACTTCAAGAGATCGAAGCATGAATTTCTTTTTAGTTTTCTACATCGACATTGGTAAATGACCCACAGTCACATGTGATATTATCGAGCATCGACCGACGACCTATAAGAAATATTACTCTACAAATTCTCAATGAGAAATTGAAGAGTAGGGGGCAAGTTGTTGGGTGAAATAAATTCACTAACCAGTCCTTCCCTCTATTACGTCATAAGCTGGAAATGTTATCGACTGACAACCATGACGACCGGTCGATCTCACTTCTTAGTGTCTAAAAGGTCTTAACATCGACATGACAAGGCAGCGATCGACGATATTGATGAATGGTTTAGCAATGACCAATGGTATATACAATTTCCTAAATCTATTGGAATTGTAGAGAACCGACGTTCACTCCCAATTAAAAGGAAATTAGGAAGTGACGACCGACGTAGGAAATAGAAAGTTACGACTGACGTCAAAGCCCAACTCGATAAGGACTAGGACCGACGAACACCTATAAATAAGAGGTCCTAGAACCAAGAGACTCATTCAGAAAAACACACAAAAACCCTAATAGCTACTTGTTCTTCGCCTCTCGACGAGCAAGCGACGAACAACCTAGATACGACGAACTACGATCTACGACGAGCGACAGACGAGATTCTCTTAGTTTAATCTTTGATATTGACTTGTTGTAGCTCGATATTCAATTGATTAATAAGATATCTTCTCCTGCGTCATTCCGTTTATTGTACTTGCGAACCGGTTAAATTTTGCCCAAACAATGATGATGATGATGAGATGAAGAAGGCTGGTGAGTCAATCACTCAAGTATAGAAAGCCTCAGCTCTGGTGATGTCAGACTTAAAAGTCATAGCAGAGACTATGATCAGCTGTGGATATGGCAAAGAGTGCATAACAAGTTACAAGTCGATCAGAAAGTCGATTGTAGACGAAGGCTTACACTTGCTTGGGATCGAGAAGTTCAAGATCTCTCGGTTTAACAGAATGGATTGGGGTGTGGTCGAGATTATGATCAAGAACTGGATCAACGCTGCAAAGATTGGAGTCACAACACTCTTCCGAGGAGAGAAGCTTCTCTGTGACCACGTCTTCTCTGCTTCGTCTACGATTAGAGAGTCTTGCTTCTACGAGATAGCCAACGAAGCAGGACTCAATCTCTTCAAGTTGCCTGAGATCGTCGCTAATAAGGAGATGAAAACACAGCCTGATAGGATCTTCAAGCTGATGGATCTCTACGCAGCAATCTCTGAACTTTGGCCGGAAACAGAACAGATCTTCCACTTTGACTCAGTAGCTGCTGTGAAAACTCTTGCTCTCTCATCGATGAAGAAACTAAAGATCTCAATCTACACACGTCTCATGAAGTTTGAGAGGACGATAGAAAATGATTCTTCGAAAGGACTTACTCCTGGAGGAGGGATTCACAAGCTGACTCGTTCAACAATGAGTTTCATATCATTGCTTTCTCAACACGGCACTGTGTTATCTGAAATTCTTGTACATCATCCTCTCAAGATAGACACACGTTTGCTAGAATCTTACTTCACAGCTCCAATCTTGGAAGATGAGAACATCAACAACCACGAGATCTCTGTCCATCTAGCTTGGCTTATCCTTGTTTTACTATGCAAGCTAGACATGAAAGCTTAGAGCTACAAGGATGTTTCACTCTCTTACCTCTTCCTCGTCAACAACACTCAGTTTGTGGTTGATGCCGTACGTTCCACGACTCATCTCAGGAGCCTCCTTGGAGACGATTGGCTCAACAAGCATGAAGCGAAAGTAAGAAGCTACGTTGCAAACTACGAGAACGCAGCGTGGGCTAATGTTTTCATAGCTTTACCAGAGAGAACACTATCGCAAGAGGAGGCTAAAACACGTTTCAAGAAATTTCATGTGGCGTAACTGGCGTTCGAAGAAGTGTATGTGAAACAATCATCGTGTGTTATGTCGAATGCGAAGCTGAGGGACGAGCTTAAGGTTTCCATCGCGAAGAAACTTGTGCCGGAATACAGAGAGTTCTACGACAAGTATTTGAGACAGGAGACAAACATAGAGATGCTGGTGAGGTTTAAGCCTGATAATTTGGACAACTACCTCTCAGATCTGTTCCATGGAACAGTAATATTTAGTGACTCTTCTTCTTCTTTGTCTTCTTCATCTTGTATCTCGCTTGGATGTGTAAGAAACTAAAGCTGACAGATAGAATATTTTCTCATATCACCTTCACTCGAATGGATATGAAATAATATCAAGTACGTAAGTTACTGTTAATCTAGTCTACTTTGTTTTTTTAGTATTCTTTTTTTTTTTTAATTGAATGTAAAAATATATTCAAACCAAAAACTTCTTGTAGCTCATATGGCAATATCTCTTCTGGAATCTCCGAGATGATGAAGATATGCTCATATTTCCATGGTTACTCTGGTTCATTTGGAAATCTCGGAATTATAAGGTATTCTCAAATGATGACCAAGATCCGCGAGAGGTGGTGGAATATGCAATAACTGAGGCCCGAGCTTGGGCTGCAGCCCAAGCGGGCGGAGAAACAGAGAGGGTGCATACAAGTGTGCAAGGGAACCAAGCAGATTCAGGGGAATGGTGCAAGATAGATGGAGCATGGAAAGCGACCGAGTCCCGTGCAGGGCTTGGGTGGTACAATTTTGATCCGGATTCGGGCTCAAGTCTTTTTGGTGCCTGTAATTTACGGCGGGGACTATCCCCTTTGCAAACGGAACTGGAAGCATTGGTTTGGGCCATGCAAAGTATGTTAGCCCACAACAAACGGCGAATGAATTTTCAAACGGACTGCACCGAGTTGGTGAAGATGGTGACTAAACCTGAAGGGTGGCCGACGTTTGAAATTCTGCTTGAAGAGGTGGAGAAGTGCAAAAGGAAGTTCCAAGCTTTCTCTCTCACTCATATCCCGAGGACAACGAACACGAAGGCGGACAAGCTAGCACGGAGTGCTCGAGCTCAGCCTCACGATGTGTACTATGTAAACTCAGTTCCTCCGATTCCGCTCCCAGAGCCGATCTAGGAACTTAGGCTGTCGTCAAAAAAAAAAAAAAAACTCCTTTACAATGAATGCATCATGGGAAATTTTTCCTTTGAGTTTCTTAGTATTCAATTTTTGAACGAAGTATAATATTTTGCGACGACGATATTCTCAGAAACTTGACAAAAAATCGATACCATGATAAATGCATCTTATAAAAATACAAGAATTTTAACAAAAAAAATAAAAATACAAGAATCACATTTAAAGCTCCAAATTTACATTGATTTCGTTCAAGGCATTGGGCTAAAGATTCAGAGTAAATATTTTATGTACATGCGTTTTTTTCTGTTAGTTGATTACCATTATAGTTAATCTAGCTCAAACCACGAAAATATAATACTATTTGCGTAAATATATTGTATTAGGAAATTTTTATTTTATATTAGAAATACTGTAAATTCTTAGGGCATCTCCAATGTATTGTCCCATATTTAACTCCAAAATGAAAAAATCTCAAAATGGAATTGGGTTTTGCTCCAATGTATTGCCTATTTTTTGCATCAAAAAGAATATTCTAAATATATTCTCTTTGAAATTTTTTTTATTAATTACTAAACTTATATTGTATATTATATATATTACAAATTGCCCCATAATTGTTATTCTTCAAAACTTTCACAATTTATTAGAATTATTTAAATATTAATAATACATTACAAGACTAAAAATAACTGAATTTTATTTTTTAATTAGAACCATTTGAATATTTTCCCATAAATGATCAATTAAACCATTTGAATATTTCTAAGAGAAATATTTTTCCTTTCTTTTTAAATTTATTATTAGCTTAAATAATTAAATTTCATATTAAATATGTGTCATTTGTATTTTAGAGTAAAAGTAAATATCAAAATAATTAATTATATATCTTAACTAAAGTAATTTAAAATTTAAAGAACTATTATATAGATTAAAAACTTCAACTCCAAAATGAAACTGAAAATGGGATCATCCCCAATTTGAGGAAAATTATGGCATTTTGTCATTTTGAGGATATAAATGGGGTTGGATTGAAACAAAATTAACTGCAAAATAACAATAAAAGTGAAATATGTGGCTGGGTTGGAAATGCTCTTAGATACAACAACAAACACGACTGCTTCCATAAGGCTGGCATAAAGCTATTTTAAAAGGTGGCTTGTTCACTCCACATCTTTCGTTACAGTCTATTTTCTTTTGGCATGGTCCTTTGAATTCACAAGCGCTCGAACTATCCATAATTCCTATATCATAATTATCAAATTTTAATAATTATAAAATGATAACTATAAATATATAAATCATAATGCAAAAGGCATGTATAAATTTTAGATTATTAAAAGAAGAAAAACTTACGAGCGGATTGAACATTAACGATGATAGATATAATGATAAGGAGAACAACAAAATGAAATTTTGAAGATGTCATCTTTCGATCAAAGTTTATGTAATATAGATTATTGTGAAATTATTTTGAAAAGTCACTATGTGAATCAAACAAGAATTTGTGGTCCTTTTATACATAAATTGAAAATATTTTTAAGATGTGAATACCATATTTAAAAACTGAAAGAAATGTAGAATACCATAAAAACTATATGATTTAGGATTTGTTGAAATAAACATTTATGGAATCAAATTGTACCAATGACTAAATCTTACCAGCATGATAATATGCTAACATTTTATCTTTGCTTTTTTTGCAATGATAAATTTCCAAATATATTGATTGAGACTAATTTACTAACATAAATTTATTAACAGAAATATATTAACTGAGATTCATTTACTATATAATTATAAATTTATTAGCATTAATATATTAACTGGGATTCATTTACGATATAAATATAAATTTATTAACATAAAGAGTAAGTTGTATTGGTAAACATATTTGCTTTATTGTTACAATTAAAACAAAGAGATTTAATTAGAACTAATATACAGAAGATTTGGGGCTAAGAGGATTTGGTATGAATCATGACCTTCAAAGACATACAATTTCTAAAATTCTGAATCGAAATGTTTGATAGTGTGCATATAATTAAAGCAGATGAGAAATAGGGTGACCAGGGTCGGCCTCAGGTTCTTGATGGCCTCAAATTTTAAAATATATGATTTTTCCAGTAAATTTACTTAATTATTAAGTAAAAATACTAATAGATTGAAGAGTGTATTGTTGGGAAGTTTCAAACCATCTATTGAGAAGAATGAAGAGCAACACTGTCAATAAGCTAAAGGAACATTTAGTAACATGTGACATTCGAGTTTTATATATCTTTTGGTGGCGTAAATTCTATGTTTTACCAGCTTTATGCAGGGCCGAGGGTGATAAAAGAGATGTAGAGATTTAAAATTTCGACCAAATTGATTTTCAAATAAGATTTAATTTAATATTTTTGAGAAACAATGGCAAAAGACTCACATTTATGAATATTCATATTTGCATTTCAAATGTGAAAGTAATGAGTTTCCAATTTCACAATAATTGACTAAACCCAAAATCTGACAAAACCAACTCATGAACCAAAAATTGGAGAACTGATTATATATAATTTATAAAAGAAGATTATTAAAAATATAAGTAAAAATTGTAAAGGATTATGTATCAACGATTTTTTAGGTGTTGTGAAGAACTTGAATAAAGAACTTTTTAGGGCTTTTGCCTCTTTTTTTTTTTCTGTTGTCTGCTCCACACGGTTGATTTCTTTTGTTCGATGACATTTTTCTATTATACAGAAGGTAAGAGTTTAGAAACTAACAAATTGATTGAAAATAACAGATAGAAATAATATTTTACGTTAATTGTAACTAGAGAAACTTGAAAACCTCTGAAACTAATGCACCTCTCGAACTCCTTATCAATGATCAAGGACAAAGCCGTAAGTCCAACCAAGGAAGAAGAAGAAGAGTGAGCTTAATTGATTTTTACCCTAATTGTTTTTTCTTTTGTTTCTACTTTTTTTTATTTGATTACTTAAATTTTAAATTTATTGGAGAAACTTCTTTAAGCCCATATATATTTACGTAACTGTAGCCCATATCCTAGCGACAACGTTAATCTTAATGATGAGATCTTCGACATCATTGGATACTTATCCGATCATGAGAAGCCACTTTCCGATTTGCCTAAAACACCTGTTGTCTGCAAACCGTCTGAAACCGCCATAGTAAAGGCTCTTGCAATCGCTAACGTTGACCCTAAAAAACCCGTGAGTGTCCTCAATTTTTCGCAATCTTGTTAACCATGCTTTAGTTTAATCTGTCTTTTTTCTTGTAGTTGTTCTTCGATGACAGTGTTCGAAACATTCAAGCCGGTAAACGCGTTGGTCTGAACACTGTTCTGGTGAGCTAAAAACGTTTTTTTCTCTCTATATAATTCAATGAAGGAGAGTGAAATGTCCGTTGAGATTAATGGAGTGATGATTGTGTTTGTTTGGTGACAGGTGGGGACTTCACAGAAGGTGAAGTGTGCAGATTATGCGATAGAGAACATTCATAACCTAAAGGAGGCATTGCCGGAGCTCTGGGAATCGGAGGCTAAGCCTGGAAAAGTTAGGTACTCCGGCAAGCTTCCCGTGGAAACTCCGGTGGTAGCGTGATTAACCTATGTTTCCTACACAGACTTTTTATTGTTTCTGTTTTGCTTGAATAATCTCTGCTTTGTAGTTTTGTTCTCCTTCTTTTTCTTTTTACTTTATGGAATTTTTCTTAGTTAATGTTACCTCTATTTAAACTTTCTGATAAATTGGCATGCGTCCTTTTAAATTATCTTCTTAATTCAACATAAATTGGCATATACCTAACATCTTTTTATTTTTAAAACTTGAAATTATGCTAATATATTTAATACAAACATATTTTTATTTTTAGTTGTTGAAAACATTTATTATGCTTCACTTATGTTTCACAGTTATTTTTCTTATATGTCGCATTTTTTTTAATATAATTTGCTTTACTTATTGTTGAAAACTAATTAAAGATAGTTTGATTTTTTTTAACCATCAACCACCTCCTTATTAGTTTAAACACAAAATAATTGATCACACACTAATACTAATCTTATTACCACTAATCTTATTAACTGGGTCACACTTGTAAAATAGATCAATTTTTAAAACAAACTACATATATTAACAAAATATGATAATAGTTCATATTTATTATGTTTTACTTATGTTTCACATATAGTTTTCTTATGTTTCGCATATATTTTTCTTATTATTTGCTTATGTTATACTTATTTTTGTAAAACAAATTTTTGATAACTCTCTTCTTTTTATGTATAAATTAATTGTTTATTTCTACATAATAATAATTTATTTATTCAAATTAGTAAACCACTTTCAGTTATAACTACATTATCACCTGTTTGGACTAAAAAATTATTGTGCAAATAGAGTAATTGTTGTGCCATTGAGCCAAGCATTCCAAGTGGAATGCATGACCGCAAGGAGTTTTAGCCAACCATCGGTTTGATTCAAAACTCTCAAAGCAGATTGAGCATTCCACTTTCCCATGTGGGAAATGGAAGCTTGATACTATTATTGATGGCAGATTCACTCGATGCACAAAATATTTCTTGAGCTTATGGTAAAGAACTTCCCAATAGGACTAGTTGGTCATCATCGTTGACGTCTTGAGACATCTTATAAGACATTTAGAAAAAGGAGAAGGATATATTGTTTTGTTTGATATAAGTTTGAAGAATTAGGATAAAACTGGAACAATATGCATAACCTCTATAAAGTAATAACCACTATAAGATAATAAATTTCTCAGATCCTTCGGGCGAATGTAAAAATTAGCAAAATGCGATAAGATGATAAAATAATAATATTTTTGAACTTGTATGTAAAAATATGGCAACAATTATAAGCTAAAGTAAAAATTAGATAAAAGCTAAACATTGTATATGCCTACGAAAATTATTAAACTATGAATTTAGATTTATCTCTAACTTTTTATTATATAAAAAACTCATAATGCATTTTTTCTATGCATGTAAAATTTGTTAAGTATGTTCTAAATAGATTATTTTCAACTTCATTAGTAGCTATAATTTTTTTTCTGAACTTTTGAAATTTTATATAAATATTTATATAAGCTAATAATATATGTTTTATTACGATATCCAAAAGACTTTATCATAATTTCAAGTTTATGTATATTATATTAACAAATAAACAATTTTAAATTCTTGATACATTATTATGTAATGAATAATTTTCAAAGTTTATGAATTAAAAATATATTTTTTTATAAATAAAAAAATATTAAATTTATTCATAAAGTATCTCTGTAAGATTATAATTTTTCAAAGTCCCAACATTATTACTTTATAGATGTTTTATAGTACCAGGTGTTTTAGCGCAGGTTTCGTTTTATTTTTTAAAAAATAATTTTTTACTTATATTAAAGATTTGTTAATTATTGTATGTTTCTGTTTTATAATCCAACACTCTTGTTCAGTTTCTTTTAATGAATTCAATTTTTTAATGTTTTGAAGCATTCAAAATATGTTTCTAACTTATGCATTTACATTTGTTTTTGTGATTGTTTTTAAATGTGTTCTTGTTCTTTGTATTTAAAACCAATTGCTGTTCTTAACCGCAATATAATCAAATCATATTAAATAACCTATAAACTTTCATGCTTCTTTTTTGGCCCAAATTCTATAATTGCACATATTTACAGTATCCAATTTTCCCAAATCCTAATTAATCATCACGCATACACAAACACAAAGAAATATCATTTATGGGGACCTATAAAATATATATTGTCATTTGTCTCCATATCAAATATACATACATACACGTGTCACTCACTCAAAATTTTGTCCTCCCCAAACATTTCCACCGTCTGGTCTTTTCTCAGCCACATTTTCGTCACTTTTTCAGAATTAAAGGAAAAAACATTTGATGAACAAAGGTAAAATTTAACGATGACGATGACGAAAATTTAAAATTATTACAAATTTAACTAAAATTTAAAATAAATTTAAAAATAAAATTTAAATTAGAGTATTATATAATATACCTAGGTATACATGTATCTGGCATCCGATTCGATCAGCTCCAAATATTCGGATTTTTTGGAATTTCTGGAACCAAATCTTAATAATAAAATTATGAATCAAAAACAAAAAAAACCGGATGTGTATCCACATAATAAAATTGTTTGAAAATGTTTAGAGAAGCATAATACCTAATTACCTCAACTATAATAAGATCTAATAAAGAGTTAGAATTAAACTTTGTGCAAGAACAAGAGGAAACAACATACGGTGCCTATATGCACATAATACACGAGAAAATTCATCAGCAATTAAGAGATTTTTTCATTAATGAATTGATAATATCAAAAATATGATGTTTTAAACTGTATATTTTTACTTTTTAATTTTGATGTTAAATCATTATGAATCAAAATCCATTAATTCTATATATTTTTTAAATAATATTTTATATTTTATTACAATTTAGTTATTTCACAATTTTATGTTCTTATTTATTTTATTAATTTAATTAGGTAAATATTTTGTTATTATGTTACACAAATAATTTGTTAGGTATTTATTTTGCATTCAGCATTCCGCATTCAGCAACATTCAGCTATTACCATTCATATTACTAACTATTCAGCCAGATTCTGCAAAAAAATTCCATTTAATTCCGCCAGATTCCGCATTCAGCAATATTCAGCGGTTACCATGTAGACCCTATAAATCTTACTAAGAAAAAAAGAAGATCATATTCGCTATTTATTTCACCAAGTCCGCTGATTACAATTCTTACAAGAAATAGAGAGAGAGATGAAATGTTGACCGCGAGAACCCTACTTAGAAGTTTTGCAGTTATACAGGCCAGTAAAAAAAAAAAAAAAATCTACATGATCAATATATATATAAAATAAAGAATTTTGAAATTTATGGCTATGGGTCTCTTAAAAAAGTGGTGAATACTTTATGACTACGGGTCAGAACATATTATTTGTTCTTGAGTGGAGAAATTTATAAAGGTATGAGTAGGAACATGTTTTTATGTATTTAAGTGGACAAAAAATGCAAAATCCTAACTAAATTCAGAAAATCAATAATGATAAAAATTAAGATAGAGGATAAAAAATATCAAACATTTTTTTATATAAGATAGAAGTTCGTATCTACAGCACGGATCATGATAAAAGACGCATGTCCAATAAGGTTGAATAAAAACATAATGTCTTAACCAAAGTTTAATTTGATTAAAATTAATAATTATCAATCTAATTAACAAAAAAATTAACATACTTATTTTTTTCTTAAAAAGAAATACAAAAACCCGTGATGGTGGCAACACGGATCATGATCTAACTTTTTAAACAGCATTACAGGTGAAAACCAACATTCTTTTAGGTTTGAATCTTTTTGAAGGGACTAAAAGAACGAACGGATAAAGATTAAAAAGAGATTAAAATTATTAACATAGATATTGTAACATCTATAAACCTGAGAAGTGTGAATTTTTGGTTGTATCGAGCGAGACAAAGATTTTGTGTCAGTCGACACAGATTATGGTTCACGTTTCTGGTTTAGCCCGGTTTGGGGCTGGAAACCCTGATTTTCGTTTTAAAAGATGTGGCCGTCTTGTTCCTAAGGTGTTTTTGTCGTTTTGCGGGTCTGGTGAAGAGGAGAGATGATTTCTGGACGAATTCAGGTGTTCTTGAGGCGGATCGTGGTCGATTTGCAGCTATTCTTCACTGTTTCTTCTTCCTTTCCCTTTCAGTCCCTTCCTAGAGGTGAGTGCATGACTGTGGATCCGCGGATTGCTAGATTTGAATTGGTTTGTTGTTGTTGATGATGTGTTCATGTGTTTTTGAGTGATTTCTTCCTGTTTTGGTTGTATTTCATGGTGAATTTCGTGTTATTGAGGATTTCGTATCGTTTCATTGAAGTTGGTATCGGGCTCTGGAACGCGTGTGGAGCGACACAAAACTGGTGTCGCTCGACACAAAGTGGTATGTGCTTGTGTCGCTCGACACAGACCGGTTCAGGCCGGTTTAAATCGATTTGATTTCTGTTTTATTGGTTAAATTGAATTAAAATGGTTAAAGCATATTGGTTGGTTTAATTTCGGTATTTAATTAATTGACGGTTAATTTAATTAATTAAATAATTTTAATAATTATTTTAATGACAGAAATTTATTATTTAATTATAAGAATCTTCTATATTATAATGAGAGTATAACTCTTTCTAATTGAGTGACACCTCAACTTTTTGTTTTGCTCCTAAAAATGCTACATGGCATTTATTTATTAAAACCAAAAAAAACCATTTAACACACAAATTGAACTTCACCTAAAATCGTTTAGGCTTCCGGTCGTTTCCTATGGCTTGCACAGTTTCCTTATACGGCGCCATATCCTCTACCCAACTACCCTGAATCCCTTTCCGCTTCGCTACAGTTCATGGAATTCTCATACCTTCAATTGGAATCCATCCTCACCTCCGGCCCACAATTGTCTTTCAGTGCTTATCATCGTCCCCAAAAACGGCCCAATTTGACTTTCTCTTAGCGGAGGAGGTCTCACCTCAAGGTTTGGAGGCCGATTTGGATGTACAGCGGACCTAATCGGAACCTGAAAGATCCCGGTTTCATCACACTTCCCAACAAATTCCGGTAGAGAATCTGAGCCGTCACCGTTCTCCGCTCCAAGGTAAAGTGAATTCAATCATTTGGGGCAATAATTATCATCTTCACAGTGTATTCGTGCATCAGTGCCTGCTTAGCTCACTATTATCTATTATTGCCTTTTCTCCTCTTGATACTTAATTCCAGCTTCTGCTATGATGAGCACGAAACGTATAATAAGGGAAAGACTCTATCATAGCTACACCTGAACTTTTGCAGCTTGTTGTTTTCTTTCCTAACATGACAGTTAGAACTGGATCTGCCTATTAAAATTCTTGCAATTTGATTTGTTAGGTTACCTCTTTTATTTGTTGCTTTGACAATCGACTATTAATGCCTTAAGGAAACCGCTGCCAAAAAAAAAAGCCTTAAGCACACAATCGCTGACAAGAAAAAAAAAAAAAAAAAAAAAAAACAAAAGATTTACCACACAATCAAATAATATTCTCTAGGAATATGCTCTCTCGGGTCATGTCTAGCATATATGCGTATAACTGAAACATTCTTATTTGTAGACTGGGACAGATTTCTTCAAGTGTTGTAATTTGTAAGGTCTCATGAGTATCTCCACAAATATACATTTGTACAACCCAAACCAATTAACATCTCAGCATTCGGATAGGGACACTTACAAATTACCAAAGCAGAACTGAGTATTAATATCAAATATTAATATCATCTTGATATTCATCGATCTTGACCATAATCCTCATCATCAGTATTGTAATCATTTGGCCTTGATTGGGTTGTGGACATAAGTTATGTCACATAACCGATGGTGACTTGGTGAGGAGACTGGGGGTCTTTTGGGATTGGATAGTTTAGCTATATAGGCTAGGCCAATAAATTTCCAAATTGCATTTCAAAAGCATGTTACACTTGAAGTATATTTGCATCTCTGCACTTGTACCACTCTAGTTGGATTAATACATTATTTCCGGGTATAATTAAGTTACATCTCGATTAACGAGAAACCATATTATCTGGTTGATATATATAGGCCCTGTTCGTAACGTTGTCGTTAGCGACCAAAAATAGCTTTATAGATAGGTTTCTTGTAAAGCAAGCTCGTTAGTCACTGACTGGTGTAGTGTTGTTAATTTCGGAAACGGTGCAACTTGGTCGCCAAAGGAGAAAAAGAACAAGGCCATATAGACTGGGCCGATGAGGCCCATATATAACCTAACGCTTCACTACCGATGCATACGTAATTTAGGTTTGGAGTTAAGACGGGAACTTCTGACTTCTGAGGCAAGGGGCTAAAAAACATTCAATCGTCTCTTTGTGTTTTACCATGGAGATAAACGAGAAGCATGACAAACCTAATTCTCATAAGCCTCTCAGAGGAGATACACTCAGTTCCTGTTCCGATCTTCCTATAGATCTCTTGAATTTGGTTTTCAAACGCCTCAGCTTTCCTAATTTCCAACGAGCTAAATCTGTCTGTCGGTTTTGGCACTCCGCTTCGAGACAATCCGTTCCCAAACATAGTCAGTTTTTTTGGCTAGTTCTCTTCCCCAAAGAAAACAACAACAACAACAACAGTAGTTCTTGCACGTTGTTCAATCCAGAGGAAGCAGACAAACTTTACAGAACGCAAGATCTAGGTTTGGAATTTGCAAAGAGTTTTTGTATGGCAACCTATGGAAGTTGGTTTCTTATGCGAGATCCACGTCAGAATCTCTACATTGTGAATATCTTTACCCACGAGAGGATCAATCTACCTCCTGTGGAGTCACAACTTGGAAGGATAAAGATAAAGCGAACTGTAGATGATGGGTTTCGCATTACAGCTCACGGAGTGGGTTACAAGTTCATACGTATCATCATACAATCCCCTGTGTTATGGATTGACGAGAAAACCAAAGATTATATAGTTCTATGGAAAGTTAGTGAGTCGTGTATAGTTTATTCTAGGAAAGGAGAGACCTCGTGGAAGCAAATCCACGTAACTTGGGATTGTTGTAGCATGTTTTACAAGGACCACAAGCTTTACTTGTTAGGCTTTTCTTCTTATTTCAAAATCTTCGATTTTTCTGGAGCGATTCCACAACAAACCTCGTCTGGTGTTATTGGGGAAGGATTTCATTTAACTCACCTTGAACGCGGTGTTGTTGCTACAAAACTTGTAGTCACAGTAACAGGACAAATCCTCAAGATTGAAAAAATCAGAATGAACTCTAAGGCCTGGTCCTTTAGGGTTTTCAAGATGGTTTCATCAGGATTATTCAAGAAACAAGAAGTGGTTAGTTCTATGGGAGACGAGACGTTGCTTTTTGATCAAGGCATCACTGTACTCGCCAACGACACTGATGTATTCATTAGAGATTCCATCTATTTCAGTCTCAACGAAACTGATATCTTTGTTTTTCATCTCAAGACACAGAAGACGGAGCCGCTCCACAAATTTGACCGTTCTTCAGCTCAATTCTCTGGAGCTCGATGGTTCTTACCAAGTTTTACGCAGAATTAATATTGATCTCAACAATGTTTCAAGATCCTAGATTGGTTTCGCATTTCAAACCAAAGGTCGTCCGGGGGTATAAGTACACAAGATCCATGTTTTACAAGCTTTTCTTCTTTAGCTGCCATAATGTTTTCAGAATCATCTAATGTTTCAAGAGAGATTCCTCGAATGTTTATCTTTTTCCTTTTGCAATATGTGTGTTTTGTTTTGGTTTTAATCAATTTTCTTACAACCGCGACCGGAAAAATCATCATGTTAACAGATGAGAACGGGAGAGAGATTCAAAACTTATGATGAGAAAGTATATATGTGAGGGTCTTATGACTCCAGAAACCGCCAAAACCAAAACAAGATATGAATATATTTTTGTGGCGGTAAAACGTAGAAGAAGCCAACAAGCGACGTCGTTTTTTAGGAGAAAACCAAAACAAGATATGAATATAAAGTAACCGCAAATTCCTCTTATAAACACACATTTAGAGACCTTACTGAGTGAAACAACAGAAAAAACAATATTTTGGCTTGCCTAAGCCTATCTCAGAGTCTAAAAGTAAACAACCTTCGGCAATCCTCCAACACCTAGAGCTAGATCAAGGTTGAGTGAACCAGTAGGTATCACAGGGACTCTCCGTGATCTTGAAAACCGCTGCAACCACAACACCTGAAGCTGAAAGCTCTGATAAAGCTGAGCGCAGATTAGTGTCTTTCTCCGCTACTTTGCAAAAGGGAAGTCACTGGTGATATTACCTAGAGACGAAAGATGACGACTTCCATAGCTAGAGCAAGCCAAAACGCTTCTTCTTCCCTTCGTCTGCTACAGAGAAAAGATCCCACAAGTGCTGTATCGTTAATTCAGAAGCTTCAGCAAATCAGTAATGTATAAACTCTATTTGATCAGCTAAAAAAGGTGAAAAATCAAATGTTGAATTGCTCAAAAAAATTGGGGGCATTAGGGCAGAAACTACAGAACTTAGCCGTTGTGAAGAACAGAGCGAGCAAACATTAGAGAGGAAAGAGAGAGAGAGAGAGAGAGAGAGAGAGAGAGAAGGACCTGAGATAAGCAGGAGAAGAAACGGAATCTCTGAATCGGAGTGGTCAATGAGAGTCGAGCCATGCCCCGTTTCTTCTTCAGTTCTTCCGGCGGCGCGAGTTCCAACAGATGCGGCGGCTAAACCTGTTTGTGAAGGAGAGATTCGGATCGGAAAGAATCTCACCGATGGATTCGTCAAGCTGCACGATCTCAACATTGTTCGGATACTTGAAGCTATAAGCTGCGGGGTCGGAGGAACCCGAGAGCGCAGGTTTGTTCCGGAAATTGATAAGGCGACGATTTGGCGGAGAAAGCGAACCGAAATGTTTGGCAAGCACCGGAAGGGCGGATGATTGACATTTGGGAAGTCGGAAACTGGAAGTGGATACCGAGATTTTGGTGTTCCGGCGAGATCGAGTGAGCGGAGAAGTCACGCCGATTCGGAAAGTAGAAGGGAGCCGTCAAGGAGAGAGAGATGATAAGGAGAGGGAGGGGAAAGATAAACAAATTAGAGAAAACAAAAAGAAATGGTGTCGTGCCACGTGGCCAACTCTCCCTGTGCTGGTGCTGATGTGGCAGTCAGTTAGAGAGAGTTGACCTCTTATTATATTGGTTGAGGCTCACTGAGCCTCCGATCGAAGAACTAGATCATGCAGTCGACGGAAGGGCCTGAAAGGTGAGATTCATCGCCGGAGGAAGATAATGAGGGGTAGGAACAACAGTTGAAAAGCGTGGACAGAGTGGAGAAGTCGGATTCGTTGGGAGTGGTGAAGAAGGAGAAAACGTCATCGTTACATTTTGAAAACAAGAAGATACATGGACGGCGTCTGTTTTGGAGAAGACGAAATAATTTCTATAAATTTTCGTCTGAGGAATATAGTTAAATTTTATAGAAATGTAAATTTAAATGAACATGAATAAGAGTAAATTAATAGTAAAATATACCTATGTATACGTTTTAGTAATGATTATGTCTTATATAAATTTAATTATAGTGAAAAAAATATATTGTCTTGAATATACGTAGAAAATAAAAATTGCAACTATTTATAGTTTTTGGAAAGCATTTGAATAACGGAAAAATGGATAAGTATGAACGATCACTGACTGAATCCAAGTACATACCAAAACAAGAAATCTGATTTTTCATTGATGAAACATGGAGCTAATTAAGTGTAACTAATGGATGTTTGGAAATTATTAGAAATATTTGGGGTTAAGAGGATTTGGTATGAATCATGACCTTCAAAGACATGCAATCTCTAAAATCTGAATCGAAATGTTTGGTAGTGTGCATATAATTAAAGCAGATGAAAAACAAGGTGATCAGAGTCTGCATGAGTTTCTTCGAAATGTTTCAAATCATCCACATTGAGAAGAATGAAGAGCAACACTACCAATAAGTTAAAGGAACATTTATATATCTTTTGGTGGCGTAAAATTCTATATTTTACCAGCTTTATGTAGGGCCGAGGGTGATAAAAAAGATATAGGGATTTACGATTTCGACGAAATTAATTTTCAAATGAGATATAATTTAAGATTTTTGAAAAACAATGGCAAAAGAGTCGCATTTATGAATATTCATATTTGCATTTCAAATGTGAAGGTAATAAGTTTCTAATTTCACAATGATTACTAAACTCAAAATGTGACAAAACTAACTCCTGAACCAACAATTGGAGAATTGGTTATATATAATTATAAAAGAAAATTATTAAAAATATTAAAATTAAAAATAAAAATTGTAACGGATTTTGTATCAACAAATTTTTTAAAGTGCAAAATTAGAAAATTCATAGAATGTTTTTTAAGAAAACATAAAAACAGAATCTGCGCGTGCGCGGGTAAAATACCTAGCAAATTTATGTAAATTTAAATTTATGTTCATAAAATAATCCTTTGGGGAAAGTTTAAATCTAAGGTAATGGATGAACTAATCTTATTTTTCCTTTTGCTACACCACAGCACTTTGTTGCTAAAAAACAAATTTATTTGTCTAACTACTCAGTGCATTTGCAATGAAAAATGCTTAAGTCTGAGATTTCATTAAAATGAATGGTTGAATAGGCTTTAATAGATAGTATAGGCTTCTTATCAGTTTTTCACTAATATAAAAGACAATTTCTAATGTCATTGCTTATTAGATAATCTATATAAAAATTACAATTATTAAAATGAATATGTAACATATTCATAATATATAATTTTAAGTATTGTATATTTTCTATTAAGAAAAACGATTTAAACAAAAAAAAGCAGTTCTTTCCAAGTCATTAGAAATATAATTTTTTCTATTTTCTAAACACTTTAATATATATGAATAAAAAAAAGAATTTAGAAATTCTTGCTTATGTGTATCAATCAAATTAAATTTCTTATTTTCCTTTTGCTACACCACATCACCTTTGTTGCTAAATAGAAATAAAAAACAAATTTATTTGTCTAATTACTCAGTGCATTTGCAATGAAAAATGCTTAATATAGATGCTTAAGTCTGAGATTTCATTAAAAGAAATGGTTGAATAGGCCTTAATAGATAGTATGGGCTTCTTAATCAATTTTCCACTAATATAAAAACACTTTCTAATGTCATTGCTTATTAGATATAATCTATATAAAAATTACAATTATTAAAATCTAAGTAATAGTAAAATATTTGTAAAATAGGAAATTTACTAAAATTAATATGTTAAAATAATAATACTGATGTGGAATAAAAGAAAATATATGGATATTAAAAAAATGAAAATTTGCTAATAAGAATAAAAAGGAAATTATCTTAAGACTTAATCGTCTGCACAAGACTTGCAAGATAAGCTTAAGAAGAAGATTATCTTGCAAGTCTTGTGCAGACGATTTTGTATCCCGTGCAGAGGACCAGCATAAGTACATCCATGATTCAAGGTACTTAGAGAAGAGATCTCATCAAATTTCCTTCTCTCATGAAAATTGTATCAATGGAGGATATTTGCAACAGGAGGAGAAAAAGAAACGGGATTCCCATATTGAGGTGGAGCCCTCCCTGGGTATTGATGGTTATGAGGTCTGCTTTGGTACGGGATTTGACTGGATCTTATTGGGGTTCTGGGATCTATACTTATATAGTCCAAGCACCAAAATAATTTATAACTCTTGGAAAAATATGGTCTGGAAAATATTTTGTGTATTCATAGACTCAAATTGGAATACGGTGTGCTTACCAAGACTGCATGCTCACTGGAAGATAATACAGCTGTATTATTCCAATGGGAAATTTCATGGAAAAATGTATGTTCTCTTTTGGTTGTATTGTGACTCTTTAAATGGAAAAATTGTTGGTTTATTAATATTTATGGTTATGAAAGGACTCGCCGGGAAGAAGAATAGAGGGAAGATCGCAGAGGGAGATCCGCCGGAAGGATCAGAGGTTACAAATAAACCAGTTTAATGCGGATCTTGAGTTGGAATTGCCAGGGTCTGGGAAACAGATTCACAATAAGTTATTTGCGGGAGGTCTGGTGGAAGTTTAGGCCTGAATTTTTATTTCTTTCAGAAACAAAACAAGATTTCTCTTTTTTGCAACATTTTCAGTTTCACTTTGGTTTTGATAAGTTATACACGGTTGACCCATGTGGCACAAGTGGTGGTCTAGCCTTATTCTATAATAATAATTTTAATGTTTCTATTATATCTTCTTCTAAGCGGTTAATTGATACGCAAGTTACAATTGATGGCAAAACAATGTTTATGTCCTTTGTTTATGGCCATCCGGTTCCAAAAAATCGAGATTATTTATGGGAACAGTTAACAAGAATAGGAATAACAAGAAGTGAACCTTGGTTTTTAATTGGGGATTTTAATGAAATTACAGGAAATCATGAAAAACAAGGTGGTGCAATTCGGTATGCTTCAACTTTTATGCCGTTTAATCTTATGATAGATGATTGTGGTCTAGTAGATTTCCCTAACCATGGCAATACACTATCATGGAGAGGGAGGAGATGGGGCAAAATAGTACGGTGTCCGTTGGATAGGGCGTTAGCCACAGAGGAGTGGCATGACGTTTTCCCAAAATCACATGTCGAACATTTAAAAATGGTGGGATCGGATCATAGGCCTATTTTGGCCGCCATCGATAACAAAATCCTGAAGGGGCGTCGGCAGTTTCGGTTTGATAAACGGTGGCTCGGACAAGACGGGTTTACAGAAGCTTTAGAGAGCGGCTGGACACAAAAACGGAACGATGGGGAGGCAAAAATAGTTGATATGATCAGTGGTTGTCGCCATGCAATCTCCCGATGGAGGCATGATAACAAACCTTATGGTAAGGAAAAGATTGCGGAATTACAGAAACTACTGGAGGAAGTCCAAAACGACGATTTTCGGACGCAAGAGGAGCTTCTAGAAATTACACAAAAGCTGAAGGAGGCTTATAGAGATGAAGAACAATACTGGAAACAAAAGAGTCGTAATATGTGGCTAAAAGATGGGGATTTAAACACAAAATTTTATCATGCAACAACGAAGCAGAGACGGGCGATAAATAGGATGGTGGGTTTACATAATAAAACAGATACTTGGGTTACAGGGGACAAAGAGATGGAGAAAGTGGCGGTTGATTATTTCTCGGAATTATTCACAACCACTTCACCAGATGGTTTCTCGGAAATTCTGGAGGGAATCACGGGACAAATTACAGATACGGATAATATTTTGTTGACAAAACCCGCGACAGAAGAGGAAGTACGATCAGCGCTGTTTTTGATGCACCCGGAGAAAGCACCGGGACCGGATGGGATGACGGCTTTGTTTTTCCAACGGTCATGGCCTATAATTAAAATGGATATACTCCGTTTCATAAATGATTTTTTAGCTTCGGGATGTTTTGATAAGAGGCTTAATATGACGAACATATGTTTGATCCCTAAGACCGAGAGACCAACCCGTATGACAGAATTACGGCCAATTAGTCTCTGTAATGTGGGGTATAAGATTATTTCGAAGGTTTTATGTGAACGTTTAAAAAAGGTGCTCTCCCAGCTGATTTCCGAGACTCAGTCGGCATTTGTCCCAGGAGACTTATTTCGGATAATATTTTGATAGCACAGGAGATGTTCCACGGGTTACGGACAAATAAGTCATGTAAAGGGAAGTTTATGGCGGTTAAAACGGATATGAGTAAAGCATATGATAGGGTGGAATGGCAGTTTGTTGAGGCTACTATGCGAAAAATGGGGTTTGCGGAACAATGGATTTCCTGGATTATGACATGTATTAAATCAGTAGAATATAAGGTTCTTATAAATGGTCAACCAAGGGGAAAAATTATCCCCAATCGAGGATTAAGACAAGGGGACCCTCTGTCTCCCTATCTTTTTATTCTCTGTACGGAAGTTCTAATATCCAATCTACAGAAGGCGGAAAGGCAAAAGACACTGACGGGGTTGAAGGTGGCCCGAGCAAGCCCACCAGTGTCCCATTTATTATTTGCAGATGATAGCCTCTTTTTTTGTAAAGCAACGGTGGAAGAAAGTAAAGTACTTCTAATGATTCTTCAGGAGTATGAAAGGGCATCAGGCCAGAAAATAAACTTTGATAAGTCGTCCATCCAGTTTGGTCATACAGTGGATACTAGTGTCCGTACACAGATCCATCAATTATTGGAAATCCATAAAGTTGGGGGCGTAGGCAATTATCTCGGGATACCAGAGAGTTTGGGTGGCGCAAAGACAAAAAATTTTAGTTTTCTTATAGATAGACAACACAAGAGGATAAACGGATGGACATCAAAAACCTTATCAAAAGGGGGTAAAGAAGTTCTGGTGAAATCAGTGTTATCGGCGATGCCCACACATGTAATGTCTTGTTTTCGGTTGCCAAAAGGGGTAACAAACAAACTCACAAGTGCGGTAGCTAATTTCTGGTGGAGTACTAACTCTCAAACACGCGGGATGCATTGGCTGGCGTGGCGGAAGTTGTGTCGTCATAAAACTAACGGGGGTTTGGGATTTAGAGTTATTGAGGATTTCAACACGGCCTTACTCGCCAAACAACTATGGCGCTTATTGGATAATCCGGAGTCACTTTTTGCTAAAGTCTTTAAGGGAGATATTATCGGAACTCATCCCCTCTAGACCCAATACGGTCTTACTCCCCGTCCTATGGATGGCAGAGTATGATCTCGGCTCGACCTCTGGTTCACAAAGGGCTTATTAAAAGAGTTGGTTCAGGATTTCTATCTCAGTATGGTATGATCCATGGATTTCTGACTCTCGCCCGAGGTCAGCTATATGCAAGGGAATTAATTACTATCCTCATCTAATGGTGAATCAGCTGATTAATTCTCAGACATCAACGTGGAATCTCCCACTATTACACCAACTGTTCGAAAGTACAGAAATTGCTCGCATTACGGGTATTACAATTGCAACGGGGTACAGAAAAGACACTTGTGGGTGGCTTTTCACCAAATCGGGGCGATATACGGTTAAGTCAGGCTATAGGGTTCTACAGGAGCTTGCGGATGAAGATGTGATACCGGTATTTGGGCCAGATGTCCGTCGACTGCAAGCACAGTCATGGAAAGTTAAATGCACTACAAAGCTTCAACATTTCATTTGGCAGATTATCTCGGGATGTTTATCGGTTGGTGCACGGTTATGCAGTAGGGGGATGCGTGTGGATCCCCTATGTGTGCGATGTGGTATGGGAGATGAAACAATTAATCATATGTTGTTTGAATGCCCACCAGCCCGCCAGGCCTGGGCTCTATCCCCTATCCCAACGCCACTACAGTCCTTTCCTACGGATGCACTTTTCTCTAATATGGCACACCTCTTTTGGGGTCTTCCAAAGGATGATGATATGCTCATATTTCCTTGGTTATTATGGTTCATTTGGAAAGCACGTAATTATAAAGTCTTTTCAAATGATGACCATGATCCGGGAGATGTTCTGGAATCAGCGATAACAGAAGCACGTGCATGGGCTACTGCACAAACGGGAGAAATAATTGGACCAATGGCTAGGGTCTCATATCCACGGACTGAGATCGAGGGTGAATGGTGCCAAATAGATGGAGCATGGAAGGACACAGAGTGTCGAGCGGGTCTTGGTTGGTATAACTTTGATCCCGCGTCGGGTTCAATCTTGGTGGGCTCATGTAATTTACGGCGAGGTTTATCACCTCTGCAGACAGAATTGGAAGCATTAGTTTGGGCTATTCAAAGTATGCTAGCCCACAACAAAAGGCAAATGAATTTTCAAACAGATTGTTCAGAGTTGGTAACCATGGTGTCAAAACCTCCGGACTGGCCGGCTTTTGCGATTTTGCTTGAAGAGGTGGAGAAGTGCAAAAGGAGCTTCCAGATGTTTTCTCTAACTCATATACCAAGGACGAAGAACACGAAGGCGGACAAGCTAGCACGGAGTGCTCGAGATCAGCCTTATCACGTGTATTATGTAAACACAGTTCCACCGGTCACGCTTCCCGTGTCGAATTAGGAACTTATGCTGTCGACAAAAAAAAAAGAATAAAAAGGAAATTAAGAAATTAATTATCCAATGAAATAAAAAATAATAATGACATGGACCAATCATATACAGTTTTAGAATCCTATATGGACACAGAGGAATATTTTTTTTTTTTTTTGATAAAGAAACAGAGGAATATAAGGTCAACTTTTATTAGTAACAGATAGATAGATATTCTCTCAAGTCAATATTTAGCTTTCTTTGCTTATCTAAATTCTGGAGATCCCACACTTGGCCTTCCTTATTTCACAGAGCTTTTCCTCACCAAGACCTTAGCTCGTTCACGGCTCTTGTTCGCCATCCAAGTGGATAAAGAGTTATTATTATTCTCTTCACCTCAACCTCAAAATCCAGCTGACAACTCCACTCTTGTAGCCACTCCTTATAATAAGTGTTTTCCCAAAAAGATTCAAGTTCACATCAGAACAACTTGTTAGGAGATCTCGGAGATAGCGAGATCGACGGAGATCGACTTGGAAGGAAAGCCAAGATTTATGTATATTTCCTTGATTGTCAAATAAGTAGATTTCTTATTATTATATATGTAAAGAACTTGTTAGACAAGTTATTATGATCTTGTATAAATAAGCCTATTGGCTAATGAATAAAGATGAGAGAAACTATTATACTACAAAAGTTTCCTCCAAATTTATCATGGTATCAGAGCTATGATCCAATACCTATGGATTATAGTTTTGTTATTTTCCGCATTAAAGTGAGAGAGAGATTGACTTTCGGGAATTCGAGAGTTTCTCTAACTACTTTCTGAACATATAAGAGCTTGTCTTCATGTGACTATTTATCTACTACAAATTAACTTGGGTTACTGGCGTGGTTCTGGGTGTATTGACCGCATCTTTTGGTGTAACAGGTTATTCTTTGATGGTGGTCACGAAGATGTTCGAAGATGATGATTCCAACGGGTATATACGGATCCGATGGAGTGATGACATGATGATGTTGCTGTGAATTATGAGCATGAATCTATTGCTGGGTTCGTTCAGTTCACATGGTGACGTAATGGCGAAACGATGGAGATATACAACTACTACGATCCTGATGTATTCTCCACTGAATCGATGACCTTATAGCGAGGTATAAACGCTATTTATTTAACTTCAGACACAAGTTTCTTCATGGACACGAAGTTCGAAGAACGACCTAAACTTGTGACTTTGGTTCGACTTAACAACGGAGGAGGTTCCGATGAAGACCTAACAATTTCGGCTATGGCGTTATAGATTTAATGATTGTCCAATCTCACACGTGTTACCACGTATGAGCTTGCGGGAGGGTGTTAGGAGATCTCGGAGATAACGAGATCGACGGAGATCGACTTGGAAGGAAAGCCAAGATTTATGTATATTTCCTTGATTGTCAAATAAGTAGATTTCCTATTATTATATATGTGATTAAGACCCGCGTATACGCGGGTTTATTTTAAGATTTTGTAATAAAATCATGGAAAAGTATTAAACCAAATTTGATCATTTTAAAGTAAACAGAATAATATTAAAAACCCGATAAAAATATTTAAATAAAATAAGATCGGTAACCTTTTTACGTTTTTATTGTAATTGATATTTTTTTGAATTCATGATATGAAAAATGAATTAATTTGTTTTATTTTTATTTTTATCCAATATAGAAAGACTTATATATGTCTAAATATGATCAACTGATTAATTAATTCAACAAAACTTTATTATTCCATTCAAGAGATTTCAATTGATGAAATCTTTATTTAATAATTTTTTACCTAACAATATTGAAAATTAAACTATTTAAAATTAGAATATCGGTTCATTATATTTTCTTAATATTAGTTAGTTGCTTGATAATTAATTTGTTAGTTTTCTATTTATATTGTTTCTTTCTCAATTTTGTTTTTGACTCAGACCATTATAAATTTTCATTTTCATTATTAGTTAGTTTTTTTTCTAGTTTTTATATCTGTTTAACATTTTTCCAATTAACATGTCTTCACCGGATCAAATACATGTAACGACAATAATTTTGATTTCTATCCAACCGATATAGAGTTAGATACATGTATCGACAATAATTTTGATTTCTATCCAACTAATATAGAGTTAAATATTATTCATTGATACCATGAATTTTAAATACATGATTTTTTATGAGAGAAAAGATTATACAAAAGATAGAAGCACATAATTGAATCGCAATAGCTTATTATATATTGTTTTTTTTCCTGTTCATAATGGGAATATAAACACATATCGCAATTTTGTGAGTTATAAAAATCATACGTATTGCTATCATGTTGTTTGCTTTGATGAGTTTGTGAATGAGAAAAAAAAGACTACTTTAACTCTCTTTTTATAGGGGTTCATGTAACTTATTCCATGCAGTTATAGGAAATTTAGTTTACATAACCTATTTCATGTACTAATAGGATTTTATTTATTTCATTAATTTGAATCTTATATGTGATGGGATAATTTATTTCATTAATTTGAATCTTATATGTGTTTGGATAATATAAATTTGATGAATGAAATTTTTCTATTAGGATATGACAAATATATATTTTTTTTTCTTTTAACTATAAAAGATTAAAATTTCGTTTTTTTTCCTTTATCTATTTTTTTTAATTATTATTTTTTTCCTTTTTTTCTAAGACACATGTCACGATCTTAACGGACATAACATTAAAAGTGACACATGTCGCAATCCTAAATTTTATAAAAATCCTACGTGTCGCAACCACGTCGCGCGCATCCAGCTTTATATAATAAGATAAGACATTAAAATCAAGATAACAAAGATCTTATTATATAAAACTGGATGCGCACGATGTGGTTGCGACACATAGGATTTTTATAAAATTCAGGATCGCGACATGTGTCACTTTTAGGTTTATGTCTGTTAAGATTGTGACACGTGTCTTAAGAAAAAAGGAGAACTTAAAAAGAAAAAAAATTCCAGAAAAATGTTAATTAAAAAAAATGAAATTTAATTTAATCTATTATATCAAAAAAGAAAAAAATAATATTTACCATATCCAAACAGAAAAAGGTTTCTCATTCATCAAATTTTTTTATTATATAAAGTTGGATGCGCATGACGTGGTTGCGACTTGCGACACATATGATTTTTATAATTTATAAGATCGCGACATGTGTCATTTTTAATGTTACGTCCGTTAAGATCGTGACACATGTCTTAGAGAAAAAAAAAAAAGAAAAAATAATAATAATAAAAAAATTAGATAAAGGATTTTTTTAAAAAAAATTAATCAATTACAGTTAAATGAAATAAAAATATATTTGTCATATTCTAATAGAGAAAGGTTTCCCATTCATCAAATTAATATTATCCAAACAAATAATAAAATCAAAAGAATGTAATAAATAAAATCCTATTTATACATGGAATATGTTAAACTAAATTTCCTATAACTGCATGTAATGGGTTACTTGAACCCTATAAAAGAGAGTCAAGGTTTCGCAATCCTATATTTTATAAAAATCCTACGTGTCGCAACCACGTTGTGCACATCCAACTTTATATAATAAGATGTAAAGAACTTGTTAGACAAGTTATTATGATCTTGTATAAATAAGCCTATTGGCTAATGTATTGGCTAATGAATAAAGATGAGAGAAACTATTACACTACAAAAGTTTCCTCCAAATTTATCACAACTCTCGGTGGACAGGTCTTTCTTTATGAATGGAGAAGAAAGGAGTGGCTGATTTGTAACCCTGTCACTGGGGAGTCCACTACCATAACCTTACCAGAAGTGGAAGCTAAGGATACTAGAAGAAGTTGCTATGTTGGCTATGATCCAATCAACAAACAATTCAAAGTCTTGTGTACGACTTGGTCATATAATGGAGAACCTACTACTACTCATCGGGTTTTGACATTGGGAAGTACTGGAAAACCTTTGTGGAGATCGATTGAATGCAATATCAATATTTCTATGCATAAGGGAGCCCATTACGTAGCTGGTGACATATGCATAAATGGTGTTGTGTATTGCGGAGACCATTACGTTGAAGGATCTTGTATGATGGTTTGCTTTGACTTTTGCTCTGAGAAATTCAGCTTTATTGAGATAGATGAAGGAGTGCTACATGGGACTCTGGTCAACTACAAAGGTAGCTTAGGGGTATTAGGAAAAGATGAGTATCAACTTGAGTTGTGGGTTCTTGAAGAAGATGCTGGAAACCATAAATGGTCCAAGAGTCTATGCGTACGGTCTCGCATAAGCTTATTCCAGAGGATCGGGAACTATTTTCACATTCTTGGAATGACTGGTGCTGGTGAAATTGTGTTTACAACGTACCGTCAATCAAACCGTTTCTACATTGTCTACTACAATATCGAGAGAAACACTTCTACAAGAGTCAATATTCAGGGATTCCAACAGTTTAAGGATCATCCATATATCACTAGTCCTCACACCTTTCTAGACTATGTAGAGAATATCAAGCTTTTGTAACTGTGTATTCAACCGCTTCACTACTTGAGACCTCTTTATGAAATTGTTCCTCTTAAGAGCTTGATATTGTTTTCAACGTAATAACCAATACAGCTAGTTTCTTGCTCTAATTTCTCAACGCAATTGCTATTTTTATAGGCTTTTAGAATTGCTTTGTCTTTTGAGTGTTTATAATCATCGATTAATATTTTAAGGTCGATCGTATATCAGGTTATAAAACTACAACATTCCCAACCATCCGTCATCGTCATCATCATCAACTACGTATTCTAGGTCACGTTGAAATCTTTCTAACCAAATCTCTATCTCTCTACGAACACCTTTGCATTCCAAAAATCTCCATATCGCAACAGTAAATCGTTCAAAGTGTTCAAATCCCAATTATTTTGTGAATTAGCACTCAAATCGTTTTGAATTAAATATAACAAACTAAAATATTTCGTAAGAGGTTTTAGTTAATTTACTTGTTTGGTGAGAAGATGGGAAAGATGACGTTGCTCATATTATTACTATTGGGCCTAGTAGGGGTCCATCTTGGGATCGTTGCCTATAAAGAAATAACTTGATGATAAAGCAAAAGACACATATTAGGATCTAGGGTTTAGCGTCTGTTGTAGTCGGCCATGGAAAAGCTGAAGCAGAAGATGGAGGTCTCGGACTCGGACCCGGACCCGATCCCATCTGATATCCTTACAGATATATTCTCTCGACTCCCTGCAAAGTCAATATTTAGGTTTCGTTGCGTATCTAAGTTATGGAGATCCATACTGGGCCTTCCTTATTTCCCTGAGCTGTTCCTCACCAAGTCTTTAGCTCGTCCAAGGCTCTTGTTTGCCATCGAAGTTGGTAAAGATTTATTATTCTACTCTGCATCTCAACCTCAAAATCCACTTGACAACTCCACTCTTGTAGCCACCCGTTATAATAACCCTCCATCTAAAATGAGAACAGCGCTTAGTGAATTGGTATTTCTTTATGAATGGCAAAGAGAGGAGTGGCTGATTTGTAACCCGTCACTGGGGAGTCCATAACCTTACCCAAAGTGGAAGCCTCTGGAAGAAGATTTATTGGGTTTGATCCGATTAACAAGCAGTTGAAAGCCTTGTGTACGAGTTGGTCATATCATGGACGCCCCAATACTAATTGGGTTTTGACATTGGCGAGTAGTGGAGAACCTTTGTGGAGATCGATTCCAGGCAATCCCAATTTTTCTATACCTAATAGAGCATTCATAGCTGGTGAAATATGCATAAGTGGTGTTTTGTATTACATAGACCATTACATTGAAGGATCATGTATGTTAGCTTGCTTTGACTTTAGCTTTGAGAAGTTCAGCTTTGTTAAGATAGACAAAGCCATGAAAGATGGGACTCTGATCAACTACAAAGGTAAATTAGGGGTATTAGTAAAACATGAGTGTGAACTCGTGTTGTGGGTCCTAGAAGAAGATGCTGTAAACCATAAATGGTGCGAGAGTCTCTGCCTACGGTCTCGCATAAGCTTATCCGAGAGGATCGGGAACCAATTTAGCATTGTAGGAATGACCGACCGGTGCATGTGAAATTGTGTTTGCCAGGTGTGCTCTGTTGGCAAAGGAGCCTTTCTACATTGTCTACTACAATATCGAGAGGAACACTTTTGCGAGAGTCAATATTCATATTCCCGGATTTGAAGAGCTTCACCATCGTACAGTTTTTATTACCACCTCTCTAGACTATGTCGAGAATCTCAAGCCGTTGCAAAGTGTCTTCGACCGCTTCATAACTTGAGACCTCTCTGCATGTTATATATATAGTATTTCTCTTAAGGTTTTGATATTGTTTTTAACGTAATAATTAATACAGCTAGTTTTTGCTATAATTTCTCAACGCATTGATTAGTTTAGCAATTGCTATTTTTTTTTTTGCTTTTAGATTTGCTTTGTCTTGTGAGATTTTATACCAGGTTAATGATCATCGATTAATATCAGGTTATAAACTACAACATTTAAATCATTATTTCAAAGCTTAGTTCGATTAAGCTTTCAATTCAGTAATTAACAATCAAGTATTTTTATTTATTTCTTTAGTGTTATTAAGGAAAAGCGTACGTAAGCCAAACACAACATGTAACCGGTACGTAAATCCCAGAGAAGAGAATTAACCGAAGTTGATTCCTTGCGCTAGAGGTAACTCGTTCCCATAGTTGATGGTACTGTCCAAAGATAAAACACGAATCAGAGAATCAAAATTTGATAACCGAATGTAAAAAATTTAGTTAAATAGATATGATTAATTTACCAAGTGGAACGACGCATGTACTGTTTCCATGAATCGCTTCCACCAGTCGCCTTTTCGCCTCCAAAAGCTCCTCCGATCTCAGCTGTCAGCTCCATTCACAATCCCACAGTCACTTCCCATTGGTCTATCAGTAAAAAGAGTTACCATCAAAACGAAGTTAACGCCAGAGTGAGTTAACCGGAAAAGATTCGAGGCAAGTCGTTAGTACGGACCCGATCCACTTGAAGATGTTTTCAGGTTTGCGAGTGAATATGGAACTGCTTAGACCTTGTGGAACCGAGTTGTTTATCCCAACAGCTTCTTCAAATGACTGTCCATAAGCAAATGACTCGTATTTTAATTGTTACCTCAAACTTTACAACATAGAGAACAGGTGCAAATAGCTCTTCTTTAACAACAGCAGCATCTGATGATATCTCAATTATCGTTGGCTCCACAAAGTTTCCTTCACCTTCCACTGCAAATAAGTTGATAAAAACTCTCTTTTTCAACGATTCTTGATTACGCAGAGCAAAGGATAAGAGATTCTTGAGGTAACCAAACTTGCCTGTGATTTGATAACTTGGATTCCTTTCTCAAAGTTCTTCTTTGATTCAGGAGTATGTAGTGGTCCTAACAATGTCCCTTTTTCAAGAGGATCGCCGATTTTGAATTGTTTGTATGAAGTAAGGAGTTAAAGTAAAATCCATATCAGAAAATTGGAAAGGAATAAATTGGCTATTGTTCGAAATCGACAGACTATAGTCTACGCGTAATTTGCCCATCCAAATTTAATTTTCGAAACATTTGATAGTTTTTAAATGAGTCAATATCCCACCACACTCGCATCTAAACCACGTCGTTTTCTAAAAACCAAAACGGTGAGTTTTGTCCGCCGTGAGTGTGATATTTTAATTGCGTTAGCTTCTGGGTCCAATCTCACTAAAATTGATTGATAGTCTGGGTTTTAATTTGCATCGCCTTTTTTGTTGGGGTGTTTATGTGACAAAAAGATTACCTGGGGTTTGTTTTGCAGTTTTCCCATAGTTCGCCCTCTGTTTTAACACTTCCCGCAGAGAGAGACTCAAACAAACACAACAATTTCCATTTTCAGTTTTTTTTGGCTTTTTCAAAATTTCTCCTCTCTCTCTTCTCTCTTACTCTCTGAGACTGCTGCAACCAACTGAATCACGTTCTTCTCTTCCGCCTCCGCGAAAATGGTGAGAAGAGGAAGCCGATCATCGATTTTGCTTCTCCGCTTTCTTCTCTTAGTCTGGGCATTTTCGCTCTGTTCAAATTCTCTCAGACTGACTTTAGTGTTGGTATTTATTTTTCCTCCCTCAGGTAGTCGCTCAGAAGCTCAAGGAAGCTGAGATCACCGAGCAGGATTCGCTCCTTCTGGTAAGCGACGCCTTCATCGAGCTTCAATTTTTGTTTCCTTAAGGATTCGTGAAATTTCTCCGTTCCTTCATGTTGATTTTCGCCGATATTAATCTGGGTTTAGTTTACGTATCTCATCTGGAGATGGATTTCGTCACTTTATTTTGCTTTCCGTCACTGCGATAATTTATCACTGTTGCTTAATTTCAAAATTCGTCAACTATTTCTTCGTTAACCAGCTGAGTAACACCTCTATGACACTGACGTTTGTGTTTTCGTCTTCGTTTTGCTGAAATAGACTCGGAATTTGCTCCGAATTGCGATCTTCAACATCAGTTACATCAGAGGCCTCTTTCCTGAGAAGTATTTCAACGACAAATCCGTTCCTGCTTTGGGTAAGACGCCTAATCTGGAAGTTTCTAGAGCTCTGGCTCAATTTCTCTAGCTGTAGAAGATAATAATTGGTGGGTGATTTTGAAACAGATATGAAGATCAAGAAGCTTATGCCTCTGGATGCTGAATCTCGCCGAATGATTGACTGGATGGAGAAAGGTTTTCCATACATAATGATTGTTTTGAGCGCATTTCAACGCTTACATTCCACTGTATCCTCGTTTATATTTGATGATTTTGGTTCCGCATCATGGAATGAATATAGGTGTCTATGATGCGCTGCAGAGGAAGTATTTGAAGACGCTCATGTTCTGCATCTGTGAAACAGTAGATGGTCCCATGATTGAGGAATACGCATGTAAGTCCTTAAGAGAGTGATAATAATGTGGTTTTTCTGGTGATTGCAGCTTATTGATTTTGATGAAGAGATTGTGTGATTGCAGTTTCTTTCAGCTATTCAGACTCTGACAGTCAGGATGTCATGATGAACATCAATCGGACTGGAAACAAGAAACAAGGAGGAACTTTTAACGCAACTGCTGACATTACGCCAAACCAAATGAGGTGCATTGTTCTGAGGGCATATATTTCTTCCCTTACTTTGAGGTGTCTATGGTTTTATCTTCTGTAACATGCTTTATAATTCTTCATGAAATCAGGAGTTCAGCTTGCAAAATGGTTCGCACACTAGTTCAGTTGATGAGGACTCTTGACAAAATGCCAGATGAGGTAATGAATATTGTATCTACACTTCAGTGGTATTTCCATTTTTATCAGTTTCCAGATCGCTGATCACAGATATTACTACTTTTTGCTTTTGCACCAGCGTACCATAGTGATGAAGCTTATGTACTATGATGATGTGACGGTATGGTTCTAGCCTTCTACATTCTCTGTACCTTGGTGACATTATTATGTAGTAAACTCTGACTTCTAGATTATCATATTTGTGATAAGAAGCATTCGAGTATTGGTCTTGTGAATTACATAGTTTAGTGACTGGTTCTACACACTTATTAACACATATAAGCAGCTTGAATTTGTTGCCTCCGCATAAAACTCTGTTTTCTTTTGGAATAATGTAAATGTTGTTCATCTTATATATCACATTGAAATGTTCAGAAGAAACACTGACAGCTTTTAGTTGAACCTTTTTGCAGCCACCAGATTACGAGCCACCGTTCTTCAGAGGCTGTACAGAAGAAGAAGCTCAGTATGTATGGACAAAGAACCCTCTGAGAATGGAAGTTGGGAATGTTAACAGCAAGCATCTCGTGTTAACGTTAAAGGTAATATGATTGAAAAAAATATGCATCTCGCTAGACATATTTCTCGTCTTACAATGTCAATCCATTGTGGATGACTTTTGCAGGTCAAGAGTGTGCTTGATCCTTGTGAGGATGAAAATGATGACATGCAAGATGATGGGAAGAGCATAGGACCTGATTCTGTACATGATGACCAGCCTTCTGATTCAGAGAGCGAGGTTAACAAAGTCTTTTATATGGTCTTTACATCCTACTTGCATTCCACTCTTTTGTGCCTAAAACGTGTAATGTTCATTGTTGTTCCAGATCAGTCAAACACAAGAAAACCAATTCATTGTGGCTGCCGTAGGTAATGATAACTAACAAATCCTAATTATGCTATGCGAGTGTAGTGAAGTATTTGCTAAATTGAAGTAAACTTGATAATCTAACAGAGAAACAAGATGATGATGATGATGGAGAGCTGGATGAAGGTGAATTACTATTCAATCATTATCGCTAATTTGATTTCACTAAAGAAGAAAAGCTTCTTCTAATCTCACCTGTCTGTGGAATGCTTAAAGATAACACACAGGATCCGGATGAAAATGAACATCAGTTAGCAAGGGTGAAGGAATGGATCAACTCCCGTCACCTCGATACTGTGGAGCTCACAGATGTTCTTTCAAACTTCCCAGATATCTCAATAGTAAGGAGTTGTTCCTCTTTATTTCCACCTTCAAAAGTGTACCTGAGCTCTTGCATATTTTAGTTTCTGAAATCTAAGTCACTTTTTCTTTATCATTTCAGGTTCTATCTGAAGGTAATCAAATGCTTGAGTTTCTGTAATTACTATAATTGCTGGAATTACTGTTATAACTTCATAGTCTATCGACTACTTCCACTAACTGGTCACATCCTGACTTTTCAGAAATCATGGATCAGCTCGAGAAAGAAGGTGTTCTTTCGAAAAGGGGAAAGGACACGTACACTATAAACAGAGATAAGGTATATAACTCATCCTAGGAAACTGATTTGATTTCACTCTCTTTGATATTTATATGTTTTGACCATTAATTAAACCCATTAACCCAACATATCACCAGTCTCCAGGAAGCGAATTCACCTTTTTGTGAAAGATGAAGCTGATGGCCAGACTCTCCAAGGATGGGAAAACTATACCTCCTGAAGACTACATGTACATGAAAGTAAGATACTCTGATTGTTTAATATTACAGATGCAAAAAAGGATATAGATAAATAAAGATCCATCACTGACACATGGGTTTGTGTTAGGCTCTGTACCATTCTCTTCCGATGCAATATGTGACCATTACAAAGCTTCACAACATGCTGGATGGTGAAGCCAACCAGACAGCAGTTCGTAAGTTAATGGACAGGATGGCGCAAGAGGGCTACGTGGAAGCTTCTAGCAACCGCAGGCTAGGTTTGCTGTCTCAATTCTCAGACCCTTCTCTTTTAAGTTTCGAGTTTTCATAAGGTTTCCTCATTGATGCTAATGTGTATACAGGGAAGCGTGTGGTTCACTCTAGTGTAACCGAGAGAAAGCTAAATGAAGTCAGAAAAGCTCTTGCCACAGACGATATGGTAATTCACTCACACTTAGAAAGTTGAATAAATCCTTGAAAAGAAGTTTCTAATGTGAAGGCTTTCACAGGATGTGGATGTTAACGAACCTATAAACAAGACCAACGGCTTAGAGGCCAAAGTAACCGCAGGTATCAATCTTGTTCGCACCCAACTTGATTTTTAGCTGTGTTAATCGATCTGATGTAACACCAGAACATTTTTTTCTGAAAACATACAGATGTATCTACATGTGGAGGCATCCATTCCATAGGATCAGACTTCACACGTACGAAAGGAAGATCTGGGATGCAGCAGAACAGCTCTGTTCTGAGTGAACAGACCATCTCCAAAGCTAATAATAACACTCCAACTAGCACTAAAGCACAGGTTGAAAATCGAAATCACCACTGAATTGACATATCCTATGTGTTTTAATGTGTACCTAATTTTGGTTAGTTTTGTGGCTCAGCCTGTGGCTTCGAGGGAGAGCTTTGCGGTAAATGGAGAGGCTGGTAAAAATTGCAAGGACGTCGAAACAAACTGTAGCCAAGCCTCGCAGGACAAGCGTTGCAGGAAAACCAGCATGGTCTCTTAACACTAAACCACATACTCTTTAGTTTTTTTCCAACTTTAAGTTATATGCCAACACTAAATGCTCTTCTTGTGATTGGTTTATCAGGTGAGAGAGCCTATTCTTCAGTACTCGAAGCGCCAGAAATCTCAGGCTAATTGAGAGTTCACCTCTATCAGACACCACAAGTCCTAACCACCTTCCTCAGTGGTTATCAGAACTTAGATATAACAACCATTATGATATTATGAACTTATAATATTATCTAGCAAACTCCATAATCCATTATCAGTCACTTTCTTTATTTACCCTTTTGCATTCAATTGATCTTCCATAAGACTATTTTCATGCTTGTTTGTTTTTCCTAAAAATATTTCTACCTCATACCTTATGAGAAAAGAATATATATATATATACTGCATTAGTTAATACTTCAAGGATTACTCATAGTGCATTCGGATTACTTACACAGTTAATCCGTTTTGTCAGTTTCTCGTCATTGTTTCCGTAATGCTCGAACCTTCAAATACAGTTATGTGCCTAAGAACTTTTATTTACTTTTCAAAATCTCCTTTCGATAACCACTAATCCAAAACCTAAAACTGTATGAAACAGAACACCAGTCACGTACTCACGTATACATCCGAAGAGAAGCATATTTGATGATGAAAACATGAATGGCTGCCACCAAATATTCCGTAAAAGTGGTGTTAGAGAAGCATTGATAATAAAGTAAACTGATTTCCGAAGACAAAGCTAATTTATAAGAAAACCATAAAGCACCCAAGCATAGCTCAGTTATGGAAACATGATCAAGATGTCAAACATTGGAACAACTACACAAGAAATATAGAGACCAAATCCAGCATATTGAAGGTAAGAGTAAACAGAAAGACCTGAGCTATCTTCTACATATGTACTACAATCAGGGGACTGAAAGTAATTAGCCCTTAAAAAAATCTTTTAAACGCTCCTCTTCCAGTGAAAGAGTATGGTTAGTTGAAGTTAAAGAGTAGGTGAGACCGTGAGAGAGCTATGGCAGATTGAACATTTTGTTCAAGCTTGGCATGGAAGATGTTATGAATCCAAGAGTTCTCGTGGTCTATCGTTACTTCTTCGCTACACTTTTCATGCTTCCCTTGACCTTCATCTTTCAGAGGTTTCTTTTTTTTTTATGTATCGTATGTTTTGACAATTAAATTACTTTATTCAATCTTCTCGTTTTTTTAACTTCATGTGATTGATTAGGATAAAGGGGCCAGAGCTCACTTGGAGTCTACTCTTACTAGCACTTCTCTCGGATTACTCGGGTACGTAATCTGTCACACACACACACACAAAAGTTGTTTCTCAAATTCTTTAAATTGAAACTCTTTTCTTTTCCTTTTTTTGTTCTTTTGTGTCCCAAAGTTATATATATTCAGGTCTTGTCAAACTAAACACCATTTTTTCAATTAAAATTGAACAAACCTGTGAACTAGAAAGATTTTTTAACAAGTTGAACAGGCCTATATGCATGGTTTGAGTGTTACACAAGTTTGATCAAGACTAAAATTATCTCAGCAAATTCTCAATTCTTGCATACGAATTGTAAATCTTACTCCCACATTCATCTACGTTCATGTGAGGTAGCACAATTTTTTAAAAAGTTTCTACATAGAACCATGTGGAATTCAATTTGGTATAACCAGGGTCTAGCTGATGGGGATCGGTCTCTAGATGGATGGTGATATTTTTGTGTTTGAGTAAATAAAAATAAAGGAAAAAAGAGTTGTTAGTATTTTTTGGTCATATTCAAACAGAAAAAGGCTACATATGATTAAAAAGATTATATCTAATTTGGATAAAAGTTTAAAAATGAATTCGTAAAGGTTTATGTGCAGTGTCATACCATATTTACGTGTCCTACTTGTGTTGTGCACATTTAGTTTTATATAATATCAAATTAAAATTAATAAAAAAAATTCATCAATATATAAAAAGAAATTTGTCAAAATAAATTGTAAAAACATTTGTGATCTCGAGATGAATATGTTTCAGAGCTAGATGATGATGATCAACCAAGAGGTGTGGTTCAGTATCAAGCAGTCGGGATCCCAAATGCTTTTACAATCCCAAATGGTTTTTACAAATAGAGCTTATGATAAACTTAATCGAGTCTGATCAGCATATGTGTTGTGATCCATTCTTCATTTTGAATCTTGTATTCTCCACAATTTGCTTTTTGAAAATCTTGCTGAATTGCTGAATGGAAGCTGTTTTTTGGTATGGTGGAGGCACAAATTAGTTTTCTCCTCCTGCCATATTACTCTCTGAACAAAAAATTAGCATTTTTAATTGTTTTTAAAGATAATTTTTTGTAGATTTTTGATCCATTTTCTATTGATTAATAACAAAACAGAAATCAGATTTGAAAACAATTATTGATAATAATAATTATGTTCAAGGGATTACTTGATTTAAATCTTTAAAATTTGTTTAATTTAAAAAATTTTATACATTTATAGGTAAACATTAATTTTTTTCTTTAACATGTGAAAATTCTAAAATTTTATCGTTCTTTGTAGCTCGGGATGATGACTGTCACTTCTTTATTGCTTATCTCCCCTTGTGCATTCAGTTTATGTATCGTATGAGGAAGATAATGTATTAATGATAAGTTTTTTGTGGATTAGTTAACAACAGTATTAGATATTATGGTCTAGTTTAGATACAAGATTTAGATTATGGTTTAGTGAACCGGTTTGTACCGGATAGTTTATTATTGCATATAAACAATTGTACAGCAACATTTATCATTAACAGAAATATGTAATTCTTTATTTCCAAATCCTCTCAGAGCTTAATCTTCTTCTTCTTCACGAGAGTCTCGTTTCTGTTCAATCCCAAATCTTATTTGGTAAAAAACAGTAATCGTCTCGTCAATTTCCCATCGTCACTGTATCAGTTTCAAATTTCATTCGATATCCAAAAACCTTAAAAAAGATTATACGATCACCACGAAATTAGAAACATACACGTGTCGCTACTGGAATCAGCTAGAACTTATTTACGTCACTCGGAGGCCCACAAGCTCAAAGATCCAAGAAACATCCACACACGACACGAATTTCAAGAAAACGATTCTTTTTCCACAGATCTATTCTCAGCCGTTAGATCACGTCGACGAGCCCAATTCCCTTACTTTTTCTCTTTTAACCAGTCCTCCTCTCACTCCTCAACGTGATGTGAAGATACTTTGCTTGCAATACAGAGAGAGAACAGTGACATACAGGGCGATATTTCTCAAGCAAAAAAATTAGGTAAAAAATTCTCATCACTTTCTTCTTCCTTTTCTTTCGCCGGAATTAGTCAGAGTTTGTGATCATCATCTCATCTGTGTTGATATAGATGGAGACCGAGAAGAATAACAAAGAGGTAGGTCTGAAACACCTAGGGTTCGTTAGAATCGCGGCGATCCACGCTCTCGTTTGCGTCTCGAGTCTCTACGAATACGCGAAACAAAACTCCGGCCCTCTCAAACCCGCCGTCGGTAAAGTCGAAGGAGCCGTCACCGCCGTCGTCACCCCCGTCTTCAACAAACTCAAAGACGTTCCCGATACTCTCCTCGTCTTCCTAGATCACAAGGTTTAGATCTCTAGATCTGATGACCTAATTTCTAATTTTGTGTACTAAGTCACTTTTACTTTTCCTAGGTCGGTGAAGTTTCGTACAAGTTTGATAAGGATGCTCCTCCAATGGCTAAGAAAGTGGCGAGTACAGCGAGTGTTTTGATCCACAAGGCAACGGAGAAGACTCAAGGGTTTGTGAAAGAGGCACGTACCGGTGGACCAAAAGCTGCCTTTGTCTACGCTGCGAATGAGTACAAGTGCTTGGTTGTGACTTGCTCTGTGAAAGTCTGGGCTAAACTCAACCAGTACAAGCCAATCCATGCGGTTGGGGACAAGGCTTTGCCTGTTGTTGCACATTATTCCACTGTGTATAATGATTTGGTGACGGATATGTCGCAGATGGGTTATCCTGTGGTTGGTTATCTTCCTTTGGTCCCTGTTGATGATATTGTCAAGGCTTATGCAAAGGAAGATGCAGCTGCAAGTAAGAAAGGAGATGCTGCTACTGCTGATGGGAATAAATCTTCGTCTGATTCTGATTCGGATTGATATGATTCGTGTGATTCTGTTGTCTTTGGAGGGTTTGGTTTGTTGGGTTTGGTTACTTTGTGTAAATGATCTTTAGGAGCTCTCTTTCATGTGGTTTATCTATCAGTCTAGCAAGTGTTTCTTTTTCTTTTTCTCTTTTGAACATTTTCTTGGTGGTGTGGAAATGTGATTTGTGTGTTTCTATCTTTATAAAACCACTGAGATAAATCTAGCAGCAAAGCTTTAAAGAAACATTAAGAATTTGATCACATTTTAAAAAGAATCCATATCAATGATGGACATGGAGAAGAATGTGTGTTTATTTGGCCTCTCTCGTTCGTAAACAAGTCTTGAGTTGAGATATTATTTGAGTTTTGTACCAAGCTTCCAAAAATATAGAAAACAGAGGAAGATCAATTCCGCTTCAAAACAAGCTTATGCATCCATCCAAACAGCATAAACACATGTTATGTGTTTCTTAATGTTCTTTTTTTTCTACGATTACTGAACTTGGAGTTGGACCATGTTGTTTATCAATTTAGCAAGTGTTTCATTTCTTGGTGGTGTGAAAATGTGATTTGTGTGTTTCTATCTATCTAAACCAGCAAAGCTTTAAAGAACCATTAAGAACTGAGCACATTTGACAAAAGAATCCATATCAAAGATGGAAATGGAGTATCAAAACGAGTTTGCTTAAAACGAATGTGTATTTATTTAGTCTCTCTCGTTCGTACACAAATCTTGAGTTGAGAAATTATTTAAGCTTCAAATAGAAAACAAAGGAAGTACAATTCCGCTTCAAAACAAGCTTATGCATCCATCCAAACAGCATAAACACATCTTCGTTCTGTGCAACATACAAAACAATACAAACACATCAATGATCGAGTTTCATTTGGTAACAGCAGCTATGCTTAAAGAAGTATACAAACGAAGCTGAAACTGTAACCAAGAAGGAAGAAAGACTGCAAATTCCAAAGCAGAGGACTGAACAAACTCCTTCAAATGAACAATAAACTTTACTCCACAACATTATATGTGAGTGAATAAATAATATCTACCACCTTATATCAATATAGCTTAGTTCCTCAATTTGATCGCAAGTGCAAACACTGTCATCGACCAACACAAATTCATCTACTGATAAAGACAAACGCATATTCAAATGATTACTCTAAAAGCCATACTCAAATGCATATTGAAACGCTTGATCTAATTAGAGAGAACAGAGAAATCGGAAACTGACCATTTGTTTTTGATTAGTTTGAAGATTCAGAAGAAGAGGAGGAAGGACGAGAAGTGAAGTCGTCCTGAAGGAGATCATCATAAGGATCTCTACGACCAGCGACCTGACTGATCTGAGGATCCCAACGAAGCTGAGCGTTGTGACGCTCAAATGTCCAGAATCCGTAAGGACGAATAGGCAACGCCCACATCTCCTTAATCTTCTTGCACCTCTCGTGCATCTCGTATATGTGCTCTCTCGCTTTCCTGTCTCTAACTTCCGGATCCTCCATTATCCTCAGCACCAGATTCTCCGCGAATTCCATTATGAAACCCATCGAGATTTCCCTCCTAAATTCACTGCAATTGGAAGATACACACTTCTCAGAATCGATTCAACACCAATTCTAATGGTATTGGCAAGAAATTAAGGATTTTTATCAAATTCGAAGCATGGATTACATAATTTCGGTTCCCAGTTCTAGATCTAGGTTACATCGCAACAACAATTAGGGGGAATCTCAATCTCTTAACTTGATTACTCCTAAGAATACGTATTGAAGATCGACACAAACCCTTGAAAGGAAACTTACGTTGAGATACAGATGAGGAAGATCGCTGAAGCTTTGGCTTTGCGATGGTCAGAGAGTTTTTCGATAGAACGCGAGGCCCAGAGCGAGTGAGGAAGAAGAAGAAAAAACAAAAATCTGATAGATACAGAAACTGCGTGCTGTTTTGTACTTAGAAAGAGGAAACAAGTCGTTTTTAATTTCTCAGAAACGACACACGGTTTGTGTGCCAACCCGATTCAGCTGCTCAGTAAAAGTCCAAAAGCGGGACAACTCAAACAACTGGCAATAAATGGGCTGGGCCTAATGGACCACACCACACCTTAACTTTTTCTCTATTTTTAATCATTCGATTTTCAATTAACTAATACATTTATTATCTGCCCCCCACAAAAAAAGATGGTAAATGAACAGAAAAAGGACGACCAAATTAAATTGAACAGAAAGGTTTCACGAGAATTTTTAAATTAATTGCAATAGAAGCTACTACTTATTAAATGTGGCAACTTTGGCAGGTCACTGCAGTAACTTTTTTACCACGTAAAATACCCATATTCATGTCACAGTAAATGAAACCAATGCAAGTCTTCAAGAACAAAGATTTTTAGAAAAAGAATTTTCTGTGGACAGCTAGTAAAATCGTCTATGTAATTATTTTTATAAGTTGTAAATTTGTAAGATATATACTCCTTTCATTTCATATTAGTTGTTTAAAAATTATATAAAATGAATTTAGATGTGTTTTGAGTTAAATACATTTATATATTTTTTTTAAAACGACAATTAATATGAAATGGAGATAGTAAGTATTAAAGAGGATTCTTTCCATTACCAACATTGCTTCAATACTCACTTTTATATTGTACACTTTATTTTATTTGGCAAAGAATTTTAGACTAAAATGCTTTGTGGGTGGGGTATAAAGTTTTTCTTATAAGCCCACCACTCCCCTCAAAATTCCTCTTCTTTCCCACTAATACACTCCTCTATGTTCCTCTCTAATTTGCTTTTCTTTCTAATGTTATCTGAGAATAAAATTACCTGAAGTAACGTCATCATAAAAGATCCTTATATGTTCATTCATTTGTTAATAGTCTACAAATTGTGTTTTAGTGGTTGTTTAGTCGTGAGAGAATATATGCAATCATGATTTTGAACGCAAACTGTTAATTAACCAATGGCAATGATGATGGGCCAATAAAATCAAAGATTTGTTTATGCCAATAGTGTGATTGTGGAGACAATAACGTATCAAAGAGGGTCCACATTTGTTCAAATCAGAAGTTAATTAATCTTATGTTAATCCGTTTTTGATTTGCAGTGAGCGTTTCCCGGTCTCTCTATTTTAATTTACGAAAAAGGAAGAGAAAAAAAGGGCACGAACTATCTGAAGAAAAAGAGAGCTATAGATCGCATAACCCATGATGCTTTGTCACCCATTAATCTTAAAGTTATAATTTTAATCACTACTTATTATTATTAACTTGCCTGCTGGTATGAGTATCTGCAATATAATTTTAAGATCCAACTTTACCTTGAAAGCTAAATCTCAATTATTGAGACACGTTCTTGTGTCTATGACTATAATCAACTGTCGTGCAAAATTAGTATGTCAAAAGCCTTAAATTAGATGTGTGCAAAACATCCCTAATGAGTAGTAACGTAACCCCTCAAATTTATTACCTCAAAATGCCAAATATATACAGAAAATGGTTAATTTCACTATATGCGCAAGGTCATAAGAAAAAAAGAAAAGGTAATCGAGTTAAGTATGCACTCTATTCCAAATAGTAAATGTATACACATTTTATGCATACATAACAAAACTTTATAGAATCTTGAAAGAAAGAAAAAGAAAAAAATGTGGTTCCAACTAAATACATAATAGTGTTAAAGCATCTGAATTCCATTCACTATGATTGAAAAGAATCTTTTGAAGAAACCATACACTAACTTTTGTCTTAAGATACCTAAGCTATACAAACAATATCATTGTGATACTTTCCCGAAAGACATTAACATTAGAAATCGATGGTGAAACTTCTTTGACCCATAATTGTTTTTGATTTACATTGATTTCTTACTACGGCGATAGCTTTTTGCCGATCAGGGAACATTATTGTCCTTCTTCGTATCATTGAGAGGGACATATGCATGTGCTCTTATTTACTATTGCCACATTAGTACCAATCGCCGGAATCTCTCGTTATGTTAATATTTACCGTGATAAGTTAAAAACTTATAACTACATGTCCACATCATACGATTTTCTAGAATTTTCTCTATATATAACCTAAAAATAATATACTGGTTAAAAAGCTAAGAAGTATAGCTTATTGGGGGGGATAATAACTCGAATTAGGTTCGAACAGATTTCAACCAAATTAGAAATATGTACAAATCTAAAAACAAACTGATGTTGTGTCTTATGAGACACTACAATGCTTAGATCAGAAAAACACCACGAGAATTGGTCGAAACTAGAAAGTAAGTAAATATATTTTACTGTATATACACCATGAGATTATGGGTTTCACAAATGAAATGAGATTATTCTAGCAAATTTTAATTTTTACTTTTATTTTTATATTTTATGGAGTTTTCAAATCCGAAAGCTTCTTTATTAGCGTTTTGGAACACTTCGCTTTTCGTTAGGATTTACAGTTTTTTTTGGGGTATGAATGTTAAGGTTGACAATTTTACAACCTTCATTATATCGTTTGACAAATGTTACGTGAAAACCAAAGGGCTTGGTCTAAGTCATGTTAGATTACGTTGTAGAGAATGTAAGACAAGGTAGGGGATATGTTGATGGTGATGTGTTTAAGTCGATCTAACCCGAAGTGCTTCTACACCAGGAGGAGATCTTCGGCATGGAAGAGGTGAATCTGTCTATTGGTCGTGGAGCCTTAAAAGATGGCAAATTTGTCCATTGTGAAACTGTCATGTAACCGTTCTCATAATTTGTAATAAATTTTAATAAATCAGTGTTAAAAAAAATGTTCTCCTGTCTTTGACTTTGACCGCATGTTAATTGAACGGTCTTGCATTGACATAAAAGTATGTGGGTTTGCATATATAGTTAATTCTCCCATTTGGCTAATTACGTCTCTCTTTTATTACTTTATTTACACTTTTATTGCATAGACTAGGAAACCTTTTCACGACCCATCAAATCGTTTGTACAGAACTTGATATGAAACTATTCTGCCATCTTTTACTCATCTCTTTTTCGTTAAAAAATATATAATTTTGTAACGCAAGTTTTATGTTCACAAAAGAGTAAAAGTGAGATAGATTTTCACAAATTTCTCTGGAGCAATGGGTAGAAGAAAATAGTTAAAGAAATCGAAGAACAAGAAAAAATAAAATAAACAAGATTGTTGTAGCCGTTCGTTTTATAAAACTTCCTCTTTACAACCGATGAGAATACAAAAATTACTCTAACGCAAATCTAACCGCTGGTAATATTTTTAATCCTAAATCTAAAAACCCCAAAAAACGAAACAAATAAAAGCTTCGTTTTACCTCATCTCGCGTCTTTAAAGACGGGCCGTTACTCGTCGCCGTTAGCTCATTTGGACCAGCACGTTATCACCGTTAACATTTCCGTCAATCTGAACGTTATTACCTTCTCCGGCTACATCTTGTTCCACCGGAGCACAGTCAATCTTATGCCGGAGTTTCCAATCGAGAGCTTGACAAGCGCGCGAGCAGTAATTCACCACGCCGCAGATAGAACATCGCCGGAACTCGTGTTTCCTCGTCTCCGGCCGTCCACACCCGGCGTGAGAACAGAGCCTCAACCCATCTCCGGGAGAGTAATCTCCGCCGCGTAAAGCGAACCAATCCGCTAAAAACCGGTTCGCCGGATGCGTCTCCGGCGCCGGTACATTACATCCGAAATCGCTAAGCAACGGGCAACCGTGAATCGGATTTTGATTAGGAACGGCGATTTGAGGCGGCTGCGATAAACTCAGCCACGACCGAGCTTCGATCCCGGAAGATAAAACGGCGGCGAGCTCACGAGCGTTGGCTTGAACGAGAAACCGACGACCTTCGGAGACATTCTGCGGAACTCCGTAACCGTCTTGGAGACAGTGACCGAGCTCACGGAGAGCGTCCACGTGTCCGAGAAAAGCCGCACGTGCGCACAGAGCCACACCGGCTCGAAGATCCTTATCGTTCTTTGAACCGCCGCTTCCGTTGAACTGAATCACGGCTAGAGAGTATAACGCCGGCGCGTGAGAGCTAATCGCTGCTTTAGCCATTAATGACGCGCCGTTTCCTCTGATTTGCAGACAGTAAAACCGAATCTGCACCGAAATGGAAATAATTACCATAAAAAAAGTCAGAACAGAAAGTAAAAAAAAAGAGAAAATTAACAAAAATGACGAATAATTATGAAACAATTAAGGGATGTAATAAAAAACTAACCATTCCGAGAGTGTAGCAAGCTTCGAGACTTCCGGCGTCGACGCAGCGTTTGAGAAACCGGTGAACTGATTCCGACCAGTTTTGAGCTTTCACGGCGATTGCTTTCGGAGATAATCTCGACAAAACCAGAGGACTCGTAGCTAAACTGTTTAATCTCTTACATCTGTTTGAAGAAGCAAACAACCAATGATTAATATTTAGACAAAAGAGCTTCTGTAACCGACGGTGGAGAAAAATTAACCGGAAAGCTTACGTCATCAAGACGTTGATGAAATCGGCGGGACATCTCGATGTAGAGGCAAGTCTACAGAGGATGGAAACAACAAGATCGTCGGGGATCGAATCTAGAAAATCGGGTCCTCCAGCTTTGGTTTCCGGCACCGGAGAAACGCATCGCCGGCGTTTCGTTCCCGGGGTAAAGTCTCCGGTTTTGACGAAAGCTCTCTTGGTTTTTCTTAAGGGAAACATAATATTTGGTCTTGAGGATTAGAACAGAGCTTGTTCTCTCTTCAGGTCCCCTCTTATCTATCTATCTTCTTCTTCGTCTTCTCTTATTTATCTCTTGGCTTATAAATATATACAAAGTGGTTGAGTTGTATCTCTCTCCTCTCTCTCTCTCTCTGTGCGTACATACGTATGCGTACGTATGGGTTGAATTTACTTTAATACCCTTGTTCTTTGTCTGATTTATCGGTCAAAGCGTCGTTGACACAACGTCTGCTTTTTCTCGCTTTTCCGTAGCTTAAAAAATATAAAAGAGAAAGAAGAAACTTGCGGAGAGAGAAGGAAGGATGAATATTTAATTTATAGTAATAAAAATAATAATGATTTGTTTCCTGAAACGGTTACTGTTTACTGTTTTTTTACCACCGTGAAAATTGCTTCCACTCGCGAGGTGTAAGAGCGTGTGACGCACGGAGGTTTTTTAAGGAATAAGAGAGTGGAGGTCACGCGCCTGGGAAGAGAGAGTGGGGATTTTGGTAACAACAAACCAATGTTGAGAAGAGGAGAGAGCGGTCAAACGTAAAGAATCATCCAGTAATAAAAAGGGGATGATTGGTAGGGGCTGTGGTTGCTCTGCACAGCCCTAAATCTCTCTAAGCAATACAAAATTACCAATCAAGCTCTCATTTTATCTCTTTCCATTTTTGAAACACAGAGCAATTTTATTTATTTATGGAAGTTCCGTCGCTTTGGAAAGTAATTTTTCTAGAGCACCAAATTAAGTGCTCTTAGAATTCTCTCTTTTCTCTTTCCTTAATAATCTTTCAACATTTATTTTTTAATCTATTATTTCTATATCTTAACTTTTTTGTTTTAATGTTATATTTAATGACACAATCTATAATAAAAAATCTTACAGCACTAAAATCTAGAATCACAGCCAAAATTTCTACAGCATTAATTCTACAGCAAAAAAATTAAAGCTACAGCCACAACCAATCAGGCCCAAAGTTTTAGGGCTTGTGGCTGTAGATTATGGTGCTGTAAGATTTTTATTATAAATATATTTTTTATAAAATCTGTAGTATTAAAAATAAATAAAAGAGATATAGGAAAGAAACATTAAAAAAAGAATAAAGAGAGTGAGATTAAGGAATGAAGAGAGAGAATTCTCAGAGCCCTTAAATTTGTGCTTTGAAAAATCTTCTTGCAGAGCCAAAATATTTCCATATTTAAAATTATGGCTCTGAACTTAAAAAATGAAATCAAAACATGATTGGTTTAACACTAATGCTCTAGAAATAATTATTGTTCTGCAGAGCACTCAAAGCACTTACCAATCACGCCCTTAACAACAGTTACTTTTTTTTTATCTCTTTCTTTTTGGAGGAAATTTGGACCAATATTACATAAATTAATCATATTTTGAAAACTAACCCCTTTTCTAAAGTGTTGGTAAACTAATCTTTCTAATATTCAAAATTACTAAAATACCCTCAATTTTTTAGATATTAAAATTGTTTTAAAATTCGTTTATCTTATTTAAAAATTATTTAAATTATAAAAAAAATTCTGTTATTCTAAAGATAATTAGAAACAATTATTTTTATTTTATATAACAAAAAAAAGAGAAGAAAAAAACTTCAGTGTGAGATATTCCCATAAAATCTGAATAAAATTTATAACAAGAAAAAAAAAGATATTTAGAAGATCTTATGTGAAATTTAACATCTCATAAATATAGAATATGAGTTAACTTTAACACATTCCATCATTTTTTTTAAGAATGAAGTGTGAGTTTTTCTTTGTTCTAAAATGATATTTATGTGTATATATTTATAGAGTTTGATTCATATTTATGATAAATATGAATATATTTTCAAAATAACATGTGTATTTTTAAATATTTATTAAAAAATATCTAAACAAATTTTCGAAAATATCTTATATATATATATATATATCTAAATTCAATATATATCTAAATTAAATAAGATATTTTTTTCTCATTATTAATAGGAAAATGATGGAAAATGATCATGTTTTATTGTCTTTTCACTTATTAAAAAAGTTAGTTTTCAAAATTTTATAAACCTGAATTAGTTTTCAAATTATGAAAATTTTTAATAATATTAAATCAACTCACCCTTCTTTTTGCCGTTTCTCCTACTTTTTTACTTTATGTTCTCATATATATTTCTATAAAAAATAAAGGGACAAAAATAAAAGTTAACATTTGATTCATAGGAAAAAGGGATCTGCCTCCGAAGTTTGAACAAAATTAAAAAAGTAAAATTATAAACTGTTCAATTTTTTTTACGACAGTAAGATGAAATCAGATTTGGTTAATAATATATTTTGTATAATAGAATATTTAAAGATAATTTTTTTAAACATCGATAGCCATTTATATTTTTGTTAAAATTCATTTTATGCTAAAAGTAAAATCATTACATTCTAGCAACGTAAATAATTGCACATACTTGTCTTATAATATCACAAACAAACATAATACAATCATCTTAACATTTACTTTAACGAGGTGTTTGGTAATTCTTATAGAAGAGAAAAAAAAAACCCCAGCAAACAAATAATCAGAGATATCTGAAACAGTCTGATTATATGAATAATATGTCTGCTATTTTTTATATCTACTATATCAAATTTCTATGATCAAATTTTTTATTTTGATTTGCAGTTTCAGCTGATATTAATTCATTTTTTAGTCGATTTTAGCAATCTACCAACATGGTTACTAATCTCAAAAATATAAGAAATCGAAAGAATAAAAATTATATCACCATCATTCATCTCTTACCAGTTATCACTATTTTTATTTCTCTATATCACTCTTTTCTCTACATTCTCTACCTCTTAAAAAAAATATTGCTTTATTACTGTTTACAGATTTTTAAATCATCTTATTAGTGTTTACAATTATCTCGGTATTCTTTACTATTGTTTTTTTTTATATATAATTCTTTACTATTTTTTTTTTTGCTATACAAACTATCAATTCTGTATCATCAATACATTTGTTTTTTGAAAATGATCATCAATACATTTGTTGTGTTTACATTCAACCAAAACAATTTAATATGTAACTATTGTTTTCTGTTACATGTAAATCTAGAAAATATTAACGAAACCCAACAATCGATGAAAACATCAAACAGCGACATTTTTCTTCCCAACGTAAAATATCGGCGGCTGTGATTTTACAAGTTTGATTTTCTTTCAAATGATTTTACAACCACGTTCCCCGGAGAGTACAAGTTTACAAGAAATTAGTATTTTACAAGTTATTTTCTTTCTTTACGTAGAAAGAGACACTGGAAGAAAAAAAAATATACTACATTTCCTGGAGAGTACAAAAAGAAAGATAACCCATCTAATCAATTAACTCGTCTTTGCTTTATTTGAAAAGTCATCCCACGCCTCTATTTTTCATTAATACATTTTTGTTAAAAACACCTCTACTTTATTATGAATACCTTAAAAGTTAAAACTTAGACATTATGCGATGATCCATATAAACATTTAATTATTTTTGCCGGCAAAAAAATGATTTTTGTCATTATAAGAAGAATTCAAGTGCTTCTTCTACCCAAAAAGATCAGTATATAAGTATTTGTATGACTTAATAACTCGGAAAAGTTGAAAAGAGGTATGATTTATAAGGTAATTCACAGATATACGTAATTAGGACATTAATTTAGTGATTATCTACAAGAGATTAAATTAATGGGTTAAAGCCAAACGATTCGTCCGGCGTTAGCTTGAAGGCCTGGTTAAGCTAGTTGATTGACGTGAATCTCCACGACCCACAAGGACCAGTCATCTTCTTATGCCTCTTTGTGTGGGATCCACATGTCTCCTCTTGGGTACTCTTTCATAAACTCTAGTTTAATTGATTTCTATTTCTTCTTGTCACCAAGTGTCTCGTAAACGGTAAATCGTAAGAAGACAAATCAATATAAATACGATAACAATGCAAATAGTAGAGTAACAAAAACTATATATGTATGTGTTAATGTGTATGTCGATGACTTTCTTGATATTGTAATATGAATCTTTATGTGTTTTGCTCTGGATTTGTCACTCGTGGGTCGGGTTCTTCTTTTTCTCAAACTAGATAGTGGAAGGATAAAAAACGGTGAAAATTAACAATAACGGTATAAATATTTTAATAACTAATTCACATTTCATTTTAATCTAGTGTGGTTACTATTTCAGATCTGCTGTTGCTTACCTTTCATTTTAAGTTTTTAGTTGTTAAAGAACTCTATTACTGTTTATCTTATGTTTTTTATTTCGCTTAAAAGTCGATGAGAGAATGAGATACATTGTAGAAAGTCTAATTATTATAGAAGCAGACAGGATTTGACATTAGTTTGTGCACAAATAGGATACGTCTCAAATAATATAAAAATTACTTACGTGCCAGTTGACCTTCGAGACTGCCATGTTACTAGATTTATCCTTTGATCGAAATCAATTCTACACATAGTTTCTTCGTCAATCTACACATATCCAAAGCTTTAGTTGTTAGTTACTTCTCTTAAAAGAAAGGGGAAATCCATATTTTAATATTATTTCTCTTGTCATGATCAGTTAACAAGTAAACATGGAAAGGAAAAACAAAACCCTCATAACAAATCTGTAACGAATAAGAGTTTTCAATATGAATTGAAAGTCATGTTTGGAACCTATAGTATACCTGTTATTATCTTACATATACCTCACTAATCATTTGTAGTCTACATGTGTGTATAATCCGTTTAGAAAATAACAAGGCCACGATTAGTACTATTGTTTCTTTGATGAGACATAATTAGTTCAATTCTAAAAACATCATATAGTTTGATAACATGCAGTACACATAATTTATTAAATAACACTTCCAGGACGGACAGCTCTACCTACAGCATACTAGATCATGACAAGCAATTATAACATTGTAAGTTTTTTTTTCTTTTTTCTTTTTATTCTAAATTGCTAACATCCATCAATTTTAATGGCTCTGTGGATAATGATAATTCGACGATAGTTTGAAACTTTGAAGCCGACTGAGAATTGTTTGTTGGATTGGAAGATGCGAAAATTTTAGTGACTCCATATTAATCCGATCATAAAAATAGTTTAAAATATATATGTTCAAAAGTGACACAGAGTTGTGCATATATGATATGATTTGAATCGCACTCAACTACAAAACAAAGACAAAATATCTTTAAGAAAACATAAAGAATAGGGATGTTAATCTAGTCACCTTAAATAATACTCACGACAAAAAGATAATAATAGTAAGATACTTAAATTAGCGTGTAACAAATAAGCTACACATGTTGTCCCAACCCACACGCAACCTAACATTTCTGCATCTACATAGGTGGTCTCTAATATACTGAAAATGTATGGTTTCGTAGCTAGTTTATAGGCCAAATCATGCTGCTATATAGAGAGAATTTATTAGAGGTACTTTTCAACTGACATCTTTCAGAAAACAGTACGACTTGATCGATCCATTTCAGACTAATTACTAGTCAATGAAGCGTAAATTTTAGATAGGTCTTTTAAGAAGAAAAAGTAGAGATGATCAACAAACACGTGGCAACAGTAGAGAAGCGAAGACGTCCCTCCCGTGCTCCATTACAACTCTCGCCGCCGTATCACGTGCCATTGCTTCGCCTCTGCCACCTCTACACTCTTTCACGGCTATGTCGCTGTGGTTGTTGTTGAGGTCACCACGTGATTCCAACAACTTCAAGCTACTCATATTTATATTGTATTTGTAGGTTTGTACTCATAATCTATAACAATGAAATTATAAGACTCAATGAAGTAGACCTACTAAAAATTCACTTTTCATGTAGTAACTAATGAATTACATTACAAATGAATTTAGCTCATCATTTAATTACATTCTGCTAAATATTTTTGTCTCATTTCGACCTGTAAATTATCTTTGACACCATCGATCGTCTACAAAAAAAATTAGATAAGAAAATAACATACTATCATTGATTTGTATTTTTTATACTTAAATGATTCATACCTAATTAATACTTATCATAGTTACTGTTAATTCGCTTGTTTTGCATCGTTCATTTCGTTTGTCTAGTCCAATATTCCATTCAAATTACACTTATTCCGTTTTGTTTTGTCGGATCTTATTTGATATACACCGTCCGAACTACTCTCGTTATTTGGACCAAAACTTTTCTTAAAATCGCTTATTTTTTCCACGTAAGAAATGAAAATTCAGTATTTACTACAAACAGAAACCAATTTTTTTAACGAAAGTGTCAATTATACTTTCAAAAATTACCTAATTTGACAATAGAAACGAGAGGGAGTGGGACCCCGAGAATTCCAGCCGTTCACTCTACTAAAACGAAGATCGAATCAGTTAAAGAGGAAAAAGGCTGTTAGGAAGTGGGACCCACTTTTTGCTGGGAAGTTTGTAGACAGGAATTTGTTGTTCCCTTCTGGTGGTGCACGTCTCTTATCTCCTTTTGCCACGTGTCTTCTTTTATTACACGCTGTACACCTCTCAAAACCAATCTTTGGATACCTTTACTTTTCTCAAGTGGAAGATAAAATTCGATTTTATAGCATATGCCATATGATCACACAATTTTTCCGTTGACTTAAAAAAACACAAAAATGTCTAGATTTTAATTCAGTAAACACGTGGAATTTACGCCGTTAAGGATCGTACGTGGACGATATGTATGTTGTCAATTGTTAGAGGGAAAAAAAAGGAAAAAGAAAAATGGTCACCACGTTCTTTCTCAAATGACTATTCTTCAAGCGATAAGATATGTAAAAGGAGAGTTTGTGGAGCAGACGAGTAACATAGACGCACACGTGTGTCGAAAGTACGTACAAGGCAAGCACGTGTCTTTTGTATAAGTATAACCACATGTATGTATACGTACGCAATGTTTGCCTCTGACTGTATTTATAGTTTTATACACCGTATGTATACGTAGAAAAAGTGGTAGAGTGTTGTTAGAAACAAACCCTAATTTAAATATATTGCACCTTTTCAGAGATATCGGCCATGCATGCACAAAAGGTAAAGAGTACGTAAGAGTTTATAACCAACAGATTCTCTGAAAATATTTTTAAATTAAGATTTTATAACAACTTTTGGGAAGAGAACAAGTAAAGCAACCTCACGCGATAGCCTAAGACTCGTCTGTAAACAATAAATGTTTTCGTTTCAAAGTTAGCCCCGCGAAAATGTGCATTTCAATTAACTTAGAACGTCGCCAATCTATATCTCATATACTTGGCGTAAAATGATGGGATATTAAATAATGAACTTCCTTATTGGCAACAAGACAAATTTGGGGAAATATTAAATGTTAGTTAAGTTCTCAGCTAACATTTACCATTTGAATGGTAATTTCTGAAGTAAATTAACCTAAGTGAAAAAAAGGAAATCAAAATTAGTAGAAGAGAAAGAGTGAGAGAGAGATATGTTGTTGCTTGACGCATGCGGAGTAGAGTCAAAGATGGCCTCGTAACTGCAGTGACGTGTACTATGGGGCTGCCACGCACGTGACATGTATTGTTTTGTTGCGTTGATACTTGATACGTTGAGTTGAAGTCATTCAATTTGAAGAAAAAAAATCCATTTTCATTTGATAATAAGCTTGTAGTGTTATCTAGTATTATCATAGTGTTATAATTAGGTTATATATTGCTTACCATTGGAGTTAATTAGGTTAGACACCCTTTTGTGATGGTGGTAATTAAATGGCGATTATACTCCTGAATCGGAGCACGATTGCAACATTTTGGATGTTTTCTATGCATCAACCGTCATAAAGACGTACGAAATAAGGGCTATAATTAATGATAAGGGAAATACGCAAATCTTTGATGTAAAAAGATGATGAAGATTACGATCATCTCCATCTTCATGTTCACGTGATCCTTCTCTTGTTACATCACGTGACTTATATTTATCCTTTCCTCCGATCACTTCTTCACACGCCACTTTGCTACGATCCTGTCCTTCATTTTTGTGTGTTCCATACACTTTTGACTTTATTCAAGCTTGCTTCGAGATTTTTAAAAATTTCCAAAACGAATTTACGAAGTAGTTTAACATTTCATCGAACTTGATGCAATAATTAATGAATATTTTCTGTCCCATTATCTTTAATTGTTTTAAGTTTGATTTCCATGTCTTTCAGGTACGAATAGTTTTAAATTAGATCATTGACTACGCTATATTGTGATGAATTAGTGGTTGGTTGGATGATGGTTGTCTAGGGTTCTTTAACCCAAAAAATATTTGACTGTTTAGGGTTGTAACTTATTGGTTGATAATCAATTAGGAGTATTAATTAGGCTTGGTCATTCTAATACTATAGATTAATTATAGACTTTTATTGCTTTAAAGGTGTTCTGAAAAATATTGAACCAAAATTTACTGAGCATTTCTTCTCTAGCCAGTGAAACTGAAATCAAGGTTATTTGTGAGCTTAATGGACTTGATTTGTTAATTTAGTTATTTAATATGCAAATGAAAGTTCGACAAATTTTGATCAGTTTGAATTAAGCACAATTTTAATCGAATATCATACGTCCTATATTGAAATGATTCATGCTCTAGATTAATTGTGCTTAGTTCAAACCTTTGCATCATTTTTTGTTTGTTAAATAATGCTTTTTTTTTTGTGCAAAGCTTAGTTTTCATTCAGTTCAACTAGAGCTTGTTTTGCGAATACAAATACAACTGAATTTTTCTCAAACACTAGTGATAAAACCAGGATATCGTGGAGAATCCTGTGGAGCTCTTTTGTGAAGATTTTCTTGTTGATTACTTTGATCAGCTGCTGCAAATCTGAGGCGACTATGAGTTGTTTGATTCTGAAGTCTTGTGTTCGTGTAAACGTCATGCCGGCAAGAACCGACGAATTTCCGGCAAATAATCCGGTAGATTTGACAATAAGCGGACTGAAACTGTGTCGACCGCTCCACAAAATCAAAATCATGAGAATGACGACGCTTGAGCGGGAGATGACAGACCTTAAGAGGGGACCAATTAATGGGCTCACCACCTCTGATGGAGGTCGGACGTTGGCTGAGGTCGTGGGAGCGTAAGACTCCAAGCAAAACACAGTTGAGAGAATACCATTAAACGTGGGGGTTGTGTTGTTGCAAAAGCCAAAGCGCAAGCTTTAATACATCTCAACAACGGAATTGTTTGGAGGGGACAAACAGGAAAGAAGCTTGATCTTCTGATACTGCGTCACAGATCTGGTGTCATTTGGGAGAGTACCGTAGCCTAGAATGAGGCCGGTGGTGGCAGAAGCAACAGTGGAGGAAGGCGGCAGAAGGTGGAAGAGCAAATCGATACATCGGAGATCAGCCGGAGAGATGGGAGCATCATCGATACACCACACTCCAATATGAAGCAAATCCGGATACGGGTAATAGAACCAATTCCACGAAGGGAAATATCCCGAGATGGAGAAAAGAGCGTTGAATAACAGAGATGTACCAGGTAGCTCGCCGGAGCAGAAGATGAAGACGGCGAGTCGTGAAACGAGTCAGATCTGTGCCATGGAGCTCAGTGACATTGGCTAACATCACGGAGGGGAGAGTCAGAGCAGAGACTGAGAAGAACAAGAGAACAAAAGGCCGGAGATCTGGTGGATCCGGTGGCTCCGAAGGGTGGGGAGGGGTCGCTTGGTGGTGAGAGAGAGACAGTGTTCGGTCTGGCGGCTCCGGCGGAGTGAAATGGTGGTTCAGGAGCTCAGTCCTCAAAAGCATTATGGAAACCATCGCTTCACCCGTCGGATAGGAGACGTACACAAACCAAGCGAGGAGATCCGGAGACAGACAACCACCACGCTTAAGAGAAGAGGCGAGAGGCGGAGATCCGGTGACATGCGGCCATTTCGGTGGACGAAGGTCTTGAGGCGGCTGCCTCGTTTTCCGGGTCAGAGAGAAAGCTAGGGCGAACTCCTCTAAAAAAAGACCCCTTTCCTAAACCCCATCTCTATCCATTTCCTCCTTTGCGGCTCTTTCTTTTTCTAATCAATTGTTTGTTAAATAATGCTTATCTTAGTTAAACTCTTGTTGAGATATTTTGCTCTTATTGCTTAATAGTTTAATATTTTCACTTAGTTTCGAATCATGATCTCATTGCTTGTTAGTCTATTTTGTTTATCTGATTATTGTATTGTCTAGTTTCTTAGTCTTTTATATTTGTAAGTTTAAAACCCAAAGCAGAGTTCAAACCTCCGCCTTCTCTCTAAAAAGAAACCTCCGCCTTCTCTCTAAAAGAGAAGTCCGCCACGTCGTTCTTGGCCGGCTCCGGTGGCTCCTACAGCGCCGGAGTCCGGTTTGGCCTTGTGTTTCTTGCTTTGTCTTGCTTTTCTCTTCTGATTTCGCTATGGTTCTCTCTGGTTGAAGAAGGTTTAGGTGGTCAAGAGGTTTCTCTTCCAGATCTGTTCAAATCTAGGTGTTCTTGAGGTCGGTGGGTCCGGATCTGGTAGATCTTCGGTCAATCCCCACGTTTTCTCCTCTATGGTCCTTATTTCCTGTTCCAGATCTGTTTTTTCACCTCCTCTTCCTCTCTCGCGCTGCTTCCGTGCTTCGTCTTGCTTCTGTGGAGTTCGCTTGGGTTTTGGTTCTTCTCCGGTTCGATCTTTCACCTTCTGAGCTTGGTGTTATCCGGTTTGGTTCCGTCTGCTCCCTGCCGCTATCTCACTTCTGATCGAGAGCAGCCAAGAGCACTTCTGCCAGTTAGAACTTTTTGGCTTGTTGGAAGGCTGGTTGTTTGAGTTGTTAGATAGTTTGTGTTTTTCAGGGAAGGAAAGTTTCAAGCCTCTGTGACCGTAGTCTGTGACCGTTGGCGGCCGAAGACATTTACGGTGAGGGTGAAGCTTCTATGAAGGTTTTCAAGAAGTTTGAAGCAGGTTTTGGCAGCGCTATTGTTTGAGTTGGTGTGGTTCTTTGTTTCGGTTTAACCTCTTAGATCCTTTTCTTTCTCAGCTTTAGTTCCATAGTTCTTAGTTTATTTGATGTTAGTTTCCCCTGAATGGGCTTAGTTTCTGGTGTTTGTCGTTTTACACCGGCTTTTCTTCCGAAGTATGTTCATTTCGTCCGGCTTATGTTTGTTGCGGGCTTGTAAGTTTGGTTAGTGTCTAACACCTTATATTTTCTATCATTTCAATATAACTCTAGATGAAAAAAAAAAAACCCAAAGTAAACCGATCATTGTAGATTAGTTCCAATCCCGTACTTCTCCGATCACTTGATCTTTTTTTTTACTACACCGCATATAAATAATTTTGTGCTCTTATGGTTAAATATTACAGTAGTTGTTTAAAATTTGAGACATAAGCAAATATTTGATATATATTTTCAAGATTTTTTCATATTAATTACATCACAATACACTATATGTAAACAAAGAATATTCACCAAATTTTTGATAGAATTCTGTAGACATTTTTTTTGGAGAAAGAATTCTGTAGATATATCTTAGTAATATTATTTTCTTTACATTGTTTACAAAAAATCCATCAAAATATTTTTTTGATAAAGGATTTATCCTTCAAACTATTTTAACGGATCAATCTGGCGAAAATCCTTATCAGAAACTTCAGACGGATTTTCGATAGATCATGAAAGTTGGGAAAAACGAGAGAAGGTTTAGTGTCCATGTAGTCGTAAAATGAAAATGCAATTTGAAATTCATAGGTTGGTTCTATCTTTTTAACGTGTCTAGTAGGAGAAGAAATGGATTGGGCGGGTAACGTACGGTGGAGAGGAAGATAAGATTGATTAAAACATGAGGAGTTGGTGGAACCACAGATCTCTATAAAATAAGCATCCTTATAGATTTATACTTCAATCAAGTAGGTTTCATTTGAACAAAAAAAAAAAAAATCAAGTAGGTTCCAAGTGTTGATGCATTTTGACATATACAAACCAAGTCTTATTTTATTTGAAAGGCAAGAGTGAGACATTTGTTCCTGGAATTTGAAGTATCCCACACATGCAGTAACCTACGTGCAAATCTATGCACCGTATTTGATTAATATATCTATGTGTGTCAGTGTATTTGTATATATATCGTGTGCATTAACTAATCAAAAGAATCGACATAGCGCATGCATTACTTTATGTTTCTATTACTGTTTGGGTATATATGCGGATTAAAGTAAAAATGAAATATCTTCGCTCAGAAGGAATATCAGAAGCGCGTGATTCTTGAATTCGCCAAAATGCAAAGCTCAGCTTATTTATACCTTTTCTAAAAGACAATAGTATAAAGTAAATAATAAGCATATATAAGTACATAACCTAAGATTAAGTTGATTACAACCGTTTGAAATTAAGTTTGATTTTTGGTTACAACCGTTTGAACTGTAGGCTGGCATTTTACGTTTGTGGATCCGCAACAAATATCATCAAATGCTGCTTTTGAGTTTATATGAAACTCGGAACTTGATGATTATAAAAGAAAAGGAGAATTACGAAGTATGTATACTTCACTAAACATGCACATGCACCACGTATATAATTGATGTACATGTACGGTACGGTGTACCTTCATTGTCTTTTTTTTGTTTGTTTACATTTTCTTCCGATCGACAATAACTTCTGGAACGATGATTTTTTTTTGTTCTTTTGAGTTTTAAGTTAAATGAGAGATTACTTTTCATATTTTGACTGATGCGTGATTATTCAAAGATTGTTAACGTAGAAACACGTATGCATGAAATAACGTAGAAATAGGGGAATTCAAGTCCACCCTAAATTTGATCTAGTAAGCATATAGTCACGAAAGCAAGTAAAATGGGGATTTGCGAAAATTTAGCGTAACGAACCATAATAATAAATGGGATTAAGAGGAGGAACCCAACTACATATATAACTTAACGTTGTGGCCATCTAACTAACAATCTAAATTCCAAGTAAATATTTGTATCTAATGATTAAGGTGCAAAACGTCATTTATAAATGAAATAATTTGGAACCAGCTTATATGGTCTGGTATCATCAACTGGTTATTAAAAATTTTAAAACTTGAATAATAAAGTAAGTGTTGGTCCCATGGATATATCTGAAAAACTGAAAAAGAGTGGTACAAAATGTGAGACAGGTGAAGAGAGAAAGCGTGCTTCCTTCAATTTATGTTTGAGTAACATTTAAGCCATCCTAACATTCTCTGTTCATCATTTCTCTTTAATGTATTATTTTTATAATTTACTCTTTTTACTTTTCGTAAAGAGATAAATAAATAAAATTCCATCGAATCCAACTTCAAATAATTTGGCAACTTGCTAATAATACTGTTCTCTTTTTCTTTTTTTGTACAAGTGTACAGAAGTCTTCTTTTGGGTCAAAGTCAAATCTATGTACTTATTTACAGCCTTTGTGTGTGTGGTTGAGATATATATTAATAACCCTTTCAGCAAACCTGAAATTGCAGTGGTCTCGAGTGGATGTGGTTGAAAATGAAAGAAAAATGTCCAGGTTTTGGTTTAACGGGTACATATTTTCTGAATTATTGAAGGGAATCTAAATTTGAGCTTTCCACTCTAATATTACATAAAAAAAAAGCGAAGGGGAAAATAAACTAAAAACAAATTAATTCTAAGCTCAAACATATGGGTCCGTTGGTAATTATTTGTATTCAAATTTGTAAAGCAAAGCAATACAATAATATGTTGGGAAAATTAGATTCTGTCCATTTTAAAGATGGAAATAGATTGCCATCAATTTGTTTTATCTTTCTTATTTGCTTTATATACCTCAAATTTTGTAGGACCAGTCCTGGTCATATCCATTATAAATCTCAATAAATAAATGCATCAAATTATAGCGTCTAAATAATGTACTCATATAGTTTAAACTCTTAAACTTAGATGAGTACTTATTACTAAACAAACAATTTGTTGACCGAGGTAAATGGGGGAAACGTCAATCACATCCCATCTTCTACTTTTTTCTTTTTGTTTCACGTAAGAGAAGACAAAAGTAGTAATTAAGGAAAGCTTGAGATAATAACATCGAGAGAAAACATGGTCACATGATCGACTAGAGGCTGAGAAATTGAAGACGTACGTCAACGGCATCAAGTAAAGTTAAAATTAGGGTTTTCACAAGAACGTGATCATAAAACCAAAGCTCCATAGAAGACTCTTAAACATTGCTTAATGCCTCCCACTTCTTGGACAACCTTTACGTGCATGATAAGTGAATAAACTTAACCTCCTTCTAAGTTATCCTCTAATTTTCCCTTTTCAATCATTTAATTATGATATTATCAAATTACATACAAATCTTTGATGATAATATTAAGATTTTTTTGATAGCTAAAGATCCTTAAATTTTTTACTACACTAGTTTTCATATTCTGTATGAGGCCATGGATATCCCGTTTGAATATATCTGACATGTTAAGGAAATCTTTTTTATCGAAGAATAATCACTCTAATTGATTACTCAAATATCCCAAAACTTTGAACTTATAGTGTATATATGATATCATCTGAAAAAAATCAATACTTCCAACCTAAACTTTAGTTTTTTGAAACCCTTTGCCTTCTAAAACCATGGAAACTTTCGGTTGATGTAATATCTTCTAGATGGTAAGTAACTTCTATGCACACTCCGACAAATTGTACTCACTTACTAAAAGTAACACCAAACAAGATTTAATTGACACTCTAATTAATTAATCTCTCTAATAATCAAATTTGGTTTTGGCACAGACCATACTTGCCGGCTGCAGTTATAAACATAATCATTCTTTTTAACCTAAACTCATCAACCACTTGAAAAGTATTCATATACATATATACATTAGCGTCATATGAACCTACGACAAAATTTATTAATCATTTCTTTGTAAGGTCAGCTGAAAACAACACTAGGCATGTAGAGAGCCATCGCAGTTTTCTTTCCTTTTCTTTCTCATACCTTAAAAATACATTTATATAAACTGATCTGTCTGGATAGCTTGCTTATAATAATGATTGAGATGGCTAGTTTCTCTAAACTTAATTAATTCCATGACATAACCGATTAACCAAAATTTTGGCATTGAAAAAATAGTAATATAATGAAAATTTGATCCATGAGAATATGAGATGATCTTAGTTTGAATTAATAAAATAAAGGATGGTCGGAAAGCAATTGATCTCATATGGAGCAGAAGCAAGCAAATATTTTCTACTTCGAGAGTTATCCGATCTTTTGAAACACATCGGTATGTAGTCCCAGGGCTAGGAAGTACTTCGGATTGATATTTTCGACATCGGTACTTTTCAGGACATCATTACGCAGACTGATATCATTATGGGACAACACACTGAGTTGCTACTTGGCTATTGTTTCGGGGGATACACTCGAGATTAGCACGTTTAAAGGTACAGTTCATTGTCTTATTGTCTGGTCGTTTTCGTTTTTTTTTTTTTTTTTTTTTTGGTCGTTTTCGTTTTAAAGAAGAAATACAGTTCATAGAGTCATTTTCCCAGTCTTTTAAGCTTAAAACAACCTTGTTCTGACCTATTTTTACCAATTTCATATATATATGCTTGTTGGGAGTGCAATATTGTTTATCTACTATTGTTGGTAATTTTATGTAAGACCAGTGCTAACAACATATATTCATATATTTTCTTTTTCTTTTTTTTGATAAAGGGTTTTCAACATATTTTTTCCTTCAGTGTTTATAGCTCAGTCTTAACATATCGTGTCGATCTCTTTATCTATCCAGTTATCTTATTATCATAATCAATGCAAAATATGCATTAATTTGATGTCTTAAGCTGAATTGTTAAAAAAAAAATGTGTGAAATAATTAAGTTGAGATGGGATAGAAATTGGCAGACAAAATGTGTGTGGAAGAGATTGAGAGTGCCCTTTCATCTAACTTTAATCTACTCATCACTAATCTCTATTTTTTCCGTTGACTCGAAGTATAATATATTATCCATTTGCAATCACAATTAGAGCTAATTGCATAAGCTAATGACATATGCAGCGCCGCCTTTTAAACTTTGGCCTTATGATTTGCGTTTGAAAGCGAGAGGCGGTAGAACAGTTAGTTCTACAAGCCATTGTTGCCCTAAATTTCATTAAAATAATCAAACTTTTGCTTAAAGTTCGACAAAACAAAAAGATGGTCGGTATCCAATTTCGATCTAGCTAATCGAACGCTTATTACAAGACTGGGTGATTTCACTTTCTACTAACCATTTGTGTATATATGTTGTTTTTATTATAAAGACTAAACGTGTATTTAATTGGTTAATAAATCTATCCATTTGTCTCCTTGTGAAAATGTATATATGGCATGCCGAGTAGTCGGTAATCAGTTGCATGCATCTTCATTTTTTATTTATTTTAACCTTAATATACTAATTAAAAATTTGTCTTCATTTGTAAAAAAATTGTTGGGCTAAGATAACAATATGGACAGCCAAATCTGGGTAAAAGTATATGATGACAAAATCATAACTAAGTGGTGTGTTTTTAATGAATAATTTAATCAAATAATGAGTTATCATGTAAAATTAGCATGTTAAACACACGATTAGATTTTGAAATAATAGCAGTAAAAATGGCTGACGGATAGACAAATAGTGAACATTTTTATCATGCGTCTGTTTTCTTACTGCTATTATCTCTTAATTTATGAACTTTCGGATTTTAAATAATTTAATTTAAGTATGCAGTAAAACATTCTATATATGTCAATACTAAAAATGAAAACTGTCCAGTTACTAATCTGCCAGGAATAATTTTGCATATTCTTGTAAGCAAATTTCGTTTTTCTTAGTGTCTAGTATTAAGTAATGGAATTGTGACGAGTTAACATCACGTTGATATCTCTTGGAAATACATAGTTCAATTTAGAAACAAAATATCCAACACGGTACCAATTTGTTTAGTGTCTAACTCCAATGGGAAGATAATATATATTTACAAAAATGTGATGTGTGAGCAATATAGATATTATTTCGATAATACGAGAGATGTAAATCCAACAACAAAAGGTTGGTTTATGATTGAAGGTCAATAGTTTTCTTAACTCTTAGTGATAACGACAGAAATTCCCAATCTATAAACATATACGCAACCTGCCATTGGAAATATCAAGTCCCGGTACATTGTTCGTTTATATTATATTTGGATTGCCTTTGTCGAATTCATCCCGGACATATATCTACATAACTTTCTTATTCTATTAGAAATTGACTAAAGTTATTGTATTTTACGTCCATATCTCATGGAACCTATTTTTAACTGGTTAAATGATATGTGATCGCTTACGGGTTGAAATTGTTTTTACATTGACTTTAGATGATGTTATAGGTAATAATATTCGTTTACACTTGCATGTTTTCATGTTTTAGGCATTTTAGTATATTTGTTTTGTTTATTTGTTAACTGTGGGCAATTTGTTTGTGGGTTATATCCGGTTTTGTATGTTATTACATAGATGGAAGAAAAAAACATCTGTAGACATACCTCAGAGCCTATGGGTTAATCAGAGTTTCTTCTATTCTAAGTGAGAAAAAATGATATGAGTGGAAAAACAAAAGAGTAAAAAGATCAGAGATGCCTTTAAAACTACAATAACAGCAAGAGAAAACAGCTATGAAAGACTCCTGCAAATTCCAAGGGATTAAACTCTTAAAACTGAAACACAAATGTTATAAACCTTCACTTCATAATAAACCCAAGACGTTTTTAGAGTTTCTCTGCAAATTTACTAGTTACGTTGTCGTTTTAACTAATGGGCTTCTATTGGGCCAGTGAACACATGGGTGATTTAAAATCCAAGACGGAGTAAAAGCCTAAAATGTTATTCAAGTTAGGTTTTGATTTGTAAGATTAAAAAAAACTCACTCAGAGCAAAATGACAACGAATCCGAGTTTCTATAAATTGCCTCATAGAGTCATAGAAGTAATAGCGTGTCTCGAAAGAAAACATTCGTGCATCTTCTTCTTGCAAGTCATGGCGTGAGGGCCGGCCCACAGCTAAAGCTGGTAAAGTAAAGGCTTTAAGCGCCAAGATTTATAAAGAATTTTGGGGCGCCAAATTCCAAGAAGTTAACAGTAGTGTAGTGGTTATGCCCTTGTAAATTAGCTACCAAGTGTGCAGTTTGAGTCTTAAAAGTGATGATTTTTCAAAATAGATTATTTTAAAATGGGCCAAAAAATTCTGGCTGCTTTAGGAGCCATGACATGTCGGGCCGGCACTGCGTGAAGCTGCATTATCTGTTATGGTAATGGAAACACGCTTTTGTATTTTCCCAAAAATGGCAAAACAGAGAATGTTCGCAATCATAAAGGAAGATTTGTGAATTGACTAATCAGTTGAGAATCAATATTTAATGAATGATATATATCTACACAATAGCTTCGTTACAATTTGACAAAAGTTTGCAACTAAATTGACTAGAAACTGTGAAACACAACGTTATAGTTTGACAACGTTTTGTTACCAAATTGAATACAACCTCAAATACAACTCTTCTGCAGTTTTCTTCACATTTTACCAAAAAAAAAAAAAAACTCTTCTGCAGTAACAATCAAATACATTTATAATGTCGAGCTTTTTTCACCGTGAGACGGAAACTCGAATAACTTTTTTCGCTTTGTATTTTACTCGCTTTTATTTACCATGAAACAAATATATGTTTATTTCTAATCACTTTTAAAGGTGATTGAGATGTAAAAAATGTTAATGATTAGTTACCAAAATCTATGTTAAATCACACACCAAATTGTAAAAGTCAACAGCTAATTACTCGATCAGAGTTTCCACAATAAACTTTGTTTCTTCTTTGTTACTAAAGACTGTTAAATCACATACCAAAATGAAAACATTAACAGCTAATTACTCAATCATAATTTCCACAATAAACTTTGTTTGTTCTTTGTTACTAAAATCTATGTTAAATCACATACCAAATTTACAGAAATTAACAACTAATCACTTAATCACAATTTCCACAAGAAACTTTGTTAGTTCTTTGTTTTCCCTTTATTTCCTGGTCAAAAATAGTCAGTCAATGAGTTTCGTTAGAAGTACATAAATAAACATTTCTTTCTAATAACAAAGTTTCCATTTTAAAAAATGAATTGTTTAATTAATGTCGACTTTAAACCTTATATTCTATACAACCAAAAACAGCAAAGGTGATTGAGATGAAAAAAATTGTAAATGATTAGTTACCAAAATCTATGTTAAATCACATACCAAATTGAAAAGAATCAAAGATTAACAACTAATCAACTTAATCATAATTTCCACAGTAAACATTGTTAGTTCTTTCTTTCCCCCTTATTTCATGGTCAAATGGTCAATTAGAAGTAAATATTTCTTTCTAATAACAACAAAGTTTCTGTTTTTATAAAATGAATTATTTAATCAAATTGCATCTTATTTAAACCCTTCTCTATCCCGCTCACTTCCACATACAGTCCTGAAAAACTCTCAAACTCTCAATCATGGTGAACGAGAAAGCTGTTTCTGGAAACACCATAGTACCCCTCCATGGTCTGATAACATCTTCTGAAGTTTCTGCTACAACACAGATCAATCAGTCACTATCAACCACTAAAAGAAGAGCCTTCGATGAAGAGAAGAAAGCCAATGCTCCTAAGAAGCGAGCTGTTCTTGAGGATATCACCAATGTAACTTGCGATACAAGTTGTTTCAATGCAGCTAAAAATCAGGTTTGTTAACTTCATACACAACAACGTTGCTTCTTAAATTTCTATTTGTATGATTATATATACATATGACAAGAAAGTATATATTTTGGCTGACAATTGTGGTTTATTTCCATTTAGGCAAATTCTTCAAAGGTTGCATCATCTCCTGTTACTTCAGAAGTTAAAGATGCAAAGGTTGAAATTATGTCAAATTCACAAGGAGTAAGCTTGAAATTCGTAGACATTGATTCAGATGACAAGGATCATCTACTCTGTAGCCTCTATGCACCTGAGATCTACTCCAACCTGCGTATTGATGAGGTAAATATATAAAACCCTAGCTTTGATTTTTAATATTCATTCTTACGATGATGCATGATCTGATTCCTAAGGACTTTTCCCCTATTTACCAGCTTAAACGCCGACCATTTCCTGATTTTATGGAGACAACTCAAAGAGATGTGAATGAGAAGATGCGTGGAATTCTGGTTGATTGGCTTGTAGAGGTTAGTTTTTTGGATCCATTTTTTTTTCTGTTTTATCAAGTCTTTTTTATGTGCTTCTTCTAAAGAACAGTCTAAATTGTCAGGTGTCAGATGAATTCAAACTTGTACCAGACACTCTCTACCTCACAGTGTATCTCATAGATTGGTTTCTCCATGGAAACTACATGGAAAGACAAAGACTTCAATTGCTTGGTATCACTTGTTTGCTCAATGCATCGTAAGTTCCTTTCTCAATCATCTAATTATGTATTCGGAAAAATCAAACAGTTCTTGATCTAAAAAGCAAGAGTTTATGTGTGTTCTTGACAAGAAAATACGAGGAGATATATGCGCCACGGATTGAGGAGTTGTGCTTCGTGACAGATAACACGTACACAAGAGATCAAGTCCTTGAAATGGAGAGCCACGTGTTAAAGCATTTTAGCTTCCAAATTTACACTCCCACTTCAAAAACATTCCTAAGGTAATGTGAAAATGCCTTTGGTATCTTCTTGTTGTTTTTTTTTCTTTAGTCTTAACTCTTTAGAGATTCAAAGTTTGTTTTCTTTTTCTTGCAGGAGATTTATCCGAGCAGCTCAAGCTTCTTACCTGGTAATGTGTTGTTTTTTTTTATTAGTAACAAAACTCATAAAATATTTAGCAAAAGATTAAAACTTTTTTTTGGTATTTTTGGCTGATGATTCTGCAGAAACCTAGTCTGGAAATGGAGTTTCTGGCGAATTATCTTACGGAATTGACGCTAATAGACTACCAATCCTTGAAGTTTCTTCCTTCGGTAATTGCTGCTTCGGCTGTTTTTCTTGCCAAATGGACATTGAACCAATCAAGCCACCCTTGGGTCAGTTGCTCTTCTTTTTCAAGAACATAGATCATCACTTCTTGTTCTGTTTCACGAATCTTGAATCTCACTCTTTTTTTGTTTTTTGTTTTGTTTCAGAATCCAACTCTTGAGCATTATACAACGTACAAAGCCTCCGATCTCAAAGCATCTGTTCAGGCCTTGCAAGATCTACAGCTTAACACCAAAGGATGCTCCTTAAACTCTGTACGCGTGAAGTATAGGCAAGCGAAGGTAACAAATTAATTAGTTAATCTCGGTTTGGTGTGGTTTGTTTTCGGTTTAATCGATCGGCTAATGTAAACCAGTTTTATGTTGCTTTCGTCTTTTTGTTTGTACAGTTCAAATCTGTGGCGGTTTACACTTCTCCCAAGCTACCTGACAAGCTATTCTGAAAAAGCAAAGAGACTGAACCGAGCGGTTCAATTCCTAACCGAATATAATTCCTCTATAGTAATTTTTTTCTGGTGGTCCGGTTCATCCCTCATTCATTAGTTACTCTATGAAATAAAACATTGATCTTTCCACGGCCTAACCGGATTATTCAGGTTTAGTGTATGACATTTTTCAAAGCTGATTTGTCTGCTCGATATTTTTTTATTGGAAAATTTTCATAAAAATAAATTGTTCTTTTTCAATAGTAGTAGAAAAGCTCACCAGAAAATAAACTCGACACAATTTTTTTTTTGTTTTTCCTGGCATCATTGGTACCGCAAATACTTAATTTGAGTTTCTGATATGAATAAAAAAAAAGGCAAAAGAAATGAGTCTTGTATGATTTTTAAACATAAAACTATTGTGGTTTGTAAATGCCAAATTAAGGTAGAACTCTAGTAGAAGTGGGGATGGTTTACGCAGAATTTGCACAATTCAAGTCACTAATCAATGTTAATCTATGTATACATAGTCATCAAACACATCAAACAACAATATGATAATACTGGTAGTAGTTTAAGTACGTTAGAGGTTGTTGGTCGATATTGGCCCTACTATTTTCCCTACCAAACTTATCCTCTCTTTCTTTAACTCACTATTAGTAGGATCAAAATCAGTTAGCTCATTAGGTATGGCTATGGCTTTTTTTTTGTTGGATTACATATCACAAAACGATCAAAAAAATTAGAAAAACAGATTATGCCACGGGCAGAATTGCATAAGCCAGTGTTAATGCTGAATGGCACATCGTATTTTGTTACTAGTGATGAATGGTTTGAAATATATGGTTTTATTGGCTAGATTAAGGTAATTCTCTATGGGGAAAAACAACATACCATTTTAATTCACAATTATCGGATGTGATGTTTTGAGCTTCTGCGATCAAACCGAAAAATGCATATAAAATACTCTTCAAGTTCACTAAAAAATGTCACTGTCGATTTTTTGTTTTTTGGTATACTTCTATGTTTTCAATAGCCAAATGCAGACACTACGCCTCATAAAACCATATTAAACAAAGAGTTATGATAATGACAGAATACATAATTTAATTTTCATGAGAAGCTTCTCGATATATAGTTATATTTTAAAACGATGAAGAACTATGCGCTGTTTAATTTGAAAGAAGAATCCAAATAACGATCTGCGTAGGCTAGCAAAACCGGTCCCCTGGCTGGTCGCTCATGTTAGCGGCATTGGGTATCTCAAAGTGCCAGAGCCTACCAGCTGATTTGACTCTGTACTTCTCGCAAAGAAACTCGTTGGCGTAAGCCTTCTCCACTGGCCGGTCAACGTCATGAAGGAAAACGTGCGTCGTGCCATCACCTTTCCGGTTACGTGCCATGACGGCTGCTGAAAATATCGCCGCCATCCTCCCTGGCGCGGTCGGGAAGTACCCTTTTGGTGCGTCCACCATGATCAGATCCCACTCGGTATCATAAAACTCATCGGGAAGTGAAGTCAACGCTAGTGGACACTTTTCGTTGTAGCGGATGGGGAAAGCGTTGACCGGTAAACATTTCGGTTCGGACCGGTAAGTCTTGATAAGGCGGTTTGCCTGAGAAAGTTGGGTCCGGTATTTGACATGGTGGGCCCTTAGAGACGGTGCGTCTTTAAGGACGGCCGCGATCCACTCGGGGTCTTCCTCCATGAATACAGTGGTGCCACCTGGATTGAGGGAGGCCCACATGAGTGAGTCGCGGCCGAGGCCAAAGACAAGAAAATTACAAGGGATACGGTCTTTAAGGACCTCTAAGGAGATTGAGATCTCCTCGAAGGATTGTTGTGGGACGGTGCGTGAAGTTGCATAGTGGACAATGGATTGGAGTTGGAGCGGTGTGGATGAGTATTCGGCTATGGACACGGCCGTGGTCTTAGCCGTGGAACATAGTGATAAAGTGTTGTCCGCAGCTCGGATGAAGCTCGTGATGAGCATTGCGCCGCCTAGAAGACCGGCTAGAGCCATCACAAGGAACCATGGACGCTCTAGGAGCGTGTGTTTTGCAACTTTGGACTTCTCTTGCATCATGTTTGTTTGTTGTTTTGTGTGCTTTCTCTGGTTTGGCGAGAGAGGGTGGTGACTTGGGTTATACATGGTGAAGAGGTTGGATGAGAAAGTGGAGAAATAATGCTAAGGAGGGAAGTCAATGAAATGAATGTGAAGCACGTCCGTCTTAATCATTGGACGTATGATTGATTAATCATGGTTGGTTTTTTTAATCTAGTTTACTCATTGTCGTTTAAAAATGAATCTCAACTGGTTTAAGTTATCTTGATTTTGTTGGCTTTATTTACTCTTATGGAAATAACTTTACAAAGAGTAAGAAAACATTTATTGCTGTTAACATTATGAATTATATATTTTGGTAAGTTTTTTATATGACAAATATATAATTATAGAAAAATAATAATGAAAATGAAAATAAACTTTTATAAATAAATTTGAACCACAGTAAAAGAGATTTTGAATTACAGTTGTATGTAGTAGTATTACAAATACTCGACAAATTTATCATCTTATGATATTTCCTTTATTTTATAAATGGAGAAGATCAATTATATTTGAATAGAAATTGTTTTTGACCATTTTCTTACATTTATATAGATGATTTTTAAGAACACGCATAAGTATACATTTAGATAGGTACTTAATTAATAAATTGGTGTTACATTGCTTTCAATGTTATAAATGTACAAGTTGATTTGGGGATAATTATCCTATGCTAGACACCCAACCATAGTGCCACACGTGGACGTTCAGATCTATAAGAAAAATCATGCGTGGCGTGGAGCAATCTCCCTCTTCAGTGTATTGAACGAACTTTGAAAGCATAGAGGAGCTAACACACATCATGATGTGTCATAAAACACATTTCCGAGAAGAAATTATTTAAGATACGACGTCGTTTTGGTGTTAGGCGAAAAAAAAAAAAAAGCGTGCCCGTATCGAAGGTTAGAGAGTGTCCAAGCTTTATTAGTTATGTAGATTTATACCTGCTTAATCAAATCAAGGAATCTAAATTCTAATGATATAAAACCGATAACTAAACCTTCTGCAAAAGATATTTATAAGACATACACCTACTTAATGAATCTCAATAACATACAGATAGAAAGGTTAGTTGCGTCGTAATTGCTACTATACACATATGGACAGTGTGTATAGAGCAAAAATTTGCAAAATGTGTTTATTTAACCAATTTAAAAATTTATTATTGATACTAAAAAATATTTCCTCCGTTTCAAATTAGTTGTCGTTTTGGCAAAATGTATCTGCAAATATTTGGATGTATCTGGACGTATTTTGTATTGCANAGTTTGAGTCTTAAAAGTGATGATTTTTCAAAATAGATTATTTTAAAATGGGCCAAAAAATTCTGGCTGCTTTAGGAGCCATGACATGTCGGGCCGGCACTGCGTGAAGCTGCATTATCTGTTATGGTAATGGAAACACGCTTTTGTATTTTCCCAAAAATGGCAAAACAGAGAATGTTCGCAATCATAAAGGAAGATTTGTGAATTGACTAATCAGTTGAGAATCAATATTTAATGAATGATATATATCTACACAATAGCTTCGTTACAATTTGACAAAAGTTTGCAACTAAATTGACTAGAAACTGTGAAACACAACGTTATAGTTTGACAACGTTTTGTTACCAAATTGAATACAACCTCAAATACAACTCTTCTGCAGTTTTCTTCACATTTTACCAAAAAAAAAAAAAAACTCTTCTGCAGTAACAATCAAATACATTTATAATGTCGAGCTTTTTTCACCGTGAGACGGAAACTCGAATAACTTTTTTCGCTTTGTATTTTACTCGCTTTTATTTACCATGAAACAAATATATGTTTATTTCTAATCACTTTTAAAGGTGATTGAGATGTAAAAAATGTTAATGATTAGTTACCAAAATCTATGTTAAATCACACACCAAATTGTAAAAGTCAACAGCTAATTACTCGATCAGAGTTTCCACAATAAACTTTGTTTCTTCTTTGTTACTAAAGACTGTTAAATCACATACCAAAATGAAAACATTAACAGCTAATTACTCAATCATAATTTCCACAATAAACTTTGTTTGTTCTTTGTTACTAAAATCTATGTTAAATCACATACCAAATTTACAGAAATTAACAACTAATCACTTAATCACAATTTCCACAAGAAACTTTGTTAGTTCTTTGTTTTCCCTTTATTTCCTGGTCAAAAATAGTCAGTCAATGAGTTTCGTTAGAAGTACATAAATAAACATTTCTTTCTAATAACAAAGTTTCCATTTTAAAAAATGAATTGTTTAATTAATGTCGACTTTAAACCTTATATTCTATACAACCAAAAACAGCAAAGGTGATTGAGATGAAAAAAATTGTAAATGATTAGTTACCAAAATCTATGTTAAATCACATACCAAATTGAAAAGAATCAAAGATTAACAACTAATCAACTTAATCATAATTTCCACAGTAAACATTGTTAGTTCTTTCTTTCCCCCTTATTTCATGGTCAAATGGTCAATTAGAAGTAAATATTTCTTTCTAATAACAACAAAGTTTCTGTTTTTATAAAATGAATTATTTAATCAAATTGCATCTTATTTAAACCCTTCTCTATCCCGCTCACTTCCACATACAGTCCTGAAAAACTCTCAAACTCTCAATCATGGTGAACGAGAAAGCTGTTTCTGGAAACACCATAGTACCCCTCCATGGTCTGATAACATCTTCTGAAGTTTCTGCTACAACACAGATCAATCAGTCACTATCAACCACTAAAAGAAGAGCCTTCGATGAAGAGAAGAAAGCCAATGCTCCTAAGAAGCGAGCTGTTCTTGAGGATATCACCAATGTAACTTGCGATACAAGTTGTTTCAATGCAGCTAAAAATCAGGTTTGTTAACTTCATACACAACAACGTTGCTTCTTAAATTTCTATTTGTATGATTATATATACATATGACAAGAAAGTATATATTTTGGCTGACAATTGTGGTTTATTTCCATTTAGGCAAATTCTTCAAAGGTTGCATCATCTCCTGTTACTTCAGAAGTTAAAGATGCAAAGGTTGAAATTATGTCAAATTCACAAGGAGTAAGCTTGAAATTCGTAGACATTGATTCAGATGACAAGGATCATCTACTCTGTAGCCTCTATGCACCTGAGATCTACTCCAACCTGCGTATTGATGAGGTAAATATATAAAACCCTAGCTTTGATTTTTAATATTCATTCTTACGATGATGCATGATCTGATTCCTAAGGACTTTTCCCCTATTTACCAGCTTAAACGCCGACCATTTCCTGATTTTATGGAGACAACTCAAAGAGATGTGAATGAGAAGATGCGTGGAATTCTGGTTGATTGGCTTGTAGAGGTTAGTTTTTTGGATCCATTTTTTTTTCTGTTTTATCAAGTCTTTTTTATGTGCTTCTTCTAAAGAACAGTCTAAATTGTCAGGTGTCAGATGAATTCAAACTTGTACCAGACACTCTCTACCTCACAGTGTATCTCATAGATTGGTTTCTCCATGGAAACTACATGGAAAGACAAAGACTTCAATTGCTTGGTATCACTTGTTTGCTCAATGCATCGTAAGTTCCTTTCTCAATCATCTAATTATGTATTCGGAAAAATCAAACAGTTCTTGATCTAAAAAGCAAGAGTTTATGTGTGTTCTTGACAAGAAAATACGAGGAGATATATGCGCCACGGATTGAGGAGTTGTGCTTCGTGACAGATAACACGTACACAAGAGATCAAGTCCTTGAAATGGAGAGCCACGTGTTAAAGCATTTTAGCTTCCAAATTTACACTCCCACTTCAAAAACATTCCTAAGGTAATGTGAAAATGCCTTTGGTATCTTCTTGTTGTTTTTTTTTCTTTAGTCTTAACTCTTTAGAGATTCAAAGTTTGTTTTCTTTTTCTTGCAGGAGATTTATCCGAGCAGCTCAAGCTTCTTACCTGGTAATGTGTTGTTTTTTTTTATTAGTAACAAAACTCATAAAATATTTAGCAAAAGATTAAAACTTTTTTTTGGTATTTTTGGCTGATGATTCTGCAGAAACCTAGTCTGGAAATGGAGTTTCTGGCGAATTATCTTACGGAATTGACGCTAATAGACTACCAATCCTTGAAGTTTCTTCCTTCGGTAATTGCTGCTTCGGCTGTTTTTCTTGCCAAATGGACATTGAACCAATCAAGCCACCCTTGGGTCAGTTGCTCTTCTTTTTCAAGAACATAGATCATCACTTCTTGTTCTGTTTCACGAATCTTGAATCTCACTCTTTTTTTGTTTTTTGTTTTGTTTCAGAATCCAACTCTTGAGCATTATACAACGTACAAAGCCTCCGATCTCAAAGCATCTGTTCAGGCCTTGCAAGATCTACAGCTTAACACCAAAGGATGCTCCTTAAACTCTGTACGCGTGAAGTATAGGCAAGCGAAGGTAACAAATTAATTAGTTAATCTCGGTTTGGTGTGGTTTGTTTTCGGTTTAATCGATCGGCTAATGTAAACCAGTTTTATGTTGCTTTCGTCTTTTTGTTTGTACAGTTCAAATCTGTGGCGGTTTACACTTCTCCCAAGCTACCTGACAAGCTATTCTGAAAAAGCAAAGAGACTGAACCGAGCGGTTCAATTCCTAACCGAATATAATTCCTCTATAGTAATTTTTTTCTGGTGGTCCGGTTCATCCCTCATTCATTAGTTACTCTATGAAATAAAACATTGATCTTTCCACGGCCTAACCGGATTATTCAGGTTTAGTGTATGACATTTTTCAAAGCTGATTTGTCTGCTCGATATTTTTTTATTGGAAAATTTTCATAAAAATAAATTGTTCTTTTTCAATAGTAGTAGAAAAGCTCACCAGAAAATAAACTCGACACAATTTTTTTTTTGTTTTTCCTGGCATCATTGGTACCGCAAATACTTAATTTGAGTTTCTGATATGAATAAAAAAAAAGGCAAAAGAAATGAGTCTTGTATGATTTTTAAACATAAAACTATTGTGGTTTGTAAATGCCAAATTAAGGTAGAACTCTAGTAGAAGTGGGGATGGTTTACGCAGAATTTGCACAATTCAAGTCACTAATCAATGTTAATCTATGTATACATAGTCATCAAACACATCAAACAACAATATGATAATACTGGTAGTAGTTTAAGTACGTTAGAGGTTGTTGGTCGATATTGGCCCTACTATTTTCCCTACCAAACTTATCCTCTCTTTCTTTAACTCACTATTAGTAGGATCAAAATCAGTTAGCTCATTAGGTATGGCTATGGCTTTTTTTTTGTTGGATTACATATCACAAAACGATCAAAAAAATTAGAAAAACAGATTATGCCACGGGCAGAATTGCATAAGCCAGTGTTAATGCTGAATGGCACATCGTATTTTGTTACTAGTGATGAATGGTTTGAAATATATGGTTTTATTGGCTAGATTAAGGTAATTCTCTATGGGGAAAAACAACATACCATTTTAATTCACAATTATCGGATGTGATGTTTTGAGCTTCTGCGATCAAACCGAAAAATGCATATAAAATACTCTTCAAGTTCACTAAAAAATGTCACTGTCGATTTTTTGTTTTTTGGTATACTTCTATGTTTTCAATAGCCAAATGCAGACACTACGCCTCATAAAACCATATTAAACAAAGAGTTATGATAATGACAGAATACATAATTTAATTTTCATGAGAAGCTTCTCGATATATAGTTATATTTTAAAACGATGAAGAACTATGCGCTGTTTAATTTGAAAGAAGAATCCAAATAACGATCTGCGTAGGCTAGCAAAACCGGTCCCCTGGCTGGTCGCTCATGTTAGCGGCATTGGGTATCTCAAAGTGCCAGAGCCTACCAGCTGATTTGACTCTGTACTTCTCGCAAAGAAACTCGTTGGCGTAAGCCTTCTCCACTGGCCGGTCAACGTCATGAAGGAAAACGTGCGTCGTGCCATCACCTTTCCGGTTACGTGCCATGACGGCTGCTGAAAATATCGCCGCCATCCTCCCTGGCGCGGTCGGGAAGTACCCTTTTGGTGCGTCCACCATGATCAGATCCCACTCGGTATCATAAAACTCATCGGGAAGTGAAGTCAACGCTAGTGGACACTTTTCGTTGTAGCGGATGGGGAAAGCGTTGACCGGTAAACATTTCGGTTCGGACCGGTAAGTCTTGATAAGGCGGTTTGCCTGAGAAAGTTGGGTCCGGTATTTGACATGGTGGGCCCTTAGAGACGGTGCGTCTTTAAGGACGGCCGCGATCCACTCGGGGTCTTCCTCCATGAATACAGTGGTGCCACCTGGATTGAGGGAGGCCCACATGAGTGAGTCGCGGCCGAGGCCAAAGACAAGAAAATTACAAGGGATACGGTCTTTAAGGACCTCTAAGGAGATTGAGATCTCCTCGAAGGATTGTTGTGGGACGGTGCGTGAAGTTGCATAGTGGACAATGGATTGGAGTTGGAGCGGTGTGGATGAGTATTCGGCTATGGACACGGCCGTGGTCTTAGCCGTGGAACATAGTGATAAAGTGTTGTCCGCAGCTCGGATGAAGCTCGTGATGAGCATTGCGCCGCCTAGAAGACCGGCTAGAGCCATCACAAGGAACCATGGACGCTCTAGGAGCGTGTGTTTTGCAACTTTGGACTTCTCTTGCATCATGTTTGTTTGTTGTTTTGTGTGCTTTCTCTGGTTTGGCGAGAGAGGGTGGTGACTTGGGTTATACATGGTGAAGAGGTTGGATGAGAAAGTGGAGAAATAATGCTAAGGAGGGAAGTCAATGAAATGAATGTGAAGCACGTCCGTCTTAATCATTGGACGTATGATTGATTAATCATGGTTGGTTTTTTTAATCTAGTTTACTCATTGTCGTTTAAAAATGAATCTCAACTGGTTTAAGTTATCTTGATTTTGTTGGCTTTATTTACTCTTATGGAAATAACTTTACAAAGAGTAAGAAAACATTTATTGCTGTTAACATTATGAATTATATATTTTGGTAAGTTTTTTATATGACAAATATATAATTATAGAAAAATAATAATGAAAATGAAAATAAACTTTTATAAATAAATTTGAACCACAGTAAAAGAGATTTTGAATTACAGTTGTATGTAGTAGTATTACAAATACTCGACAAATTTATCATCTTATGATATTTCCTTTATTTTATAAATGGAGAAGATCAATTATATTTGAATAGAAATTGTTTTTGACCATTTTCTTACATTTATATAGATGATTTTTAAGAACACGCATAAGTATACATTTAGATAGGTACTTAATTAATAAATTGGTGTTACATTGCTTTCAATGTTATAAATGTACAAGTTGATTTGGGGATAATTATCCTATGCTAGACACCCAACCATAGTGCCACACGTGGACGTTCAGATCTATAAGAAAAATCATGCGTGGCGTGGAGCAATCTCCCTCTTCAGTGTATTGAACGAACTTTGAAAGCATAGAGGAGCTAACACACATCATGATGTGTCATAAAACACATTTCCGAGAAGAAATTATTTAAGATACGACGTCGTTTTGGTGTTAGGCGAAAAAAAAAAAAAAGCGTGCCCGTATCGAAGGTTAGAGAGTGTCCAAGCTTTATTAGTTATGTAGATTTATACCTGCTTAATCAAATCAAGGAATCTAAATTCTAATGATATAAAACCGATAACTAAACCTTCTGCAAAAGATATTTATAAGACATACACCTACTTAATGAATCTCAATAACATACAGATAGAAAGGTTAGTTGCGTCGTAATTGCTACTATACACATATGGACAGTGTGTATAGAGCAAAAATTTGCAAAATGTGTTTATTTAACCAATTTAAAAATTTATTATTGATACTAAAAAATATTTCCTCCGTTTCAAATTAGTTGTCGTTTTGGCAAAATGTATCTGCAAATATTTGGATGTATCTGGACGTGTTTTGTATTGCAGATACATCCAAATAATTGCAGATACATTTTCCTAAAACAACAACTAATTTGAAACGGAGGGAGTACAATGTAACAAAATGAAAATGAGAAAACCAGTATTTAATACAAAAAAAAATTATGAGATAATAAATTGATGTGTAAAATAAGGGCTGCCCGTAAAATAAAGATTAGTTTGGTTGGTAAATTTTGATTGAATTTGTTTTGACGCTAACTTATAAAACCAATCTTGTGCTAGCTACATCTCCTTTTCATCCTCCCGTCGAAGTAAATCTTAGGGCAAAGTTTAAATCGCCGAGCTACTTCTCGCCACCGCGCCACCTCCTTCTCCGGTTGCCTCTCGCTTCTTCGCAGACCATTTCGCCGCTATGTCTCAGGTATAGTATCCCATCTTACAGTACTGATCCTGAATATTTCAGATCTGACACTGAATCGAGAGAGTAGCTCGTTGCTTCTTCGTGATTTTACTGGAAACGAAAGTTTTGCGATCAGTTGACGAATATCCGCATCGAATCATTCAGTTTCAATTGCGCGATCCTTCCTCATACAACTGATCTGTGTGTCGTTTTGATCTGGTTTGTTTGGTGAATTTGACTGATTTCCTCTGAATTTTTGTAGGTAGACAACAGAAATTCGTCAGCAGCTAAGCGAGCTAGAACTGACGGTGCGTCTTTACTTGCTTCAATACTGATATCGTTGTGTTCTGAAGAGTGTAGTTCGTACAATTTCGAGTTTGTTCTATTCTCAGATTGTTGTTCATATTCCGAAGATAGCTTATGTGTTTACAGTGCATCTTAGTACATGCATTTAGTATTATGAATGACATTGTGTGTTTATGGGACCTTCCTCTATCTCAGTACTCAGTAGTACATGTTTATAAAGGTTTTTAGATTCTAAGCTGTGTGTTTCTTATAGAATATCTGTTTTGTTTACTGTTTTGGTCATGGATAGGGGGACGCAGAGAAGATGATTGGACCTGCCCTAGTTGTGGCAATGTCAATTTTTCATTCAGGACAACTTGCAATATGCGCAATTGCCCTCAGCCTAGACCTGCAGATCACAATGGAGTAAGTTCTTTTGTATTCCAATATCCAATTGGTCTCATGTCATGATGTATGATAGTTCTTTATGCTATTAGTCTTAGTAGAGCATGTTATTTGGTAGTCAGGATGATGAATGGTTTTGATAACGAATTTCAGGTGTTCTTATGAAAACATAATATGAACTGAAATGAAATAGCAGCCTTAGTGTTCAACCTATTGCATCCACTGTAGTCTGTGCAGGCAGGAGACTGTAGCTTTGTGACAGTTGCTGGAAGTTGTAGGTCAAATAAGAAATAAGCAGAATGTGAAGGTCAATCAGGAATTTTCTTGACTTTTGTTGGGATTCTCTTGAATAATCCTTGGTACTAGGTTCTGTACTTTGATTCCATTTAAGAAGTAGAAGAGATTCTTTCATATTTAATTCCCATACATTGCATTTTACAACAAGAGCAGCAATATCTACTTGGTTTCTTTTATAAATTATTCTCATGCCTGTTGTTGACCTGCATTGTGGTATATCTATAACAGAAGTCTGCTCCCAAACCTATGCAACAACGAAGCTTCTCATCGCCAGGGCCATATATAGGATCTGGGGGTCCTCCATTATATATGGGCGGGTCGCCGTATGGATCCTCTCACTTTAATGGGTCGTCTATGCCTCCTTATGACGTCCCCTTTTCCGGTGGTTCTCCTTATCATTTTAACTATAATTCCCGAATCCCTGCTGGAGCTCATTTCAGACCACTGCATATGTCTGGACCACCTCCATACCATGGCGGATCTATGATGAGAAGTGGTATGCATTTTTTTTTTATTTTTAATCAGTTTTTGGTTTCTCGCTATTTCCGAATTGTCTCGTCTCGTCTTCCAGTTACCATTATTGTATCTGTCTAATTTGGCTGGTTCATTTGTTGCATTGTTTGCCAGGTGGAATGTATGGAATGCCTCCACCAATGGACAGGTATGCCCTTGGTATGGCCATGGGTCCTGCTGCTGCCGCTGCTATGGTATGTATAACAGTACGATGCTTTGGTTTTGATCACATGCAGGATCTTATAAGTTGCTGGTCTTGTAACCTGAGATGAAAATTATAACAATGTGTGACCCATTCTTTACAGATGCCTAGACCCGGGTACTATCCAGATGAAAAATCACAAAAAAGAGGTATGTCCCGGACTGGTTATGCTATTTACCATCAGCTGTAACACTGGCCTTTATATAGTGATAGTCAACTTGATATATGCTCTCGTGTTTGTTTACAGAATCAACTCGTGATAATGATTGGGCGTGTCCTAATTGTGGAAATGTGAACTTCTCGTTCAGAACTGTATGTAACATGAGAAAGTGCAACACTCCAAAGCCTGGCTCCCAGGTTTGTGCAGCTTTTTGTTTCAGTTTCACCAAAAGCTGCATTAATTTGAAATGTAGGCTTGACTGGTTAAGTTTACTTATCAAACAACAGCTTGCTTAATCATGTCGATGGATTTGTTTGGTTAAATTTTGGTATTGGCCTTCTTAATTTCTGAACGTTTTACTCTTGTAATTGCAGCAAGGTGGAAGCTCAGATAAAAACTCCAGTAAGTCCCTAAAAGAAAATCTAAATAACATTGCGGCTTAGTTGATCAACTTTGAGATTGACATAGTGACGTGTGTTGTTTATCAGAACAAAAAGCACCGGAAGGGAGCTGGAAGTGTGACAATTGCGGAAATATAAACTATCCATTCAGAAACAAGTGCAACAGGCAAAACTGTGGAGCTGATAAACCAGAGGATCCGTCGAACGAATCTCCTTCCCGTGGACAAGAAGAGAACGATCAGGTTTGTCACGCGACGTATCTATATGGTCACATAGTTTTGTTAATAAATCATTCGACTCTGAAACTCGCAGATGTAACATCCTGTGAAAGCAGCGTTTATTTATTTATGAAAAATTTGACGCATGTTTGCTTAGATCTCCGACTATGATAGAATTGTTTTAGAAACCCCAATTTAGACAAGGATGTCCAAAATCTCTGAACAGTGTTGTGTGTTTTGAATTTGTTGGTCTGTTCCAGTGAGTCGTAGAGATGTTTGGGGGGTGTCCCAGGTTGTCTGATCAAGCGGGTGTCGTAATGTCAGTCCAATGTCTCGTAAGGTCGTCCATGTCGCAGCAGTCGTGAGTTGTGCTTCTATGCATTTGTCTCTATAAACCTCTCTTGGGTTAGCTTTGTTGTATTAATGTCAAAAATGAATTGTTTTTATTGACTCTGGTCGTTCTGGATCTTTGCTATAGAATTTACTCCTTCAGGTCCATCGTCTGTTTACATCTCAAATCTTAGTTGGTACTTTTTGTTACATTCTTTGTTAATCCACCTGGTCGTTTATTTACCCAAAAAAACGACAAATTTGTGAAACGGTAAGGCTTTTAGGTACAAAATTAAGAAACTAGCAAAAGTGAATTGTTGGTATTACAATTCTGTCGGTCTGTCCCTGCAATCCCCTTCATAATTTCGTGTGAAATAGACGGAATTGGCCCTATTTTATGTGATGCTCTCACCGTCAAGTAACACATGTCGAGTTAATTGACGAAAACAACATTTAAGCTACCTTATAAAGTACAATTAATTGCGAGATTCAAATATTTCCTGTAATGAAAAAAAAAATTGAAACTCACTAATGGATGCGTCTTTCAAATATACAATTATGTTACAGTAATAAACAAAACAAACAAACAAAAAATTCAGAGATATCGGGGAGATAGGAACTATCGAGCCGGTGAATAAATTGGGACACGAAAGTTGAGAAACAAAGGCACCTGAAGACTGACTGGTAAAGAATCATGGAGGCTGATCTAAGAGTGGCATCTAAAATGCCTGGCTGGTGTTTCATTCATATATTCAAGGATCAAGAGCAATAAATACCAAATTTTTGCAAAATAAGATCAACCCGATGAAGACGAAGTTGATAAAGAGAAAGCATCAGAAAGAGTGATGCTTGATTGATGATCTTGCTGGTTTCTTTCAAGATCAAACAATGGCTTTAACCTTCTTTCTACCTCGCTGCACTGTAGATCGATCTCGCTTGCAACCATTGAGTAAGCAGAGTAACAAGACTCATCGTCATCAAATGCTAATACCCATCTCCCATCTACTAGACCTTTGGACTTGAGCTTCTCATAGACTCCTCGCTTTGTTGGATCCAAGAATGGTAAATTAGACGGTCGGATTCTCAAGTTTAGCCAGTTTTTGTGCTTTTCGTCTATTCGGGGCTGAAAAAAACAAACAAAAGAGATCGTTCATTATTCCCTGTAATGTGATCTTTTTACAAGCATTCTCTGTAAAGAAGGTAAGTACGTACTTCACAGCCAGCTAAAGGTGCAGTAACACGGACAGTTCCGTGGTCTGGCTTCGACGATGATTTCTCAGCAAGGACAATCCAACCAGACACACCAGATGATAATGCTAGAAGCAAGAACTTGCGTTCCTTGTATCTTTCAAAGGAAATCCTACAGGGTACAGAACCAACTGCACCGGGATATTTCAAAGATTAGATGATTACTTACGGAAACTGAAGTTCTAATAAAGGGGTAGATGGTGTGCTAAACATCATATGCTAACCTAGCTTCACTTCGGTGCCAGGTTTGGGGACTGAAACATCCAAACCAGCGATTGTGGCACGAGACGTTTCAGATCTGTCGACAGGAGGATGGATAGGAGGTTGCTCTGGTAAGGGCCTACCGAGCGAGAAGATTTGGAGTTGATGAAGAAGAACGTAAACCTATGGAGGAAAGGCTTGATTATCATATACATAAACGACAAACATTGATATACATAAAAGAGAAGAAGTTGACACACCTTTACCACCTCGCACAACTTTTCCCCTGCGGTGAATGATGATTCACTACCAGCGGCGTTATCTGTAAAACATCTTTAGTTGCTAAAGGTTTTTTTTTACAAACAGTCTAACAAGGGAAATTCCATATCATTCACACTTGTTATCCGCTAGCTACTGCGCAAAAATGTGGATTAGAAATTTTACCATTAGAAGAGGATCTATCCAGCTGGAGAAGAACGGATTTAGGCTCTTTCTGAGGGGATGGAGCTTCGATCACTGTCAGAGGAGATTTGGTATCAGATTCACTATCTATGTTCTTGCGATCGAAATCCAAAATATCGCTAGCACTTACCTCTTTTGCACTTTTTCCACTCATCAAGCAGTACTGTGATGAGTTGATCAGGCCAGGTACCTTTAATCTCCCGGGCAAGAGCACTTTTGCATTTCTCATACGAAACCTGCCATAAGCAGCAAGCTCGTAAATTATCAAAGAGAGGGGATGGGAAAGAAAAACAATGTCAAACCAAAAAAAACATCTTGAAAGCAACATACATTCATCATCTTGAGATGTTTGCCATTAAATTCTGCCTCGCTATAAGGAAGCAACTGGCGTAAAAGCCATCCTCCATCCCATAATGTTTCTGCAGATATGTTTTCTCGGCAGAGAAGACTGACCAATGCATCCACCACCTACACCATGTTTGTAATCAAAATCAAGACGAGAATTTTTGCACTGTTTTTAAAAAGAACATTGAATTTCCGAAGAAGCTAGGCTAATAGCTTAAGTTTACAATCATTCGTAATTTACCTGATGTCTATGTACACGGGGGCACATTGCAGCCCCAGGCAATGAACAGCATACTCCAAAATGCTCCTGTTGAAGGAACTTAAACGAATAAGTCCATCACAGTATAATACAACACCATAGAGGTGGAGGGAGAGAAGGTGTTAAAAATGTTTTTAAGAGATGCAGTCAAGCACCTCCAACCTCCGTAGATACCAATCAAGTTCGCTACTTTTGCCATCTTTCATAGAACCATTTCGCGGGGAAAACAGTTGTTCTTCACCAGAGTCCTCCCCAACCAAAGATTGCTGTCAGAGATAACCAATTGAGTTTAGAACAAGAAACAAAGTCTGTCCAAGAAGTAAAAGCATAATTTATTATTCATGCTTTAGTAGAAACAGGATCCGTGCAGATACTATTTTCTGGGATCTGCTGGAAAAGGTAGTAAACGCAAGGTAAAGAGGAATGACAGACACTCACCAGCAAAAGCTTTTTGTGCTGCTTACGCTGAGGAAGAATGCCAAAAGCATCTAGCATTGACTCTTCAAGTTCTAGCAAAAACAGAATGTAAGACGTCAAAACCAGAAAAACAGTGAGAAAAATCTACACAACGCCACTGCCAATACCTTTAGTCTGCAAAAAAGTAGCTAGCACAAACAAGGAACCCTGAGCTTGCACGTCATCTCCCTCAGCAATATACTGAAGTAAAGTCTCCCTAATTAGAAACAAAAAAAGAGTATCAACTTAATAGAAGACAGCATCATACGCGGCTTAAAGACTGTAAAAAAGAAACTATTTCAACTTCGTTCAAGGTTTTATTTTGCTAACATGTTACCTAAATGTCATATGCGAATTGTTGAAGACACTTTTGGTAGTATCTTCACTGCAAACGTGCGCATTTTCATCTTCACTCGAGACTGCAGTGCTTGAAGACTGTTGTTCTGCCTCCTTAGCAACGCCATTGTCTGGGTGCCCGTTTGCATATGTAAGGCGTTCAGGAGCCAATCTACTATTAGGTTTCACTAGGGAACTTGAAATGAAAGCCTTTACAGGGCAGAAAAGAGTAGCAGCAGTCATATTCGCCAAATCTTTGATTTTAACTATCCGCAGGATGCAACAAAGCAGATAGAGAGAAGTGACAGGATCGATTGATATTTCCTGAAATAACAAAAAGAAAAACAATATTTACTCAAATCAGAAATTGTACTCTCACAAAAGAACTTAAGAGGAGAAAATGATGTATTATACATTGACAGCCTCGGAGCATAAAGATGGGAGAAGAAGAGGGAGAGTTAGATGCTGCAGAATGTGATCTGTTATCAGCCTCCCAATATCAGGTATCCCAGCAGAGATAACATCACTAAAGTAATACAAGGTGTCCTCGATCCCATCAACGGCAGAAAACAATTTTCCACCTGAGTCTGAGGATGGGCTCCTTTAGCAAAAAGATCAAATGAAAATCTTTCAGAACTATATAATTTATCAAGATCATCGGTTGTGATAAGTACTGGTCAATTCTATAAGCTATTGCCCTGAAAATTAAAATGAATTGAATCTTACTTTAGAGTGTTCAGCACCATTGCACTTAGATCCAAGCATTGCTTTTGGAAAAATGAAACTAATTTCGAAAAGTACTCTGTGTGTGGTGGACTAACTACATAATCATTCACAGATTCATCACCAACTGCAAAAACAAACTAGAGGCATCAGAAACGTTATTAGATACGGGTTCTTTTATCATACTAAGTGACAGATACTTACCATGATATACATTAAGAGTCAGGGCACGAATTGCGGTGCGTATCATGTTCTCTTCATGAAATGCAAATTGTATGCCTTCGACATAAAGGGGAAAAGAAACTACTACATCCTAGACGCAGAAACGCAGAATTAAAATATGGCAGAAAATAAAATCCACAATGGCCTTAACAAAAGTAAAAGGAATATGCAACTTAAAGATTACTCACGTTCTCAGTCTTGAAAAGCAACGATATTGTATGTTTGTTTAGCTTCCCACTAACAGCTCTACACAAAGAAAAAAAACAGTTACCAGACGCAGTGAATAAGTACTTCCTGAAACCAAGATAACAGCAGAAAATCGTACCTTAAGAATGATATGTAGTAAGATAGAAGCTCTTCATGTTGGAAGTCAAATTTATATGTTATCAAATAATTTACATATTCGTTACTGAACAAGTAATCTGCAAGGAATTCCCAAAGAAAATCATCAATAGACTATTATCATAAGAAACACTTAAAAAGACAAATGTATTGCATCTGATGAACTCACAGATGGCTTGATCACTTTTAAGGTTTTGGATCATAATACTAATGGTTTGCAACAACTGAACGGAAACTGTTACCGTCTTGCTAACCCTCAAGATACGTATGAACTCTCCCATTATTTGCTTCTCCATAAAAAATCTGCCATAATCGCAAATATTATCATATGACAATGACAATAAGATATAAAGCGTGTTGACTGATAAATTGGCACAAAGACTCACTCAAAGAATGAAGGATCATGCTGATCGCCATAAGTTATTATCTCCGCGATTGATC